TTATCAACAATAAATGTGTTTTTTTTTCCCCCTGAGGATGTTCTTTCATTATTTACAATATAAATATGTAAAGCATTAAACATGCCTGCGTAAATATTCTCAATCACTGTAATCATCTTCGACTATAAAATGGTTTAACCACAAAAATTTGCTGCAGGGTTATTTTCACACTCTGTTCCACATCCCTTTGTATTTGAAATATGCACCACACTTGTGAGCTACAACTGTAAACAGTAGTAAGAAAGCTTTACAACATGCAGAACAATATGACATCCATCCATTAGTAGCAGCCTGTGACAGGATTTTTCTTTAAAAAATATTGAAAACATAAGATGTGATGCAAAAGAAGAACCTTCAAATGAATCAATGAAACAAGTTTGCATGAGGGTGAAAGAGTCCAAATTGGGTGCAGTTGGAGGGAAGAGGCTGTTCAGCAGTTCAGAGGTCACAGTGAGGTCCCTTAAACAGAAAACCTGATAGGTCTGTAGGCTGAATGTGAAACCAGGAGCCTGCAACTTCAAACATGGTGAAAACAAGTGGAAAGAATCAGATTGTGGATTTTAATGCATTAAAATAAAGAGATTCTGAGTGATGTGAGTGTAAACAACCTGACAGAATGTATGAACTTCTCTACGATTCAGTGTGAAGACTTTAACTCACTAAAATTAATACAAAGAAATACCTTTACCTTCACACTGTGGTACACACTTTAAAAGTGGTAAAGTTTTCAAAGTCACTCTTTTTTTTAAATCTCATTAACAGTAATATTTGTGAACTCTGACATTTATTTTGATCATATGAAAAATATTGGCAATTAATTCACAGATAAATCTCAATTTCGATTGTGAAATCTTGCTCTCAAATGTAAATATTAAATGTCTAAAGAAAATTTTAAAAATAGGAACAAAATGTAAATGTACAATATTGAATCTACATGTTGACTGTTAAATCTACATCTTAAATGTTACATTTTCATGAAAATGTTCATTTTTATGTAAATCTACATGTTAAATGCTCAGTGGTAATAAATATTTAGCTGCTTTTTTAATTCACACTACTGTCCACTTTCTAGAAAACACCTATCAGTTAAATGCAGAGAAATGTTGCTGTTATTTTTGTGTGTGGGTGTAGCCCTCAGGCCCTCCTTTCCAAAATGACAGCCGATAAACACATATGAAAGAACAAAAAATGTACACAGGAGGGCCTAAAGGGTTAAACAGTTTTGACTTTTTACACAGTTTTTGAGTCAGCACAATTTAAACTGTAAAAATGACCAAAAAATAAATAAAATAAAATCACAAAAAAGGAACCTCAAGCCTCTTTAACTTGTTTTACCAATAAAAACTCAGCATGGAGAATTATTTAGTACTTTCAGAGCTAAAAGAAAACACCTGTGATGCCTAATTAAAATTAATTTAAAAAGCAGAAAAATAAACTTTATCCATAAAAACTGAATAGTAATGATTTTAATATGGCTAAAATTTGGCTCTTGTGTTTTTTTCTCACTCAAAATGCCTTTTTTGTTTCAATGAAAATGCAAAAGTCAAACAGTTGACTAAACCCTGGCGCTCCAGCCTTTTTTCAGTAGATTTATATTAAGCAATGAATACATGCTGGCGTCTGTAACAGGTGAGAGCTATATTATTTGTTTTTCTCTGTTAAAAAGGCAAGTATTGAGTGATAATAATACTAAGCTGATGTATCTGTGCCCCCCTATATGATGCTCCTTTGTCTTAAGGGACAATGACTGGGAAGTGGATCTGAAGATGCTGTATGGTGTTCACCAAGTGGCATTAAATCAGTTTTAGGATGACTCATGAGATATGCAGCCGGAGCAGATCAGGGGGATCCCCTGGCGAAACCAAACAGGTGTGTCTTATCATTTCCTCTCTCAAATCATAACCCAGTGTCAAAAAACCTGATGGATCTGAGATCACTGAGGCTACATGCCCGGCTACTGTTATCCTGAGGAAAACCATAAAAGGACCCACACACATCCTGTCCACTGTCCACCGAACGAGCATCTGTCCAACCCCTGACACCTTCCACTCTGACTTTGCTTCCTGTCCCACACGTGCAGCTTGGCTCCTTGAAACTTTTCATCAAAGAGTTTCCCCCAAAGACAGGGGAAAAAAATCCAAACAGGAGCGAGTGTGAGGGCTCAATCATCTGTTTTTTCACTTGTGCAGAAAATAAGGAGAGGATTCAGGTTCTGTTTCAACCCCAAATCCTATCAAGCATTCAAACTCAAACTGCAGAAAGACTTCCCCCAGCTGCAGTCTAAACTGACCATTCAAACCATTATCGACTGGTCACAGTTGGGGTGTGTGCTCCTGACCTCTACTCTGTCTAATCCCCCCTGTAGATGAGGGGCATGATTGGCGATGGCAGGCCGAGGATAAGGGGTTTCGTAGAGGAGCTTTTCAGCTTGAAGCCAGACTTTAATCTCCTAGACGCGTCACACATATGTTCTCATGAGATTATCCACCTCACTTTACCCACCTATCTTCATGAGACAGCCATGGTAATAAAATGATATCACATGTGCAGAGGATGAGCATTCAATAGAGTTGAACCACCAAAAATAAAACAGCATGACCGAATCAGACAAATAATAATCATTAAAAATTGAGGATATGTCTTGGTTTATTAAGTGGAGCATATTTTCTGGAGGTTTAAAGTTCAGTTTTGAGTAAGTTCTGTGTGATCTACTACTTTCTGGATTTGGTGGTGTTGTTTCATTAAACTCAGTTGGTCATGCAGCTGATGAGGAGCTTGTCCTTTAAGGGGCACTAGTCAGAGATCAGATGTACTTTGAACAAAACCTAACTATAGAGAAAAATTGTGTTTATGAATAACTCTTTCCTTACAGACAGCAGCAGAACATCTGAAAATGTTGTCCCCTTCATTTCAACCACACAGCAAAAGTAAAGTACCTCATGGTCTGGCTGGCCGTGCCACTGTTAAACTTGCATTTGCAGAAAACAGCGGTGCATTGCTAATCTACATAATATTGGCTAACATGCCAACGACAAGTAGAACCATAACTCTAAAGGAGAAATTGTAACCGCCGGTGCAGTCAGCACTCTTGGCTCTATACCAGGTCAGATGACAACATTTCTACAACTTTTCATGCAACCCTCATAGCTATCTGACCATGGAGGAAGCATGGTCAGATAGCTTTATCTGTGATGTGCAATATCATGTGCAATACAGTAATTCGTACACCATTTATTTATCATGTGCGATGTGGCAATACATACCTCATTTATCCCACCGCCTTTCCCCCATTGCATACATTCACACTCAGCGACTACTGTATCGCTTGTGCGCTTTGTAAATATTTCTCTTATGTTTGAAACTTATTTTATATTTTTGTATCCTTATCTTATTGTACTCCTCTCAGTACTTATTGTGTGTTTTATCTGTACTCCTTTGAGTCGAGCGGTCCTCACATCCTGGGCATTTCATTGCATTGTTGACCTTGTTTAATCTGCATTTCACAAATAAACAAATCTTGAAAAAAAAGCAGTTCAGGACTATTCCTCCCTACATTTCTGTCCACATTATTCTGTTTTTAAGGAACCACAGCATTAGGACAGCTGGAAATACACATTTTAAGGCGCTCTGTAATGTTATTGGATAAAAACTGTAGATAGAGGATTAAAAGTATAGAAGACACATGCAATTAAAAGCTTACATGACATCAATGATTTCGTAATGCATGGCGGGCTAACCCTCCCTCTACTTTTGCTGCCTTTTACGTCATCTGGCCCTGGCTAAAGCAGATTATTTTATCATAATAACATTAAAGTCTAATATGAGATAAACTAATTGAACTATTTCTTTCTAGTCTAGAAAACCCTGTCTCAAATACGCCATACTAACGTGTAGTATTTCTGTTTCTGATAGATCTTGAAGCCTGTGGATGTGGAGTGTCACTAGAACTGGACCTCCTGGGTTACATTTCATTTTGTCACCACTGCTTGTAGCAACATGTTTGCACCAAAATAGCCCCTTGTGTATTCTTTAACACGGACCAATTTAAACTCCGAACGTGACTTGAACAGCAACTTGGGCCTCTAGAAATGTCCTTGGACCTCTGGATATTGAACTGCCTGATTTCTGCGGCTGATTTGTGTATCAAATTGTGTTCTTGGAGGTACAAACAGCAGAGTCAGTTTGGTGTTCTTGTGCTCATCTCTGGCCCAGAAGCGACTCGTTACACCAAAGTTACATATTCTGCTCAGACAGCGAGAGTCTGGGCCACGTCTCCATATAGTTAGTTGTAGTGAATGTGCAGGTGTGTGTGGGTGTTGAAGTTGGGTGGGACTGGATCGAGGTGAAGGGTGGAGCTGACTTGAGAAGGGGTGGACAAGCTAACTCTGTTTACAAATGGTCAAAGGCACAAAAGAGAAAAAAAAACAGGCCTTATCAGACACATGAAACTCTGTATTAGGAATAAAGGAGAGCCAATGAGGGAAAGTCAAGGATCAGGAGTGGGGGAAATACAAAAAAATCTCAACCATGTTTTCTGTTTGACTTATTAAAATTCTTTTGGATACATTTTCGAGGCTGGAGTACCAGATTATTCACATGTCAAGGTAAGAATTGGTGATATGTTCTTCGAGGGAGATGAAGCAGAAGAAAAAGAAAGCCTGTGTGTACAACTCTATTCAGAAACTGAAGTCGAATGGCTGCGTGAGGCGCTGCTGTGGGAATTTGCCCCATTTGAGATGCAAATTCCTCCGAGAGCTGAAAGAGCCGGAGAAACAGGTGTCCGAGGAAGTGTGCTGCTGTGTGGGTGAGTGAGAGAATGAGTGAGTGAGTGGAGGGAGGGCGGGTGTGGTGACACTGAATGATAACACAGGGTATATTGAACTCCTGCTTGTTCAGTGCGGCCCGTGTGCTGCTGATTTCTCGTCTCATTTTCTTTGTTAGATATCTAATGAAGGCAGTGAACAGGATCCACAGCGCGAAAATATAACAGATTTTCAAAGTAACAATTTTCACCTTTTAATGATTTATATGTACTATGGTATAAAACAGCCTGGAGATGCAGTATATATCAGAAATAGTCCTATATACCATGAAAACAGATGGATGATTGCACATTTACCAGCTCCAGGCTCAATAAATGCACTCCTATGATAAGAGCAACAAGTCAGTATCTCACACTTGTTATAAAAGGATCTTATTTTTGAGTATTTTATTTTGATCAGTGTTTTAATTTCTATCAAAAAGTACAAACAAACCGTTCATCTTACAGAGTCTGTATCATTCTGAATGATTGTTTCGTGATTCGTATGAATCCTAGATTAGCTCGTTGGTGCCATCTTTAAGACAATATTAAAAGCTCTCCAAAGAAGGACATGGTAGCCACAGCTACCTCATAGAAAACAAACTTCAAAATAATCTTACAGTTTTTAAAACAATCGTTCAAAGAAACACTTTTCCTTATAAAAATTTTCACAGCACACTGACACGATTACACTTGAACCGTTGAGAGAGTCAAGTCCAGGGCGGGGGGCTGCAAAGAGGGGACTGCTTGTCATGTCATTAAACAATGAAATCTTTAGAGCATCTTAAATATGATCAAATCAACACTTACTGGTTGATGAATGAAGATTTATGGCTCATTTTACTTTTACTACAATAATACTTGATTTTTTTCTGAAAAGTAAACTCTGGCATTTTCAGAATTTAGCACAAGTCCAAGAATTACCAGGTAGATCATTTCAAAAAGCAAAGAAACCCTCTGATTTAGGTCAACAGTGCCGGTGATTTGGGTGATCACAACAGTTTGGTAAGCATAAACACCATGTACATGTTTCAGTGCAACTTCTGGTTAAGGATGTGAGAATAAAAACTATCAATAGAGGTAAAAATCACCTAAGAAATAAGAGTTGAGGTTTAGATTCTTCGGCTGCAGAGTAATAATCCCCTCTGTTGTCGTTTCTTTCTTTCTTTTTTTTTTTTTTTTTTGAGGGTCTAAAGTCTAAGAGGACGCACATTTGGACAACACATACCCTATAAAAAAACATTGAATGAATAAAATCTTTGGCTTTGTGGCACAAATATTCCCTGCACTCTTCTTTCTTCATCTGAGAGTCTCACAGCTGGAGAGTCTCTGCTGCTGATCACAGCCAAGTCTGACAAAATGATGTTATAGCGCCCCCAAGTGTTCAGCAAACACAAACACAGGACTATAAGATAACCTGCGACAAAGTTTCCTGAGCAGATTAACTGTTTGACTTTGTCTGCAAATCAACATGAATACAAAGCAACACAAATACGAAATCAAAAGAACAACTGATGCTGGCGAAGAGGACGACAAAAAAGGCAAAGTGCTCAAGAAAAGACTCAGTTCAGACAAAATGGAATTCATTCATAGTAATAGCCGGAAAAACTGAGCTCTGCTTTGAAAAGGTAAATAGCAGCAGTAGCTTTTTATTCCCTGTGTGTTCAGTCATGTGAAGCAGATCACACCACACTCCCACAGGCTATCATGTCACGGACACGAGTGCAAAGTGCACATTGTAGCCATCTGCTGTTCCTCCCTGGTAATAACGGATTTGTTAGCTCTGCTATGTTTTCAAAAATATCAATCAAATATATGATTGATTAATGATAAATTAATATGACTTCACTTCTAGGTTAAAGCGCTGTTAAGAACAACAGCCTGTGCAAATAAAATGACACTGAGAATGCGAAGCGACTGCTTAGTTGTCTGAGAAATAGCATTTTTGTCAGCTGTTCTAGTGTTTTGAACTGTTTCCACAACTTTTCCAGGAGTGCTGTGATTGTAAAAAATGGTTTGAGTTTGAAGATTTGTCACAGTCTAGACTAAACCGGCCACATGAATATGACATGTGTGGTGACACTCACCCTGCTACAGGTAAGTGTCATGCTCTGCACTGCTCAGACTCTCTTTGGACCCTTGTGGGGTCACGTGATTGAGGAGAGGTGAAGGCTCACTCGGAGGAAGGTAAGGATTAACTATCTCCGGTGACGGGAGGATTGTTTTCTTCTCTTTGTCCTCTTTAGTCTCTCTTGTGCCCATGGTGTCTCCTACTCTCACTTCATCTGTTTTTGGTGTGAGGGGAGACTCCACAATGATGGTGGGCCTCTGCCGCAGGTCCTGTCTGCTGGGCGGGTCAGCAGTCATGATGGCCTTAGCGCCGTGCATCCTAGGAGGGGACTTGCAATTGAGATCTCCCCGAGACTCCTTCCAGCGTTTCAGCTGAGCATGGTGCTCCTTCTCAATGTCTTTCTCAGACACTTCCAACACAATAACCTACAGCACAGGCAGAGGAAGAGAGGGAGTCACAGGGGGGAGAAACATTGGGAGTGTCTTACAGCATTTAAACACGTTCACGGTTGAGTCTTCTCTGTCACTTCACACAGGAGGGCAAAGTCTAAGAGGAAGGCAGCTGAGTGCGCAGTAAAAGCAGATAATGTGGCAGAGTTTAAGCGTACCTCGTGCACCAGGAAGCTTTCCTGCATGTACTGTGGCTGTATCGCGCGCAGCAGCTCCATCGTTTCATAAAGACCTTGGCAGGTTTTTAATTTCTCTTGGGATCCCAACATGGACTTGAGGAGAACAAGGCCAACTCTGAAGAGGATCTTCACTCCTGCATAAAGTCAGACAACGTGCATGAGACACCTGGAGAAAAGTCAGGTTCAGACACTTTCCCACTAAAACTTACATTAGCTGAAAACCAAACACTTGAACATAGACCAGCATTGTGACAAGACTGATCATAAATACATGGATGTGGTCTCAGTGTCACCCATTTTTTTATCTAATGCAGAGTTTGGAACCAATCAGTAGCAGTCACCATATTAAGCATGGTCACTCAGGCTTATCTTCAATTGACCTCACATGAGGCAAAAAGGTAGAAGTGAAAAGTGAAAAGTTAACCCTTGTGTAACCCTTAGATTTACATCCTTTCTTAACGCTCAGTGGCTAAAAACAGCCACTGACATTGACTGCTGTAAAAACATATTGGATTCATATTTTTTTTTTCATAAATCTCTTAATAACTTAATAGCTCTATTCAAAACTAGTAAATGTTTCATTAAGAATCCAAATTTTAACCCTTTAAGGACCTATTTAAAACATAAAGTCACTAATATTGGGAAAAAAGTGGCAGGAAAATGACAGATTTTTATTAGATTTATTTTCTACCATATCAGTGACATTAGGTTTTGAATGGACCCTCAAAGGGTTAAAAAAATGTTTTTAGATGAAACATTTACTAGTTTTGATCAAATCAGATGTTGATTAAGACATATATGAAAAAAAATGGAAAAAAAATATTAACCCAATATGTTTTTACAGCAGTCAAAGTTAGTGGCTGTTTTTTAGCCACTGAGCGTTAACAACGGATGAAAATTTGCTCAGCGCGTATTTTTGACCTGGTGAAAATGTTGAAGTTATATTCTCAAAGTGTCCATCAATATAAGCATCTGCACAAAAAAAATCATCCCATTTGCTGCAGTAAAAAAAAGTTATGTGGAAATTAGTGGCTAAATTTTGCCCCAAGTGGCTGATTTTAGCCACAGTGTTAGCAGTTCTTTAGTCGTTCCACTCACAGCTATGATGTGCCTGCCTGTCAATAAGGTCTGCTGTGCCTCTGGTTATCTTCAAATAATGTAGTATTAAAATATTACCTCTGTAGTGTAGTGAAAAATGAGCTATTCAAACCAAGTCCGTCTTTTGAACCAGGCTGAAAGCATATTGATTTTTGCCATAAAACACACTCTTTTAAAAAGGCGTGTTTGTAGTCATCTGTAATTGCAGCAGACATTCAAAGAACAGCTGTTCTCAGCACTTCTGTATCCGCTTTAAGTCTGAGGACAGGAAGTTTTTACTTGGATAGAAACCATGTTTGATACATTTTCATTTATTAATTGTAGTTAAATTTTCAAGTTTGATTAATTTCCCATCTGGAAATGGTGCAGTGTAGAGCTTCATTAACATTACGGCTGCTAATAAGTGAAGGATTTCTGTGTACACAGGTCTATCAAGAGACCTGATGTTAGTAAGTCTGACGTTTTAGAATAAGGGTTTAAAAGGTTACATCATTAAAAGTGGAGAGTTGATATTCAGATGGACTTTCTACATACACTGAAGATCATGTGGAAAGTCTCCTAACTCCATATTCAAATAAGAGGTGTGTCATGTTATCATCATTTCCTGTATTACATAAATACTTTGCTGTATTACATTTCAAATCAAACAGGAAGATAAAGAGCACATGACAACGCCCAATGAAATATCACATACTGCTATTGTATGATTTAACTCTCAGGCTTTATCGAAAGAATAATGGAAGTTAAACACACAGCAGGTGAAACCGCTTATTCATTCTTAGTATAATGCACATAATGATGTGTCATACCCTCACAAAGGAACATGTCCCACACACGCAGCACTGAGGCCCACGGCAGCGTCCGAGAGAAGGCACACATGAACCACTCCGTCATGTAAAGGATCGGCTCCAGCTTGTGCTTTTTCAGGTGACGATGGGCCACAGGTGACACCCGCCGCAGTAGAGCGTACAGGATCTCCCCGTCAAGCTGGATGGCCTCCTGTGGGGGTAAGAAGGAGACACAGACAGTGGAGAGAGTGTTAGAGAGAAGACAGACATCCTTCTGTCTGCTTAATCCGATTGTCTGATTATCTTAACTATGTAGCCCGGTCAACACCTCGTGGTGTGAAACAGTCTTAGTGAGTGAAATGAGTCGAGTGTGCTCAGACTCTGTCACAGAACTGCAGGTAAGCTTTAATAAGAGTTTATGTGATAGGGTATCACTGCATAATAGTTAAAATTCTGAATGTAAAACCCAGTTTCAGGTCATATACAGCTGTTTTCAAGCTTTCTTATGATATATAATAATCATAGCCCTCTTGTGTGTCTGTGAGGACCCTTACCAGGCCTGTACTGTAGTATCCAGGCAGGTATTTCTCACAGATCTGGACCAGCACCCAGAATGCATCCTGTGACAAAGAGGGAGCAAAGAGTATGTGTTAAATTGTAGGATATGAATCTATAAGAATAAAAAATGATGTTTTCAATGTGTAGTCACCTCTGCTGGCATATGCATCAGGAGAACAGCGGCGATGGGAGCCTGAGCCTGACAGTAACCCTCCTCTGGACGATGCAAAGTGTACGCCTTCAGCACGCGGAACAGGTCCTGCTGCCTGAATGTCGGGACATTTACGTTTTATACAACTACGATCACATTTACACAGTGGCAGGCATCAGGAAAAGAGGCATTGCTTACCCATGACCTCCTCTTGCTGCAAACATCTCATGGAAAGGGAACTGTCGATGGAGATCCCTCTCTATGATGTCTACCCATTTTGGATCCCCAGGTTGATCGTCCAGTTCCTAACAGTACATCAGAATTGGATAAGTTTGGTAGTCTCTTTTTTTTAATCAATCAAACAGACAAAAGTGAATCATGACTATCCAACTGACCTGGAATTTGCCCTGGTTTTGCTCCCTTCTTACTTTCCCCCCACTGAGGTAGAGCCAGGCCCGTCCACGCAGAGATGGGGGGATTCCCTTCTGACAGCGCTCCCTCACCTGTTATCCCACACATCAGGATTTTGTCTTTTACACAAGGCCGTAACAGACTCATTACTGTTTTTAAGAGTGTATTATGTTCCTTTGATTTCAAAACTGCTGTGAAAATAACTTTATAAGCCAAGCCAAGTTCAAATGTTTATTACTTCTGCATCTTATTACTGTTAAGAAGCAAAGATCTACTGTTCAGCTGACTAAACAGACCTTCCTGTGCTTTTTGGCCATCCACTTGTCCCAGCTGTTGAGCATGTCCAGCCATTTAGACTCTCGCTGCCTCAGCACGTCATTGGGAATTTCTTCTGCGCTGTACCGATGAGAGCAAACAAATTATTTTCATGCAAAGCAACTGCCATGTACATGTGACAAAAGTGTTCCTGTCATTACAGTCAGTGGGATGAGAGGGCTCATCTCTTCCTTGTCCGCACAGGAAACATAACCTCAGACAAAACAGTGGAGCACTTGCCAACTGCAGCAAAGAACAAGGAAAACAGGAAGCTGTGGGAGAACTTTCCCCTTGTTCTTTTCCCTGTAAACTCCTACACAACTCACAGCATATCTCGCTTCACTACAGTACTGCCATTTTGCACACTCTTTCCTCTTATCACACTTGGTCAGCTGACAGAGATGTTTCTGGATACAAAACTTCTTCCAAACAAAGCACAGGAGTCGCATAGAGATGTCACAGTGGGGTAGCTAGATTGATGTCTTTAGACTAACTATTGGCTATAAAAAGTTTAATGAGTCATGCTCATCATGTTCTATATGTTTTCTCTCATCATTCCTCATCTGCTCCACCTATCTGGTTATAAACATTGCAAGAGTCGGTATTTGTCAATCCTTTTAGATTCAAATAACTAATTTAAACTAAACTCAGAAATTTTAACACTTTTACATAAACCAGCATAATAATAAACTAACTTTAATTTCAGAAACCATTGAAAACAATTTTTGACATGTTTTTTTTCATGAAGTAGTTTGGTCTATGTCCCATCCATTAGAAAAGGAGAAGCAAGGTTTATGACCTGCACTGCTGCCAGTCAGCTGGGGGAACTAGAAATTTCAGTTTCACTATCTGTGAACACCTACAGTCTATTTTACTTTACAGTCAAGAGACAAAACAAGTCGAGCAATAACACAAAGTGCTTCAATGTGAAGATTTAAATCACAGATTTAAAAAAAAACCTTAGATACTTAAAAATAACGCTTCAGATTGTGGGTAAAGACCAGCACAGGAATTATATGGTCTAAAAAGGCACACTAGTCTTGGTTCGTGCCTCCTAGGGCTGGGCGATAAAACGATTGCCATATATATCAAAAGTTAATTTCCCTTAATATTAATATAAAACATAGTCAATATGCTTTTCAATAATCGGCATTCTGCCATGTTTTAGTAGACTATATCAATAGCCAATGAAAAGGGGAGTTGCTCCGGGTCCGCTTCAAGCTGAACCAATTGTTTGCTGAACTAGAACCAAGTAGCAAACAACTGCGTAGTAGCAGGCTGCAGCTACATGCAACCATAGCACTTTAACAGGTGCAACCGACAGCACAGTCAGTGAGAAAAAAAGAAAAATGAAAAAAAGATGATGACACTCTTGACAACAGTGGCACGAAAACGTCGATGGTGTGGAGGTATTTTGTTTTTTTTAGGTCGGACATGAAGCAAAATAGTGTGCACTGCAAATTATGTCGAGTACATGTTCTCGCAAAGTCGGGGAATATCTCAAATCTTTTTCACCACCTGAAGCAGCGCTACAATGCAAAGGTTGCAAACCCCGAGCGGAGCAAGGAGCCCATGGCACCTGAGCAGCTGAAACAGCCGACCATTCCGCTGTCTCTGGCGCAACGTCGAAGAGACACAAAGACCTCACAGATGCAGTGGCTTATTGTATTGCAAAAGACATGATACCAGGTGACTGTTAAATTTCATATCGATATATCAATATCGACTGATATGAAAAATATATATCGTGATAAACTTTTTCCCATATCGCCAAGCCCTAGTGGCTTCTAACCTGATTGGCTGGATATTGGGAATAAACATATTCTGTTGCATTTGTATGCAATCTGACTTCTCAAACACGCCTCTAAACTCTTTGTTAGGTAGTCAAACTGCTCCAAACTGGTTAAATATGCAACCTGTTACATGGTATGTGGAAGACACAACTTTTTTTAAAGGTTTTATAGTTTGGAGAAAGGTTGAAAGCTGGTCCAGGCAATAAAATTGAATCTACAAACTATTATCTAACTTTTAGCAGTATGAACGATCTGTCCTCTCAAATGACAGCAGATATCACCGCTATTATATGCTTATTATGCCCTCTAGCACTCACTTCCTCATGAGTGCAAGAGCTGCTTCTCCCTTCAGGTACAGTTTGTCTATTTATAAAAATCCCAGCAAAGTTTCTGACAGTGTCTGCATGTTATATCGAAAGAGGATGACAAATATATTTCTAATGCTTATGTTTCTCAATAAAAAGACAACAATTTCGTGTCAGTCTATTGAAATATAAAAGAAAGCCGAACTCATTCACAGTTTGTAGTAGTAGAGGAAGATTTAAGATGTATGAATTTCTGTCTTACGTGTTTCCAGAGGTCTGCTGGGCTCCTCCTGTGAAGCCGTACTTGTCCACCTGCGTCTCGTCAGGGATACCGTTACCGTTCACCTCTGGGTCGGACCCATACAAGTTACCGTTCCCATTATCTGTCAGCTTCTCTCCGCTGCCCCGCATTCCCGGTCCATAGCCCTGCTCGGTTTTTGCCATTTAGTCAACATTTACCTCATCCAAAAGTCTACGGTCTGCTCATTAAACGTACTCTTGACACCGTTTCTAAAAGCCTGGCGAACACTTTTAAGCTCTCCATGGAGACGCCGCCGCCCGCGTGAAAGCTAACCGACGGCTACAGCTAGCTTAGGAGGATTTGCTTCCTTGCTGTTAGCTCGGTGGTGCCTCAAAAACGCACTTGGGGTATTCCAGAAAAATCAATTTGTGACTCTTTTTCGCATGTATAATTTCAACTAGACATACTGCAACCAGCAGCTCAAAATTCCGGAAAAGGAGGCGATATAGAGCTGTGCACGGTTACTAAGTCTGAGGCTAACATGCTAGTATCATACAGCTGTCAGCTGACACACACACACCTATTAAAACCCGGTTCTCTGCTGTCAGCAAGAATGAAGGTTAGCTGGTGGCTACGGGGTAAAGACTGGAGGAGATAAGTAAACAAAACATTCATGGCATCCTGTGACTCTCTATTGCCATCTGCTGCTGAATATCAAACGTCTAGGTACAATGCTAACCTTATTTGAAACAGTTTTGTGTACTTGCCTTGGACTAAATGCACTTACACACTAATAACAACAGAGACTGGGAAGCTGTGGATGTCAGGGTCATTGGTTTGCACTTAAAGTTGGTAACATTTGGGCTAAATGACAAATTGGAGAGAGCAAAAAAAGGAGTGCATTGAGATAATATTGGATCTTTTACTCAGGTTAAGTCAAATTAGGAGTGCTTGAAGTCATAGCAAGACAGACAGAAACTCAGACACATGCAATTGACCTACAGTTTTTTTCAGTGGCTAACAAGCGCTTACCCATACTTCAGATATTTTTTCTAAACTCTTAACACAGACTCACACCTACAAAACACAACTGGCCAAATTGATAATTTTCTTCTCAAAAACACATTTTGTTAAATATATATTAACTCTTTATTTCAAAATAGAACACATCTTTCTCTACACACACTTGAAATCTGACCCAAAAAAGAATTTATTCCGTCAAAGAATAACACTTGTTTTCACTTCGCAAGGTACATGCAGTCATGCAGACATAAAAAAAAAAGCTATAGACTTTTATGTTTCAGTTTTACAGGTATTTGCATGCAAAACATGCGCTCCACAGTTTTTACACTAAATTTCTTGGTTGGGAACTGTGTGTCCACATGTAATGTTCACATTCAAAAGCATTCCAGTAAAAAGCAAATCAGTTTTTATCTTTTACTGTTTGCTACAGGAGGTACAATAGAAATACTGTTTACAATATGATAGAACAGAAATGGTTTTACAGTATTGCTTACAATAAACAAAATATCCTGCACCTGCTCCTCTCCATGCACCTCTCACTGGTCCTGCTCTTCTCCCTGGGCCCCTTGCTCTTACTCTTCCTCATCCAGACATTCCAGTGTTTTTCTTTTTCTGTTTCCAAAAGCATCACTCCTCAAAGTCCTCCTTTTAACCCCTGCCATTGCATCTGATACTATCCAAGGCAATGCACCTGGTATAAAACCGCTTGGTATGTCGGATTCACCCTTGGCAATCATCAACTGTGATGTCCCTGCAGCCAGCATCCATGGCTTCAAGGAGGGACATCTGGTCATGTGGCTGATGTTCATAAACCTTCCACCTCCATGCAGAAGAGAACTCCTCTATGGAATCAGCTGTGGTTGGCCCATTTTACCCAACATAAACCAGCTGTGTGTCAATTTTTCAATTGTTTGTTTATTATCGGCTGAGATAAATTGTTTTTGAACTGATATCATTGCAGAAGCAGAGGTTTTTATACTGTATCTAAGATATAGCTTGTCTGTTAAGAAAATATAAGCATTGTAGAAATGTGTTCACTGACTGCATTGTGTGAAAAAGACATGAAATGTGTGAATGGTATGGCCACACAAGACTGATGCTGTGCTGATCGTGTTTAAAGTTTTGAAAATGTGACAACTGGTTGGACAAACACTTGTTAGCAACTGAAAAAAAGCTGTAATATTGGGGGAAAGTCAGATACAAGAGCACTCGACTGATCAATCTTCCTATTTTAACGCCCTAAATATTTTTGCAAGATTGGATGTGTCTTTTGTCAGCACACATCCCTTTCTCGTGATGAAATAATGTAACATGAGACGGAAACATGAAAAACACAAGTATATTTTAGTATAAATACTAGATTCTTTATTTAAATATTGTACATATTTTAAAACATATTTACAGAAATTAGACCTGCATTGTTACACAGTAGACATAGGTGTATCTTTCATACACACAAACATCGCTTGCTGTAAAGAGGACAATCATACCATACCATACAGACTGCAGAAGCACCTTTGAGAACGGCTTTACAGAAGTGAGACGGGCAGACTTCATTTACATAAAATGTTGAACAGCATGACCAAGATGACTCAAGCTTGCAATGACAGGAAAGGCCTCGATTACAGGTCTAGCTATTTGTTAAGGCTGAAACTGTGCTCACCCTCACACTGTAAGTTCACAGCACCATGATCTATCTCACCACTGTTTCTTTCTGCATATGGGATCCATCTTTCTGTCAAATGAAGGGCTATCTTGGAAGTAAATACAAGTTCAGAACCTTTGTACAGCATGTATAAACCATTCCTAAGACGAGAACATTATGAGCATTATTTAATTGTGCCAGTACTTGCAGAAATCATGCAAATGAACAGTGCAGATGGTGGGACAGAGTTATCATAGCATTGTTTCCACAAATGAGGAAAAAAACATTTTTTACAGCAGGGCTCACATAGCAGTTGTGTTTAAATATGGCTTTCCTTCTTTGGTTTCAGAACCTGTCTAGTACTTTGTTGCAACCAGTCACTAAACTTAAACATGGTACAATTTTTGTTCTGACAAAACAACTATGAGCACGGAAAAGAAATTTTCACCCACACTTCTGGCCACCAAACGAGACTCAGAGCACAAGAAAATTACAGTATTGCTGTTTGATGTTCATAGCAACAAAGCGGAATCACATACACATAAAAAATGTGTCTTTGGTGCACCAACTTGACACTGTCCAAACCACTTGGGTGAGCTGTTAGACAAGAAGGGACGGGCCATTACAAGCGGACCAGTGTTTTCATTATCATTGTCTTTGATTAATGTAATGTGATGTGATGCAGCACACATGTTACAATCATGGAGACTGTTTTGAGTACAGACATCTGCACGAGAAGCAGCAAACAAATGTAAAGGGAAATGAGGAACTGAGAAAGAAAAACGTACACACACACGACTCTTAAGATAGCAGGATTTTTTTGTCATCCACCCCACAGACAATACAAACTTTAATTTTTTAAACTAAATAAAAAAATACATCTTTTCCTTTACAGTTCATGCCTGACCTATCATTGCAGTTGTAAGCATTCCCAGATGCTAGCTTTAGCTTTGTGAGATAAGAAATATTACACATTAAATACACCACACATTCTTGCATGTATTCCACGTGCACACGCGCACACACACAGCCCTCCTTCCACACAGATGCTGCAGTGATCAATCACAGCACATTATCTTCTTGTTCATTTCAGCAAGTGGAAGTGTGGGATAGATAAAGCTCACTCCAAGTTCAACATCTATACAAGAAAAATATATTTATGAATGCATGTGTACATCTTCCACAAGTGTAACCAAGTATCTGTTTGCTTTAGCAACCGAAGCAAGGACAACAAAAAGGCTGGAACACAGCCCTAAAGACACGAAAATTATTTACAACTCATCAGGATGTGCGCACCAACAGATCCCCCAGCAAAGTGACAAAAACTGATCAACCTTCACATGTGCTGTAAGCTAGAACAAGTGTAAGTGTCCCATTACATGTTATTTCCATCTGAACATGTACTTGTTAGCACTTCTACCATACACATTCCCAAACCCACCTCTTTTCCTTTTTGTTTTAACACCCCTCCGTACCCAACATCAGCTTCCTCAGTCCAACTATAAGCTTAGATCGAACACATTTACAGCGAGGAACAGATTGGAACAGCAGAGACAGACTGCCAGGTTTTAAGTCAACTCTATCACTACCCTCTGAAGGATCCACACCATGGCTTACTCCTCTTATTATTTCACTTTTTAAACAGGAGGCCTTTAAAGCTCCCGGTCAAACCAAACAGTCCCATCACCAAACAAATGTTGATAAAATGTAATGAAACACGTGAGACTGAAAGGCTTCCCTCAGCCCGTTGTACTTGCTTTCTCCTGCATCATGTTCAACATGAAAAAAAGGTCCTAGTTGCCTGCTTCTCCTCAACTATTGGAGCACCGAAGCAAAACAAAGGAAGGAAAAACAAAAGGTGTACACGGCTGGCCGTCAGCCCCACAGCGAGGGAGTGTGCATTGTGTTGACGGGCTTCCCCCCTGCCAGCCCACAGGATGTGGCGCTTTTTTGTATTTTTGTATTTTTTTTTTTAGGGAGGGCTGCAGGTGGAAGACTCAGGCAGATGGGAAGGAGGGAACAGCCCCAGAGATGTTCACACACACACTCTTACACACATTTTTTAATCTGTGTATTCAGCCACAATTGACAGCAGCACCGTGATGTCATCTGGCTTCCCTCCTGCAGAAAAAAGGCAAAGGGGTGTGAGAAACCATGTCAACACTTAGTTTAACACTTAAGTTTCAGCCAAAATAATGAGAACAAGTCTAGGTGTGAAAGCAGCCTGACAGCCATCATTTGGACCTAAACAGGCTTTTTTTGGATTAGGATGACCATATTCTGAGGACACAACTAAATGGGGCGGAGTTGTGCATGCACGCAAAATTTTGAGTGTAAATTTTTTACACGCTTCTAACTCAGATAAATGCATATTCTGAATTCCCAAAGACATCTCATCTTTAAAAAAAGGACAACATTTTATCTCATCAGTTTTTCTTTTTTCACTGGCAGAAACGGGCTTACATACAAAACCCCGGACACTTGAAGGATTTTATTAACTTTCCCCGGACAGCCCCCCAAAAGAGGACATGTCCGGGTAAAAAAGGATGTATGATCCCCCTATTTGTATCCTCCAGCTTTTTTACTTCAAAAGTTTGTTTTTTTCTGCAGTCTGATCAATTTTAATTTACATTATTTTGCTCTTTCTGCACTAATTCGAAATCTAGTCTTGTGTCCTGTAGCTTTGTGTAGTAGAAAAATTATTTTCAGTCAGTAAAAAAACTCTATAGGACAAATATTCTACAAAAATTTAATGATGTCAGAAAGAATAATAACATGAAAACATTTTATAGGGTGTGACATTTCTTAATGATTGTTTCATTGTTTTTAAAAATACCTGAGTAGCACATTCTTAGAGTGGTTTTAAAGGAGAAAATACAGCATCTTAGAGTTCTGTATACATACCTCTTACATTCAGGCCATTATCACAGGCAAACTGTGCAAAAGGAGACATATAGTTGGGGTCATAGGCGAGGTCGTGAGCTTGCTTTGCAATACTCTGTGCAGTCTGCAGGATGCTATCATAGTTGGTGGTCTGAAATAAGTACAAACACAAGTGTTCAGTGTGAGAGGTGGAATATTTTATGTTCATATGTTCATTATTATTTTCATACAGTTTGGGAGAAAACCTGAAAGCTAGTATTTAGAAATGTTACCTTTAGCTTTTTGAGCTCCTGCAGGATCATGTAGTCTGGCATGTTGTCAAAGAGGCCGTCGGTGGCTGTGAGGATGATGTCACCGAGCTGTACATCGAAGGAGGAGCTGTCTGCCGCTTCGGGACTGGAGGGAAACAGGAGGGCACGTCAGGATCAGTCTCACTTAGAACAGGAGCATGCAGCGCTTGAGCTGCTGTCAACAGTTTCCATTATGGAATTAAGCAGGTCACTCTGCCAAGTCTTGAGGGTGGACGCAGAGTGGGCGTTTAATCTGACACCTGACTAGGAAGCAGTCTGCCCGCTGTGTCCTTGTCAGCTGCAGAGAGGGCTTCTGGTTTGTTGGCATCAAACTGAAGTCTCAGGTTTATTTCCTAGGAGTCTCTCACTTATGTCTGTGCTTCTCCTGAAGAGTTTTATTTCAAGGTGGTATTAAAGAGCCATCCATGTTTCTCTAAAAGGAACATTAGGTGGTTTAACAGCGAAGTCTTAAACTCTGCTTCACACCAGAAAGGATTACAGTCAAAAACGGGACTAGTAGACAGCTCAGAATGTACTATAAATGGTTTATCTTGGTAATCAGGCTGCCATTGTCAGAACCACATTGAAACACCTATGTGGGTTGCCTAGCAAAGCTTTCAGCATGCTTGTGTGCCTTGTAATTAAATCTTTTTTTCTGTTACCTCCAGAGTAAGACAATAATTCTTATGAGATATTAATTTTTTTTTAGAGTGGAATGGAACTCTAACAGGCTAAGTGAAGCTGCAAAAACAATGGTAGATATCCAAGAAACCACAGGAGAGGGACTGAATTATCTTTTTGAAGTTGCAGATACATAACAGAACTTGTAATGAATCATATAATAATTATTTTAAACATATTCATGAAGGACAACCAATCACAGATTATTTAGCAAAATCTACTGCTTGTGTAAAATTTACTCATACTTTCACAAATATTATCATCTTCTTGTGACTATTTTGTAAAGCAAAAAAAGCAGATGGAGAGTTGAACTTTAGAATCCCTGAAAGTATAAAAAGGACTAAAGAAAACAAAAATTAAAGCAGAATATAAGACAATCTTCCATGTGGGTAATAGAAGAAAGAATGATCAGGTAAAAGCGGTTAGTAGAGGCGTAGCTAAGTATGGTCAGGTGTGTGACACCAAAGTAGATCTTATTTACAACACCAACATTGCCTAAAAGTTTGCTGCCCACATATGATGACCAGTTTCAATCCGAGCACTTCTTTTGCAAGCTAAATATGGGGGGAAAAAACTAAGCATTTATGATGATTGGCTATGAAAAATTCTTCTATATCTTACTAAAAGTCCTAAGTCTTAACACTGCCAATAACCATATTCTGGTGTACAGAGTAGACAGCATTTTTCTCTATAACACGACCTGCAAGAATAACGACAGCACTAAGCCACTGACCTGTCGCTGAGCACCACCCCTTCAGCTCCTGGGGGGGCGATGGACAGCTGGAAGGGTGTGTTAAAATAGTGCTGCTGCTCGTCTGAACGATGAACCACCTCTCCTCCCCGGACAACAAGGAAGCCAGAGTCACCGAGGTTGCATGTGTGTAGCCGGTGACTTCGTCGGTCTAGGACCACGATACAGGCCGTGCTGCTACCTAAATAAAAGAATAAATGAAGTTGTGGTCATGAAAACAAATAATATAACTGTAAAAAGTGTACTTAATATGTTTACTACTTGACAGAATGTGCTATCTTCAAACAGTGAAGATGAGAAGGTCATTTTTTGCTCCTATGACATTAAAATGTTTCAAAACATGTCACAGCGTATGCTGAGGTGGAAATCATTGTTATACTCTATTATAAACAGCATTTCTAAAAGCAGAAGTCCATTTTTATTCACAGTTCCTACAAATCAGACTATGGTACCTATTGTCACTTTATATATTGAGGTAGAGGTCCGTTTCAGTTCTTATTACCTGTTTGACAGGATCTGATACCTTATTTGTAACTGCTCATACAGATTTGGAAGTAAGTGAAACATATTTCCAACACGATAGAAGGTACTCCCCTGCTTTCGACTGCAGCCATAGAGGCAGCAGTCGATTTTTATACATATTTTCTCAATGACAGAATGTACAGCCAAAATTGCGAATGCTGCTGAACCAGTACATCAACGTGCACACCTTCTGAGGTGGCAGGGAGAAACTATGTTACAGCTTTCAAGAGGCCTTGAAAGGCCTGACAGAAAAAAAAAAAGGGAAAACAAACACAAAGGTCGCAGCCTGCGCTTGTCCCAGATCCCCACTGATGGTGGCTTTAGGTGCCAACAGCCTGAGCAACCTTGAGCAGTGAGGGTCATACGCAGACCTTGTCAGAGCTTTCCAAATTGAAGTAGGCCATTTGACAAACATCGTGACCAGGGAGGGGAGGTTAACATTTAGACTCAGCGTTGGCTGCCTGTCAGGGATACCCGGGCTCAGATATGCGACCTTGGTCACATGCGTAACATGTGCACACTTTTTTAAACCTGTCCTACCCGCCTGCACTGTTGGCTATAGATGGATTCTTGACCTATCTTAAGTCTGGTATGAGGTTAAAATGCTCACCCAGCATGTTTGGCTTCACAAGGTCACCAAGTCTCGACTTGTAAGCGTCATAACAAAATGCAGCCTGATTCAGTTAGTTAGTTACCTCACAGGAATTACATCACTAAGTAGGATGCAGGTCAAAGCCTGGATCAATTGTAAACCACCAGCCCACACACAGAATGTTATAAAGCTGAGGTTCAGTGTCCAAACCTGCATTTTAAGGATACAAGGGGGTTTATCTTTTTATTTATCTCACTGAATCTTCCTTTAGTCGTCAGTCAAATAACCTAAATATGAATTTCTCTTTTTTCATACATGTAGCTACCCTTTTCTTTTAATTGTCGATGTTTTTTCATGTATTTGTATTGTACATTGTATTCATGGTTTTATGTAGACTTTTACCAAATTAAAAACAAAATTCTTGCAGAATATTTTTGCATCTTGTGTTGTCATTTTTTTGCCATGTTTGGCAAATAAATGACAACATTAGATGTAGATTAAATAGCAATACATAATGGTACCAGGCGAAACATCCAACTTAGCAAAGCCAGTATTCACAGTCTGACTCATTCTGCAGCTATTTTATTTATTTCTGAGAGTACAGCTACTCACAAGGACAACATGACTCACTCCACCACTGACTGCTAGTATGCCTGAATATTTCAACAGTATATGTTGTTTTTACTGGGTGTACTCACCTAGCAGGGGGACTTTGTTCTGTAGAAGTTCATAATAGCCAGAGGTCAGGATGCCCACTGGATTACTAGGAGTGAAGCGCCCTTCCTTAACAAGTCGCTCACATGTTCTCATTAAGGTGGCTGAGAACTGAGAGGGGTCCACGCCGTAGTCTCGCCAACCACCAACGCCATCTGCAACTCCTGATTGACAATGGGGAAATTTCAGTTTAGAAGTTTGCTCTTTTGCCGCTCACCAAAACAAACCTGTTACTGCATTGGCCACTTCAGGTGTTAAAACAACAAGCTTTTACATTTATATCGTGATGGATGAGAATTAAGAAGCATCTATTCTTACAACTCATTTTCTTGAGCAATGTTTTAAGGCATATTGCTGACTGCATATTTAATTCATTTGACAATCTGAAACAGATATCCACACTGCTATACTTCTTCCAACAATGCATGTTTGACCTTGCAACAGTACAGTTACAAATGACGCTCTTAATGGACAGAAATAAGAGGAACAAAAAAGTAGTCAAAACGGCTTGGCAATGTATCAAGAATGACCAGCGTGGCAATGAGTGATGCTTCTTTGTACTTGCGCTCATTAAGTAATCAAAAGATGAGGAGCTTTTGGAAATGTAGAAAAAACAGAGGTCCACACATGCAGCTCTGCATCATCCTCTATTGAAAGCAAACTCTGCTGCTTTTGTTTCACATTGAAACAAATGCCCCTGACATCCTTATACAAAAGGGAATGCTTGCAAATAATAAAGAATACTTATTTTGCAAGAATGCAGAATCAATGCACCTTTCACATTATAATCCAAACACTCAGGTACTGCTGTAGAAACCACTGACCTCAGGTGTGCATTGTCAACATGTTGCGAACAATGATAATCATACATGAGATGTAACTATGGGTTATCTTTTCTCTATTGTAGAAAGTAAGTTATCTGTGTCAATTGAGAACAATCCATACTGTGCATCAGTGAAGTGATGGCCCAGTCATTTAATAATTATATTTTATCACTCTTTGAATTAGCATATTCTCATTCAGTTTGCTTGGTTTACACTTCTGACTTCCTATTAAAATATATAAATAAACTAGGTTTCACACTTAAAATGATGGATAAATAATAATTTCGTGTCTTATTTTTCTCAATTTGTACTGTCCGTGGACTTAACCTGAAAGAAGAAGAAGCTAAGATTAAAGAATATGCGTGCTGGAAATCCCCTGAAATATTCTGTACCAGTTTATTCATTTTCTGTCAGACTCCCATACCACCAGATTCAGGTTGTCATGTGTAACAACACGTGAAGCCTATGAAAATTTTGTCCTACTGAAGTGGCTATATTTTTACTTTATTCCGTCTACGTAATAATTCAGGACTACGTATTGTGATAAAACCCCCAACAATTATGGGTATTTGCCGACGAAGCAACTAACTAATTCAGAGGAATCTGTGTGTGTCGGTCGGGGAGTGAGGACAAAGCAATTACACTGAGCTGAGCTAGCAGGCTACTGAAGCTAGTAGCAATATGGCTGCCTCCATACTCAACCATTCTGACCTTTGCAAGACATTGTAGTAACAAGTCTGAGACGTTGCAAAAGGAGCTTTATCGTCTCTCTAGACTTTTAATCAGCCTAATCCACATCTCCTGGGGTTACACGTTCAATATCTTGCATTGACGCCAAGTACTCTCTAAGTGGAGATCATCTAGGTGAAAGGTCATTCGGTGTTTCACCTTAAATCTACCCGCTATGGGCGCGTTATCCCAGTGTGGGCACAAAATAACATGGTAGCAGGTGAATTTATAACACCGGTCATCAGTTATCATGTCTCCGCGTTAAGATAAATAACGGAATGGTGATCTAATGGTGGCTGCAGGATGAGAAAAGTAAGGGTGTTGTTGGAAGGGGGGGGGGGTTGTTGTGTTTTCATCAGAGGGGTCTCTGCACGTGCAGGTCAGCTAACTGAAGGTCACCTGAGCACAGAGGGTTAGGTGAGTACTTAGAAGATACACACAGTGTTTTAAAATGCAAAACCAGCTTACCCAAAACATCAGCTGCCCTGTGTCGTGCAATGAAGCAAGCATCATCTCCGTAGCACATTCCTTTCTTCAGGATTCCCTTTCTAAAGTCTTTACCGAAACCATAGCTGGCGCTGATCAGGCTGTAGTCCCGACCGTCCGTCTGAGAGAGTCCGCCAAGGACAGCCCTGGCTACCAGTCTGCCATAAGACAGTACGGATAACATCCCCCGCAAAGGAGCTACCCCGTCTTTCAGAGCAAACGCACACACTGTCCCCCCACTCCCCCCTACCCGGCCCGGCCGCCTGCCTGCCTGTTCGGCTGCTTCTTCACTTCAAGTCCCGGCTGTTTCTTTATCCGGCCATGCGTTCCCCCAGCGCCCCGCTCCCGTGAATTGAAAACAAAAACGTGGCTGCTGCAGTCGTCTCTAAAAAAGCCACTGCCGATCTTTTCCCGGTGAACGTAGAGATTATGACTCAGGTAAACATTTCATGAGTTCAGTTCCCCCGCTTGGCTCTCTCCTCACCGACATGTTTCCACTGTGTACCGGACAGACAGCTGCGAGTACATACGGGTGTTTCGCCGTTGACAATCGTGACGTCACAATTCCCGGACATTACCCAATGACAGAGCAGCCCGCAGTCCAGAGGCACCTGCAGTTCCCAGGCCTGCCGAGAGCGAGAGCTCGGCATGACTGAACTGCGCAGGCTTCAGAGGTGCGTTCGTTTTATACAGTCGCACCTGACGGTCGGACGGCAGGGGCGTAGTGATCAGCACGGCAGTTCTTTTAGATGTACAGAATCACTAGAATCAGTTCACTAAAAAGATTCGTTCACCAAATCACCGAATCTTTAGCGAGAGAAGCCTGTGGCTGTGTCCGAAATGGATCCCTAACCTCTATATAGGTGACTGTATGGGGGTTAGCGCCATTTTGAGGGGTGTCTGAAACCTGAGTAATCAATTCCAGTGGCCTATATAGGCAACTGAGAATTTCCCATAAAGCATTGCAAAATGTAGTGACCATCCGATGGTCACTCACCGGTGGTGGGCATCCTGTCATGCATTGCGTCTTGCCATGTAGTGTCTGAAACCTCTGGTGATTGAGTTCACTACATAGTTAACCATATAGTGAAAACCTGTTTGGGGGTTGGGGTTAGGGATTGAGTGATTCATTTCGGACACAGCCTGTGACTCCGACCTCCTGAACTAATACACAGCTGAACGGTTTAGGATTCAGTTCAATTCATGGCTTTTGGGACCAGGAAGAGAGTGTTTGGCTGTGTTGCTTTGCCAAACAGGTTTGTAAAACTGAACTTGTTTATAAGTCATGATGTTTTAAGTGTACTGTCCTATGGTATGCTATTTATCAGGTCTGCTCGGCAAATTGGGGTGAGTGATTCGTTCACTGAACATTTAGAATAATTCACACTGAACATACATTGTTTCTTCACAAACCGCTGCAATGATAGGATGCTGCGGGTTTAATGCACTACTTGTTACATACTGTGTCCTGTTGTATGCAAGTTGTTGTGGTGGAAATTTACCAGTGGAAAAAAAAGGTAGTTTTGTCTGACAAAAATTACTACAGGGAGTGTAGTTCAATGCATGATTCGTTCACCAAGTGATTCAGGCGGCGGTGCATGTAGTCCCTCGTTCGCCAGCTGCTGGCCTGGCAATGTAGTTTCTCACTTCAGCTCAACTGAAGTGAGAAACGAACAAATCACTTGAGGAAGTGATTCGGTTCAGTACGTTCACTTAAATGATTCGTTTTTGAACGAATCGTTCATCAACGGCACAACACTACAACCTCGGCACTGACCTACCCGTTACTTGGTCTATGAAACATTTTTGTGAATATACAAATTAAATTGCCTGTCTTTTAGAAATAAATCTAGACAGTTAGCTCAGATGTAGCTATCTATATATGTGTGATACTCGTCCACACTAAAATGAAACGTTAGAAAGTTAGATACATAAGGGGAGGTGTTGGAGTTACGTTTACTGAGGTCACAGTAAAGTGTTCCCGCCTCCCTTTGCTGGGGGGAACTGCTGCGCATTAAAACGAGCGCAACCCTTTCGGACGGCATCACAACGACAAGGAGCCTGTAACCATAACGGTGCCGTGAGAGGGCGAGAGGACGGCAGCGCATTTAGCCGATCTACCATCGAAACATCCAGAAACGAATCACCGGTTTATGGTAAGCGATAATTCATAAATAACAGATGATAATGTTAAATGAATGTTGGTGCTTATCACCGATTTGAGAGCGTTAATCGCTTAAACGTCAGGGGGAATGTTTAATGTGACGTTATTCATTGGCCTATGTGTAGCCAAAAGGCGGTGCGATGATTGAAAATCTCTGTTTTCACAACAAACACAGGTCTCTCATCGTTTAGTGGTAGTCAGCAAATGTACTTTGTTTTTACATCTCCTTAGATTAAACAATAAATTGTAAGAGCTTCGCTTGTATATCGGTCGAACTCAGTTGTACAAAGACTGTTTTGAAAAGAACATTTAAAGGTACATCCGTCTATTTGATGGCTCATTGAAGTATTTGAAATATGAGACATTTTCCATCGTTTGGCCCTTCTGTTCTGTGTTATGAAAGGCATCCCATGCATGTTGGCCCAGCTGGGTAAACAACAAGGCAATCCATGTTTATTATGCATGATTTTATTTAACCATCGTCTTTTAACATTATTCTCTCAGGGATCATGATGGGGAGGTTGTGTGAGTTCACACTTTTGGTCCTCCTTTCCATATTACTACTGAACACTGAGTCCACATGGGCTAAGAGAGGAAGCAGCAGCAGCAGCAGCAGCAGCAGTAGTAGTAGAAAAACATCGTCTACCAGCAATAGGGGTGGGTCACATTCAAAACCATCCAGCTCTCAGCCAGCAAGCTATCCACGGCAGCCACAAAGTCCCAACCGCAACTCCAATCCATATCCCGGTGGTGGAAGTTACCCAGGAGCTGGTAACACTAATCCAGGAGGAAACCCCAGACAAAACCCACCAAGTTATCCAGGAGTAGGCAACAGTAATCCTGGAGGATACCCCAGACAAAACCCTCCAAATTATCCAGGAGGTGGTAGTTACCCTAACCAGAATCCAGCGAGAGCCAATCCTGGAGGGTATCCAAACCAGAACCCAGCAGGAGGTTATCCAGCAGCAGGTGGGTACCCAGCAGGATATCCCAACCAAAACCCAGGTAGAGGGAATTATCCAGCAGCTGGAGGCTACCCAGCAGGTGGAAGTTACCCCAATCAGTATCCAGGCAGAGCTGGTACCAACCAAGGGGGATACCCCAACCAAAACCCGGCTGCAGGAGGCTACCCAAACCAATATCCAGGAAGGAACTATCCCAATCAGTACCCAGCAGCAGGCGGCTATCCTAACCAGTACCCAGCAGCCGGTGGTTACCCAGTCAGAGGGGGGAACACAGGACAGGGTTGGGGTCAGGGTGGTATGAATCCAGGGGGTTACCCTGGTGGCGGGTACGGTGGTGGGTACGGGGGTGGGTACGGTGGAGGGTACGGTGGTGGTTATCCAGGTGGTCAGCCCAACTGGAACCCTAATAATAAAATCCTAAGTCCCCGCTACGGTGGAGGAGGCTACGGATATGGGGGTTATGGGATGGGTGGGTCACCCTTTTCTCGATCAGTTCAGAGTATGGGATACCAGCCCAAGTCCTCAGGTTTTGCAAAGAAAGCTATGTTAGCAGCAGGTGTTGGTGCAGTAGCTGGAATGGCTGTAGGATACGGTCTGGGGCGCTTCCCTCGACCACATTTCAACTTCCGCAGCCCTGAAGAAGAGCAGTACTACAACAGCTACATGTACCGCCAATATGGCACCAAGTCCACAGACCAGAAAGACTATGGTCGTGATTATGTGTACAAGCCCCCACCTCGGGCACAGTCATATGATGCCTTCATGGATAAATGCATGAATGAGACCGCCCCTCCCAAAGATAAGAGTAGCACCACCTCTGGAAGTCAGGGTGGTGGTGATGAAGATGACGACACTGTCAGCATTGAGGAGATCGGATACCCATCCCTCATTTCGCAAGTAAAAGCCCGGCGCTGTGTTGAACAGTACATGGCATACTCTGAGCGCTTTCTGGAGGAACGAAAAGCTGAACAACAATTTGCATCACCTGGTGGAAACAGCCCCCCGAGCTACAGCATGATGCAGCTCTTCTCCTCTCTCTGTGTGCTAATGTCCAGCATGCTCCTTCTCCAGTAAAAACAGGTACCCTTCCTTTCACCCCAGCGAGCCCAAATGGATTTCTACTTCCTCCATTATATCTGCACGTCCATATAGTGCTATTATCCTCTTTGTAAATCAATAGCTGTACACTTTCAAGCTTTTCAGGTTGGTTAATCCTTTACTACATTACTAAAAAGTAACAAGATAATGTGTATATAGCTACAAAGTGAGTTAAAACTCAACTTTGTCAGGTCAACAGTTATGTGACGTACAAGCTGCACTCAGATTTTATTTGTCTTTTCTGTTAATTTGCACTTTTTACTAAGTACGGTTATTTTACATTATTGTGCACTTATTGCATAAAGATTTTGGAGTTTTGAGTTTTTTTCTCTCTCACAGTTCAATGTGACACTGCTGTTATTTTAGACGAGAATGTAAAGTGAAGTGTTTTATGTACAATAACATCCAACAAGTCATTCCAACATTTTAGTGATTCAATTGATCGAAATTTTTATTTTTATCCTTTGTGTGAAAACCATGATTTTACTTCAGTTTTGACAAATTTTAACAAAAGTATAGAGAAATTGTATTTGTTTTTTTTACTAGTAATTGCTTAACACATTTATCTGTGGTGAAATTCAGCCATTTGGGACGATTCAATATTCTTTGATCAAGGGTAATTTAAAGTAATCAAACCTGATGTTAGTTTCCCATTGCAAGATGCTATCTAGAACTATTTTATGAAAAGGAAAGCACCACTTTGATTTCTCTCAATGAAAAACAAGATGACTCAACCATGGTGGGAAATATTGGATGTCCAATTTTCTGTATTCCAATCATAACACTGAAATACTTTCATGATACCATGAGTAAATAATAGCCATACTTCTCAGGAACATAATATGACACTCTTTTTTTATTTATCTGTATCAGGCTTCATCTAATGGGTCGTTTCATGTTCATGTTGACTTGAAGTTTTGCAGTTCTGTGCAATGCTAGTTTGGTAAAAACTGGGATGAGATTGATGTTTGGAAATGATGTACTGGCTAACTCTGCTGTTTATTTATATAACACTACACTCATCACAGTCAGTCTTTAATGGCCGTTCTTACGAACAGTCAGGGCAGATTTACCCTGTTACCAGAATCACAGGCTTAAAAATAGTGGAGAATACATAGGGTGTTGCCTCACTACTGTAATGGTTTGGAGAGTCCAGTGCTTGGTGCCAACCCTGGAAATACTTGTTCAAGTCCTTCCTTAGGGAATCTCAGTCTTTCCGGACTAATTTTCTGGGTTTGAGCGGGTAAACACATCTTTGGGTTTTTCTCCAATGACTTAATTCCACGGCTTCCTTAGGGGGAAAAAAGTTTTCCCTTTTCTCTCAAAGGGAGCTCAGTTGACCTTTCACTCCATGTGGGTTGTGACATTGTGTATAGTGTGATTTATATGTACAGTACAGATTAATTTCTGATTTCAGCTCATGTTTTTTAGCTGGCTGCTGCATTTTTCCTTATTTATCTCATGGTTCTTTAAAAGCATATTGTGATTATGTTTGGATTGTACTACCTAAGTGATGGTTTTTCAAGCTATGGTAAGATAGTCTAATGTCAAAGGCATTTTCACTGAACCTTTAAATTCAGATTAATCACTGTTACAAAGTGGTAGTTTATTCAGTTAAGTCTATTGTAGTGCTGCTCAAAAACAGATTGCACTAAACAGTATATCTGTTATTGGGTTTGCAGAGATGTTCATGCATCGTATTATTTCTTCTCCTCCTTATTGCATGTTGCTCCCATCTGCCCATTTTGGCAAACCATTTTTAAATAGATTTTGACATTTTCATACAGTCTTGGTTGTAATATCTGTAAAGTGCACTTATTCCCTTTAAGGATAAGACAATTTTCAATGTCATTGAGCCCATGTTCTGGTGGACCTACTGCTTGAATTTTCTGAACATCACTTGCAAATGTAAACACTCTGGATTATTCATAAAGTACTATGACTAGTTTGGTTTGCCTTGGATGTTAATGTGTTTAATAAAATCACTAACAAAAGAGTGGCTTCTCTCTTTCTCAATTAAGTTAATTTAAAAACAGTCACATATTCATCACCTTATTAACAAAAACAGTGAACAACATTGTTTCCCAGTAAACTACTCAACTACAAAAAAATTCACATAGATTTGGTTGAAAAAAAAAAAACAACCTTCGACATAAGCAACATTCTGCATCTCAGTTTTATATTTGTTTAACCTTTATTCAACCAGGAAATATCTCATTGAGATTAAGAACCTCTTTTTCAAGGGAGTCTTGGCCAAGAGGCAACTATTAATTTATAATTGTTTACATCTGCCTGTCATAAAAGTACAAACAGGCCTGTTGTTTGCTTAAAAAGGGGACTTTTTGGTGCTAAGTCATTCTCACACCAAGAATCTGAGCTGTGTTGATAGTTACTTTTACAGGAAATATCTGATGTCCTCAGATAACTATGATACACACACACAAATAAAACATTTTTCACACTGAGAACTTCTGATACTTCAATTATAATGACCATACAACACAGGCTGCAGTGTGAAGGAGATATGGGAGCTTTAAGTGGGCTCTGTTTGTCACTGGCCACCAAAGCCTGTAGAAGAAGAAAATGAACTAATGACTGCGCAAAGATTGATGGCCATGTCTCCATCTTCTCAAACAAAGTCACTGTGTGGCAGGTGATAGCATCTTGAGCATTCAGACCAGAATCTGCACAGTAAAAGTCCGCTGGTATTTTCCCACTCCTCAGCAGAACGTACTTTAACTCACTACAGGAATACAGGACCTGCATTTTTCTATAGAGGTGCTAATCATGGCACGATAGTCTTTTCTGTAGTATCATTTGACATGTTAAAACTCAAGCTTTTTAGTTTGAGTAATGTCATTTGAATACATGGTTGAAGTCAGCCTTGTGACTTAAACTGCAGCCTGTTAGAGGAGGTTGTTCATAAATTTTTGAAGATAGTGGTTTTTGTTTTGGCTGTAAAATGCTGAACTTTATCACTGCAGACCATTCAAAGACATAACCTCACATGCAGTTGATAGCCGAAAAAATGAACATGGACAATCACAATGACTCTCTGTTAAAAATACAACAAACAGACAGGATAATTTGTTCAAGAAAGCTTTTATTTCAGTTGTTTGGTTAATAAATGCCATGGATCTGTTGTATTACATGCCTCTGATCCAGGCTGCTACAAGCAAAAACATGACATGTCCCAGAGTGAGGAAGATGTCGGGAGCAGGGCCCCCAGTGCTCGCACTGATTGTCCACAAAGTTTCATTGTAAAATCCTTGGGGGTCCTCATAGTAAAGCTGATGATTGTACTTGGAAGAGGATGACCCATGATGACCCACAGATCCGTGCTTGGAATGACCGAGGAGCCCCAGCCCAGTGCCTGTGCCCCCCAACGCCCCAGCTGCTACTGCTGCTGCCCCAGCCAACTTCAGACCTTGCTTCGGGAGGCCGTGGCCCTGGGAAGAGGGTTCTTTGTTGGTGCTTTCTTTTCCTCGACTCTTAAAAAAGCCTCCACGTCGTCTACCGTACACATACTGAGCACCTGGGCAAAAAGCTGCCATGATCAACAGACAGAGCCAGAGTGAGAGGAGCTTCTGCTGGCCCAACATTTCTGCAGATCTGAAAAAGATCAAAGTGCAAGTTCATATATTTGAAAAATAAAGACAAAGTTGGCTGTGGAGTCTGTTAGCTGTCATTCAAACTGGCTTTTGAGGCTTTTGATTGAGCTCACTGAACACCCAGAGGCACATGATCACCACCACCACCTAAACAACACACATCAGGAACTTTCCATAGTCTGGTCAACACTGGGATTAGCTGTGTGTTTGTGTGTGATGCATATGACTCGCTGTATTGATGCATACTTTTTCAACACTACATTGACTCCAGGTGCAACAAAATTTAGCAAAGATTTATTATGAAGCATTTGCAACTATCTGAACATTTTATCTATTATTTCAAGAAGGTTTAGTACATTGATTTAAACCAGTATTGAATATATAACAGAAAGACAAGGGATTACAGAATTAAGTTAATGTGTCTTTACCTTCTTGTATGGTCGCACAGAGAGGTTGTGATGCAGGAACGGCAGTCCTCTGTTCAAACAGCTACACTTGTAGCGCAGCACAGAAGCATTTGTGTATATCAACCATCTTCACTCAAACATCATTCATGCATCAGAGGCAGCAAGACCCCTCCCCTAAAAAGCCTACCCTGCCATTGGTTCAATCAATAATACAGCACAAGTTGAATGATTTTAGCTGATGGAGGCAAATCACATACAGTTTGGACATCTAGATTTTTCCGTAGAAGTCTGTAGAAGTTATCATCCGTGTGTTTACAATCCAACATGAAGTTAAAGTCTCTGTGATAACTGGTCCTAAAGCAGGGGTAGTGTTTGATATTTTTGATACTTGATATCAACAAAATAACTGCATGGACAGAAGCAGAAAGCAGTTGCAAAGAAAGATACAAAGGAAGTGCTGAGGCCTGCGAGGGCATCAGTCGACACTTAATGTAGTTATTTCTGTTTCTTCCATTTCTCTGGGTCTTTTTGAGGGGTTGTCATGTTGTCCATCTTATACAGTCTATGGCTGTTCCTGAAATTGCATATCCTACTTTTCATACAAAGTGTCAAATCACATTAAGTATCTCACATGGTTTCAAATCACAGTATGTCATTTATTGCATGCAGACTAGAGGGGATTTTAGACATATAACAGTCATACTCTACTGCTCCCGAAATGCATTGTCACTCTTCAAATTTCTTACCTTTGTGGAGCTCCCTACAAGCAACATTCAAATTCATGTGCTAAGAAATGCATTATATTTTAACGCCTGAATGAATGCATTGAAATAAATGTTTGTGTACAGAAGCTGAATTCTTCTTGCATTCCAACAGATGTCAGCTTTCCCATCATGGCTTAAACCGGACAGATGGGATAAATTGAGTGGTTTTACATGGAGAAGAAGTGCATCCACTGCAAAGGTTCAACTCTGGCAAATGTTTTTGTCTTATTTCTGGTTTTAGAAAATGTTTTATTAGACTTCATCTAAGCTTAGAAGTATTGATCACATAAGTTATTGAATATATTAGTGTCAAACAACAGGATTCAACAGAGTCACTGTTTCCATGATGATAGAATTACTCAGGCCTTCTTATTTTCAGTTGTGTCTGTTTCGTGCCTCCATCTAGATCTTTCAGATAGTTGGTCCACTTCACACAAGTAAACAAGAACAAGAGTAACAGAGATATTCAATATAAGTGCAAGAGCTAGAGGACGTAAACAGGAAGTGAAGACAACGGCTCAAATGAACCGAAGCAGTCATGAAGTCCTTTTCAGTCCATTTCTTTACGACATACCAAGACTATGAAAACACAAAATAGGACAGTTTGGTGGACGCAGAACAAAAAAGAGGATTGTTCATAAAGAGACCAAACTGATATAAACAGGGAAAATGCCTTAAGGGGGCCCCTTGACTCTTCCCCTTTGCTTTCTACCATGCTGACATGTTCTACAAAATTACTTTGAGGGCACAGCCGCGATAATTGTCAGTCTGTTCAGTTTCACACTAACAAAGGCTCTACACATGGCATGTACAGTCATTGTTGAGACATTTGATCCAAGCTCAAATACAGGGCATCTCAGGATATCATGTACTACACATTAAATTAAGCATAGTGTAAATATGATCCTGTATTTGTTTTGGAAAATGAACTGTATATACAGATTTCTGTCTTGTATGTTTTCCATGAGAAAACTGCTGCAAGGCAAACAGAGAAAACTTTACATAATGGCATTTTTTCACACTGAGATCATCTAAAAAAAAAGGATGTCATTATGTGAAGGTTTACATTTATTTCGGCATACTTTGAGTCAACATGACAGTGACTTGGTATCACATTTACACAAAAGAACTAAAAAGACAACAACTCTTTTCTTTACATTATTGTATAAAAACAAATCACATCCTTATTTGCCAAAGATGTCAACACTGAACCCGCTTATTAGTTCAAAGTGGTTTGCATCACATGCTTTTAAATGCTGGGAAAATACTCATGCTCATCTGGAAATGATGACGTCATTATTCACATTTTTTCACAAACTAAAACCATGCAAAGAAACATGTGCTGTTCAGGTGATTTGGTGAGTTATGCTCATCTCTCTGCATAGAACAGCTGAACAGGGAACAAAATAAAGTGGTCACCAGTTTGTTTTTAAATGTGTCAAATCTGCTGCATGACCCAGATTTTCCTTTTCAGGATGAATTAAGTTGTTTTTCCGGCCTGGGAGCTTGCAGATGGAAGCGCTGTGCATGGCATTGTGGAGCCATATCCATTAGCAGGGACTAGATGACATTTTCAAAGAGCTGCATGGAGGCCATTATATTTTCATCCTGTTTACAAGAGAAAACAGATTTAGAGGCAACTCTCATGTTTGAGCGTTGAGCTGCAAAAACAGGCTTTAAAACTGTTTGGGGATGGGTTTACCTTTTGGCAGGTCTCTATGAATTCATCGATTGTCACCACTCCATCTCTGTTCCGATCCATCTTCTGAAATATGTAAGAAAAGCCAAGCAGTATTAACTTTTTCCTTTGTGTTTATGAGTGTTTGATTTTGTTGAGTTTTTGGTTGTAAAAGAAAAGGTTGGTATACCTTGAAGAATCTCTCCACATGCTCAGATGGCGAATCGTCACGTACACTGGGTAAAGTATACCTGCCCATCATGTCATATATGGACGTCATTATTGCCATCATTTCCTGCAGAAAAACAACAGAGAATCACAGCACAGATATAAGGATGAGGCAGAAATCTTTCAACATGTTTAAATGAGAAAGAATGATCTGTTACCTCTTTGGTAACGTAGCCATCTTTGTTGATATCGTACAGGTTGAATGCCCATCGCAGTTTCTCTGTGACAGAGCCTCTGAGCAGCACAGACAGTCCAATCACAAAGTCCTGTAAAAGTTATAGGACATTTCTTCCAACTCATCTTAAAGGGATATTCTGGCGTAAAATTAAGTTAGAGTCAAACACACCATAACATCGAGTTAGACACCCCGTCGAGGGGTGAATGTTGCCAATTGCTGGCTTCTCTAGTTATACCAACTTTGGTAATGACCGCAGATAGCAATACACAGAGCCACGTGCTCAACCAAAATGCCCTTCTATAGCCACAAATACTGCTCAGAACAGCACCTAACTTCATCAACAGTACATACAGGGTCCCAGCCACAGCACTAGTCACCAAAGATCTTTTTAGCTTTGCCTGGTTACTTCAGCAAAGAGACTTAACACAACTCACCGTCTCTCTTCCAGCAGCCGCTTGTTTGAACAAAGACCTCCGGGCGAGTCCATCGACTGCAGTGGGGTGACACAGCTCAAGGAAGAACATTTATCATTTCTTCATGGAAATGCAATCATAGCCTGGCTGGGCCATCCAGTTGTGTGAATCACTTGCCGTTCCTTCCCACAACAGTCTAGACTTCGGCCAATTGGGAGCCCTAAAAGCGGGCGGGAGTACTTTCCTTGATAGACAGACTACTGTAACCAATCACCGTAACCAAACATCTGACGACATCACAGTGCGCAACTGTGTTCCCTGCTGGACTCTCAAGCATCAAGTAAAGGTTTGGTAATATTTCAACGTGTGCAAGCAGACAATGTCTTTAACGTCTTCTTCCGCGGATATAAACGATTTCTGCCGACTTTGCAAAGTCAACTACAGAATTAACGGCGTTCTGAATGAATGGCACTTTGAAAAGTCCCGCAGCATGTGTTAGACGTCACCATCTACACATGGACCAATCAGGGGCTGCCTTTCCCTGTTGTCCGGGGAACAGTGGAAACACAGTCACTGATTGGCCCGGTTATTTTCTGATTTCTAATACTCGCTCCCAATTGGCCGAAGTCCAGACTGTTGTGGGAAGGAACGGAGAGTGATTCACGCAACTGGATGGCCCAGCCAGGCTAATGCAATCAGACCGAGACGCCAAGGTAGAAGAACTACTGCGTCTGCAGTATAAAATGATTTACATGATGATTGTTACTTCAAGGAAATGATAAAGAAATGATCATAAATGTTCCTCCTTGAGCTGCGTCACCCCGCTGCAGTTGTGATGGACTCGAGGTCTCCGTACAAACAGGCGACTGCTGGAGGAGAGTGGGTGAGTTGTGTTTAGTCTCTTTGCTAAAGAAATTAGGCATGTTTGGTGGCTAGTGCTACGGCTGGGACCCTATATGTACTGTTGATGAAGTTAGGTGCTGTTCTGAGCATTATATGTGGCTATGGAGTGGTGTTTTGGTTGAGTGCGTGGCTCTGTGTATGGCTATCTGAGGTCGTTACTTAAGTTGGTATAACTAGAGAAGCCAGCAATTGGCAACATTCACCTCTCGACGGGGTGTCTAACTCAACGTTACGGTGTGTTTGACCCTAAATTAATTTTACGTCGGAATATCCCTTTAATTTGTCAAAATGTCATATGTGATAAATGAATGCGGAATATCAGATGTGAACAAATATTCAGCTCAACTCACCTCAAACCTGATGGATCCACTTCTGTCACTGTCAAAAGCGTTGAACAAGAAATGTGCATATGTGGTAGCATCTGTCATCAAAGAATGAAAAAGAGGAAGATAAGAAGAAGAATAACTTTGATTTATCCCAGAGGGGAAATGTTAGTTCACATTAGATACAAACTGTACCTCCTTGAGGGAAGAACTGGGAGTAAATGGTCTTGAACGTTTCCTCATCCACAAGCCCACTGGGACATTCCTGTTGAAAGACAATAATTAGAAGATAATTTAAAGAAGACAACAGGTGTCAAATTTGCATTGACTCAAAAATTCAGACAAAAACTACAACAAAGTAAAATAAAACCCAGTGAGTGCCATTATTGTGGTTTAGCTTTGTATGATAAGAGGGCTACAATACTGCCATACCAAGCCAGAATGCAGTAACTGCACATACTGAATGGAAATATACAGCTTATACAGTGGATTATGATAATACAAAGCCAAACTAAATTAGGTGCAGTTTCTGCTCCTTACTTTAGTATTGTTGTCAAGGTCAGTAACAAAAACATTCAACTTCTTCTAGAAATTACACCAGCATCACACTTACAGCAGTAGAGACATAAAGCCACTAGAGGGCAGGAGAACTGCATGTTCAATTCCAGAAGAAATTTGAGTGTAACTTATTTGTAATATAGTATGTAAACCACAGTGACTAAATCTTTTTTCATCTCCTGTTTGTTTAACGGAGAAAATGCAGAAAGAAGGATCTTTTGTTCCCCAAACAGTGAATAAAATCCACTCCACTGAGGGTCACTCTGGAAAAGTGAAACTTGAAATGTTTTGTCTTTAGCAATTTCTTGTCAACATAGAAGCCTGCACCTCGAGCAGAGGGAACATTTGAGCCTTCACAGGCAGAAATGGTGAGTCACATGTGATAGTTTTACCCGTCAGGCTGTAAAGGATGTCAAATTGAAATAAGTATTTATGCATAGTACTTCATTACAACAGAATATACAAAGGAAAACATATCCTTGTATATTGGAGGCCTATTTTACTCAAAACTGGAGTGAGATGCTGAATAAATCTACTGTTGTGGCAGTAGAAAACATCTGGAATCTGGGATGAACAAACTGACATCAAGTAAGAGGATGAATAAAGTACAGCCTATAAAATTAATGTTTCAAATTACACTTGTTCTTTACTCCAATTGCTACTACAAGTCATAATGTCTGCTGTTAAAATCTCCTGCAGTATTACTCACAGACACCATGTGAAGATTTTATTACAGTTTGGTTTACTCTTTCTTACCACACCTCATTATGTGTATCCTTCAGGTCACAGAAACCTCATAAAGCAGCTGCAAGCTTCATTTTAAAGACTGTTAAGGCTGCTTTGTTTACATCAGCATGCGGTCTTCTCCTTCTCCTCTTTAATGGCACTTTGCAACCTCTAATGGCACATTACAGTCACGAGTTGTCGATATACATTATCTGCATCGGAGGTTGGCCTAATTATGAGCTACGTCATTCTTTAGTTTGTGCATGAGTTAGAGAACACATAGTTAAACCAAAACAAGAAGTAATGAGCAGCAAAACCTAAAATATTGAGGCTAACTCTAAGTACCAAAACCTGCAGTTTCAGTGGCCTCCTGAGGATGGCTCCTCAGAAAAGTCCTCCCCCCTTTGGCCCCAATTTATGAAAATATCAAAATTCACGACTGAATTAAAGTTTCTCATCAAGGAGGTGAAAAACAAACAAAGTATACTTTCTTTTTTGAGTTACCCGCTGGACAGAAAACAGTGTTTATTTTCGATCGATTACATCAAATCATTTCCTCTACAGTACCATTTGTGGTGTACCTCAAGGATTTGTACTTGGGCCACAATCCTTTTTAATTAAACATTTATGGTTTATGTAATATTTCAAGTGAGCTAACCAAGATGTTATTTGCTTATGGCATAACTAAATAGCTTAAGTCCTAAACAAGGAACTCAGAAAGATAGGTGAGGGTTAAATTTTTGTACCTCCCAATCACATCTTTTCTCGTCTTAGTGCATGTCAGCCTGAGGTGCTTATATAAGTGTAAACCAATAAACTAAGTACATGTGTTTAAAGTAGTCTATAATCAGCTGAAGGTAAAAATTCTTTCCGCGCTAACAATACAATTTTAATTTGTTTTTTGACTCTGTTTAGCACTTTGAATTGCTCTACCTGTGAATGGTTCTTTACAAATAAACTTGCCTCACTTAGCCTAACATTATGCAACTTGCAAGGATTTATGGTGTTCAACCTATCCTTGCAGACACAGTGTGCATCTACATCTTTTGGTCAGTGGGGTCAATAGAAGAGTGATTTCATTGTAGATGTTAAATTCAGATGTCAGTCATTATGTTTTACAAACGTAACCCTATGTATGCACAAACTAGAGCACATTGTGTGTTGACAATGTAATTTAACTCACATAGAAAGGTTGGGCCATTTAATGAAAAACCTTTAGTTTATCTACCATTAAATTTGGTGTATTAGACACACTTTTAGTATATGTTCTTGCTATCTAAAAAGTCAGCTGTAAAAAGCATGCATTCTAAGACAACAAGGTATGCTGTCAGTAAATAAATCTATGTGGCACGCTGAAGAAAAAAAAAGAGACCACAAATGACCAGCAGAGGGGGCTGAGATTTGTTACCTTAAGTTGGTCCTCCCATGTAAGCTGAAGCTAATATGCTCACACGGTTTGTCTGTACCTCACTACCAAACTCAACCTTTATAGAGCACAACTGTTTGCACAGTTGCACATAAACTGCACATTGTGAGCTTTACTGAAAGCACTGGAAGATTTATAGTTTGTACAGCTTCTCTCTGACATTCTTAACTCTTAAAAAACCCCGTCACTCTGGGTTACATGCCTACTGTTAGGGGATTAAACAAAGCTTTAACATATTCAAAGATTTCCTACATTTTTGAAGCCTCTGTAGAGTGACTGCAGCTCCTTTCTGGTGAACTGAGTCTGGGCTTGGAGCTGGTCAAGGCCCTCGGGTTGATGACGCACCATGGAAAGCTCAAGGTCACCGTCACAGCTGTCTGTTTACAGGAAACAGAGAAAACAAGGAGAAAGAGGGTGGAAAGAAGGGAGGGGACGGAGGGAGCGTGGTAGGAGGGAAATACTAGTAAGACTAGAAAGAAAGAAAAAGGGGAATTGGGAAGGGGGGAGTTGAAAGTACTACAAAATAAAACTGATAGGATCAAGGGGCACCTTTGGAGTTCAAAAGTGAAGCTAATCATACAGTGCAATAGACTGCAGTTCCTTGATGGTCTATTTAAGACTGGATCCAAATGACAGGAGAACTCTGATAGATTTAAACCCCCATGTTGACAGCCTGGTGAAAAAATGGTTTTAGTCTCTATTCCTCAAATCTTTACCTACAACTATACAGGAGATGAGTTTTCACTGTAGTTCATCCACTTTTAGGAGGTATAGGTAAACAGATATAAACAGGGACATGGCTAACGATAGGGTGGGTCAAAGCCATTTACCAGGCAGTGAGGCTATGGTTGTAGCTACATCTCACTTCATCAAAGTAACTCAGAAACTGCATTTTAATGTGCCGCCATTTTTAAGCGTCATTACACCTCCTCAGAAACCCGTAGGTGATGTCATTCAAATCACGTCCATATTTTTACAGTCCATGGACGTGAGGCAGAAAATCAAAACGTCTGCGTATAACTGAAAATGCTCACCATCTTTACACACGTCAAATTATAAAGAGGAAATCAAAAATGGAGAGGTTAAAGAAGGAAGGTGAGACAAGGAGGACGGGGAGATACGAGATTATAAGAGTAAATCATGCAAAGAAAGAAGATGAGACAAAGGGAAACGTGGAGATTACCTTTTTATTGAGAGTGGGAAGAACTTATTAGCAAGAAAGAGGCAACTTTGAATGGAAGATGGGTTGATCAGAGGAAAGAAGTGTGGAGGAATAACGATTCATTTAGCTAACAAAAAGACCCTTTTTTAAGTTGGACTCTGAATATATCCAGCCACTCTCTTTTTACTATTGTATGACTGCATCTTAAAACACAACAATAACATAAACATTTGTCCAGTTTCTTTCATTCATCAACTATGCAATAATTTCCATTTTAACCCTCACATACTGTTCGGGTCAAATTTGACCCGTTTTGACTTTTAACAGCAGTAAAAATACCCTAAACATCATTTTTTAAGCCTGAAACTTGATGACTTTTCCTGAAATAACCCAAAATACACGAAATTAATTTAAAAATATTCATGTGTATTTTTGTTTATGTGGTACAAATTTTTCCCCTCTAAGGCTGTTATGGGTCAAATTTGACCCTTATCTATATTTAGATGGATTTTAGATCTAGCAGTGTGGGATAAGTGACAAACAGTAACAACAGTGTTCAATATAAGGTTTGTTGTTCAAAAAGATATTTTCAAATCATTATGAAACTATCATTACCTTGACAGAAACACACACACGCACGCACACAGACATACAGTCACACAGACACACCTAGACAGAGGTCAAAATGACCTAACTAGTCAAGAGAACTTTCTGTGACAGAGAGCTGCTCTTTGAACTCTTTGAAGGGGCAATTTTGACCCGGAACATACTGTGAGGGTACAGGATTTGAACAGTATGTGAGGGTTAATACACAGATTTTATCAGATGTTGTCATGCTCATGTACAAAACTGCAACTGAACAAAGTTTGGTTACATTTTTATGTCAATTGTACATAGTGCCTATCTACCTGTCCATGAAGATGCATTTGAAAAGCTCTTTAGTGCAACTTAGATATAGAAAGTAAACTAAGAGTGATGTCAGACACAGTCTCTCATAAATCAAGAACACTGAAAGAGCTTCATTTAGGTGTACTCATCAGTTATCTCATAAAAAACCCTGTGTCTGCAGTGAGTGTGCAAGGGGGGAAAAGTTCATAAAGACGATCAGGATGTGACAAAATAAAAATAAAACAATCACAGAAGGAACTTAACCATACTCACCATCTTCACAAGAACAAAATATGAATGGGATGTTAAGAGGAGCAGAGCAGGAAGAGGTGGAGAAAAGGTGATGGGGGGGGATGCAAGAGGGAGAAGAAAGTCACAAAACTGTTAGAATAAGTGGCGTCATATAAACATTTTATTAACAGAAAATGCCCAACAAGAACTATATTTTCTTTTGTATTTTGAGAACTTGGTTGTTGTTCATGTTCTTGAAAAAAATCAATAAAATCTATTCGCCCAACAAAGGGAGGAGAGTGTCCAGGTAACATGAGAAACTTTACAGTTAGCCGAACTTTGAGTTAACAGCATCAAAAAACGATAAAGTTTAATATGATTTTTTTTTCTAATGTTACAGACCAAGGTTTTAACATCAAATGTTATGATTTAATCTCTCCAAAGTTTCATTTCAGCCTTACCTTCCAGTGATAAGGGCTCCCATATCCCAAACTGTTTGAGCACGATAACAAACAGACCAATGACCACAACAATGGCAATTATTTCCATGCCATCCAGTCCCATTGTTGCCTTGCATTAGATATCGCCTTTTTAAAACTTTAGTTTTAAGAGGATGAAATAAAGCTGACACTGAATCAGATAGAACAACATGTACCCCCAAACATCACCTGCTGCCAGTCATCTTCTTCCACCACCTTTTAATCATGATTTTAAACTGGAATGGCTCTTATATTCAACCTCTGACTACTGAGGAGGAAAAAAAGCTAACTGAGACTTCAGAGCATCTTCGTTCAGGCAAACTGGTCCAAAGTCCATCATGTGTTCTTGCAAAAAGTATCAAACAGGTAAAGTTTTAAGCTCCATAAACGCTCCCCTTGCACAAGATCCATCTCTGTTTCTACATGTCCGTATTTCTCGTCCCAGGGTCTGCAACTCCATCAACTCTGGGACTCCACCTCCACTCGCTCCATCTCCTCTTATTGTATCCTGAACTCTGCATGTGCGTGTGTGTGTGTGTGTGTGTGTATGTTTGAGGTTATTAACAAAGAAATATCTTTACTAATAGTCTCTGATTGACAGGCCACGCTGTCTTTTATTTGCTCAGTCATTTCAAGGATGTAAAGCTGTAAAACCAGGCATTGATCCATGTTTGCTGATGGCTGGGAAAGAATACCACTTAGGATGGAGGAGCCAGCCCAGCCCTGTGTGGCGCTGCCTGTGTCTACTGGGTCATTTGGCAGAGCGGGCAGTCAATAACTTGGAGGGTTGAAACACTGTGACCGGTGTGACCATAAAACTGGTGCTCTGTTTAAGATGTCGCAGTTAAGAATAGAAAAGTCAAAGCGTTTTTCTAACTGAGGACCATAACTGCTCTGAGGTCAGATTTAGCTCCTGCATCTTCCATCGTACTGTTAAGAGTTTTGATGTTGAGATTTGAGGCAGTCTTGGTAGTATTGTGCTGTGCTGTAAGACAACAAGAGTAGAGAAGTGAATGTCTACAGTTCACAACTGATGACTCTGCACAACATAATGCACTGTGTTGAGGAAGGATAGGTGGGTGGAGTGCAAATCAATTGTCTAGAGTTAAAATACTGGTCTTAGGACAGGCAGAGAAAGTGGGCCAGAAATGCATTTGGATACCAAGGGAGGGTTTATGTAAATGGACTCACCCTTAATGTCTGAATGTCTTAATCAGCCGCTGAAGTAACAAAGGAACTGGGTTAGTACTACTCTGGAAACAAAGGAGATATTCTACATGGCAGCAGAGTAGCAGCATACTGCACTAAGGCTTACATTTCTACAACAAGAAGAGATATTTATGGGGTACTAAGTCAATATAATTAAATACATTTAATACAAAATATCATGGTAGTTGGTATTATGGTGCATATCTACTAAAACCTAAGGGTGTAAAGATTCATCAATCTGAACCAGTGTTGACGTCTGAAATTTTAGAGCACCGGTCAGTGGCACTCTGGACAAGTTAAAGTGTTACACAAACCAGTTGATATTCCAATTTTAAAGTATTATCTGGTTTATTTAGGTCTCAGGTCTCCATGCTTTGTTTGGCATATTCAGCCTTGTGAGATTCAGAAGATGTGTCAGAAGATCCTAATGCAGGATCTAATGAATGACTTTTTGCTGACTATTTGTTGAAAGATTTCTGAACGTTACTCAGGACACCTGAGATGGAGAGATTCAGCTGAAATTACCTGCTCTGTTGTGATCTGTATTAACACTCACAGTCTGCTTTTTGCCTGATCAAATCATCAAGTTGTAACTAGATTAGATAAGACAGATACAACTTTATTTATCCTTTTGGGAAGGTTCCCTCGAGGAAATAAAAAAAAGCTGTTATTTAACTCAAGATAACCCTCTGAAATAATCTTATAAGAGTTTACAGAGTGTGAACTGTGGGATCAGAAGCATTGAATTCAAAAGAATAGTGGTATAACTGGTTCTCTTGTGCACACAAATGTGTATCTTTGATGTGCATGTTAGTCCTGCCTCTTCAGACCAAACACACTCAGCCATTACACCAACATGCAAGATGCATGAACTCATGTGGGAACGTACCCGCCATAAAAATAATGCAGCATAATACTGTTTAATGCACCTTAAGTGCTGATCTGCCCCCGCTCTTCTATTAAATACAGACAAGAGTGAGGTGGCTTATGCATGCAGAGATGCAGACAGTGCAGCCATCAGTCGAACCATCAGGTTTTAATGCTGCAGTGAAAGCCACATTACAGCTCAGGGCCCGAGCTCATCAATCACAAACTGTCACACAAGTTCTCATCAGACAGTTAAACACCCTGAACTTTGCTCTCTCTCTCAGCCCTTTACCAATGAGCTCTCTTTACGCTCCTCTTCTGAATGAGAACTGCACACTAGACTGTACTTTGTTTTTGAATAAGAACCCTTTATGGAGAGATTTAACCACTCATACATCTTGTACCAATCACATAGAGTGGAGGGATTTCATCTGCTTTTATGAATCAGTTTGCCCAGCTTTAGCATAGTATCCATTATTTTTCTTATTTTGATCATACCAAACTTGAAGCTATTTAAAGACGGCTTTACTGTACAGGCTGATCTGATTTGACAGAAGGCATGAGTGTTTTCTCTAGTTATCATAAAACATCTCAGTCAGTTCCCTTTTTACATAAAAATTGGAGTTATCACTGATGAATAAGTATCTTTAGTTAGGCTGTGTTTTTGAAAGTGCACTAGTATCTGCTTAATTCAAGAATAAGACAAGTGTGACATGAAAGTGCAACTGTCTTGACATCTTAAAACCTCCACTCTTAAATGCAGCTCAACAGGAGGGTATAAAATCCTCTGCAGACACCCGCTGTGTGCTGTTAAAAATATCTTTCAGCACTAGATAAGCTATTATGTTCAAAGCACTTTTTGCGTTGCATCAAGATCAGTTTAACAGTCCAACAGCAAACATGCACTTCATACAAACGCATGTTTGCCCAGCATTGTTATTTTGTTGTTGTTGTTGTTGTTTTTGCACAAGGTGAACCTGTTCTGTATAAAGGGGGGTGAACTCCTGGTGTGATAGAAACAGGTTCAGTATACATTACAGATGCTATGACATGTCTACACCAGTAGATGGTGGTCAAGTTGCTGTAATGAGGAGAAAACGCCCGTAAGCACATTTCCAAACACAGTCATGATGGTTAAGATTGGCTAAAATAATAATATTATGATCATAAATATTGACGTTTTTTTTCTCTAAATAATTAATCTAATTAAAAGCCGAATGCAAAAGAAAAAAGCTAAGACTGTTTATTTCGCACATGTCCAAACAAAAGACGAGAATTATCCAACAGCTTGATATCATGTCAGCCATGAGAGCTTTTGCTCTGTTACTGTTTTCATCATCATCATGACCATCTGTCTGCTGGCACCGATAAAAGTCGGCAGAGAACAGGCCTGGATGACAACAGTGAGTCATTTTAGGAGCCTGCAGAGAAGAGATCTTGTTTGCTTTTCACTTTCCATATATTATCCACATATTAATCCAACAGTTCATAGACATTGTTTCTGTAATAAAAGGGATCTGTGTGCTATTAGTCAGACAGTCTTGCAGCCCTGCCTGTCGTATGCACGCTCATGGCTGAGTGCCCCTCAGCAGGATAATGTCAATAATTTAGATAAACCCAGAAAACGAGGGCATGTAGAGGTAGAGAGCGGAAGATACTGTGCTCTTTATCTTCAAGATACACTGCCTCCTCTTTTGCGGCACATAAACATGTTGTAGGAATGTGCAAAGTGATGCTTTTTATCTCTCAGAAGTACAGGAGACCAAAATAAAAGAACAGCTGAGAGTATGTGTTATAGAAGAAAAGAGAGACTGAGTGAAATGAGGGCAAGGAGTGGATCAAAGTTAATCTCTTGGAGCAAACTGAGAGGTGAAAGTGAAAGCAGCAGCGGTCCACTCGATGACTGATTAGCTGCTGAAATGAGAAGACGTTTTGTGAAGAGAAAGGTCCACGCTGTAAACACTGAATAAAAGGGGAGAAAATGGTAAAAGTGTGTGGGAGATATATACGCTGTAGATGGGGCAGCAGCTTTAAAATTCATGTATTCTGTAGAGCTTGAGATTGAAGGCGTGCCCCCCTGCTCCGCTGTGAGTCCCTCTTTCCCAGCTGTCACAGACAATCATGCAGATGTTCGTTATGCTGTTATGCCTGTAGGGTGCAGATATGTATGTGTTCATTTATGTGCCTGTACCTGGTCCTTGTTGCGTGGTACTGGCGATAATCCACTTGACAAGACAGCACTTCATTAGAGATTTCCGTGTGATCCGAGGTTTCTGCCACTTGGAGCCCTCTGTCTGTCCAGGCGGGTTTGGGTCTTTCCCATTGGCATCAGGCAGCAGACCGCCATCCACGGCCTTCTCGTTCCCCTTAGGAGGAGAGAAAAGAAACTGTCCGGAAAAAAGAAAGCCTTTGAAGGAAGGAGATAAAAAAGGATAAAAATCTCCACCAGAGGGGTTCAGCTGACCCCACCTCAAGGAGGAAGTCTCTTAAACTGATGGTGATTGCTTAAGGGGTCTCCATATTTTATGGACTCCTCAAAATTTATTCTCATACAAAGGAGAATTGTGACTCAAGAAGCGATCACTTTCAAACACTTTGAATGAGACTTGAAACAACCAAAACATTAGCAGCGTAGCATTGTACGTACTCGACAGGAGAGTCCCTGTGACGACGCTCTGTTCAAACAGCATATCACCCAGACCAGCTATGCAACTTTGTACGCCCTTAGGCTGTATTAAGAGTCAATCATAGAAAACATGAACCCTCTAATAACTTTTAAAAATGGAGCTGTATAGAAAAAATAGGACTTGAGCACAAATCAGTCTTACAATAACTACAAGTCAACATCTCAATCAGGCAGGGGGAAAATTAATATTCTGTGTGATTAATTTCTAAAGTTTGTCCACAGCTCCATTAAGTTTGCAGGAGGAGGCGGGGTTAAGGACCTATACTGCAGCCCGTCACCAGAGGGTGCTGTTCTTACTTGGCGAGAAGGCAGATGATGTCCATTCTAGATACAGCCTATGTATGCAATGCAGCTTTGAGTCTTATTTCCAGGTCTATAGATGAACCTTCCACCTCACATCGACTGCCTGGTGTTGAATGAAAGTTACAGAGGCGCTAACACTTGAAAGTGAAGACCTCAAATTGATACATACATATATATGCAAAAAACACTGTTTTATATATTTTTTTTCTGGCATAACTTTTAGAAATAATGGGGGATGTTGTCGACTGATATATAGTTTTAGACAGGGCTGCAACGATTAGTCGACGTAATCGATTACGTCGACACGACAAATTCATCGACACGAAAATTAAGCGTCGACGCGTCGTGTTATTGATGTTAAGAATCACATGCCGGCGCCTCATGCTCATCTATAACTGCAGTGCACTACAGGATGTGCTGGGGGCAGTAGCGCTCGCTGTTTACATCCCGCGAGCAAATACAGAAGAAGAGTGCACACATTATGGCAGAACAAACTGAAAAAGACGCTCCAAAACTCCGACCCAAAACTTCAAAAGTTTTGAAACATTTTACGGAGAACAAACCAAAAAAACACGTCGATCAAAGCTCAGCTTTCCTACCATGGCAGCACCACGGCGATGCATGAGCACCGGAAACGCCGACACCCCGGAAATAGGTTTTTATAAATAAAGAAGATAGTGATTAATCGTGATTAATCGGACGACTAGTCGATAGATTAGTCGACAAAAAAATAATCGTTAGTTGCAGCACTAGTTTTAGATCATATGGTGGTATAAAAGTTTTGGCACTGCTCAGCTAGTTGTGATTTCACAGTCTCACAGTATAATTGTGAGACAGCTGCACCAGTTACTGAAAAACTACTAAAAAATTAAAATGCGGCATATTCAATAATCCTGAAGTACGTATTTTAAAGAACTGTCTTTACAAGTTTAAATACTTTAAATTTGACTTGTTCAGGCTCTTTGTATTGAAGTGTTTTTTTGGTTTGAATGACAGGAACTAATGTAAACTACAGAAGAATAGTATCTTATTTTATTTATTTCAATTATACTTTTTAAACAAAACGGTCAAGGTGAGATTAAAAGACCTCTTTTTTAACATGGAGTCCTGATGAAGGAAGCAGCTCAAGCAGCTCTTCATGTGAAAGAAGAGAGACACACAGCCAATTTCAACAGGTAATTTCATCTTTGAGTCAGTGATTGAGTAACTTTAGTTGCTAATATCACCATGAACTTACTAACAGCAGTGTGATCAAAAGCTTAAGTATGCTAACTATAGCTTGTCTTTTACTTTGCTGAAAGCATCCTGGGCAGATGTAAGTCCCTGTCCTCCCAACATATCCAGTATAGGGCATTAACCCAGCCTCAGATGAAAAATAGGTCAAACTATAAAATTTAATTACACATCAAGTAAGTTCTTCTCACACATGATTTCTGTCATCATAGTTGGTGCTTGCTACTAACTGACTGACCGCTCATTTGACAAATGCAGGCTTCTGCAGTGTTCAGTACGGGATGAGCCAAGTCGAGACGGAACAGTGAGAGGAAACACAACAAATACTAACAAGAGAGTCACTTTCCATGACCGTAAGTATCAACTTTAAATTAATCTGCTCTGCTGTTCCTACCTGAGGGATCTCCAACACAATGAAGACACAGCACATGCAAACAAGTGAACATGTGACAGTCGAGTCAGTCAATACCTGTGTGTTGTGAATGTGTTTTCTTTACAGCAACTATCAATACACTGTAGGTTTGTTTGTTTTGGAGGTTTAAATTCATCCATTTTTCTTCTTTGTTATTTGTATCTTCAGATCCTGCTCCTTTAATACTCTGGTCTTCTTTTCTTTGTCTGTGAACAGTCTTGTCTTCGCTCCTGATAAAGTGCTGTATAAATAAAACAGCTTTCTATAAGAGGTTCCTGAGAATGTGATGTAAAGAGTTTGTGGAGAACATAGTCATAGGGACTGTCTGGGGAGCATCTCTGCCCCCTTTGGTCCCATATTTAAATATGAAGAGATGCCAAAGCATACAGAGCATGGAAGATGTCGCTCAATAATTCACACTCCTTAAAACGGCATCAATAAAAGATCAGAGCCGGCTGCCATGCTGAGGTGAAAGATGACTACAAGTAAAACCTGAAGACTGGTGGATCATGCAAAGCCACATAAAAACAGACACAAACATTGGCACATGCATACACAACTTTGCACAGATACAAGCGAACTCGAATTCAATACCAGACAAGGCAAGGTAAAAACAGTCGGACATTCAAGAGTGTACACTGAGAAAAAAATGATCAGCAACAGTGAATGATGTGTCAGTTTTGCGACTTCATGATGAAAAGTTGTACAAGACTTTTTATTCCCAACATCAGAGTGCTGCATAATTTAATAAGACAGGAGCCATGTGTGCAGATCACTGTGATGCTCCTTTTGATCATCTAAGACTCCACTGTGGGTGTCTGAACATAACATATGTCACCTTTGTGAGTACACACCCAAACACACACTCCTGAGACCTGCCGACCTAAAACTTAAGAAGGCGAGGGATGATCATGAACAGGACTTTTTGACAAATATGCACATGGGCACTGTGTACTATTGTAGTGTATGAGGATTCCTGCATTACTGTAGAACAAAAAACATCTTTTTAAAAAAATCTATTTATTTCTTTATTGATTTCTTGTTTGGTGGGGCTACCTCATGACACCTCCCTTACCTCCTGACAACCCCTGGTTACGCCCCTGGTAATGGTACCTTCCTCCATTTCAAACCTCCTGCGGTTACCAACTTCTAAAAGCCGACACTTGGCTTCCTTCACTCTTTTACTTCTGTTGGCAGGATCACTAAATCACATTAAAAACACTTAACTGGAGAGCCTTTCTTATGCTCTCCTTGACACCGAGTGCGTGTGACGTATTAAATGGTATCCTGCTCGTTTCAGTTTCTCGCCTCATTGCTGAAGTCCAGTTTAAAATACTCGTCGCTCTGTTTGTTCCTTTTCCTCTTTACAATCCAACTTGGTCACAATTCAGAGGGAATTCATTTTGCTTCCTATTCCACTACAAAGATTGATACTTTAACGTTGCAGGTTCATATTCCAGACATTATGCGATCAATATCAAAATTTAATGTAAAGCTTAAACTATTATGTAATGTAATTAAAAGTAAAATCACACAGAAAAGCTTACAACATAAAACAATGCTAAAATGTGAAACTATAATGATAATAAAATTAAAATAACAAGCTGGAAGGGACCATAACAATTACTTTTACTTTGCTATTTCAAATAATTTTGCCTAAAAAATAGTTTGACCGCAGGATTTGTAAGACTAAACTCAGCATATTTCTTTATATTTGCATTATAAGTAGTTATAAAGGTATCCAAGCTGGCACTTCTATTATCTAATTATCTATTATCTTCTATTATCTGGTATCCAACTTTAACGTTGCAGGTCCATATTACAGATTCCATGCAATCAATATCAAAATTCAATGTAAAGCATGAACTATTCAGTAATTAAAAGTAAAATCACACAGAAGAGCTTACAACATAAAACAATACTAAAATGTGAAACTATGATGAAAATAACAAGCTGAAAGGGACCATAACAATAACTTTTAATTTGCTATTTTAAAATGATTTTGCCCCAAAAATATTATGACTGCAGGATTTGTAAGACTAAACTGAGCATATTTCTTTATATGAGCATTATAGTAGTTATAAAGATATCCAAGCTGGCACTTCTTTAACATAGCATGTCAAAGTTACATTTAAGGTTAGATGTTTTCACAGTGATGTTATAACTTTTAAGACTTTTTGCCTTTAACTTCTCGACACAGGTATATGACACCACATGCACATACAGAAATATTAGCAGTATTTGGCTATCATTGCACATGCTAAACCAATAAAGCAACAAGTATATGAAAGCATGCAGTGACACATGTTTACTGCACCTGCATTGCGTCTTGATATCAGTTGCTGTTTTGCAGAAAAACCGCTGCAACGAATCCTGCTCCGCTCGCGCTTCTTCAGTGATCTGCAGCAGCATGTAGAAAGAGAGAGAGAGAGGGAGAGGGAGAGGGAGAGAGAGAGAGAGAGGCAGAGAGAGAGAGAGAGCGTATATGGGAATGTAGTGGATCCTTTCTCAACACAGTGCAAGAAGGGATTAACATCAGACATTGATCATCACCAGAGCTACAGATTAAAACACACACGGACCAGGACAGTGATAATGGAGTCCAGGTTTCAGCAGGTGGACTGAGCTGCTCTCAACAAGTGCAGAGCAGGAAAACAATTTATAGGGAGACAGAAGGAGAGCTGTGCATGGGCCCTTACATCGTGACAAATATTATTAGAGGTGCCAGACATATTATAACCTGCAGTGACGCTGTGTGGGTCCAATCCAGACTGCTTTAACAGTGCCACTCTCTGAGGAAATTAAACAGGACTGCTGTTTCATAAAGCACAAGTAGAGTTTTTGTTTTCCAACACTGTGTGCTTGGCTCTGCAGATAATAATAACAAGAAAGGTTTTTTATTAGATTTACAGGCTGCTTATCATAAATTCTCAATTTATTTCATTGTGACTAACTACAATGCTTCATTCCTTTGGGTAACATACCATTTACCAGTTGCAGAGGCGGATATAATGCACCATCCAGGAAAATTTAATATGACAGCATTCATCATGTTCTTACTCTCTAATTCGAGGTTGAATGTGTGATTTTTTTCTCATCAAACGTTAGAAAAAGAGTCTAATAATAGCCAGTGCACATGCAACACATTGTACTTTGCTTCTGCAGTTATCCGGTGTCACATTGACTTCAAAGGAAAATGAATATGAGTACAAGAAGCTGCCTCCTGTTCCCAAAATATGCCCCGACATCGCCTCTACATTAGTTTAAGTGCCTCTTCTCAAATTCTATGAATGTCGTAGGGGTGGGGGGAGGACTTTGATGGAAGAATCAGACAACAATTCAGGAAATAAAAAACAGCAGGGAGGGAGGGAAAGGTTGAGAGATAGACTTAGTAATGAAAGACGTTTAATGTGTTGTTCTCTTCTTAGAAAGAAAAAAAAAACAGCTTATATAGAGGGTTTCATGATAGAAACTAATTACACACCTTCTCCCTGACATGTTTAAGGCTGTAGGGAATGATCATCTGTGTTTAGCTAAAGGGTGAATGTGAAAGCTAAGGGGTCAAATCCATAGACTGTATATACTATGGACAACCTGGTTCTGCCTACCGCCTGTATATGGATTTGAAGCCAAAAAGCTCTCGGTAATTCCAGGATTTTTCTTCATTTCCTGAAACCAGCGCTGCGCAGTCGCAGAGAGTCGCTGTGATGACGCTCGGCTCAAACAGCGTATCCCCCTGGGAGAGCTACGCAATCCCTGAACGCCCATAGGCTGTATCAGGTGTCAATCATAGAAAATATGAACCCCCTAATAACTTTTAAAAACGGAGCTGTACAGAAAAAAAAGGACTTGAGCACAAACCAGTCTTACAGTAACTACATGTCAACATCACAAGCAGGGGGAGAAAAAATTATGTTCTGTGTAATAAATTTCTAAAGTTTGTCCACAGTCCCATAAGCTTTGCTGGCGGAGGCGGGATTTATGACCTATACTGCAGCCCATCAACAGAGGGTGCTGTTCTCTGAGTGGCTTCAACCAGCGAGGAGGCAGACTCTGTCCATTCTTGATACAGTCTATGGTCAAATCCATAAAGTCTCAAAAAAGCTTCAACAAAAATCTAAAGTGAAGTTCTTTCGAAGGCAGATGAAAACATTTTATACAGTTTGCTCTTTTACTTTAGTTCCCTTAGATTCTGTAAAAGGTTGAAAATCATGACCTGAACTATAATTCAAAACTTCAACAGCTTTAGTACACCTGTTTAATCCCCCTGGTGGTATTTACCAACTAGTTATATTTAACTTTAAGCAAAGTAGTCAGCTTGGAAAACTAGAGAAACTAAAGAAATGCCAAACAGACATGTAACCTATCCTTTGCTTCAAAACTCTTATTTTTGAAAATGATTGTAAACACTATCTCAGCTACAGTACTGCCATCATCCGAACAGCAGAAATGGAATATTTTTGTTCTCTCTGTCCTTGTGCCTCTTATCTCCCACAGGTCTGTCTCACTCCTGCAGACACTGAGGTTATTTTTAGTATCACAAGTTCCAGAGAGCCTTCAGCTTCCCTGGTGCCTTACACATCAGCTCAGGGTTTAATTGAGGGTGTGCGTTCAGAGCAGATATCGTGTGTGCATGTGTGTTTGTGTGGGTGTGTGTGAGAGTATACCATGGAGTCTATTTTGTTTCGTCCTCTTCTTCTCATAAATGTTGCATTTTTTCCTGAATTTGCCCGGAACACTCACACGCATGGCTGCGCACGTTTGCACATATTCACACTTTATATTCAGCTGTGCCACAAATATCCTCTCCTTCACATCATTGTGTGTGAACAGAGACATGAACATTCACTGTGAGAAGATGTTAATAGGTGATATATGACGTGTGTGCACAAAAACTATTAACATAAAACAAATTAACAATTCGGTAACACTTTATTTGACGCCTATCTCGCCTATAAATACATGTATAATGCATTATAATCATGTTATAGCACTGTATAACTCTAGTTATAAACACTCATATATGATCATAAATAGCAATATTTATAACATATTTTATCATGACTTACAAGGTCAGGTATTATAATGTGTTATAACAGTTAACAACAATTGTATTGCATTTTTGATGTGGGCATTGTCAGTGAGTTGTTAACAGTTATAACACATTATAATACCTGACCTTGTAAGTCATGATAAAACATTTATAATGTGTTATGATTATTGCTATAAAGCATTATGATCATTTATGAGTGTTTATAACTATAGTTAAACAGTGCTATTACATGATTATAACGCATTATACATATATTTATAACAGAGAGTTATAGAGATACGCGTCAAATAAAGTGTTACCAAAAGTTCTATAATGTATTAAACTGAAATTAAGGACCCACAGCTATCTCAAAAAACAGAATATTATTGTATTAGATCTTGGTGTATTTTTGCACATTGTCACTGGGTAGAGAATACAGAATTAAAGGGTTTTTATGACTCGGTCAAAAGGCTTAAATAGTCCTCTTTCTCAGCTGACAGAGAGATGTCTCTATCTGTTGAACTGTGACACCAGTCCGGCCAAAACACTGAGCACAGATGATTTAAGGAGACAAACTATATTTCAATTTGTATCTAGATTCTTGACTTTTATGGCATCCAGACAACTTAAGGTTTAGTTTTCACTGAGGATTCACTGCTGTTAGAGATGTAATAAAACGTAGCCACTTCATTTATCCTCGGCTGCATTCCACTCAAATTTCCGTGACCCCTGGGTTTTACACGAATCTTAATGCTCAAGAATTTCAACAGTTTAATTAACTCAACAATCCTAATCTGTCTCCTGGGTTAATTAAGTCTGTGCAGCCCTGAACTGCCTTTTTTTATTAGAGACCATTGAAGGTTACAAGTTAATTACACTGTCTGCCATCAATTAACTTCACTTCATGCCTAAACCTGAGTGAATTTAGAATACAGCAGATAAAACTTTTACATCATATTGCCTCTTCTCTTGCACATGCTCCAGTCATTGCACTTCATAACTAATTCAACACATCTGACATGATTTGTTGCACAGAGGTCGGGCTGGACTCCATTCCACTGAACAGAAAGTGACATGTGTTCATCTGATCATATCAAGTGAATGTATGTACATGTATGATCTAGTTTGTAAACGTGTTATACAAGAAGAAAAGACAGAGACATTTGTACATGTAGCTGACAGTGCTGCATAATGTTAGAGCTCCAGAGAAAAGTGTGTTATATATATATATATATATACATATATATACATTTTTTTCACATCAACAGGATATTTGCAAGGTACACACCTATGGAATAGTCTACTATCAGAAATTAAATCCCAAACAGAACTAAAGAGGTTTAGTGTTAAAGCTAAACACTGGCTTAAGCAGCAGAAGAAATGTAAACATTAACTTCTCTCAACTCACTGTCAATAAACCACCTGATTAATGTTAGTGTTAAATTTAACCAAATTTTGTTGCTGTGTTTATTTATTTGTGTCATCTAGCCATTCTCTGTATTATCCGTTGTATTTGTATTATTGCATTTATAGTATTTAGTATATTTTATCCTACACTCAAGCCTGACCAGGGACAAAGACTGCAAATGAGCTGAAACTAGATGTCTTGTATGCATCACATTTTCCATTTCTTATGGCAATGTTGTCCCTGTTAAATAAACATTAAAATAAAAAATAAGTAAATAAATAAATTTAGAGATCGTGTATAGTTCTTCGGGATTCAACTTCTAATTGATAAAAAAAAAAACAGGCATTTTTGTATTTGCTTTCTGTGTTGATATAAGGTTGACAATTTGATGTTACAGTTAGTTTCAGATAAAAATACAAGATCTGTAAATGACATTTACCTCAAACAGGTGGGATATGATTCTATTTTATTCAAACATATTCAAAGATATTTACACACAAGCTTAATCCTACCTACAATAAAATCATGTACTGATGAATTCAACAAAATACACTTAAGAGGGGTGACAAAGAGCTTTATCAAAGAGTTCTATGAAAATTTAGAATAAAAACAGTCTAAATTAATAGAGATGGGTTCATTTTTCTTGTGTGTCATCATTAATATGCTTTTTTCGTTATCTCTATAGTGTTTGGACTCACACATGTGGAGGTAGTTAATGTATTTTCTGTATTTTGTGTGCACACGAGCTTCACAGAGAAACTTGTCAGCCAAGTGTCTCCACTGTGCGTCGTACCTGTAAATGTTCAGCACCACTGACAGCTCCTGCAGCTCTTCAGCTCCACGGATAAAGTCTGAGTCACATGATTACCAGTGACTGACAAGTGGAACCATCGCTGCTGCAGACGTCTCTCTTTCTCTCTCTCTCTCTCTCTCTCTCTCTCTCTCTCTCTCTCTCTCTCTCTCTCTCTCTCTCTCTCTCACACACACACACACACACACACACACACACACACACACACACACACACACACACACACACACACACAGATTTAGCTGTTCCTCCCCTCTCATGCTCAGCTTTACCAGCCCTTCATCGCTTCGTCATCCCCAAGTTTTCCTCTCTAAGCTTGTATGAAACAGACTTCTGAAGGCAGTTCGTTGCACTGAAAACTGAAAACACATTTTACAGAGAGATACTTTCACATTTACTTTCTACATTACTGTTTCTTTATACATATAGCCCCTTCTGATCTGATCCAGTTAAGGCAGATGGCTGTTCAACAATGTATCTGGTTCTACTCAAAGTTTTTCCCTGTTCAAGATAAGGTTAAATCTGGTTACTTGTTCTGAAATTATCCTTTCCTCTGGTCTTTTAACAGCAAAATGATATCAATTTCTGATGGTCTTATTTGTTTATATTGTACAGGGCATAACCAGGCCCTGTGGAGAACTCTTAGCATTTCTTAACACTAGAGGGCACTGCTATCTTGTCACCCCTCCTGCAACGTGGCTTCAGTAAGTTGGGACAAAAACAGGAGTAAACAAATATCTGCTTGAAACAAGACCAGTTGCTCTTGACTCAGATCTCTGTAAAATAAGCGTGCATATTTTCATTAATTTTAAATTCTTTTCAATGATATGATCCAAGTTAATTAAGTTTTTTTTTATTTCAAGTGGCTTTTGAAAAATGTTCTTTACTTTGTACCAAGTTCCAGTCATTTCAAGATTTTTTGTTCTTGCTCATCTTTTTTTCGTCTAAAAATTTGCTGTGCAGAAGGATTGATGGATTTTTGAGACAAGTATCTTTTTTTTCAATATTTTTATTGGCATTTTAGTTTTATTACAATAACAAACAAACAGTCTACATGAACACACACACACACTCATACACCCATACACAGTCTACCTGCATAAATTCAGTAAATATGAGGTAAAGAGAGAGAATAAAAAAGAAAGACTTAACATAAATAACATCGATCCCACATTTTCCAAGATGATGTCTACTGTCCAGCTCCTATAATGTTCATATATGGTTCACAAAGATTGGCAAAATCTTTCAGTTTTCCTTTAGTACTATATGTCAGTCTCTCCAGACCAAGTCATTGTGAAAGTTCCCTAATTCACAGCGTCATGGATTAAGCTCCTCCAACACAATGCAATGGCTCTCCTGACATGCAAAAGACCAAAGTCCTGTAACTTTGTCAGCCTTTGTGTTTGTATGAAGTCCGCTGCGTAGTTTCAAAATACACATAGTTTAACATTGAGAGGAATGTTCATCGCAAAGTTGTCTGACAAACACGAGACCAGTATCTTGCTAATTTTATAGGGAATAATTATCAAAACTAAAAAAGATTGAAGGTTTTCACACCTATCAGTTATGTGTGTGACGTCCTGACAGGCAGGTCAGGTCACTGCGGTCACAAACACATCATAAAAAAGCAGAGGTGTTGTTACTGATGCTATTGTGGTTGTTGTATCGTCGCTGTTGTGTCAGTGATTCAGGGGGATTGTGTGTGTGTGTGTGTATATGTATATGTGTGTATGTATGTGTGCATGTATGTTTGTATGTGTGCATGTATGTTTGTATGTGTATGTATATGTATATATATAGTTGTTATTATTTAGATATTTCAATGTAATCCAATTAAGATTTTTTTTCAATTAAGTATTTTTGTAATTTTTTTATTTTTTATCTTTTTGTTGTTGTTGTTGTTTCTGTTGTTGTTGTCACACTGTTTTGTTGTTAAATTAAAAAAAAATTAAAAATAAAAAAGCAGAGGCATGTAGAAGTCATTTAGAGATTGTTTATTGAGTCTCACCTTTTTTAAGAAATCCTTGTAAACCTTCAGTAGACATACACCAGATGTCACTGTTGTCCAAATCGACACTGCTGAGAGCTGCTGAATTGCACACTGTTCTCTAAGACACAAATTTACTGTTTAAAAAAGAACTGAAAAAAGACAGAACTACACACATAAGATGGAGCATTAATGTGCGCTCGTGTCTATCTCACTCTCTCTATTTTGCTCTCATAATCACACTCATGATCCTGGTTTGGCTTTCCTAACCTGTTATTAATTTCCCATGAATAATCACAGGTTATTAAATTGTACAACTCAGCACACATGCAAATATGTATGTGAACTTTTTCCCTGTTGAACAAATCATGTAAAAAAACTCCAAACTGTCCTGATAGATGATCCTAACTCAACCAGACAGATGTTTTAGTGTTCCCGCCCTCAGGGAACAATCTGTAAATATCAGTAATAAGAAGGTCATGGGTACAGAGACACTGACAGGATGTGTGCAGTATTCTTGTTTGTCCATGGCGGAGTTTTCCTCCTGCAGGACGCTTTCTTTCTTTCTTTGTCTGAGTCTCTTAATGATCTTGTTTACTCTGGAGAAGCTATGATTACTTTCTGGGCAGAGAGTGTGTCCATAAAAAAGCAGCAGGAAATCTTTTTCTGCTCCAAGGTTTGTGTCGCTCTCACACTCCACACTCACTCACAGAGACCTATTAGATGGATTTACATTTTTCTGTTGTTACGGTACCACAGATTAAGAGTTTAGTGTGTGCAGTAACCAACCACACTTCACAAAACAAAACACTCCAGGGATAGAATATCCACGGTCCGCCTTGGTTTCCTGACTCAGATGTGACGACAGTCTGGAGGGAGAAAGGGGGGCCCACTGAGATCCTCTCACTATCTACTGAAGATATGAGAGGTTGAGTCTACGTCTGCACCACCCCCTTCATTTCCCCACAATCAACAGGAAGACTGGAGGCCGGAGAGAGTAACTATACTCCGCAGGAGAGGAAGGACGTAGAGGTCCAGCTGCACAATTAGAACAAAGGAAAACCTTCAAGGCAAAGGAATGAGCAAGAATCAGAAAGAAGTGAAGAAAATCCAGACGGTTTATCTGCAGAACTTAGAGAAGCTAAACCAGGGAATAAAGCCGGAGAAGAAAAGTTGGAAACCAAAGGAGGGAGAGTTTGCTGTGCAGACAGCGATGGAAAAGCTGCGGCAGCCTCCCATAACTGGAAAAGTCACCAAAAGTTCAGCTCACAGAATCAGCAGAGATCTGACCTGCTCTATCTGCTTGGACCTCTTCAAACAGCCAGTGTCTCTGCCCTGCGATCACACTTTCTGCCAGGGCTGCATCGAGGGGTACTGGACCGGTCCTAGGGGTCCTGGCCAAGGGGGCACTGGCTCCTGCCCTCAGTGCAGGAAAGTGTACCCCGGGCAGAGCTACAGGCCAAATCGCATCGTGGCAAACATCGTGGAGAGCTACTGTCAGGGTCTGGAGGAGAGCGGGTCTTCAGGCTGTCTGCCAGATGTTGGGGTACCAGAGAGGGTCCCTGCTCCAATCCCCCGCTGTAACAGACACAGAGAGGAGCTGAAGCTGTACTGTGATGAGGACCAGGAGCTGGTGTGTCTGGTGTGTGGTCTTTCACAGGAGCACAGAAATCACACCATGGTGTGTGTGCAGGAGGCCGAGCTGAAGTACAGAGTGAGTTCACCTTTAAGTTAACAACAACCTCATGTCAAGATCTTACTACTGATGTTATTTGATGTTCATTTCTAAGAATCTGCAGACTGGGATGGACCTCAGGAAGTTTGCATTGTCACAAAGTGCATGTAGGAAAGTTTACACCGTCCCTGTAGGTCAAAGTTCAAAGTGATACTTGCAACAGCCCTTTTTACCGTCAATGCAAACAGATGATTTATACGAATGCCAGAATCCTTTTTAATTTGTGTCTTGCACAATAAAAGTTTGAGGCAGGTCAGTCTCTGTAGTGATTTCGTGATTCTGTCCTATCAGGCGCTGCTCAACAGTTCCATGGATTCCCTCAAAGGTGAACTGAACACAGCGCTGCAGTATGACAGGGAGGCTGAGGAGGAGGTCAAAAAGCTCAAGGTGAGAGTTGTAGCCGACTGCACATGGATGCACAAAAAAGACTCACAGGAGCCATTTCTTCACATTCCTCCTGTGTTCGCTTGTCTAACCCGTGTCTTAAATCAGCTGTAAATTACTCAAAAAACAATTCTCTATCATCCAATTTGGTTCTCATCTCTAGGTTCCACGAAAATATTGTTGATAATATTTTGTTGTGGGCCTCTGGACCTTTCTTTGTTAGTACACCCCATACAGACAGCTATACTGAATTGATTTCACATATTTGGACATGCCTGCAATGTTTTTTGTGCAGGAAAAAACACGGCAAAATGAGAATGTCTTAAATCTCATATGATTGGAAGAGGATCTGACTGTCAGTGCGGTGCCTGACAGTGCACATATGATTTTAATTTTTGATTTTAATTATTTTAATTATTGATTTTTAATCAAACTGGGTCAACAGCGACCCTAACACAAGTGCCATAATCTTAATAAGAGCATTTTTTTATTTTCACTTTGTTGAAATAGAGGTCCCTGACAAAATCAAGACGTCATGATGCCAAAAAGCCAATCTATGTGGTTCTTTTGAGTATTTAAAAACAAAAACAGGTCAGTGCAGACCCTAACACAGGAGGAGAGTTAAGATATAAGTATGTTTTATTGAATGAAGAAGAGTTTATGCTTCAGTCTTTGTGCTAATGCTTATTTTATATCTAAACTGTATTTCTTATGAACTTCTTGCGATTATGGATCTGCATATATAGTGAGCAAAACAATGAAGCTATTTGGCACCAGAATAAAATAACATACTGACTAAACATTTTATTTGTATTTCTTTCAATATAAACCTTAAATGCAAATCAGATGTTGTGTCTAAGCTGCAGTACAGCTGCCCACCACAGGTTACGTGTGAAGCTAGCTCCTTAAATGCTCTGCTACCCAGATGTAAGCCAGCACAGATCAGATCTCAAACAGTTTGGCTGTGTTTTGATGTAGAAAATGGAGATACGGTTGTATGTGGGCCATATTTAAAAACCAGAGTAATGTTGTTTACAGAGAGATGTGGGCATAAACCCATAGACTGTATATACTATATACTTCTATACTTCTATACTATACTATACTTATACTTATACTTATACTATACTATACTATACTATACTTCTACTATACTATACTATACTTCTATACTATACTATACTATACTATACTTATACTATACTTATACTTATACTATACTATACTATACTTCTATACTATACTATACTATACTATACTATACTATACTTCTATACTTCTATACTATACTATACTTATACTATACTATACTATACTATACTTCTATACTATACTATACTATACTATACTATACTATACTATACTATACTCATACGTATACTTATACTTTACTATACTTATACTATACTATACTATACTATACTTCTATACTATACTATACTATACTATACTATACTATACTATACTTATACTTATACTATACTATACTATACTATACTATACTATACTTCTATACTATACTATACTTCTATACTTCTATACTTCTATATGCAGTCTATGTATAAACCTGAAAAATGGACTGAACTCTGCAAAACTACTTTGATATTGTTTACCAACACATGCCGTGATCCTGTTTTAGCCTTGTTAAATTAAGAGATTAGTCTCTTTGGAGCATCTTTACCTGTAACCATGACGCTATTTTCACCTCCAACTCTTAGGAGCACACAGCTGACCTGAAGCAACGCATTGAGGCCCAGTTCAGCGACCTGCACCAGTTCCTGTACCAGGAGGAGAAACTGTTGCAGGTGAAGCTGAAGACAGAGGAGCGCAGGGAGCTGATCCGTCTGGACGAGCACAAGGCCCTTCTGTGTGTGGAGATTTCTCGTCTGCAGAGAGCCTTACATGAGATCGAGGACAAGCTGAAAGAGCAGGACGCCTTCTCTCTGCTGCGGGTATATGAGCGTGATGTATGATGAATGAAGCACATCTGGAAGTTTTTAACAGCATTGATGAGTCAGCTTTTAGGGTGAATAACAAAGAAAAGCTGAGCTGGCAGATTCAAACTTTTTTCTTTTCAAAAGTATTCACTTATGTCATGACAAAAAAATATGCCAAACTGTTATATTTGAGGTGAAAGGTTGCTTTCTTGGCATGTATTTTGGCCCAAAATTTCAAAAAATGCCCAAGAGTCAACATTCAGGTTTTTACTCTACAGGGTGTGACCACTTTGGCTTTCCTGTAAAAGTTTGTACAACGATCCCAAAAACCCTGAAAACCATCTCTGCATGTAACTGAAGAATAAACTTTGACCTGCTGGTAAAAATGTTCGCACCAATCCTACTCTTCGAATAACAGAAGACCTGAGCAGTGAGCGCAGACAGGAAGTAGGCCAGTGATCTCAGCCGTTGATCTGCAGGATAAAGAGTTTAGTTCAGGCACAGGGCCAAGCTTAAGGCTTTGACTGAGGGGACTTTCCCCCGGCCGCGGGGAGAACCCGAAGGGTGGGATTGCGTGAGCTCAGACATTGATGTCATGTGGAAAAACCTCGATAGTGTTTCAGATACAACAAAGCTGATCATCTCCTGTGTTTATTCCTTTGTCTCATTTCAGAGCATCAAAGTCCTGCTCCAGAGGTGAGTCTGGGATGAGATTTTTCATTATTTGACCCCAGATCGATTTTGTTTTTTCTCCTTTTCTTCCCTATTCTCACTTCTTAGTGTGATTTTGTTGGCAGGCCTTCACTGAAGTTTGAGAAACCTGCATTTACACCTCCAAGTCTGTGTGAGGGTCGGTTTGCAGGGCCTCTGCAGTATAGAGTGTGGAAATCCATGAAAGGAAGCATTTACCCAGGTACTTTGGGCAACATCTTTGCTACCTTTCAAATCAAACCGCACAGACACACAATAACCAACCACATGTTGTTCATTTCTATGTTTCCTGTCTATAGTTCCAGCAGCGATCACATTTAACTCCAGCACAGCCAACCCATGGCTCAGCCTCACCTCCTCCCTCACCTGTGTCCGTTACCAAACCTTCAATCACACAGTGCAGGACAACCCCTACAGGTTTAACGCAGCCCTGTCCCTCCTCGGAAGCCAGGGCTTCACCCATGGGCGCCACTACTGGGAGATCGAAGTCTACAGCAGCACTGTCTGGACTGTCGGTGTGGCCCGGGAGTCTGTGCCCAGGAAGGGAGTCATCAAAGCTCTCCCAGCGAACGGCTTCTGGACTCTCTCCCTCTCTTATGGGATACAGTACATGGCCGGCACTTCACCCCCGACTGTCCTGTCCCTAGAGGAGCCGCTGGCCCGGATTGGAGTGTATCTGGACTACAAGAGGGGCCTGGTGTCCTTCTACAATGCAGAGTGCATGACACACCTGTACACTTTCAGGGAGACCTTCACTGAGACGCTGTACCCGTACTTCAACCTGGGCTTTTTGGATAAAGTGCATGAGAATGAGCCTCTCAAAGTTTTCTTACCAAAGATTTAAAAAAATGTGACAGGAACAAAATAATGACCCAAACAAAAGAAAACAGAGACTGGTGCTTTACTTTATACAACATTGTTCAATTTAAATGACCAAAGTGCATCATATAACAAGAGTTTAGGTCAAGTTTTGTGTTTTTTATGGAGCGTTGTTGATTTATTTCATAAACAAACGAAAGGTTTTCTACCAAAAACAAGGTGTGAAGATTGTGTCATATTGTCAACATGACAGACTATGTTGGCCTGTAACCTCAACCTGATCATCGGTGGGTCAGTGTTATCTCAAAGCAGAACTGTGCATTCACCTTCAAACAAGACAGAAATCTCACAGAGAAACACAGAGACGCTCGATCTGAACTCTGCATGAAACTATTCAGTAACCTTTACGTGACCTTTTTTGTCTTTGTAGAGCGCATCTACCGCCGAACATCATTTCAGAGAGGCTGGACTTCGATGAAGAAACTGAAACTGTGCAGTGTGCTAGCATTGTTTTGTATGATAAAGTAATCTTTCTTCTGCATGAAACACTAACACATTCCTTTATAACTCTAGACTTTGATTTTTAGACATGTTGAAATATATATTTGTAAGCTGATTATAGTCTTATTATACTTAGGATGATTTTTGTCCAGTTCAGGACATCAGGAAACTGTTTAGATGACCTGGCTGCGAGTCTTTGATATTTCTTTTTAATGTGTTTTATTTTGATATCTACCTTTGACTCTGGTGCTCGATGTCTGTGACTAGAGCAACTTGGCTGATCCAAGTTGTGCAGTGTAAAACATGATTACATAGGCAACATTGTATTAAAGGAAATATGTGAACATTTTCTGCTAAAGTCTGATTATTCTGTTATAAAAAAAAAACTCTTTGTCAGGATTGAGAACTTTCTAATTATTTCATCATTGGTGGTTTTGTGCACAAAATGCCTCACATTTAAGTGGTTCAATCGTAAGTCGTGTTCTAGTCCCATAAACTGCACTTTCTCAAACGGCCACTAGAGGCTGGCTTTAAAAGCCCAGAAAGTCCATTTAAAGGGATATTCCGTCGTAAAATTAATTTAGGGTCAAGTTAGACACCCCCGAGAGATGAATGTTGCCGACCGCTTGCTTCTCTAGTCACACTAACTTTAGTAACGACTGCAGATAGCAATACAAACCTCAACCAAAACTTTAACACCCACATCATGCCAATGCCAGTTTTTAAAGGTGTTTACAGTCTGGTTCATAGAGCAGTTCATGTACTTTAACGTTTACATTGTGCAGGGGTGATTGTTTCATTACTCGTATGTTTTGATCATAGTAAGACTCATTCACATATTCACATGTAAGGGTGTGACGGGGTTGACTGACAGGTGGGCATGTCACAGGAGACCAAAGACCTGCTTTGCCACCACTTCTTTGTCTATATCTGGGTTGACTAAAATTTAAGGAGAGACAGATTTTCCATCATCACGTGCCTCTCCAGAAACCAATGGGTGACGTCACTTCCACGTATATGACTACGGTCAAACCCCCACTGGGCTACTCCTTCAAACACCAAACCAAACAGGGGAAGTAAACATGTACACACCCCGAATCTAGACTGTTTTTTTTTCTTTCATTCTCCCAATTATAAATGTTATATGGGAATTAATTTTATCATTTGAATAATATCAGTGCTCAGAGTAACACGTTTGAAGCAGATCTTCAATTGATTCATTAAAAACTTTCATTTATCTCAAAGGAGCGATAAAAGGGCGATCGAGCAGTGTTGTAAAAAGGGATTATGCATAATTAAGCATTATTAGGATATGACTAATGAGTGTCATGTTCACCATGAGTCATTAAGCGTCTTTGAGTGTTTTTAAAAGCGCTGTACAAATAAAATGAATTATTATTATTATTATTATGGTTACCATGGCTTTAACTGAACCTCTGCTCATTTATAGATTAGCCGCAGTTCCAATGTAGGGACCTATTTTTGGGCTCCCTAACGCCTCTTCGGAAACCAAAGGGTGACGTCACTCTAACACTCTGACGTCTATGTTTCACACACTTCATGGGTGTTGGTCTGTATGTTACTAAGGTGCAATATTCATGTTCTGGTGTGAACGGGCTGTAGGTCAACATATTGATTTTTTTTTTGAGTGTGTTACTCCAATGATGTACTACAAAAAGGTGCTTTATATTCAAAAGAAGTGGTCAAACTTTTATTTTTGGACAGTAAAAAGTGACACATGATTCAGATTTTTAAAAAAGGCAAAAAAAAAAAATATCACAATATATACATTTTATACCTTAAACACGGTTCTAAAAAATAATGTGCATCTGGAACTATCCAAAAAAAAAAATCACTGCATGCTTCCCCTCTACTTTCTTCCTATAAAGCTCTATAATAAAGCAGAGTGAAGGCACAGCTTCATCGCACCGCCTCACTCGAACAGATGTGTATGAGAAGTATGTGGGTTGGTGTTTGTGGTGTCAATCCAAGCATTGGCTCCGTGTCTGGATGTGGGGTGTGTCCCACTAAATGTTAGGGCTTAAGTCTTCATTTAGCTTTGGGATAGCTTTGGAGGAGTCACTTGCTTGCGTGTAATGTGTCCTGGAATTTTGTACTTGTGTAGCGCACATGAAATCCTTTTTTATTGATGCTGTCATCTGAGTGAAACTTTAAAATGATGGCGTCCCCCGCAGAGTAGACTTCCTCCGGGGCCTGAGAAACAAAAATGAGAGAAAGAGAAGGTTTTTAAGAAATAATGCGCAGTAGTTTAAATTTTGTTGTTTGTTTTTTCAGAGGAAACGTATTTTTAGCTTTACCCCAGATCCACAAAATCGCCCCAGCCTTGGAGACTTGACGTCAGCACCGTCATACAGCTCCACGTAATCGTACCCGCAGTCTGCCTCTTCTTCGATCTCAAACACTTGGAAGATGATCTCCACCCCGTACCCCTTCTCAGCCGAGACCACCCACAGGCAGTCAGAGCCACTGGGGTAGTTGTTATCTCCAAACTGGGCGTGAGAGTAGAGATCTTTAGTCTTGACCTCGGCTTCCAGGCTTCCTCCGCACTCTGGGAATTCACAACCACAAAATTAGAGGGTCAGAAAGAGGAGCTCATAAAACTAGGGGAAGAATTTAGCCCTCCAAACACAGCAGAATACAAACCAGTAGTTGAAATATCACATTTTTAGTTTTCTATTCTCTCTCCGTTTTGGTTGTAGCAAAGTTGTTTTTTGCCGCACTCCCCCACCTGCTCTGTATGAGGCCTCGAAGCCTCTCTTCTGCACCGAGTTGTCTGAGAAAAAACGCAGGAACATTTTGTTGTCGCTGGAGACAACAGGAACGGGCTTTTTAGTGCCGCAAAAGCGTCCCAGACTTGGGGCACGTGCATCTCGCCCATCATAAATCTCCAGGTGATCGTAGGCACACTCCAGATGTGACTCCATGTCGATCTCATTGAAAACCTAAGGGTCATTTTTAGACAGCTATGAGTGACATCTTTTTATGTCTTTTATTTGGGTCAAGACAAAATTAGGTTAAAAACATCCATGACGTACCAGTTTGACGCGATGGCCTGGAGTCGTGGACAGAGACCAGGTGCAGGCCTTCTTGCTGGGATATCTATCAGGCCAGTTCGGGCTACTTATTGTGCCTGACACAGTGTTTACAGCATGATCACAGCCAGCTGGAAAACAACAATAAGCCATCTTAGAGCCAAACAATAAAAGCTGCATCACATCATTTCCTGTGTAACACAGACGCCCTCTAAAGTATTTTCCTCGGAGCAGGAGTCAACCAAAAGTGAAGGAAAGAGAAAGCAAAACTAAATCTTTCCACACTCACAATCTGGGGATTTCCCAAATCTGAACAAATAACAGGGTCCAAGTGGCTCTGAGTAGTTCCTAAGTAAGCCACCCTCACTTGGGTCCGTGGTGGGCTTTTTACACGGATGTAAAAATTAAATCTGACTGTAGCCGGTCAGGAGAAACCAGAGACTTTATTAGGGATCAAAATAAGAAATGCAATCCAGTTCCTTTGTATTCCCTGTAGACTGAATCGGCTGCATGAACTCTTCAAAGTGCTCTTAGAAATACAAACTGTACCTTCCTTGCAGTCGTGTTTGTTATCATGCAGCATGAAGCCACTGCGGCACTGACAGCTGTAGCTCCCAAAGGTGTTCACACATTCATGCTGGCAACCTCCGTTTTCCTTGGAGCACTCATCGATGTCTGTTGAAATGTTAAAAAAAAAAAAAAAAAAAAAAATTCCTGTGAAAATGTTGTATCAGGCAGAAAAGACATTGAATTTAAAGCCCAGATCTGTAGCTGAGGGCACCATGGATCATGTCTGAATAAAACATCTCTGATGGACCTAAAATTTTTAAGATCTCAGTTCTCCCTGTCCTCGACATAAAGTGAGTTCAGAGGACACTGTGGTTTGTGTCTCAATACTCAGAATAGATTGTTGTATATAATAGATCTTGTGACTCATTGAAAACATTTGGTGCATCATGAAAACAAAAATCTAAATGAGGAGACCCTGAACTGATGACTGGTGGGAAATTTCACTTACAAAATTTCAGAAACTGGTCTCTTCAGCTCCCAAACATATTGAAAGTTGTCATAAAAAAGTAATGCCACACGATAATAAACATGTTCCTATTACGTTTTATGTTTGATGTTCAAATATCACACCTTATCTTTTCACTATAACATTTAAATCTGAGGTTTTAAGGATTTGTTGGCCATCAAAACTGTTTTTATTCAAACTTAACTGTGTCACAGCTTTTTTGAAATTTGAGTTTCCACTTTTTCAAGAATTGATTTCCTGAATTGATCCCCTTTTTTCCCTGACTAACCAGAGAAGAAGTGAGCCTTGAAGCCCTTCTTGGAAACGGTGTTGTCCGACTTGAACTCAATCCTCATGTTGTTTTGTTGGGAGGTGATGACCTCGGGTTTCTCCGCTCCACAGAACTTCCCATGAAGCTTTGAGTCTGAAGTCAACCCACTGCGCACCTCCACATAATCGTATTTACACACCTGATGGCAAACACAAAGAATTAAACACTGTCCTGTAAAACTGCCTTAAATATTATAGACTCTCAACTCAACTTTATTTGTAAAGCACTTTAAAACAACCATAGCTGAACAAAGTGCTGTACATAAATAGACAAAACAATGCAAACATAAAAAACAATCAAAAAACAATTAAAACAATGGATAAAATAAAAGCAGATATTAAAAAGTAAAATATAGTTTCAATGTTTTTAAAAACTAATTTGAAAACATAGAAACAAATAACTAAAAACAAACCATAAAACACTAAAACAGGAGCCGAGTCTCACACAGGGTTCAAAGCCAAAACATGTGCATCACTTTCTTTAACTTACATCATTTCCTTCGGTCTCGAACATGTCAAAAACCAGAGTGATGCGGTACTGGACAGGTGCCACCAGCTGCCACACACAGTTCTTGTTTGGTGGATATTCTTTGGGCCACCCAGGGGTGGTGAGGGAGCCATTCAACTTAGTGATAAACCCACCACAGGCAGCTGCTGGAGGGGGAGAGCACGGGTTTTAGTAGCAAAGGTGTAAGAGGAAAATACAGTTGCTCAACTTCAATAACTTAAACTATTAGCTTTGGAAGTGTTGCTCATTTTAAAGTTAATCAATATCTGATGAAATTTTGTTACAGGGACAAATGTGTCAAGAAACAGAACAACACTAATCAAATCACATCGTTAATATCAAGTTTCTTACTGTAAGTCACTAGAAGTGGTGCACTTAAAAAAAAAAAAACAGGAACCCTTATTATAAATCAAACCGAGTACCCTCTTGATCTCCAAGATCCACCATTTAGGTTGATTTTACCTTTTAGATGTGTAACAATGTGTTTTAAAAAATACAAGTGATGTAGTCTCTGGACCCGCTGAAGAAAAACTTTTCAAGTTTAGGTCTCATGTGGACTTTCAGTTGCAATAGTGTAGCACTGCCCTCTTGTGGTAGAAGAAAAAGAAACACTCACTTCTGATGAATGAATTCTGCAAACCTTGAGTATATAAAGCATCATAAACCAGCTGCCTCACATACTGACCTGAAACGGAGGAACATGATGGATGCGTACTTTTCACAAGGCCAAAGTTGAGTAGCTGTGGGCCCTTGATTCCAGTGTTTGAGCTGAGCTAAGCTAGGACTATTACTTAAAGGGACATTTCGGTGTAAAATTAATTTAGGGTCAAACACACTATAACACTGAGTAAGACACCTCCTCGAGGGTTGAATGTTGCCGACCGCTTGCTTCTCTAGTTAAACCAACTTTAGTAACGACCGCAGGATAGCAAAACACAGCGGTCTGAGGAGCCATAAACAAACCTCAACCAAAATGCCACTCTATAGCCACAAATAATGCTCAGAACAGCACCTAACTTCATCAACAGTACATATAGGGTCCCAGCCACCAAACATCTTTTTAACTTTGCCTAATTTCTTTAGCAAAGAGACTAAACACAACTCACCCACTCTCTTCCAGCAGCTGCTTGTTTGTGGTGAGACCTCAGGCCAGTCCATTACGGACTGCTGCGGGGTGACGCAGCTCAAGGAAGAACATTTATGATCATTTCTTTATAATTTCCTTGAAGTAATAATCACCATATTAACCATTTTGCACTGCAGACGCAGTAGTTCCTCTACCTTATCGTCCTGGTCTGATTGCATTTCTATGAAGACATGATCATAAATTAGTCATAAATGACCTTAAATTAATTTTACGCCGGAATATCCCTTTAAAGGGAAAACTTTTAGTAAAGGTTAAAAGTTTTACCAGTTGAACAATTTTTCTAGGTTTTATTTAAAGTAGTAGGACCGTCATGTTGGATATCAGTATTACGTAAATGTGTGAAGTCATGCTGCTCACTCACTCTCACAGCTGCGTCTGTCAGCTGCCAGCTCAAATCCAGGGTCACAGGCACATCTGTAGCTGCCCAGAGTGTTCAGACAGCGCTGCTGGCAGTGACCATTGTCGGGTCTCGAGCATTCGTCCATCTCTGCCAGTAAAAAAATTCCCAGATTTAGACCAAAAACAGAAGCTCTTAAAAGTGCAGGCGGTTCACAGGTGAAATGATTTTGTGACCTTTGAAAAAGTTGGCAGCAAACCCAGCTTTGTTGACAGATCCATCTGAGACAAACTTCAGCCAGAGCTGGTTGGAGCTGCTTTTGATATCTTCGGGTTTGTCGTAGCCACAGAAACGGCCGAGCAGCGGGCTGCTCTCTGAACCGCCGTCCCTCACTTCAACGTAGTCGTAAGCGCAGCTGTCGTGTCTCTCAAACTGCAGTGGATGTGAAGATATTTCACATCAGGTGACAGAACATTTTCAACTTAATCTTGTGTTTTTAAAACACACATGGAAATCAAAAACATTACTTGAGATTTATGATAATGATTATTTTTCCAACAGAAGTTAAAATAATGGGGATCTTACATCAAACGACTGGAAGGAGAGGCCGACATCGAAACCCTCCTCCACAGTGATTTTCCAAATACACACTTTGTTGGGCTGATAATCATCAGGATAGTTGGGAGACTGGATCTGACCACTGTCTCGCTCTACCTCTCCTCCACAAATCGCTGCAGAGAAATCATGACACTCAGTCATTTCTGTCAGATTTGATGTTGTTTGATATTTGATATTGACATCCTGAATCCCATCAAAAGTTGTACCTTCATAGACGGCTGAAAATCCTTTGCCCACCCAGCTGCTGCTGCTCCTGAACTCAACCCACAGCTGACTGTCAGTGGAGGTGATGGGCTCTGGAAGTGTGTCTCCACAAAAACGTCCTGCCAAAGTGAACAGAAAAAACACACTTTGACCATGCTGAGTGGGTGGATTCCAGGATTTTGTATCATATTTTGTCTGTGAGTTACCCAGCGTAAAGAGGTTAACATATGAAATGAAGTCTGAGACCTTTGAGAGGAGCTTTTCTCCAGAACCCGTCTCGGACTTCCACATGGTCATACCAGCATAAGTGGCTCCTGAAAAGGTCTAGGGATGTGAAGTTCAAGACAATCTGAGAGACAAAGGGTACAGATGGAGAGCAGATTTGGTGTGAGTGTTTACCTTCTGTCTCTATGAAGGAAATTTTCTGACACAAATGAAAACATCAGAGTTCATTTCAGGTTTCAAACCAGACATTTTCTACTGCTTTAGGGTGGGTGGCCCTGTACTCCTAAACGCCTGACATTTATCCCACAATTGTCATGAACTGTGCGTCCAATTCAAACTTTATCATACAAAGTTATCTTTGCATGACATGTGTGTTTAAATGAACCTGCAGCAACACCTTCAGTTTAAGAGCCAAAAGTAAATGTACACTTTTGAATTTTCCCATTTGAAGGCTAATGTCATGGCTTGTGCTGTGTTCAAGTTACCACGGAAGTCGGATGTCGGCGCTGGGAATGACGTCACACCCAAGGTACCAGCGTTTTAGTCATCAAGTCGGAAAGAAGCAAAATCGGAGGCGGAAACAAGATGTTGCAGAAGGACCTCATATTTGTCAAGAATTTGCTTATATTTGAACAAGGCAAGCACTAAAATAACTTTGATGTAGCTATCTTGCTTCCACCTCCGATTTTGCTTTTTTCTGACTTGGTTGTTGAAACACTGGTAACTCTGGTGAAAGGTCATTCGCAGCTCGGACATTTGACTTCCGAGGTAACTCAAACGCAGCACGATTAACAGAGAGTTATAAAAGGATTTTTGCTTGAATTGAACTAGCCAACAAACTTTATGTATTTAGTTTCCTTTTTTTTTCAATCACTTACCTTTTCTCCAGGAGTGACAGAGATCCTCCACACACAGTGAGCGTACGCCGAGTACCCGTTTGGAAATCCAGGAGATGAGAAGTTTCCAGAACTCTCTTGGAGGTTGTCCCCACACTCTTTATCAAATAATCAAACAAACAAACAAACAATCAAAAACCCAACTTGATCTAACACACCTGGTTATACTAACAAGAGTGTTTAAAGCAAGAAAGACCCAGAATAATGAGTATTTTTTATTTTAGTTTGTGCACACAGTGCTGAGGTTACGGTGAAAAACCCAATCATTAAAGCTCAGTCTGAACTTATTGGTGTCATTGCTCTGCTTTTGCTTTATTTGAAATAAATATTGTAGATATAATCAGATGAATATCGTCTTCTGGTGATTTTATTGTCCACACATACTACAGATAAAGCATCTTACTTGCACACTTGTAGAGTTTTCGGGCTTGTGCTATGTCCCCTTTGCTCAGCTGTGTCCTCTGTCCGATAGGCGGCCTGACTCCATTCACATCATAACGGGGCAGGATGGTGTCTAAAAAGATGCCTCTATTTAAGACAGATCACAAACATGAGCAGTTCAGGTTCAGATCAAAGCATCGAACAACTCAAACTCAGTGACATTTCAAGAGGCCTGATCTAGAAAAACATCTCTGATCTACGCTGATGATCCACGCTGAGGACAGGATTCTGTTTAGATCCACTTCTGTTCAAAACCTTGATACTTTATTGATTTTGATAATCTCTCCCTGGGTTTTGAACTCCCTCTCGCACAGTTCCCATGGTGATGCAGCCATGAATGACAGGCATGTGCAAACAGAGCGCTTTGAATGGGGCCTTTCCCCGGTGCCAGGCGGCTCAGTGGAGCCCACTCCTGAATGCCAGAGAAAAAGGCCACTCCAGCCCAAATTGTTCAACAAAGCCAGGGCTACCAGGCCTTTATTTAGCTTGGCCTGCCTCCATGACCCAGACCAGCAAAGCAGTGATGGGGGTAAAACACCAAGAGAGCAGAGTAAAAAAGCAACGGGGCAACAACATGCACGAGACAGAAATGAAAAGAAGACTAGTGTGAAACCATTTCTGTGACAATAACAGATCAAATCCTACAAGGTTTCCTATGGCGCTCTTTTAGCAGAGCTGAACAGATAAGGGTGCAGCAGGTCACAAGTGCATGTCTGATGCATTAATATGTGGAAATAAATGAGTCCAGTCACTTGTGAAGGATTTAAAAGCAAGTTATTGGCACTGTATGAGAAACAGACTGGTGCACACGGTATGCCTGCAGTTCAAATAAACAGACAGGACAGACAGTGAATCATGACTACTCAACAAAAAGCTCTAAAACAACCTATAATGACCCCAGTGGAGGTAGTCTGTGCGGCTTATTAATGTAAACCAGAGCAAGACAGTAAAAAAAGCGTCAGTGTGATTTTAGACAAGCAAATGAAAGTGATGAAATCCTTCCATGAATTAAACTTGAGGAAAGAAAAATAAGACATAAAAAGTTGGTTCATGCCAACCTGGAAAAAGTGTTCCTTGCATAATGCATGATGCTGCCAAAGTCGTACACCTCCCCGAGTGAGTCGACCTCGTCTGGCTCCATCTTCAGGAAGTTATACTCCTGTCCTGGTCACATTCACATCGTCACTGGACTCAATGAAAGGAAAAACATCTGGAGCACACACATGTGCTAACACATTTAGTCGCCTTAACACATACTTCAGTGAACTGTACCTGGTTGGATGTTGTCCCTGATGATGCTCACATGTTCATCACGGTCTGGACGGGTGTGTTCGTGCCAGAAGCCGATCACATGGCCTAACTCGTGGACCACGATGCCAAACTTATCGCAGTTCTTTCCTATGGAGATGGCCTGAGGTCCACCGCCTCTCCTGCCCACATAGGAGCAACACCTGCGGGAGATCATAACATTGATGATCGAGCTCCCCCTTTGAACTATTTTCATGTATGAAAACTAACTATTTTTAAATCACCAATTATGTCACTGATGGTCTTGTTTGTTTTTAAATACCATGAAAAGGCATCAGTATGGATTTAAGGGTGACACTTTACAACAACCATAATTTACAAATGGCAAATAAATAGTTTATTAATACAGGTTAACAGTTACTTTACTGTTAACAAGCAATGAAATTATGATGAATAATTTTCATTAATTATTAAAGGACTATTTGCTAAAGGTTTATAAAGGGTTTTAATATTGGTTGTAAAACATCTGGATTAAAATGTGTGTCAGTAGCACTTTGTAAATGGTTGATAAGTGGTTTATGAACCACCTATAAACATTACTTAGATGGTTATTGTAAAGTTAGGGTCAGGTTTTTGAAATTGTAAAATTTACAGTTTATTAATGGTCTGTATGCCAAATGATGATTTAACATTAATAAACTATCTATTTACCATTTATAAGTTATGGTTATTGTAAAGTGTTAGTGATTTAAGTTCATTTCATTGATGTAAAAAAAGTTCCTCACAGGAGCTTTAATAATGACTCTCCTGTAGCCAACTCACCCACAGGGTCGGTAGGTGAACACAATATAGCTTTCTTCAGTCGTCCTCTCTGTGAATGTTACACAGGTGTGTTTCTCCCAGTGACGCATGGCCTGACGGAAAATGGCCCGCTGACTGCCTGAAAGAAATTATAGTTTGACCTGATTTCAGACCATCAAAACCTCACATGGAAACAACCAAACTTTTGCTCCAGGGAGAGAAACAAGATTTTTTTAATGTTTTCATTCAGAACTCACCACTGAAATTACCACTGATGACATAAGGGATGATGCCGTCCGGCCACACTCGCTCAGGTCTGGAGGTGGCTGCTCTCCGGAGACGATGGAGACTGCGCTTGTCTGCGACTCTTTGACTGCTGACACTCTCAGTGGAAGAGGAGCTGTTACCTAGGAAATAACAAATCTGCATTGATTAGCTTCAAGTTGAAGTCTCTAAACAGTCAGTAAGGACATTCATAGGTTGGTACATGTATTTCTGTTTTGATACCCAAGTCTGTGTGGTTGGTCTGATCAGCATGTTGTGCGCTGTTGCCTCTGTGAACTTCTCGAAACATGCGTAGGTCGTCTTCATCGAGGGCAATATCTCCCCAAAAGGCAGCTGGCAAACAATTGAACAAACAGATAAACAACACAAGCATGTAGAACTGTGTTTAAGATTTACAAAGAAATGTTAGGATTAAATCATACAAGTCTAGTCTGGAAGAGTAGATGCTGCCTACATTTTTTACAGCACTTCAACTAACTTATAAAAAAATAAAACTTTGACGAGATGGGCAATTATAATGTCTTTATCTTTTGAACTTCACAGATTTTTTTGGTCAAAACTTGATTGGAAATCCTATAACCTCCTCTGTACCTATCTATGCAGATATGCTTTCTGAAGATGAAGTTATTTTAACATTTTTAAAAGTATTCTGAGTGTCCCTCTAATGAAAACCGAAACCCTGCATGATTCGTTTTGTCTGTTTGTCCTGAGAAGAGGCCTGAGCAGGGCTCCATGTGTCTGTTTGATCAGCAAACACACCTCCCAAATACACGACTGTCCAACTGCTGAGTCATTTTACAGAAAAGAAGATGTGACCTGGATACTTTACAGTATCGTGATCTAACTGTGCTGGACTTTGCAGTGTTGCTGAAAAGCTACTGAAACGGTAACCCACAGTACACTGAGCATTTTTAAGCTGAATTGTTGTAACAGAGTCACCTATAGTTGTCTGAACAGTTGTATTTCCCCAGAATCTCACAGCTCGGCTATTGTAACCAACTCTAACAATATTGACCAACTGTTCTTTCAGGAGTTTACATGATTGAAAAGGCTGAATTATACAACATTAATGACATTTATTGGTATCTTTGAATTGTGGAGTTCAAAAATGATTAAAAACAAATCATGGGAGGATTTACTTTGTGAAATACCTACAATCTTAATTTCCAGAAAAGGTGACAGATGAAGACTCGGATTTCTTAAAATCGGTAATTACTCATGATAATCATATCAAAACTCACTGTTTCCATTATTTGACTCTTCCTAAACAATATCTGCAGATGTGAAGTAATGAGATATATATATTTATTGCAGCAATCTCTTGATTGATCCCACTGAGTAATAGATGGCTATTAGACATCTAGTTTTTATGTAGACCTAATTTCAACTGTCTAGATTCTGCGTATTTTTAAACAGAATTTAGATGTTGCACTTTAACCTATTATTTGATAACTATTTATTTAAAAAAGCAACTGTGAGTTGCATAACTGATCTCCAAGTACTTAACCAAAATAACTATGATAGCTGTTGAGCAATATACAGTGTATAGATATAGCCCAGATTAAAACTTGGTCTAAATTTAGACGTCTAAAAAACTTAAACTTTTAGACCTGTGGTAGACTGATTTTAGTCCAGTCGTCTAGGCTACATTTAGACGTCTATTTGATCTCTTTTAGACCAAAAAATGCTCAGTGGGATTATTGTTATTATTGATCTTTAGATGGTGTGTAAATAAAATTATCAAGTACAGTAAAATCTGTATTTGTATTTGTAATTTGTGCAGTAATTCACTGAAACACTCTCATATTAAACTAATTAGTTATTCAGCTACAATTTTTCTGCAGACAGATATTTATGGTCAAGTTTTATTCTGGGATGTATCTGTTTTTAGCTGAGTAAAAGATCGAAAGGATTCCATCATTCGTAACATAATCAGGGACGGTCAGGTCAATGTAGAAAAAGAGGCAGAGGGATCCAACATGAGCTCTAAAAAAGCTAAAATAACACAAAAAAATCGAGCTCCTTAAAGAAAATTCATCCTTACCTTGTGAAAAAAGAACAGACAATCAAAACCAACAAAAGTTATTGCCTGGACATAAATGGAGAAACCTTAACAGCTGTCTCAAAATATAAAGTTCATTTGAAGTGCCTTAGTCACACTAAAACTTCATCCTGATGCCCAAATGTTAATTTTATGTCTGCAATAATAAGAATAAAGATGTAACTGAGTGGTTAAGCCATTGTAGGTGACATCACATTCACATTTGGCCGACTTTGCTCTCCTCTGGGATCAACATGTTGTTTCCATCATTATGACATTACTTCCTGTTTAAATCAAGATCTCAAGCTGGACGGCTGTTTGGAGTTTTTCCCGTTGAATACCTCATTTAGCCGTGTGATGTAAGAGACTGTGAAAGTCTAAATGAAAAGACGTAGTGGGCCCTGTGTCGGCCTTTGAAGTGAATTCACTCATGCAAAGGGTGACTGTAAATGACTGTCACTCCTGCAGCGTGCACCCCATGCCCTGCAGCCAGAGGGATTTCACCGGCGTCCAGCCGAGGACCGAGCTGGCACGGCCTCAATGACCTCTGGTCTCCTGGCAACAGCTCAGAAGGGGACGAGTGGTGTGTTTTGGACGTTTCTGAAGTCACAAGTGAAAAGGGACCCCGAGCAGCGAAGGGCCCTGAGTTATAAAAGTGATTGTTTACCCTGTTAGAAACAGGAGTAAATAAAGTTGTGCACATGTGGCGTAGACTCAGCAGTTCTGAGCTAACATCCATATTAAAAACAGAACATGTTCATGGATGTTTCTTTTATAAAGTGGATTAAATTTGGAAACTGGCGTATTTTAAAGATAACAAATTGATCCCTTTACTTAAAAACAGCCATAAACCAGTCACTTCAGAATTACATTTGTGAGCTACGCGTATACTTCACTCTTGCAGACTCACCTTGTCCCCTTTACTCACTGTTCGAGACCAGTCTTAATCTACTGCATTCAACAGATGGGATTTCACTAGCACCTTAAAGATCAATACATTCATACATTACTGTCCTTTAAATATGATGCAATCATTACCTGATATTGTAACATACAGAGGACTTTCTGTCACCTTATTGTTGCTTTACTTAAACAATATCACATGAAAAAAATAACTATATATTGTAGGTCAAATTTAACACACGGGACTAGGAGCTGCTCTGCATCAGTCCATCTTAATCAACTTAAATTGTACTTTCTGAGAAGTTGCAGAAATATGAAATTCAGCTGTTGGGTTAAATGGCATTATCATAACTTTTACAATTGTAATAAAGCAGCTCAATATATTCTGAAATCTTACACCAGGTAATTATCATCGCTGGCTCACAGTAAAATCTACATCCATGTTTTAAAGATACTTATCAAACTGTGGAAAAAAGAATAAAACTTTGGACTTCAGCACATGAAATGAAAAGCTTTAGCTGTTCTTTAAAGACTGTGATTTCACATATAAAACATAGACAGACTGTGAATTATGTAATATGGCCAACTTCTGATGCTTTACATGCATTTTGTTATCTGATAACTCTTTGAGCAAAACTGAAAATACACACCTACAGGCAAAACCTACTAGTACTCTTCAGCTTTGAGCCAGTTGTAAAAAAAATAAAGGAGTCACTTATCTTAGAACAAAGTCATATATATATATATATATATATATATATATATATATATATATATTTATATATATATATATATATATAGTAGGAGTATCATGATCCGTACCTACTTAAGCTTTAAGCCCCACAGGGATCAGGGCCTAAAGTGTCTGTAGATACCAGCCAATAATATTTATCCTTTACACCCAAACAAGAAACACAAGAATCAATCAGGTAGAAAATGAGGCATATGCACTGTACCAGCTTTACAAGGATCCTTGTAGTCGATTACATCACCATTGTGGGTGAAATTGGTGTCCAATGACTCCCAATCAGCAGCCAGAGAGACGCGCAGACAGACGCACAACAGGTACAGAAATGCAGAAGCGACTTCCATACCCCCAGATCAAACTGTCCAACAGAGGTAAAGCTAAAGAGCGGGAGTTTTATGACAAAATCAGAGCAAGGAACTTCCTCCACCAGATGCGACGGGATTTTTTTTTTCTTTTTATAAAACACAGCCTGCTTTCTACTGAAGTGATTCGCTGACATCCAGGAGCGAGAGCAGAGCGCACACAGTCAAGCGCAGAGCAGAGCACACAAGCATGAATCTTCTGCCAGAGAGGTACTTTACCTGCAGTACCAGGGGTGACACACGTTTACATAATGTGTGACCTCATTCCCTCTGGTTGTTTAGGTTTAGATCATTTTGGAGCAGGTTGGAAAGCATCACTTTACGCGCGGTTTGTTGCAACAGTTTAAAATTGCCGCAAATATTTGGAAATGTGCTGACTTTTGATACATTAGGTGTTAATTTTACAACATGTATGTCGATTCTATGCTACTTATTGTGAAGAAAATGATTCATGTAAGAGAGTAATGAGTTTACTTACCTACAGTGTAGTGACTCTGATGTCCTTTTTTACTGACTCCAAGCTTCTTTCCATCTAAAGTTTATCTGCTGCCTCATCTTACATTTAGTAACATTTTACAAAAACTAAATCCTGTCACTTACCCTGACTGCTACTCTAATGCCTCACAGTGATGGGGAAAGAGAATTAAGTCAGCTCCATGGGCTGTTTTTAAATGTTGGATCTACCAGAAAGGACTACTGCCATGACTGCTTTTTTTAGGTAAAATGCCCAGGTACTGTCACTTCAGTTTAACCGGTTTGTTGTGTACAAACTGCAGCATGTTGCTTTAAGACTGGAAATGTTTGTCTCCTGAAGTCAGATATACATTATTAACTGATACTTAACAAGTCCTTAGGCAGTAATTTACCAATAGTTTGTTCATGATCTATTACTAATGTATAAGGTCCAATTATAAACCATTAATATATAGTTAACAATTTACTAGTAAAACATATATAAACTATTCACTGATACTTAACAAGTCATTAGTAAGTAATTTACCAATAGCTTGTTTATGATCTATTACTAATGTATAAGGTCCAGTTATAAGTCATTAACATACAGTTAACAAGTCATTAGTAAAACTATATAAACTATTAACTGATACTTAACAAGTCTTTAGTATGTGATATTTTATTAACTGATACTAATACTCAACATTAGTGTAACATATATAAACTATTCACTAATACTAAACATGTCATTAGTTAGTAATTTACTAAAAGCTATGAACTGATATTTAACAAGTAATTTGTAAAAGATGTAAAAACTATTAACTAATACTTAACAAGTCATTAGTAAAAGATAAAAACTATTAACTGACACTTAACAAGCCATTCGTATAACATATATAAAATATTAAATGATATTTAACAAGTCATTAGTAAAAGATGTATAAACCATGAACTGAAATGTATTACATATATAAAATTTTAACTGATTTCTAACAACTCATTAGTAAGCAATTTACTAATAGCTTGTTCATGATCTTTTACTTGTTCATAGGGTATAGTTATAAATCATTTACATACAGTTAACAAGTCATTCATTTAGCATATATAAAATAGTAACTGGTACTTAACAAGTTATTAGTAAGTAATTTACTGATAGCTTGTTCATGATCTATTACTAATTTATGAGCTATAGTTATAAATCATCTACAGACAGTTATCAATCATTTATAACTCGTTAATCAACGGTTTATTTTATATTATATATTAACTATCTATAAGGCATCATTATAAATCCTTAACAAACACATTAATAACTCATTAATTAACAGTTTACTAATATCTATGAACTAGTCATAATGGATAGTTATTATAAAGTGTTACCAATATTCAGCTTCAGAACTTTAACCTTTATTGGAGTTACAAAGTCTCATTGGCCTGAAGCAGCCCTATTACTGCCCCTAGTGGTCATAAAAGAACTGTTCAATTTTAGAGAATTGAGAGAACTAGCAGGGATAAATGGTGCCACCTGCTGGAAAATAGTCAGAACTACAAATTTGAAGCCAGGCCTGCAGATTGAATACACATTATAAGACAATGCAAGTTTGTTTGTTTTAAAGATTTTTTGGGGGCTCTTTTTTTCTGATTGTTTTTTTTCGAGAGGACAGGACAGTGGACAGGGTATGAAACAGGGAGAAACAGCAGTGAGTGACATATGGGTGAGGAGCCACGAGCAAAGAATTGACACAGGCTGACCAGTCGAGGCATAAGCTTGGCATATGTGGTGTGTGCGTAGACTGCTAGCCCTGTAGTGTCCAACAGCACTTGTACAGCTCTGCAATGGCTATCTGACCTAATATTGCAGCTGTAATGGGTTTGAATGTGGCTGTTTTTGTCCTGATTACTTTCATTTCACAACGTACAATGAGCCTGAAATTATAACAGATTAAGCTCTAATCCTAAGATTTGTATAGATGAATAAAAAATAGTGGGTCTGATGAATGAGAGACTTTTTTTTTCTAGACAGCCAGCTGTTTCAAGTTTTAATGAAAGTGTCTTTGCCTTGGTCTCAAACTTGAAAATATACATGAGAGTAAAATAAATCTTATCTTTAGATTACTCAACTTTGATAAACATAGAGTTGTTTTTTCTACTGATTACATTAAGTCTATCTGCTCTCCAGAGAGGAACTTATAAACACTAGAGCAGCTTGATAACACACAGTATAAGTGTGTAAGCATATATTCTGGCAGACAGAAAGTACAAAAAATGTCCACATACACTAAGACTCTGTCTGGAGATGAGGAGCAGCTGGGACGGCAGGAGACAGACAGTCAGGAATGAGTCACTGGTGTGAAAAACAGGTCAGTTTATGGCACCTGGTGGACAGGTGAAGGAAAGATGGGAAAATTGAGATGTGATGAAGGAGGAGGGAGAGCAGAACAGCTGTGTTTATGACAGAGTTGAGTTAATGGTGACGTTCGTACATCTGAATGTAAATATATGAAGGTTAGAACCTCTACATGTAGATCTGTATTACGTTAAAAAGAGGGGGCAGAAACTTGTGCAGTAATTTGGGGAAAAGAACAATATTTTCCTTTCAATAAGAAAAGACGAGTGCATCCAGTTCTATATTTGTATAATGAATCCTGAAAGCCAGCAGGAGGTTAGTGTAACTTAGCATAAACACAGGAAACAGCTAGTTATACAGTCTAAAAGTTAAAAACATCCACTTATGACTCACCAAAAGGTTTTCTTTCCAGCTTTTATGTCATATAGTTTATTTAATTTAGATAATTTCTATGTTTCTAACCTCGTCTTCACAGATCATTTATTGAGCATAAGCAGTTTTTCATCCATTTCGTCTTTTCTTTTCCTGGTTTGTAGTCAACTCAAAAGCTCCACAGTAATTTAAAATCCAACTTGAAAATGTTAAACTTTTTCTGAAGGATTTCTGGTGAAGTGTAAAGAAGTGCATGGTGCATGTGTCACCACTAAGTGGCACTAATATGTAAGGTGTAGGTCTGAGTAAACTTGCAGGAAAAGGTGATAAACTAAAAAAAAGTTTTTGCAGAAACAAAAGTTTGACAATGAAAACTGTTTTATTCAGACAAATAAGTCAGAGAAGAAAAGAAAATCACACATCGAGGCTCTTTTTTCTGTGATCTCACGACACTGTGTGGTCGAATAATTAAGTGTAGAAAGAGAGAGGTGGAGGGAGAGTCGGTCCAGCTCTAGTCCTCCTCTGCCAGCACACATCTGCAGCTGGAGATGGGATACTGATCCAGAGAGAAGCCTTGGAGATCACTCTGCACAGCATGGCTGAACACACCAGAGTGCTGTGAGAGGAAAAGCAGACAGATACCTCCGGCTCAAGCATTTCAACTTCTCTTTTCTCTGCTTGTGCTGATGTTTTCTTTTACACTCGGTGTGATGTCCCAGTGCTGCAGGCAGGTCCTGCTCGGTGTGGAACTGAGCATACTGGTGGTGTTTCTGGTGGCCGGCAGCACCGGTCAGATCTATGACAGGAGAGAGGCAGGATCGTCCTGCTACGGAGGATTTGACCTTTACTTTGTGTTGGACAAGTGAGTATCACTACCTCTTCTTATAATCGCAGGAGACATCTTTTCATGACTGATGCATGAATCATGTCCAATTGTTGTAAAGACACAGGTGCAAAATAACCTCCAGAAGGATTTTGCATGAAAAATATTAGCTGACAGACTAAAGCCTACTGGTTTTTAACCTGTTGATCATATTCATCGGTCTTAATAAGGTTTGTAGAAGTTGAAATAGCAACAGGTTTAAGATGAGTGAGGGACAAAAGAAATATAAAATAGTCTCTTGAACTGTCAAATCAAAATAAAGCATCCAGGGTATTTTTGAAATGTCACTTCTCTGGGTATTTCTGCAGAAAGTTGCAAGAAAAATAAGCCTGCAAGAGGTTTTTGGAGAAAAAGTGGGACACTTATCCGTGTCAACCACACAATCAAGTATCACTTCATATAAACAACGCTGACCTGATGAGCCGCAAGTAAACACGTCTTAGTATGTTAATTTAAAAAGATGTGACACTTTCTAATCACAGGAAATTTATCAAAAAGCTTGTTGCACTGGCAGTCATTTTTATTACTCATAGCAGTCGATGAAGTGTTATTCCGGTTCTTTTTACAAGAAATTTGACAAATCTATTCTTGCAAGATTTAAGTTTTTGTGGTTTAATCCCTGAAACTGAAGGGTAGACCAGTTCCTCACAAGGCCTTTTGAAAGAATTCAGAGAATGCTTGTTTTAAAAGTTGATGAGTCTGCACATTTTAAGGCTGTTTCCACAATCACAAATGAAAATCTGGGAAAATGCTAATCACAGATCTCCCAGGCCCGAGGTGATGACTCCTGGTGTTTCATTTTCTTGTCGCAACAGTTCAGCTCTCAAAGTCATTCAGTTAGATATAAACTGAAATGGAAAATGGGAGAAATCTTGATTAAATGGTTCATCTCTTGGCCTGAAAATTAGTATATATAGGATAATTGATTTATTTATCCTTGGGTTAGAGAAAAATCAGAACATGGCAGAAGTTTTTGGAGACTTGAAAGGACACGACCAGCGGACTCAGTTGTCATGTTACCTTTAACTTCAAAGCTCCTGTGAAGAACTTTTGGTTTATGTCCGGTTTGGCGCCCCCCGGTGGATAAAGCAGTCTTTGCTTATTTTACCATCTACATATTTAAAAAGTATCTTCTGACAAAAATCTCATCCTGCACATGTAACATTTACTATGTGGTAAATTCCCCCCAAGATGCTTGGACAGGCTCTAGCCCCCTCGCAGTAGAACATGGATGGATGTAAAAACAGGGCAGTCCCTATGCTGCTGGGCCGACACCTACGCCCCTTATACTGATTTCAGGCATAAAAACCAGAATTTAAATATCATCAAGCTTGCCTCTGATGGTCTTGTTTGCTTTTGTTTATCATAAAAAAAAATAACAGTATGAATTTCATGAACATAAAAAAATCCACCCACAGGAGCTTTAAAACTATATGTCAGTGGAGCGTATAGATATAATACTCTTTTGTTGGTGGTTGAAGTAGTGATTCGTGGAAAAAGTAATTGTAAAAATAAAACGGGGCTCCAGTTGAGCCACCCCAGTTCAAAAAGTCTGGCCACGCCCCTGCTGTGAGCGCGAACACAAGGGTTAAATTACACCATCCATTAAACTGTCACGAGGCCAACATGAAGCTCCTGAACAGGTCACATCAAGCCAAGTAAACATTCAGCACAAGCAACTTAGGGGTGGTGAGACCTCACTGAAAGTGTGTTTACACAGTGACAGATGATTTGTGAAGTTATTTTGCATTCACTTCGATGATAAAGTGCACTGCAGGGATTTCTGTCATCAAACCGCGGCCACGTCTCGCTGACAGGAGCCCTCATCCAGCCTCGGCTCTCCAGCTCTCTCTGCTCCAGTCTGCAGAACCCTTTCTCCATTAGAGCCAGATGTTCCAAAGATCCCCAGATTCTGGCAGTCCGTGCGCTGAGGCTCCCAACTCAGGATAAATGAAAACATGAGGGAGGGTGAAGAAGAGAGACAGAGGAGGAGGAGGAGGAGGAGGCTACACAGGTTGAGCATAGGTTGGCTCAGTGTCTCTTTAATTAGTTAAGTGCTCTGTAAAATCAGGACATGAAGCTGGTCTTACTTGAGACTAAGACGTGGCACTTGTGTTTTGTTTGGTATTTTCACTTGAGCAGCAGAGCAGCATGAAATGAAGGAAAAGATATGCATCAGCATTTAAAAGGACGCGCAAGGAAGGAAACTTACTCACTCTCCTTTGTGTTGTCTCACATCAGTGAGCTGACGGACATTATTCAGTTACATAATATTAAAAGTTTGCAGCATGTTTAAAGAAATATCACGAATACAAACTAAAGAGTTTGGTTTCTAAAAAGCACGCAAAGATCTCAAAACGTTTGGGCAGACGAGTTCTGATTTTGATTTTTGTAATGTGATATTGCCGTACCGAATGTAGAGAACTTTTGATCAGACTCAAATGTTCAATGTTCAAAGTTTCTTAGACAAAATAAGAGAGAAGAAAGATGATCTGTTGAGCTCTCAAGTCATTTAATTTAAAAGAAAAAATAGAAATAGCCTGCTACAAGACATGGGAAGGATTTTTTTTTTTTTTGCTGTATGTGGCACAAAAGTTGCATCTTTGTGTTGTGAGCTGTTTTTTTAATGTGAAAAATGTTGTGCTTTGTGGAGTAGAAATGGCATTAGACATTTGTATGTATCTTTGAAGTTGGTGTTAACTCACTTGAACAGAAAAACTGTACAGTTTCTGGAAACTTAAAATGAGTCTTTTGTATCTACCTACTCCGAAACAGCCGTCTTGCTCCGTATTTTTACCGTAACACATAGTAGACAGATGAGAAACATACATGTGGATTTAGTGAGTGCCCACGTGAAATACATTAATCATCCAATAGGATACAAGAACTTCATTTCTCCCCAAAGGGAAATTCAGTGCACCAGTTAGAAGATGAGAAAGATGTAGAAGAGGTTGAAGAAAGTGGTTTTTGTTTTATGCAAAAGAATGTGTATAAGTGGATGTAAAAACTTGACAAATGGAGGATCATATTTATCATGCCTCACAGCTCTAGAGTCTGACTGCAAGATGTCACCCTAACTCTCCAATGTTGTCACTTAAAGCTCTTAGACTTTGTAATTATTTCAGTATTTTCATAGTTTATGGACCACCTATGATAAACATTCATATCGAACCTTTTTTAAAAGTTTTCCTTTTTTTGCTGTCTGATCTCTCTATTAAAAGTCCTTCTTCATACGTATGAAAATGCCTCATCAAATCCCTGCAGGACTTCTTGATTTATTGTTTTTACTTTCCAAGTTTATCCTTTTTTTAAACCAACGAGGTATTTTATTGGTTTTATTTGGATCCCTCTCCAGGTCTGGCAGTGTGCAACACTACTGGAATGAGATTTATTACTTTGTTGACCACCTGGCTCACAAGTTTCTCAGGTGAGTCCACCACACAGAAATTTTAGATCCACTCAGAAAAGAAAAAAAAAATTGACAGAAGTCTCTTTTTCTTCTCTTTCAGCCCTCAGCTGCGGATGTCCTTTATTGTGTTTTCCACAGAGGGACGCACTTTAATGGCACTGACTGAAAACAGGTAAACAAACTGAACACAACCTCATTCTAATATCATAATCATTTCTTTAAAATTTCTTATATTCTTAATTTAATTATCAACTAAAAATGGTAAACTTTTTAATAAACTTTTTACTATTTTTAATATTTTTTATCAGAGAGCAGATCCGGGCCAAACTCGAGGAGCTCAGCAGGGTGCAGCCGGGCGGAGACACCTACATGGACAAAGGTTTAAAAAGAGTAAGCCATCTGTTAAGTCAATGGGAAACAGATCCAGCTTATGCAACAGTATGGCATCTTAACTTTTCATAATGAGGCTCATTCAATACATAACCACTGACGCCTTGATTCTCCTCTTTTAGGCCAGCGAGCAAATTTACTACGCAACAGGAGATGGTGAGTAGACCATTTTGCCTTATAACACTTAATCACTCCCTCTGCAAGGGGAGTGTTTTTTACCCATTCGTAATAACTCCATTTAAACATGTGCAAGATTCATCATATCGAGCTGTTCTCTCCATCACATGACTAATATGTTCAAAAGCTGATTCCCACTCCAATAAAAAAGGTATTTCAGTGGATAATAATGTTCCCGATGTGTCTCTGACTTGCAGGTTACCGTACAGCCAGTGTCATCATCGCTCTGACGGACGGTGAACTGAGAGAGAATCAGTTTGACATGGCGCAAAGAGAGGTGATGTGAAAAGCAGTTTTAAAATAAACTTTAACATAATATTAAAGGGATATTCCGGTGTAAAATTTATTTAGGGTCAAACACACCGTAACACCAAGTTAGACACCCCCTCGAGAGATGAACCGCTTGCTTCTCTAGTTTTACCAACTTTAGTAACGACGGCAGGATTGTAATACACAGCGGTCTGAGGAGCCACACACAAACCTCAACCAAAAAGCCACTCTATAGCCACAAATAATGCTCAGAACAGCACCTAACTTCATCAACAGTACATATAGGGTCCTAGACACAACACTAGCCATCAAACATCTTTTTAGCTTTGCCTAATTTCTTTAGCAAAGAGACTAAATACAACTCACCTACTCTCTTCAAGCAGCCGCTTGTTTGTAGCGAGACCTCAGGCCAATCCATGGGGTGGGGCAGCTCAAGGAAGAACATTTATGATCATTACTTTAAGTTTTCTTGAAGTAATAATCACCATATTAACTATTTTGCACTGCGGACGCGGTAGTTCTTCTGCCTTAGCGTCTCAGTCTGATTGCATTTCCATGAAGAAATGATCATAAATGTTTTTCCTTGAGCTGCCCCCCAATAGCGACTATTGGAAGAGAGTAGTTGAGTTGTGTTTAGTCTATTTGCTAAAGAAATCAGGCAAAGTTAAAAAGATGTTGGCTAGTGCTGTGGCTAGGACCCTATATGTACTGTTGATGAAGTTAGGTGCTGTTCTGAGCATTATTTGTGGCTATAGAGTGGTGTTTTGGTTGAGGTTTGTTTATGGCTCCTCAGACCGCTGTGTATTGCTATCCTGTGGACTTTACTAAAGTTGGTATAACTAGAGAAGAAAGGGGTCGACAACATTAATCTCTTGAGGGGGTATCTAACTCTGTGTTACAGTGTGTTTGACCCTAAATTAATTTTACACTGGAATATCCCTATAATTCACGGTTAATAGGTTAAGAGAGTTACCTTTTCAAACCGCCAAAAGCCAGTACAAGCTACGACGATGTATAGTGCATTGACTGTATAAAAGATGGACCAGGTGGCTCGACTTCCCCCCTCATACAAAAGTGAAGCCAAAGTCCCTCTTCTGCAGTTGTCGTTAATTTCCTGCCCTTTGTACTCGGGGCAGGACTTTGTTTCATTGCATAATCTTCAAAGCAAAGTCGGGAACAAATAATTGCAGGAAAGTCAGAACAAGGCAAGGACTGCTCGGAAGTTTTGGCCCGCAAAGTTTCCCCTGTGTGATTTAGTGTGTCGTCACCCTTTAGCGGAGCCTTATGTCATTTGTTTGATGCTTTGTTTTAAAACCAGGCCAGCAGAGCGAGACAGCTGGGGGCCACAGTGTACTGTGTGGGGGTGAAAGACTTCAACGAAACCCAGGTAAAACAATCCATCATTAAATTCTTGAGTTAACCAGAGGATGACGAATCGAATAAGACTGTAAACTCATGACTGGTTTGGTCGTTGACAGCTTTCAACGATAGCTGACAGTAAGGACCATGTGTTCCCAGTGAATGATGGATTCCAGGCACTGCAAGGGGTCATCGACTCGGTATGAAGCAAACAAGAACACATGCATATGATACGTCACCACCAAACTCAATTTGGTGTTCCTGTTATTAAGTTTCTGTATGCTTTTTTTCCACCTATCAGATCCTGAAGCGATCATGCATCGAGATCTTGGCTGTGGAGCCCTCCAGCATCTGTGCAGGAGGTATGCACAGTTTGATGATCATGCAAACTTTGCTGAACTTTTTAAAAACTCAAGTTGCATGGTCCTTCAGTCAGGAGAAAGTTATACAAGTGGTCTGTTTGTGCTCCTTTTCAGAATCGTTCCAGGTAGTCGTCAAGGGAAATGGTTTCTATCACGCCAGAGATGTCCAGAAGGTCCTCTGCAGCTTTCGCATCAACGACACAGTAACTATGAGTAAGTACACGCATCATGGGGTTGATTATAGTCTCTCTGCCTTTGTTTGACTCTTTATACTGTACATCAACAATGGGTGAAAAGTAAATGTTGATGTGGTTGACATAATAGTCACTCCCTCTCGGCTCTCTGGGTTGTTTCATGATTTCTACTTGTTTTGGTTTAATGGCTAACTGTGTTCCTCTCATAGCAGTAAACATATAAACCATCATAGTCAGCAGAAGTGGGCCTACATTTACTCTAACACTGGATCTTGGGTGATGCCTTATTAAGAATAAAAATTTAGTGAAAGCGTTGACCCTGACTGCAGGCCAAGATTCTGTGCTGTTACATCGCCAAGTTTCTCAACAAAGGGGGTCGAGGTGGCTCGGATCTTCTGTGGTTAAAACACTTACTATTGAAAATTGCCTCATGCAACCCTAACTCAAAAAGCCGAACTATCCCTTTACTTTTTTTTACTAAATCAACGTTAAAACCTGTGATACACAAACACATAAACACTCTGGATATTAAGAAGAACATGTTCATTATCTGCTCTTTTCTTTGTGGAGGAAGTCTTGTGCTTGTAGATATCCCTGTTTTTATGACTACATCCTTCTTAGTTCCCAAGAACAGAGCTTTAAGGAGTCAAGTGAGTTATATTTTTCTCTCTGACATTTTGACCTCTAAGGATATGCCGGTGAAGGTGCAGCACATGTGCTGGGAAAGTTGAAGAAGCTTTTCAGCCTCCAACATTTCACTTCCTGCATTCTGGTGAACACCCATACAGCATTTAGCAGAGGCAAAACTGAGACAAAATTATCAATATATGATTTTCAAAAAAATGTATGCTACTTCCTGCATGAAACACATTTTCTGGCCAGATTACATCTACTGTTTTAAAACTGAGTGGCTTAAAGTAAATCAAGTAAAAGAACAAACCGATTGAACACAATTTAAAGCATATAGTATATAAAATACACTCAGCTCTCAAACGCTGCACAGCAATCAAGCATGTACTGTATCATGAGGCTCGATTACTAAAAGGACACCTTGTCGAATTTAGCCATTGGAAGGGCATTTACAGGTCAAACAGGTCTAACCTAAATTTTATTAAAAACAGAGGGGCATCCAAGGGACACTTTTCCAACATTTTATATAACAAAAGGGCACCCTTTGGTGTGTTTTTAGAGTTTTTATAAAGAAAAGGCAAACAGAGAGTGTTTTTGTACATGTTTTATTCACTGGAAGTGTATCCAGAGAGCACTTTGTCATGTCTCATCCTTTGGAAGAGCGACTAACAAAGCAGTTTTCCCTGTATTCCTCATAGAGAGAGCACCAGAGAAGGCGTTTCATTTACATGAGCATCAAAGAGGGAATTTCTGCAGCGTGTCTTCAAACATGAGGGCACCAGAGAAGACTTGAGGCCCCCCCCACATTTTACCACTGTCTCACAGCTACCTCTGTGGCTTTCTTGAAATGAGCTAACATAGTTGCTTGGTTTGATCATAAAACCCTTATTTTTTATAGAGTGTTAATGTACTTACGGGTGTCAAATAGAAGAAATATACTTGAGGTGATATTTTTTTTAGCTTATCCAAGCTGGAAGAGGATCTTCCCATTTTGGTTAGATTACAAAAAAAATCAGTCAGGAAGAAAAAGTCTGCCTGGCCTTCTCCAAAAAAGACAACTTCTTGTATACTGGGGGACAATCTATCATGATATGGATGATTCCTTTCATAATTAATGTGACATTGCTCTAAAAAGACATTTTGGACGGACAGGTAAACTTTGCTGTGACAGGTCAATCTAAATATGTATGTGAATGAGTTCAAGCAGATCCTTTTCTGTCCATATTTTATTGTGAATCACTCTGTAGGTGTGTGAAAACGGACATTACATAAAGTTGATCTATTAATAAAGAGGATGGAAAGGCAGTAGGTTTTGGTACCTCACTCAGTAGTCATTGACATCATTCTGCCAAGTTTGGTTTGGCTGTGCGTCTTGGGTTTGGGTGGGGGAGAGCAGCTCTTTGTGGCTCACAATGATTTAACTCCCCCATCCTCCTAAAAAACCATCAGCAGCATCTAACGGGGCTCTGAATCAGCTGCTTTAACGCTTAGCGCTCCTCAGATGTCTGGAGGGGAATGTGGATCTCATCAGAGACGGGTGCTGTCTTTGCACACGCTAGACACCGGCTCAGCCGCGGCCAGCCAGGCTAAATAAACCGCATTCCTGCCTCATTTGCTTCATATTCCACAAAGAGAGGAAGTCCAGGAATTTAATAACAAGAAATATTTTTGAAGCTTGAACGTCCCCAAGTGTGAGGACTGGTAGAGAAAGATCGGGGACTATTTTCTTTGCATCACTTGAGCATTAATTTGCAGTATTATAGCATCTCATGAAATGAATCTACATGTTAATCCTTTTTCCACAGTGAAAAGACCTCTGGTGGTGAGAGATGTTTATCTTTTGTGCCCAGCTCCTGTTCTGGAAAAAGAGGGAACGTAAGTGATATCTAGTACTCTCACAAGTATCACAGTCAGGGTCGGGAGAGCTAGAAACTGTAGACTATTACAAAACTGCTGATGAATAGCTGTATCACAGTTCAAGAGTCATTTCTGGTCATTTCCCCAAGACCTCAACTTATTTATGTCAGGAAATAACACTAATTTTCGATTATAACTTTTATTGTACATATTTCACGTATTTTTTAAAATACTTTTTCTAATTATTTCAAGCAGATGGAGTTTTTTTCTCCTCACATTTACAGTATTATTTCCTGGTGATCTAGAAAACAAAAGCTAGGCTGGTCGCTGTAATAGTCCTGACCACAATATGCAATGCTGTCATTGTTATTCTGTGTTTTGAAACTCCAGGGATGATCATTAAAATTGAGCATGACTGAAAACGTCTCATTGACATGGAAAAAAAAAGAGCATATGAAATGTTTGCTAAGGTTTGGTGGGGGTGGACTTGAAATAGAAACAGGTAACACTTTTTTTTACTCATAATAAGATAAATCTAAGTGCTCTCATTTACTCTACAGGACTGCCACTCTCCACGTCAGCATGAATAATGGCCTCAGCTTCATATCCAGCTCTGTCACCATAACAGCCATCTCCTGTGTGAGTACCATGACGACGACATGTAACTTATAGTGTGGTCACTGACTTTACATGAGTAGTTCTACTTCTTTCACAGAATATGTTGAACTACATTCAACTTTTGACACTTTGCTTCATGATGCAAAGGCCGTGATGCAAACAAGATGTTTCAAAAACTTCAATGTAACTCACAATTTCCTCTGAGATTATTTCCCACCCTGACAGATTATTATTAATACAAAACAGACAGTCTATAAAAAGACTGATTAACTGGAATACAGGTTTAAAAAAAACACTCAATACGAAACTTAAGCAGTGATTTAAGTAGGGGTCAGTGTGCAAAATAAAATCCTGAGGGACATTATTTCATGTAGCGATCCGCATGCTGACTTTATCCCACTTATTACCTAGTGGACAAAGTGACACAAATTATTGATGGGAAGATGATGAAACAGTTCATTCATGCAGCTGAAGAATAGAGTAGATGGTTGGTTACTCTACAGCAAAGGTGTTATTCTAAACATTAAAGCTGACTTTTTCATTCATGTTGATTTATTGGCTTATTGGTTTAAATTCTTTCATGTGTTTTTGTTCTGTAATCCATGCTAATCTCACAATAAACACAATCATATGACTTAATGAGTGCATTTTCACTCTGTTTATGCTCTCTGTGTGTTTTCCTGATCTAGTCTGATGGGAAGTTTGTGGCCATCGCTCTGCTCATCCTGCTGCTCCTGCTCACCATCGCCCTGCTCTGGTGGTTCTGGCCTCTCTGCTGCACAGTGGTATCTCACATTGACTCAGATTGAAGAACATATAAAGGCAGATTTTATTTTATGAAAGCTCAAACTTGACAGGACTGCTCTCTGTTTTCAGGTCATCCATGAGCCGCCTCCTCCTGTAGTCGAGGACATCTCTGTAAGTCGTTTTATTTTTTGTCATCAAACTCTTATCAGTAATCTGCCTTAATATTCTTCACTTTTCAATGTAACATGCATGTTTCCTAACTCTTTTCTGCTCCAACTGATTTCTTATTGGGAGTTTGAATACTGTTTTTCTCTTCTTTAGGATGATGAGGATGGTTTTCCAAAGAAGCGTTGGCCCACAGTGGACGCCTCGTACTATGGAGGACGTGGAGTTGGAGGCATCAAGAGAATGGAGGTAGAAAGAGGAAATACTGACCAGTTTTTAATCATTAAATGTAACTATGAACAAAAAAGATGCTCTTAGACATAGAGTTCACTGCACTAGGGCTGGGTGATAAACCGAAAATTTACCGATACCGAAATTTACGACAATAATCAACGTCATTTTGTCCATATCGGTATATTCAGTGTCAAAAAAATAAAGGTTTGTTTTGGATGTGTGTAGGTAGGCTATGGTCTCATGTCCCTTTAAGACGCTGTCCTACGTCAGAGACATGACTCCACCCCATCCAGTCCAGTAACAAAGAGGGAAAGACCGGTGAGGAGATGGAGGATGGTTCAAAAGTTGCAGCGGTTGGAGCGGCGGCTTAAGTAGATGAAGTTAATATCATTTATGGTTACCGAGGTGAACTGCTCAATATATCGTGATGTTGATTTGAGGCCATGTCGCCCAGCTCTACACTGCACCTATGTTCATACTGTAAACAGCACTGAGACACGTGGCGCCCTAGAAACCAGCACTCAACTAGTTTTTGTCTGGAATCATTGAAAAATGGGAGAGAGATCAAACCTTAGTAAAGCGGGAAAACAAAGAGAAGCAGGAAGCCACTCATTCCTGAGAAGAGATGAGTGTGCAAAGTCCATGCTGGAAGAGCCTGACTCACTTTGTTGTGGTGGCTAGTTTGAAGCTCCTGTGAGAGTTAAGATGAGGCCAACTGGCCGGTAAACTGCAAGTACAGCAGATCCACCAAATGTTTGGTAGAAGCCAAGAACGGGTCTGTTTGAGTCTCAGATGAACATGGTTCGCAGATGAATCACTAAAGCTTTGCTGGTGATTTAAAAAGTACGTGGCTTTTGTTGCTCTGGCAACACTGGGATTGGATTTTGTTTGTTTAAAATGGTTAAAGGATAATCTCTGCAAAGAAAAAAAAGAGTGGAAGTCATCAGAAAAGTGAAGTCAAGATGTCAGGAGACCAAAAACTCTGTTTCAGATTAAGGAAAGATATTTAGAAACTTTTGCTTTGTGTTACATGAAACCTTAGAGCACAAGGTAAGAAGTCATCTTTATTCACAGATTATGTATTAAAGGTCATCTAGCTGCAGAATCTGTTAGTAAAAGACCAATTTTGGTGTAAGAAGTAGTAGTATTGCCCAACTGTGTTTAATGAGATGCTGCTACACATCACAATCACAAAACCTGTATGAGCTATCGTCTGATTCTGACACAACCCCTGAAGTTGATGGCTGACTTCCTGGGGCTCTAAGTTCAGTCAGTGGTTCGGAATAAAAGGATCTGACCAAGACTGTCTTTGAAATACATCACTTCCAGAAACAGTCCAGCTGGCAATATAAGAACAGGATGGGTGATGAAAAATAAAGTATTAAAGGTGAACTTCTTGATGGGTTATATCTGTGTAAACACATTTAAACTTTTGAGGCTGTTTTTCTGTGCCAACAACAGATAAACTGGTTTGTGACAACCTTTACAAAAAATCAGCCGAGACTCAAAGAAGAGTTGTGCAAGTGATTTCATTTCCAAATGCCATCTCTGGATGTCATTGGCCTGATTTGCATTGTTCACCAAGAGCTTCTGAAAACGCAGACAGCAAGGGACTCCAGGAAGAGGAGTCCCTGAACTGAAACTAACAGTTCCAGGTGCTTTTGGTTAAAAAGCACCTACAGCTAACTCTAAGCCATACCTAAAGGCCCCCTAAAAGGGGGCTCTTGCAGCCAGGGGACTTATTATTAGATGCTGATGGGACTGAAGAGGTGAGCGACAGATGAAAAAGATGACAGCAGGTCAAGAGGGCCACATGTCAAGCAGACTGAAGTCACCCTCTCAGTGTGAAGGACTTCACAGACTTGTGGTTCAGTCTGAGGAGTCTGAGCCTGAAGCCTTAAAGCTGCGCTGCGTCCAAACAGAGCAGTGGAAAATATGCACAGCTCATTTAAGTGTTTTCTCTGCCAAGTTGAAGCCTTCATGGCTCGTCTGTGGCAGCTGCGCGGGAGTGAATCTGAGTAATGAACTTTCATGGTTGTTTTGACAGGGCTGGTTTTACTTTGTGATGTGATGGATCGTTCTTGACATTTCCTTGTGCGATTTAAGTGGCTTGTTGAGCGACAAAAACATTTTTTGTTTCTGCAGTGAAATGCTCTTTATCTTTTGAAAGACAAACAATCTTTCGAAGTGGGTCTCTTTGCTAAATTTTGGGGCTTTCTGAGCCAAAAAATAAGCTTTGAAACTAATCTCAATGGTTCCAATGACCAGTACCAAGGTTTTTTCTTATTAAACCCACTTACCTACAAACACAAGATTATATGACAAAAAAAACAACAACTTAGAAGTAGTAGAGATCAAAAACCCTTTTGGGGGTTATTCAATACATGAAACATCAACCAATCTGCTAGAGTTCGTACGATCCACTCCAGTCCGATTCTTCATCACGCTGAAGAAATGAAATCATCTTGATGTTTTAGAATAATTGTGGGATATAATCTTTTGTGTAAAATCTAAGAGTCTGTGCCAGATAAATGCCCAAAGACAGCAGGTTAATGTGCCAGCTACAGAGCCAACATGCAGGTATGCTGAGTTTGCTAGCTTGGATGCTTATATTTGTTAAGTGGGATTGTGGGATTGCAATCTCAGAACCCATTAGCTATCATCTGAGAGCAAAATGTGCTCCTGGAGTCGACGGCCAACTCTTCGGCTCTCCTGATGGAGCCAACAGATTGTGATAAACAACTTAGATCCAATAAGACTTTCTTATCCATGTGTTGTATTGTTTACAGTTTAATAAGAAACCTGAGCAGCAGCTGAGTTTAGATGAAAAGCAAAATAAAATGACCCCTTCAGATTTATTCCAAAAACACATCATCATAACTTCTTGGATACATCCCTAAGAGTCGCCCTCATTCATCTCTTTCTGAGGGGTCACGGTTTCAGTAAACAGTAAATTACTCAAAGTCTAAGTATCGAAGATGAACCAGCCAATATTATACATCAACACCGAAGACTAAATGCAAACATGGCTACAAATACCCATAAACACAGCTGCAGCTCATGTAACCAGATATGAATAAATGAATGCCCCCTTTTTGCAGCGTGATGCTAATGGCTTCTGTTTTTTGTTCAGGTCCGATGGGGAGATAAAGGCTCGACGGAGGAAGGCGCCAAGCTGGAAAAAGCTAAAAATGCTCGAGTTGTGATGCCAGCGGAGGAGTACGAGCCACCGCGGCCCTACTACCACATGCACAAACCTCACAGACCGCAGAAGTGGTACTCTCCTATAAAGGTGCTCCATTTACTCACATTTTTGGGGCTTTTGAGTATATGTTTAAAAACCAAGCTTTCAATCACCTCTCATGTTTCTCTTCAGCGTGCCAGGTTGTCTCAGTGTTGTTGAACTGTCATCAAATGGATTTAATAGCAGATCTCATGGTGTGAAAATATGTATTATACAGGACGATACATATTCCAGATGTTAGATTTATCGAGCTCTTCCTGACGAGGATGTCGACTCTGATAACACAAAGAATGTTTCATTTTTAGAGCGACTGGGAATGATGTGGGACCAGGAAATAGTTAATAAATATTAGTTCCCAAACACATTAGTCAGCTGGATCGATGGAAATAAAAACCAGACGTGAACTGAGCTCACCCCTGACTTTGGAATCTGTCGAGCGGCTGTTGTTACTGACAAAGTACGCTCTTTGTTTGTCTGTCTAATCCAAATCCAGGCTGCATAAACTCCGCTCATTAGATAACTCAGTTTGAAAGGATTGTTTTAGCTGCTTCAAATGTTCTGGTTGTAATCAGGAGTTATAGACTTATATTTCTTATTCAAACATTGTTTACGATCATCTGTCCACAGGGTAAACTGGATGCTCTGTGTGTATTTCTGAGGAAAGGCTACGACAGAGTGTCTGTGATGCGGCCTCATCCCGGAGACAAGGTGAGACACTGATAACAGCAAAATAAGAAACAGATGCGGTGTGATGCAATAGCTTCTTCTATGAAATGATAAAAAACAGCATCAAGTATCCGTACAAATGAATCCAAAACAAAACAATCAATAAGACTATGAGGTAACAGTGTCAACTTTTGGCCGGAAGATGAACTATTTTCATCTCAAACATCCAAAATCAAAGCTGCATTTAATCACAAGAAAAGTGACTTCAATGAAAGTCTCATGAGGCCCAGAGAGAAGACAAAGGTATAAACAGCTGTCGCATTGTCTGGAGGAGTTCTCCTGTCTGCTGAAGTCATTAGAAGTCGTTGTTGTCTACTCGAGCTCTCAGTGTCAGAGCGGGCAGGCAGGAATTCTTCCTGACAGAGGAATTTCCTCTTTCCATTTGTTGAAGCGGTAACCTTTCAAACCTGACATTGGCTGTGCAGGTTTAGAAGTTTTATTGAACAAACTTCACTTTCTTCTCTTTATAGATCCTTTATGAATTGAACAAGCCTCAGACACATATAGTAACACCTACAGTGTTCCATCTGATATTGGCTGGTATTTGATACTGTAGAACATTGTTTCAAAGCAGATGCCTCCACAGAAACCATATGAACTCACCCCTCAAACACTGGCTTCAGGTATTAAAAAATTCAATATAAAACCCCCCAATACTGTCACCAATGGTCTTGTCTGCTTTTGGATGTGATAAGAAGGCATCAGTGTAAATTTTCAGTATAATCTTAAAATGTGAGCTCTTCATTGGAGCTCTAAAGGGATATTCCAGCGTAAGGGTCAAACACACCGTAACACCAAGTTGAACACCCCCTCGAGAGATGAATGTTGCTGACCACTTGCTTCTTTAGTTTAACCAACTTTAGTAATGACCGCAGGATAGCGATACACAACGGTCTGAGGAGCCATAAACAAACCTCAACCAAAAGATGAAGAAATGATCCTGTGGTCGTTACTAAAGTTGGTATAACTAGAGAAGCAAGCGGTCGGCAACATATATCTCTCGAGGGGACGTCTAACTTGGTGTTACAGTGTGTTTGACCCTAAATTAATTTTACGCCAGAATATCCCTTTAAGAGTCAAAGGCTGTCCTGGTATTAGAGTTTTAATCTGTGTCAGTTTAAATATTCGAATCAGCGAGAGAAAAGTCAAATCCAACATCTGGAACAGAAGCCTCTGTTTTGAACCACCATGTTTTCCATTATCACAGGGCCGCTGCATAACCTTCACCCGAAGCAAACCCTACTCTACTCCTCGCTACCCCATCTACAACCACCCCTCTACACCTGTCTACACCTTACCCCACTGTTATCAGCGCCGTCCATCAGACGACAGCACTCTCTACCATCTGCCACCTTCGCCAACTTCAACACTCCCCCCTTTACCCTCTACTCCTCCCCCCTCCTCCACCAGCCCCCCGACATACACACCACCTCCAAACAGAGCCCTACCCCCAAACAACTTCAGCCCCATCTATGCACCTCCATCTCCTACTGGCACCTTACCACCTCCACCTGATGGTCCACCTCCGTGTAGGGCTCCTCCTCCGTCTCGCCCTCCTCCACGCCCGAATCAGGACAACTACTGATGAAGAAGATTACAGAAGTCAAATTCAAGAAGCAGGATTTAAACTCAGGATGGAGACATGAAACGACATTCTCACTCTGTGTGCTCGAGTGAGAATTAAAGTGACTGCGTTATGCCGCCTTGGTTGGCTGCAGCTGTGGATTCAACGCCTTCATGTTGAAAACTTTAAACACTTTAATATGATTCCCTCAACAAGTGGCTCACACATGATGTGCCATGAACTGTTTACAAGTTAGAAAAGCATATTTTTATTGTAGCGGGCACAGCTTTGGCTCTTCAGATGTTATTAAAGCTAAGCATGTTCTTTTGTTTTAAGGGATCTTTTTTATCATTGTTGGCTGATGGACAGAGAGTTGAGTAAATTTGCCAGAGGGGTTTTCCAGCCTTTGCCTGATGTAAATATTTCAGATCGAAGCCAAACTTTGAACAGCACAAAATCCTATGGCTGAGCAAGTGCCTCATTGTGTTTTATACATGCAAGTTTGTACATTTTGTAAAAGAACATTGATTAAATCACAGAAATAAATATGAACACATCAAAGTGTATAAGAGGTCTGATTTCCATCAAAGAAAGATACCATTATTGGATGAATCCCTTACATACAAGAAGAAAAGTGGGTCCAAATTTGATCAATATATGAATACTACTACTGTAGCAGGAGACCGAAAGTCCCTTTAACCTTATAGATTTAAGTGAGGGCTGCATCACTTCTGCACTCCAAAGACTCCTGGGTTATTTCCTCAACCCAATTCCTGGGTTATACACGTTGAGTTAAATTTCTGTTTTATTTTTCAGATCCATCCCCATTTCTTGGGTCATATGGATTCTATTGTAATCCAATTTGAGGGTTATTTGAATTGGTTAATTATTATGGGTTATTTTTCTGAGATTAATCCAATAACTGGATCAGAACGTTGGGTTCGATTGACTCTACGTGGTTTCATCCAGCGGGTAGAGCATCCAGTTCCTAACCACGGAGTTGGGGTTCGAATCCTGCATGAGACACATCTGTAAGGAGCGAAGTACATCTACCAGTGTGGGTCCTTGGGCAAGACTCTTAGCGCTATGACCTACCTCATAAACATGAGTGTGTACCAATGAAAGCCATACTGGCTCAGACGGTTGTAAAAGCAAAGCTCCCAAAAAAAGCTCCCCAAATGCATATATCAATTAAACCCAAGATCATGAGTCAAATAACTCAAACACTGGGTAATTTGACCCTTAAAATGGCTTATTGAGTCAAAACTAACCCTCTGGGTCAAAATAACCCAATAAGTAGTCGGTCCCTTTTCAACCCTGGTGCTGGGTTGAAGACAACTTGGGTTGTTTTTATCCCAGCACCAGGGTTGAAAAGGGACCGACTACTTATTAGGTAACCCAGGGGTTTTTAGGGTGTGCTCAGTATTGTTAAAAGAGAATAGTGCACTTTTATTGTCCTGTGTGACATTTCTGATAATACATGAATCAATCAACGCATACATTACAAATCACAGCAATGAGAGTGTAAGTGTTCAAACTAAGGTGAATGTTGACTGAATACTTAAGTTTCTTGGTCTTATAGAAGTTATACCGGGTCATTATCAGTTGGACTCTTACTGGGGGCCATCATCAATATAAATATGCAGTTTTTCTATTAGTCAAGATGTCTGCTGTAAAAATTTGTGAGGGCACCTTAATCTGTTATTTAAACATTTGATTTTTCAACTATGTTTTTGTGAACAAAAAAACGAGTTCACTGATCAACTGAAACAGGATTTTGCACGAGATTAAAATTTTTTTCGCTCCATGCAAGGGACAGCTCTGTATTTTTAACTAGGGTCTTTTAATACCAAAGGTTTGCGTTATAGTAAGAATAGCCTAGTGAAAAATGAAAGCCTTCCTCTTTGGTCACAAAGCTCAGACTGCTCCTTTCATGTGTGGAGTTCCCCAGGGTTCAGTTCTTGGACCAACCCCATTCCCTCTTCACATGCCTCCTCCTGGTTTTCTGTTGAGCCAATTCCCAGGTATTTCAGGTCTTTGTTATGCTGACGATATGCAGGTTTATTTTTTTCTATGGGTGTCTTTCTGTTCTTCATGAGTGGTTGTTATTAAATTTTAACTCTGACAAAAACTGACATATTGGTATTAGGCCATGACACGTTTATAATTTCTGTTCAACAGCTTATATGTCCATTACAATCAAATATTAGAAATATCTGCTGAAATCAATGCTCTCTCTTACAGACCGTGAAACACTAAAACAATAATTATTATAATCCCCTGTACACTTGCCTGACTTAATCACTGCTCCACCGCTTATTATTAACACAAACCAGCTGTCAATCCCAGTTTTCCCTGCAGCTCTATTTTGATTTAGATTCGTGTTGTTTATTTTGTTTCTTTGTTTGTGTAGCTCTTTGTAACTCAGTGTTTTTAAAGTGGTAAAAGTTTTCACTTACTTTCTTACTCTTCCTTCTAGTCTGAACCCTGGTGTGAATGAGACAAAGATTTAACGATGTAAAGGCACCAGAAACACTGTAAAGCTATCCTTGGTCCCCTTGAAGGTGATTTGTTTGCCAGTAATTAAAAGTTGAAGATGCTGATTAAAAAAAAACAAGTTAAAAACAGGAATAAAGATTCTTCACTGAGTGATTAATGTCATAAATCTCTGACAAGCTAAGTAAACGAAGTCACGCTGCAGTTCGTCTGCTCATTCCCCCCAAAATTTCTCTCTATGGAAAGTAATTTTCCTCTTTTTTTGTTTGTGGGCACCTCCAGTTTCTTATGGAAAAACTGGAAAACTGTGCTGGAAAAATAAAACCCATCTGGGCTGCTGTGCTCTGATTTCCTGGCTGTCACCACAGGAAATGTGCAAGCAGCTAGAATATGGTGGGTTGGATTAATAGAGAGATCAATGGTGTGAAATTATTCAGCTATTTACCGATTGTAACGGTGCTCATAATGGATTGAGCAAATAGTTTCCATTTTAGGTAAAATGTGCATAACCTTTTACTTTAAAATGTAACTCGATATCAGTTTGGGATTATGTAAGAGACCAGGAGCAGCCAGTCAGCTGAGTCTGATTCCAGTCAGATCTACTAAAATAAAACTCTTTTATATCTTTTCCATGTGCCTGACTTGGTTTCTGTTGTTTCTTCATTTAGAAATGCTTTCACAGATGCACACAGACGTCTTGCAGTCCTGTGGGCAGTGAGCTCATGGAGGCGTGTCTGAGAAAACTGGCAGAAACAAGGGCAGTCGGATATAAGGCAGACTATAAAATATAAAATCCAGCTATGATGCCATGGAGATCTGGCAGAGTTTGTTTTTTTTACACAGCTTTTACTCTTTTTACCAAGTCCTTAGTGAGCAGTGAAAGGTAAGGTTGTGTCGTATAAAAGTATAATTTGCCTTTCTTATTGTGGGTCAGTGGTACATCCAGACAGGTCCGTTCAGTGGGTGGATAATGAGCTGGTGGGCGCCTGGGCACAGACATGTAAAAAGTCCCCCACCCACCTTACATAATAGAAAGACCTGAAGCTTTGTTGTTTGTCGGTCATTTGTGGTGTTATTGTGTCTCCTGTTTTTCACATTAATTGTCAACACTCATTCATTGAGTAGAAAAACTAGTCCATTCCTTTTGGGCCCTCTGTGTTGGATCATTGTGATCATGTGAAAACTTTGATGCTTTGACTTTGATGAATTGACATTAAATTTAGCTCCATAAATAAACCAATAAACTGTTTCACACTCCAGAGGCTGCTGTTTTGAACCAGTATGAAGTCTGACTTTTGAAGCCTTTTAGTGTTTTATTACAAAGTTTTAAACATGTTAATGTTTGTTGAAAATTTATCTTTTTTTATAAGTGTACATGTGTTTTCAGCATCTTTTTCCGCCAGCCTCAAGTGGGCACTCAGGGAACTGCAGCTTGAGCACTTCCACACCTGTCTTATTTCTCTGACTGGAATGTCATAAAATGCTTGGCATTGGTCCCATCTTGGCCAGTAGAACAGTGTAAGCTGCACAAACAACAGCAATTGCTGTCATCACACAGCCGATCAGCCCATATAAGTTTAAGGACCTGGGTGTAGCTAACACACAGCCTTGTTCTAATTTACAGGAAAACATCACACTGATCTCTTTCCATTTAAGTTAACAAACTCTGACATGTTTACGTTGATGAAATCAGCTCATGATCCGGATCTCTCTCCTTTCTCCCATGTGGTCTCTCCTTAAGGTGCGTTTAGCTCTCAGAGCCTGGCACAGGAGACGAAATGATGTGTTGATGGGAAAGCTGTTCCAAGGCAGTAACTGCTTTTTAACAACGTGTGTGTGTGTGTGTGTGTGTGTCGGTGTACAGCTAGGAGGGAAATTGTTGGTGTAGAGAGTTTGAAACACAACTTTATGCTGTATCAGTCATTGAGGTACAACATGGTCCATATATTAGAGACTGCTTGGGTGTTTTGTGTGAGGCACTTTGAAATGGTTGCTTCGTAACACTGTAACACTGTAAGCAACCTCATTTTTAACCCTTTTGAAACCAATGGCCAGTATACCTTTATTTGTTTCCTGCTTACTTCAAATAAGACCTTGATTAAGCTTGACAAAGTGAACCCAGTGAAATGTAGTGTTGTTAACAGCAGGTGGAGCATTCAAAACACCTTTCATCAGGCTTTAATAGGATATATACCCATTAGGACTGTTGCAGTATACCAGTCGTAATGTCATGAGAGGTAGTATCACAGAGGGGATATATATTCCCTCTCGGTGGCTGCATAAAGGACTACAACCCATTATGGCAGCCATTTAAAGACTACAAAACCCAGAGCTCATCACCTGCAGCAGGGCATCTGCTCCCCAGCTGAAGATAATGAGCTGATTACCCTGTGAGAAAGAGGAGTAGGCAGAAGGAGAGAAACAAGACTGCAGGGAGACAGGGAGGAGAGTGCTTTTGTGTTAGACAGCTGATAAGCCAACCGACTAGAGGTGTTTTTGACTGGGACACCTGTTTTGTTTTGCTTTGGCCTCTTCTGTATGAACTGTTTACTGCTGACTCTTTTTCAAAAGGAAGAATATAATTTGAGTTGAAGAAAGAAAATAACGCCTCTGTCTTCTTCCCCTGGACCCACACCTCCTGAAACTCAATGTGAAAAGCTGACTGAAGCAGCTTTCTGAGGGATGATAATACACTTTCAAAGATAATGTTCAAGATTGTCAAAGTTTTTTGTTGCAATTTTTTTGCAGTCATTTTGCAAAGTATATATATATATATATATACTGTATATATATATATATATATATGCTGAATGCCCATTCAACAGTTGAGAAAAGAGCTGTTAATTATATTAAGACAGAAATAAACTCATTTAAGAATTTTGTTTTTGTTATTTTTTTTCCTTTACAATTTGTTTTGCAAAGTGTCTTTTTTGGATTGTTTTGAAAAGTTTTTTGGGGGGCACATTTTTTCCTGCAAAGATTTTTTTCTTTTTTTTCTTTTTGCTGACTTCCCATTCAACAGAGAGCTATCAAGATATATATCAAGACAGAGAAATATACTGAATTTTTTTTGTTTATTTTTCTTTACCAGTTGACAGAAGAGCTTCTTTTTCTTTTTTGCAATTTTTTTTTCCTTTTTTTTTCTGCAGTATTTTTTTTTTTTTGCTAAATCTAAATCTATGCTCAACTCGTAATCCAGTATATGGATGTAGGACTTTAATAAAGACATTTTAGGATGCTGAAGTTAGGCTCTTAAATTAATTATTTTTTCCTCTTTTTAAAAACTTTATTTAATTCTTTTCTGTTTTCCTGTGTAACATTTCAAACAAAATTCACACTCATAGTAGTTATTCAGCATAAAACCAGGTAAATCCTTTTAAAGAAGCTTTTTAACCCTGTGAGAAAAAAAGTGCCACTTTTACCACAGCAGTTTAACCTGAGCGTCTCCAGTACCTTAGATCCGCTTTATGACAAATCAGGGACTGACAGCTTCCCGGCAATTCCAAAAAAATGACGTATTGTGTTTTTAGACAAAAACAAGGAGCTCATCTTTCACTCAAGCTCAGCTTACTCCCTTTCCTGCCTGAGGTAGCTACAGGTTTCAGCAGCTGCACGCGTGCTTTGGTGCTGATTTATGAGAGGGATCTCAGATTAACAGGAAAACGTCTCCTCACGTAGCAGACAAATTTATCTAAGGAATGATCCTTTTTCCATTTTACCCTTAGACATTTAAAACTTACGAGAGGAGGTGATAACTTTGATCTGCCTGTATTTTTCACTAAAGCTTCAGGTACGAAAATCCACAACAGCCTTTCACTCTGTGATGAAAATATGTTTTTTTTTTACCCTTCATTAGGAAGATTAAAAAAATGTATAAATCCAAGAGATCTGTGGATTTTTGTTAACTTCAGCTTTGTGAAAAAATCACTGTAGCACAGGATTCAAAGTTTGAGAGTAAGCAAATGTATCCTACTCATGGAAACTGCTAGGTAGCAGCTGCCTGCCAGCTCACTATGATAACTTAAAGGATGTGCTTTTCAGGAAAGAGTCCTCAGTCAATGCAGATTTATTCTGGTTAGATGATTGTGAAAAGTCTGAATTGTGTTTCAGGAGAGGACCTTTCTTTATGGCAGATTTTACCTGCAAAGTTCAGGAGAAAAGACAGGAACCAATGTTAAAGACTGAGCTGTAACTCTGAATTGACTCTGTAAAGAATTATTGAACCATTGAAACTTTCTGGTGGTTTATAAACCCATGAGGGTCGGCATGTTAATATAAGCAATCAAAAATCTATGTGTTTCACAGGGGACTGAACAGTCATGATAAAGGATACATCACGTTTATGAGATTTTAATTTCACTTTACAACCGTTCCTCATGTCCAGTATTAATACCCTGATGATAATGAAATACACAAATACTGTTAGCAAAGGCAGCATGGTAGGTAACAAGTTCTCCAAGAACAATAAAAGCATAATATGAAACATTTCCACTTTGAGATACACATACTAAAAGATGACCCCTTAGACATGATGCTGTTGTCTGTCTTTCATACTTTTTGCCCTCTAACAAAGGTATATGGGAATAGAAGACATGATATGTTATAATCAAAATACTGAGATCAATACAAACAACATTAACCAGGTTAAACATATCATTACAATAAAATAGGTGCAGTTTTTTTTAAGAAATAACAGCAGCAACCTGGAAAATATTATGAAGCAACGAAGCCGTTAAACTCATTTTAAAACCATTTAAGTCCTTTTAGATCCAAGCATTTCAGCACCACTCACTGCTGACCAAAAAGGAGTTTGTGTAACTCGTCTTCAGACATATATCACCGTTTGAAGTAAATAACTGTGTGTTTGTGTAACGAAAATCTCTGCGCTGTTACTTTCAGTTTCCAAAGACTTCTTTGGCTTTCAGCTAAATGTTGGCGCTCTTTTGCAGCACAGATCCTGAATACTGACCGGCCCAGAGACTTGTTTGCTTTGTTTAAGGCACAATCTGTAATCCAATCGTAAACACAATGATAAACTGTTAGAACTATGTCCAACATGAGAAACTTTCAATCACTGCCAAGTTAATCAGCATGCTAACAGCACAAAGACAAAGAGAGCCTTGTTGAGGATATCGATGCTTTCTGATAAATATTCATCTACCACAGCGATTCTTTGGACCTGTGATGAAACCGATTTCTGCTAAGTTTGTATGAAGTCAAGTATGAAATGTTTATGTAGGGCTGAACTGATCCGCCGTTGGTGCGGACTATAAGCAGATCATATGACTGAGGTAGAGTTTATCATCGCTACAATGATTACTGACTCATTCTAAAACTGCAGACACGATGGAAGGAGCAAAACTAAAAATTTGGGTGAAACTGAAAGTGAACTGCACTCCGGCTCCTTCTAAGCTAAAGAAAATCTTTGACTTGGCATATTTGAATAATCATTCTACTATCAAGGTTTCCCCTGAGAGCACCTGGGTTGAAAAGGTGCGGCGGTAAACGGGTCATCCAGACCTCTCCCCCCGATAGTCCAGGCGTGTAGAGGCCCCACAGCCACTGAACCGACGGCAGCCTGCTGACCAATCCTGGAGACTACCCTGTGCACGGCCACAGGCTGCTGCAGAAGAGGGGCCTCGGGGTGCAGAGGGGGAGGAGGAGGAGGAAGAGGAGGAGAAGGCCGCGCACCCAGAGAGTGAGGAGCAGCAGGAGCGAGTGATGCTTGGACCAGCTGACAGTGTTTGATGGGTCTGATCTGCTGTGATCCAGACTTAAACATGTGACTAGAAACAGCTTTGGTGGTTTCCTGCCTCTTTCCAAATGGCGCCTGGAGGAAAACATCAGATGTCTCAGCAGGTTTATGGGATGAAGAAAAAGAGGAGCTGCTGAATGCCATCTTGCTGTCTTTTTTAAAAGGGGCCAGCTGGAAGACATCAGAGGTGACTGGGCTAAACTCAGACACTTGGTTAACAGGTATGAAATGCTGGTTGCTGGAAGTAGCTGGTAGCGTGTGGTATTTTGGACTCCTTTCATCTGTCAGCAGCATGTGTTTATTTACGACACGTGGAGCAGTCCTCTGCTGGATCCTCTGCCTCTCGGCCTCCTCGCTGAAATGTGCAGATGCTTCAGACCCAGCAGCTCGCTGAGCGTGGCAGCTGAGCTCCCTCTGCAGGTCTGTGTGGAGATGATAAGAAAACCTCTGAATGTCTTGTAAATCACTTAAAGGAAAACAGTAATACTATATAATTAAATGTTTCATGCATGAATTTATGACAAAATGCCACAAAAAGACAGAAAATGAGGAACATCTTTTGTGCCGTAACAATAAGTTTTGGACTCCAGGACTCCATTTTCCCTTCATGGTTTGTTTTTGTGTAAAATCTGTTTTTCCTCACTGTGAGAAAATTAAAGGTGTTTTTTGGTGTTTACCAAGACAACCTCACTTAATTAAATCACCAAAGATGTTTGTTCACACTGCAAAAACTCACATTTTCACGGCTGTAACCGTCTTGTCAGGTTTGGCTTCAGTCCAGATATGAATCAAGATATTACAAACCAAAAATAATGACTTCCTGATTCTCCTGATAAATCTCTTAAAAAAGGTGAAACTTCTGTATTTTTAAGAGACTTCGCTTGGACATTTTACTCATTAAAATCTAGGAAGTCTTTATTGATGTTTTGTAATATCCTGACACAAGATTCATATCCAGTCCTGTCAGTTTAATTTGGCTGATATTAAATTCGTGCGACATCCTCATCAATAGAGTCAAAATAAATGAAATATAATAAAGGAGGAAAAGAAAAATTGACATTTAATGGGGCATGTAAATGATTAGTCTTACCTGAGAAGGTTAACCTGCTCTGATCAGAATAAGAACTGGATTAGTGCATTAGACGTCTGAATGTGACAGATCGATTATCTGATCTCACGCTCTCATGAAAAGGCCTCCATGCAGAAATATGACTAAAAGAAGCTGCAGCAGGTTAATACTCAGATTTCTCTTTAAAAATATTATTTCTTACAACTTTTAGACAGTGTAACATAAAACAGTAGGGTGAATGAAATAATCTCTTTTACTTGAAAGCTTTGTGAATATTATGATCCAAAAACGTTAAAAAAGTATCGTATACAGTTTTTTACTAAGGCCAGGCTATCTTAGAATGAATACTCGACACGTTGACATTCACATTTGTATTTTATTTGCCATCCCTTTATAATCTTTAATTATCTCACAAAAATAGAAGGAGCACACGATACCACAGCTCTGACGCAGGTTTGGGCCATAAAGACAAAGAGGTGTCTCAAAAAACAATCACTAGTTTCAGATAATCGACAACTTTCATTTTTGGTAAAACAACAGAGGAAATGAGGGGCATCTGTTTCACATCGAGGACTGATCTCACGAGGTGCTTGGCTTCACCGATCACAACAGCACATTGGCGGCTACAGGGAGAAAGCTCGGGAGTTGCATAGGTTCAAACAATGACTGCGAAGGATGGAGTCGTTTGACGAAAGGATCGTAAAGAGGATGCTCGGAGAAGAAACATAAACCTTCAATTTCACGTGTCCGTACACCTAAAAGAGTGTCACTGTGAAATCAGCCACTTGGTTTTCAGAAAGTTAACTCAAGAGTTAAACTGTTGTAGATCCTACACAAAATACTTTTAATTTTGGAGGTAAGTTTAAAACCCAAGTTTTGACATTTCCAGAACATCTTATGACAAAATCAGAATAAGGATTTAAAGACACAATTTTTAGAGATCCTATTGTCTTTTGGGGCTTGAAAGATTTATTTCCCAGCTGCTTTTAAAAAGTTACTAAACAGTATAATATTTCTGTAGACTGTAGAAAAAACAGACAGCATGACAGGTCTCCAAAAGTAAAGCCAAGACTCTTAGCAGTAGGAGTAAATTTGGTCGTCTTTGGGGCCAAACCTACCCCCCATACAACCTCCAAGTTTTCCTTATAAGTGAACATGAACCCAGAGCACATACAGCGTGCAGGACCCACCTTATTTTATTCAAATCTCTGCATATGTGCAGTACCAATCACAGCAGAACTTAATGGGGGTCATTTTGTTCAAAACATTCAGATCATGCTTAGTTTTCTTGATCTTCATAATGTCCATATCTATTAAAAGCAGGAATAGTCAGTAAAATCTGACACTTTAACTCATCACTTCAGAAACACTGGACAGTCAGGACCATCTGTCCCAATTAAATGTCACAGAGGGGGCCAACGTGCGGCGTTTGCCTGAACAGGTTGCAGACAACGTAGCAAACACTGTAGCAATCCGAGGGACGTTATATCCATCAATAAACTGTGTGTTTTGATTAGTGACTAGAGAATGACGTCAACCCCAGATCTCCAAAAGCCAGATCACTTTTGCTCTGAATCCAGAATATGTTCAATACATCAGCACTCATTATGCTGCATTTTGGCTTCACTTTTAACAATGGGAGAAGACGAAGATGTGCCATCCATATTTTCTGCAGTCACTTAATATTTAACCACTTTGTGTGAACCCACATTTGTGTGCTTTATGTTTTTTTTTGTATAGGATCTTAATGTGACTTCTGTGTCTCATTAAAATTCTTAGGATGTCCATCATATTCTATGAGGATCTCCTGATAAAACAAACATCACCATAAAGGTTACTGATAACATGTCATAACAAAAGCGGGATGTGGAAGTAGTCGAACCCACAGTGGTGATGTGTGGGGAGAAAATGCTCTTTGTTTGATCCTACAGAAACGTTTATATTGCTGATTGGAGCTGATTTTTCAAACCCTGACGAGCTGATTGGATGCTGCAGCAGCAGTGTTGTATCTTTAACCCTCTCACACGTTACAGAGCCCCTCACACACACCGCCTATCAGACTATTTCTCTACACTGTAATATGGAGTGCAGACTTCCAGCAGACAGAGACCGGGGAGCAGTAAGCCAATATGTATCTCAGAGAGTGATGTAGCTCTGGCTTCCTGAGAGAATTTAGAGAGGGGGAGAGGGGGGCTGTGCTTTCAGAAGAGATTTTAATGACAACGTGTTCATGACCGTCGCCATGTTTTGCAGCAAACAACAACACAAATAGGCTACCGGAAAAACACATCCAACAATTCTGACTCCACGCACACTCACACATACTTATCTTAACACTGTATACCAACACACATGAACATAACATTCAACAACACTGCCATGCTTTTTGATATGAACTCTGTGATCACGAAAACCAACCGGTAAAGTAAAAAAACAAAGCTTTACAAAGCACAAGTCTCAGAAATAAACTTCCTGTTCAGCAATGAAACAAAACGGGACTGCTGTTCTTCAGATTAAGAGCCTCCTTTTTCGAAATGAACAAAGGAAATAACATTTTGGAATAAAAATATAATCCTTCAACAAACAAAACACAGGCTCACTTTTCTGTTCACAGAGGAGGGGGATAAGACACGGGATCAGGCCTATTATCCAGGTTGAACAAAGACCAGGGTTATCATCTATACATTGTAATGTACTGACAATAATATAGCAGATATAACCAAGAAAAGAAACTTTCTCAACACACAACTCCACAAAGAGGAATGAAATATGTATATATTCTTCAATATTATTCAGTGATTATGGTGTTAAGAATCATAGATATTTTTTTTATTATAGACTAATATTTATTTCTTACATTCATTCTCTAACACTCTATTCATATTAACATTTATTAACAGGAAAACCATGTCATTTTTAAGTCATATATATATCTATATACAGATAACATACATATATAAAGATATATATACGAGATTTCACAAGTAAAGCAATATGTTTTCCACAAGTAAAGCTTTATGACAATGACTTCATATATACAGGGGAGGAATAACCAGTTCTATGGTCTGGATAAGACCCTGCAGGGGTCGCAGAGATTTATTTACATAAATAAGGAGTAAACAAAAGACAGGAATGTAGGGAGGATTGCACAATGTGAAATGAATGCTTGTGGTGATATAAGAGAAAAATTAAAGTGAGTGAAAATCATTTGATCATACTGCTTCTGTTTGTCTCTAATGGTGTCTATGTAAGAGCTACTGTATTTCTACTCTTTCCTATGACTGCGGATTATTGAAATTATTCTCATGCGTTTCTCTAGCGATATGGCACACTCTTATCCGTCTGTGATGACTCCTATAACTCCATCGTTTACTTCCATCACTAACTATTGCTTACAGGAATGTCAAATGAGAGCAGGCTTTTGTTTGAATAACTTGTTTTGTTGTCGCAGAGCTCCACTCATCTGCAGTTCGTGTCTCGTACTACTATAGATCTGCTCAGACTAATTGTTAAAAACTTCTCAGGGCCCTATTCGAACAGATTGATCTATTTTGCTAGTTTAATAGAGTATGGTCAAAAACAAAAGACACACAGTGCAAGTGCATTAAGGACATGTGTGTTAATTATAGCTGTCGTTCAGGGCGAACACAGATGTTATTTTCTTTTAAGTTATGTCCCTGGGCTACAGTTGCACAGATTGTTAAAATCAGGGGTAGTACTAATGCAGATGTCTCGATTAAGACTAAGCTGATAGCTGACTGATACTGATGTTTTTGTGTAATACTCCCAAACTGCTGAAAGTTTTTCATTCATGTTTGTCCAACAGGTGACTATTTCAATATCTGAGTTAGGTGAATTAGGTTGCCAGCATTAATTTGGTGCGAGACAGCAGAAGAGCATCGCCGCGTGCATGGGTCGCTTTGACTGCTGAGCTAAACCGGCAGTCAAACATGAATGCATCAAAAAGGGAATGGGGTTGTCATCACCCATTACCTGCAATAGCCAAAGCTATTGCTATCCATAGGGCAGAATCTGACAGAAAGCAAGTGCGTCGTAAACGTTTGTTAATTTGCAGTAGCTTTAAGACCGATTTTTTGTTTGCTTCAGTTCTTTCCTGCAATGTGCCACGAATGCGCCTGACCTCACCTTCATTTGAGGCGAGCATCACGGGTGCACAGATGGCTGCAAACACATCTGCTACTTAATAAGTGTGTGAAAACTGCGTCAGCTGTTAACTAGCACAGATTCTTACGCTGCATCATGTGCATTAGGTTTCGACCCTTAGTGTCTTGCTCACGAAAGGTTAGTGTTGTGATTTTGGGGGACGTATAATTATGGCTGTTTTGTTTCCTATCACTGTTACACTTAATCTGATGTAATCTCTCAGTAGTATCTATAGCAGCTTCAGATATTCCATCTAACAGCCCCGACAGAGGTAACATTAATGCTACTGTGCAAATTAGGCTACATGACTATGTTTCCCTTTTACAGAAGAAATAAACGGACGTTATTTAAAGAAATGGTCGTTTCGTCTTTCATGGTTTGACTCTAATATGTGCAAATAAATCTAGGGAGGAGAATTTAAAAAGGCAAACAACGACAAATTCACTTGTGCACCATAATAACTACAACCACTTATAACTATGTCTATTGAACATTACAACAATGATCTTCTATTGTTTGCTATTAGACGCAATGCAATATTGTTGAAACAAACGGGATAGCTATATCATATCCTGATTGACAGAGAGATGTAATGTTCAGAAAGGATGATGTTAGTCTACTGGCCACGTTTTGAACCCATGGACGATACGTGATATGTAGAGAACAACAAAGAGAAAATGTGAGTGAGAGGATGAGAGATGAGAGGCGAGGAGAAGTTAATGCAGCTGTTAATGGCGGCAGAGAGGGCGGGGGATGAAGAAGCGCTGAGAGGCAAAGGCTGTTTCTACAGGAGCGACTAGAATGGAGGTGACAGCTGGGAGGGCACAGGAAGCTAGCTATGACAACAGTGTTGATTGCTGTTATGCTATGCCAGTCTATAATCCAGTGTTACAGCTTCTATGGGGTAGGTGAGGGGGGCGGGGGAGGCTGGGGGGCTGCGTGGGCGTCTACAAGTCGATGAGCTGGTCCACCAGCATCAGGGAGCGAGCCAAGCTGGGCAGGCTGGATTCAGAGCCGCCACTGTTACTGCGCGAGTGGCCTCCTGAAACTGGCCGGAGAGACAGAGGGGGGGAGCGAGGGGGGTTGAGAACAGGCAAACAGAGAGGAGGAAAAGGAGAGGAGCAAGGGGTCACAACAAGCAGTTAAGGGTGGGAGAGAGAAAGAGAGAAAGAGAGAGAGAGAGAGAGAGAGAGAGAGAGAGAGAGAGAGAGAGAGAGAGAGGGCAGAATTTACCCGTTTACCTTGAGTCATTTAACGGTGTTTTAACAAATAACCATCAACTGTGCACTTCTTTAAAAACCAGCATGCAACTGAGGGGAAACAAATGAAGAGCTTGTGCTTTAAATCCCACTTGACCCACCTGAGCTTCCATAGGAATGCTGAAACTTACCTTGTGAGTTCTTGCGGCCCGTGACGGGAATGGGATCGAACTCATCCTCATCCTCAGCGGCCTCTGTACCCGCCTGCTGCGGCTCGAAGTCTGAGATCAGAAGAGACGAGTCTGCAGAGGATGAAAGGAGAGTGGATGTGGGTGTGAAAGTAAGAAAGTATTCAAGGCAGTGATGCAAAAATACTCAAAAAGCAGTAAGGCCAATTAGAGGGGGGAGAAACTTCTTCCACCAAATCTGGTAAAAAAAAAAAAAAAAAGTTTTTAAAACCAGCAATTAGTGCAAAAACTCTTCAGAAGCTCTCCAGCAGTACAAAGCATATTTGATCAATTATTATGAGGACAGATCAGTGATCATTAGGATCATGCAGCTGGCTCACACGCAGGCAGTGATTCAGAGATGGAGCTGTCGACTGCAGTCAAATGGTTTTAAGCCAAGAAAGAAAAAACGAACCACAGCTGTGGAGCTCTGCGCTAAAAACACCCCGTACTGTTTTCAGATTCCAATAGAAGCACACAGATATTTCTTCTAACTTTGCTAAAAATTAACTCTTGCTTTAGAGATAAGAGGATAAAAATTGAAGGTGACAAGGAGGGAGCATCGACTCTAGTCAACATGAGAAGTTTTCTCTCTCCTTCCTCTCCCTTGTTCTCTTCCTCTCCCCCTGCCCTCTCTCCTACTCCTGTCTCCCTCCCTCCCTATCTCTCTGTATTTCTCCTCGACCAAGCAGCAGCTGTGAGGTGGCTGTCAAACATGAGTCTGGTCCTTTCCAAGGTTTCTGCCTGTTAATCAGAAGTTTTTTCTTGCCACTGTCGCTCATGTTAGATGAAATGCGCCAAATCTGTCCCATCTTAAGGTTGGGTCTTGATAATTCATCAAACAATAAGCGTGGTCTAGACCTGCTCTTTTTCTTTGGAAAGCGTCTTGGGATGACGACTGTTGTGAATTGGCGCTATATAAATAAAATTTGATTGAATTTGAGTCTATCCTCAGGCCTACATACTGAGTATGGGCTTTTATCCCAATGTAGACTGATCTCTTTAAAAGCTGGTTTGTGTATGGATCGATCAAAATCAAAACAATGTTTGAGAGGAGATGGAGATTGATTGAGATTAGGGATGTTCCCAGCGGTTAATTTCACTGACGTTTAAACGAAACCGAATATTCGAATACACGAAAATGAATGAACTCTCAGAAAAAAGCCCAAATTGAGCACATGTCGATCTATATGGCCAGATATCATCTGAAATAAATATTACGAGTACATGAAAGCCATGCTTATAATATTAAAATATGTTACAGAATCTTATTTTAGCGCTGGAGAATGACAAAGTACGTGAAAGATCAAATCAATTAAGCCAAGCAGCTCTGGCTGATCACATGTGTTGATTCACTCTGAGGAAGTTAACCCACGATGCAGGCCAGTGCTGCGAGCCCAGAGCAGCGAGCCAGGCAGAAAGAGTCGCACGCAAATGATCCACACATTTTAGCTTGTTTAATGCACACTTTTATGACAGTCAAAACGTAATAAAAAAAAGAGGCTTTTTTTTTCACTTTTTCTTTTTTTCCCCACTTTTCTTTTTTTTTTGATAGAATAAATGAATATCATTTACTTAACGGATAGTAAGGACAGCCCCATTTACACGAATATCTGAATAACCGCGCACATGTGAGATGATCAAAAAGATTAAAATTAGCACTGAGTTTTTCTCTGAAATGAAAAAATGAATTCTTAATCCTAAAGAGTCAAGCACCGAAGCAGAAAACATGCCCACTTCATTCACAATGACACTTTAATTACATAATGTTGCTTTAATGGAGCTCAAATAAGATTTAATTTTTGAGAGTAAAACAGCCTTACAGGAACATCAATATCTAATTAAAGAATAATTGGAGGGAAATCTTTTTGCTGCAGTTGTAACTGGTATGTTTTTGTCAAACCTCTGCCAGTAATTTAAAAGTATTGCGCTCCAGTATCAGAGTGTATGTTTGTATGTTGTGGACTTACCTGCTTTGGGCTGTCCAGAGTCTCCAGACAACAGGCTGAAATCATCTAAAGCCGAGGTGGCAGAGGTGGGAGCAGAGGACACAGAGGAGGTGGCGCTGCCCGCTGCCGGAGGGGCGGATGGACCAGAGATCAAAGAGCAGCCAAGAAGAGAGTCGTCTGCAGTCAGAGAGTCTGAGAAACATCCGCAGAATCACATTTAAAAAGGAGCAGGGAAAAAATTCAGCTCAACATTTTAGACTGAGGACAAGTATGCTCACATGAGTAAAAAAAAAAAGCTGAAATAAGAGATGTATTCACTCTGGAAAACTAAATATCAAAGGTCTGAATGTGGCCAAAGCTTCATGGAAGAATAAAAAAAACATTCAGTAATCTTTAAAACTGCAAGATGAAAGCAAGAGAGCAGACCTCGTTTCTATATCAACATTAAGTTGATTGAAATTTCATAAAGAGTGAATTCATTCATGATGACTGTTACTGCGTGGTGCTCTCACACACCTTTTGCAGACTCCTCCACAGATCCACCAAAGGGATCAGACAATGACAGGAGGTCTGGAAGCATGAGTGAAGATGGTTCAGGAGATTTGAGTCCTTCAATCAGCTTCTCTGAAGGCCGGTGAAGAATTAGAGACAAGAAGAAACACGTGAGAGCAAAGCAAAAAAATAACAGCATCAGCCTCAGGAGAATTTATGGAGAGAACATGTTTCTTAAACAGAAAAGGAAAAGATTGATAATCCTCAGGACCCTGATGGGATGAGCTCTGTTGTGGTTTGTTGCATGTTGTGATTTATGTTCATTAAAAGGAAGTACTTTAAATAAGTATTAAATAGTTAAAAGAAGATTGCACTGTTTAGAGTTAAAAACATATTGAGAAACATAATTGTTTACTGCATGTTTCAGTATTGATATGCACTATTTGAGTTTATTTTGGAAAGACTATACGCTGCTTTTATTTTGAAGGAGTAACTAGGAAGGTCTAGTCAGTCTGTGTTTCGTCGATAGAAAAAATACGGAGAAGCCGCTAGCAACATGCTATGAGCTAACGCGCTGTGTGTACGAGACAGAGAAAAAAAAATGCACGTAACGCAGTGAAACCAAGCTACCCCTTGTTTGTATTGCTATTTTTCCACCATGTTTGTATCTTTTAAAAACTGAAACGGTCAGTAAACTTTGGTCAACGTTATTTGGAGTCTCATTTCACCATTTTTTAGAACTTTCCAATACAAGCTCAGAGGAGAGTAAGTCTGTCTGCTGATGAAGGATTACCATTCATACTGTTAGTGATTTCCATGTCTTTCTAATGTTACTGAGCAAACATTAGAACCATTCAGAGGTGCATTTAAGTCTACAGAGGGAGAGGGACTGGGGGGCTTACCTGGTGTATCTGACAGTTCAAGGGTACGGAAAGCACCCGGCACAACCAAGAGTCCAGAATCTGCATCAAAGGCGGCTGATGTTTTTTCAGCTGGAAAACAAAAGCAGTGTTTAAATACTTAATTTAAAAACTCTTTCTTTTATTGATGTGATTGATGCAGATAAGCAGCATCTGCTTTTAGGAGCTTCTGAAAACTACCAGACTGATGGATCAGGCGCTTTAAGAGGTTTAGCCCTCCAATTACTATCATATTACATTATTTATTAAAAGTCAGACACATCAGTGGCGTTTTAAAGGGGAGAAAACCATCAAGATATTTGTAAATCTCTGTCAGAGATTTATAAAACACCTTTAAAATTATGTAAAATATACTTAACTAACATCTATAAAAAAGGCTAAAAATAAACCGATGAATTACAACAAAAAATGAGACTATTCCACAGGAAAAAATATGTTTGTTCAAATATTTCAAGAAGACATTTACATGCGTAAATTTAAAAGATACATGACGTGAACTTTTAAACAGCCAAAACTTAAAATGTGGAACATGAATCTAAATTTTGTCTGATATAAAGAGAAAAATGTGAAATACCACTGTCTTGAAGAGTATCATCTACAGCTGAGGTCTGTAGACCTGGGATCAGCTCCTCAGAGGCCGCAGGCTCAGCTTCTGAAGGTATTTCTGCAAAAGAGGAATTGTGTTTTTAGCATTTAGTCATCTATGAAAAACATTAAAAAGACACACGACAAATTATTTACCAGCAGGCTTTGCTTCTTCAGCCTGAACTTCCTCGCCAGCAAGGCTGGAGAAGCTGTCGTCATCAAACGGGTTCCACGCAGGTTGTGTGGGGGTGTTTGTGGATCCAGCTTTGCTCTGGTCCTGGGCTGCATCACCAACGGAGGGCTGAGTGGCGTTTGGTTGAGATGTGATCGATCTGGAAGGAAAAACGACATAAAATATAAATACAAAGAAGAAAAGTGAATCCCCTTCAGGTTACTTTGAATACACCTATACGTCTTACTGAATCAGAACAGCGTCTCCATTAGCTCCCTGCAGCTGCTGAGTGGCGTCAACAGTGACGCTGCTCAGCGTGGCGTCGCTCGGTGTGCGTTGATGACCTCGTTCTTCAGTTGTCTTTGGAGAAGCAGGTGGAGTCTGATGAAACAAACATGCAGAAATAGAGAGATGAATCAATAAAAGCTACACTGGATGGAAAAAAAAGTGTAATGATCGTTGGATTTAGTCCATGACACACATCATCACGATTCTTTTGTCTAAAATATAATAACTCATAATGAGAAAGTCATTGGATGAATTCTGGGTCATGTAACTGTAAAGATACTGGACGGACAGAATAAAAGAAAAGTCATCTGATCTGACTAGTGATGAAGAAAACCTGATGAAGACTGGAGAGCCACATACCGTCTCGGCTGCTTTTTGGCTGATCTCAGTACAGGCGGGCGGCGCCTGGGCTGCAGGAGGCTGAGTTATCTGCTGAGATACCTGCGGCTGACTCGGGGCCGTTTTGCTGGGTGAAGCCTGAGCTGCAGACTGCGGGGCCTGGCCTGCCTGCTTACGCCGAGCTGGACGCTGAGGTGGGGCGGGGCTGGATGGAGTCTGATCAGCCTGCTGCGGGGTTGTACCGACCACAGACGAAGGTGTGGTTTGCTGCTGAACTGTGGGCTGTGCTTGTGGTTGGACGTCTGCTTTGATCATGGGTGACACGACTGCTGCTGCTGCTGCTGCTGCTGTTGTCTCTGTTGCTGGAGCTGCGATTGGCTGCACTGACTTTCAAACAAATACATACAACGGAATATGTTAAACACAAAAATCATATTTGCAAACCATCATAAACAACTGCTACAAGTAACTGTTGTTTCTGTTTCAGTCAATTTATTCATAAGCCGCCCATAATTTCTCTGAGAATAGGAGAACATTTCCACAAAGAAGTGTCGATTCAAGTTTAAAGAAGGCAGAGGGGAGAAACAAAACTCGTGTTTCCATCAAAACTGCACCATTTAAGTCTTAAAACCTGCGAACATTAAGAAATGAGGCTTCTGAGTATTACAGGACTCCTTCTGAGAAGTGAATTAAAGACCCTGGTACTTCGTCCAAGTCCCTTCGAAATGCAGCTGAATGCAAATGCTTTAAACTGGAAGCGCATGTTCACCTCGCAAAATGCAAAACTGTTGCATCTAATAACTGTCAATTTCACAGATTTTTTCCTAATCATGGATGTTTATGAGCAATAAACAGATTACATACAATCTAGGGTTTGCACTTCCTTGAATCTTAGCAAAGCTCCTGTTTTTTTGTTGTGTATAATTTGTCAGTGTGTACCTGCTTCTGCTGGGCTACAGCCTGACTTGAATTGCTTTGAGACTGGATGAGAGGCAGAGCCGAAGCCTGAGCCTTCTGTGACTGCAGAGCTGCAGCTGGCTGAGAGAGGTCTAAGCTGACTCCTGTGGGAGGTTACAAAGAGCGCAGACTGCATATTACTCAACAGCATGGAAAAATGTGAATCTTAATGATTATACAGATCAAAAGCCTGGTAAATATCACAAAAAAGGCTTAGCTGTTCACTTACAAAAATTTGCATCTTAAACATCTATACAGGAAGGTGGAATGATCTTTAAATGCCAAAAAAAAGACTTCAAAGTGCTGTAACAGGTACAAAAGCTGAGATGTGGATGGAATCATTACATAATCACGTTAGCTGGTGGTTAGATTGCTTAAATTTGCATGTGTCTTAACCTTCATCCCCGATCAGTTCATTTAGAGAATTGCAGTATTCACAGTGTGCTGAAAGGATTAGAGATTCCTGACTTTCTGCACATCACTTTCTTTTCACTGTGTCAGATAGTAGAGTAAGGACGAAGCGCTGCACTCACCCACAGGCTGAGCAGCACCACCAGGGAGATTAGCTCGCTTGCGCGGGGTGAGAGCAGCAGGCTGGATGGGTAGGATGCCAGCCGCGGGCTGAGTATGGGCTGCTTTGGGCCTCTGGCGAGGGGTGATGGAGGTTTCAGTGGTGGGGATTGGATCCGTCAGTCTGTAACAGAGGTGAGGCGTTGGCCTTCTTGTTCATCGTTGTAAGTCGTGTCAACATAATTATTTAATGAGTGTCAGTCTATCTGATGATTTCCACTAAATGTGGTGTTACTACAGCTTTAACAGTAATATAGTGTAAGCAGGTCATGCTTGCCTGGGCTTATTCTGGCTCTTCTTTGCTGCAGCAGCCTCGCTCGCTTTGATTGGCTCGGGAAGTTTAGTAGGAATCGGAGAATTCTGCATTATGGAAAAGAAACGCAAAGACAGAACTCAAACAAAGTGGACATTAAATATCATGATTCTTTGCAATTTGACAGTGAAACTCTGTAGCATCATCAGTGTTTCTGCTGTTTGTATCTGATGCAGTGGAGCACCTCCCACTGTGGGACAACTGGTGGGTCAGGCAGAAAATTCAGAGCAGATTCTACCGAATACGACATGAAAATCAATCCCTGATGAGAGAAAGCTAAGCAGAATCCAAATATTTCAGCTGACGCCTGTGCTGAGAGAGACTGACCTTCACATTCTGGACAGGGCAGGTCCGCTGAGCTAGTTTAAAAGCAAAGTAGGACACCTGGTAGATATCTGGTCTTTTGTCAGGATCTGGCTCCAGCATGTACCCTGCGGGACCACAATGAAGAAATGAGAGAGGGTCTCCTGAAATGAAGACAGGCTTCGATGGCAAGTGAAAACTAAATTGTGTGTTGTAAGGATAGAGAAAATTCAGAGTGACTGACGAATGAGGCAGTGTAGATCGTAAGAGTAGCGGGAGTTGTCAGGAATTGTGAAACTGCCATCACAGATGGCCACCTGGCTTTCACCAAAGGGCAGAGTGAAGAAGCACAACTTGTACAGCAAACAGCCCAACGCCTGGAGAAAAACATGACATGCACGTCCCGTCACACCACATAGAAACAAAACAAGAGAGGGAGGAGGAAGAGGAGGGGAAGAGAGGATCAATCAATGACAGTAAGCCCGGTTAAAAAAACAAACACATATTAGTTTACATTTCATCAAATGTACCAGATAAATACTTCTACTGTAAGTGTCATCTTCACTCACCCAGATATCTGCTTTTGTTGTGATAATCATGTTGTTGTAAAGGTTCACCATCTCAGGGGCACGATATGATAAAGTGGTGTACCTGAGAGAGAAGAGGAGGAAAGTATTAGGACGAGAACAGTTAAAATTAGAAGATCACCTGATTTTAACGCAGCACAGAAATTAAACAGCCTACAAGTTGTTCTGTGCTGATAATGAGGGTTTGTCCATTAAAATCCTCTTCTACATAAAAAAGAAAACCCCTTTCTGCTCACATAATGAAATATTGATTGATCTGCAGACACTTACAGCACAAATACGGATGAGACGAGAAAATTCAATCAGCCAAATAAAAATAACCAAACAAAAACAACATCAAAGTGGCTCGTGGATGAAAAACTGTGCTGTCGATTTCTGTACAGTCTAACAAAAGGGGTGCTCATAACTGAAAGCTGTGAATACTGCCAAAGCACATGAAAGGAGGCACAAACTTTTTGATCTCCTCCTCCACAGCGGCCACTCCTTCAGTCTGCGGGCTCTGGAACTTATTGGTGGCGCTGCCAAAGTCGCACAGAACATAATGACCCTTGTCATGCAGGAGGATGTTCTCCACCTGAAGACACACAGGACATGAAACACGAGCAGTCACCAACATGCAGACCTGCTGCAGTGCAATCCTTTTCTCTTGCAACATGGGGACTGGTGACTTGTTTATCAGATTTTGCTCTCTTTAAAATCTTCACTTCACATCACGAAAACCAGCTCTGTTCTCTTGACATGATGTGATAAAGTCTAGTAACACAATAATGTGTCAGGAGAGGAAAAACAGCCTTATTGTCCTCAGACAGTGAGCTAAATCAATCTAGATCTTGAGAAAAGGACTGAAATAAACATGTTATCATGGTCTAAATTTACTAAATGTGTGGGTACATAGCTTGTGCTTCTGTACAGATAAGCATTTCAACATGTAGATTTAAGTTCAAGGCTTTAAGCTCTCTTACATTCGAAAAAGCATCTGTCAACAAAGAAACCAACACTGCAGAATAAGTGACATCTCCTCTCCCCTCCAGGTAATATGCACTCTGTTATAACAACATACTCCCTCCTCCAAGCCTCCTCTCTAATCGGCAGATTTATCTAAACAGAGAACTTAAAGGGTTTTCTGACAATCCTTTCTAAATCACTCATTTCAATGTAAGCAACATATTTGCACAATACTGTGTTACAATAGCTCATCGGTATACAAGTTTCCTAACTTACTGCATAAAAAAGGCGGAGTCAACATCCAATCAACAAACAAGAAAGATAAAAGTTGTTCTCTCATCATGAGGAATGACCCACTCCGATGAAAATCATGTTTTTCTTGTTGTCTACATGTTCATATGGCATTTTTCTGATGCTACAGGACATATCATGAGAAAGCTAAATGTGAAATTGCATTCCTGAGTATTTCTGCCTTCAAATCGCTGTGAATCTCTGGCAGACCCAAACAGCGGGTTCAGACACAGTGAGATTTCCTACATAGCAAATCCAAGCTCCGCCCCCTGAGCCCCGCTATGCAGGCCACACTCGGATAAGTAGAGAGGACAATAACGGTACAAGCGTGTCTTAATTGTGATATTGCCTCCAAAGACATTAGTGTCTGAATAGCTGAATAGCTTCTATGTTACCTGCTACTTTTACTACACTGGCAATGTTAGGCTACAAGCTAACTTGAAGAGACATGCGCAGAGCAGCGCTGTTTCCGCCCACGACTCAGAGGCGAATTGCTAATGATCTCCTGGAGCTCTGCAGAAGAAAAGCCCTTGAAAATGACACAGGTAACATGATTTTGGCTAAAAACTCCATAATCACGATTTAAAGACCACTGAGAACACTTTAAGTGGTAAAAAAAAAGAAAATCAGCGTGGGACTTTAACAGATCTGCATCGTAATGTTGTTGTTTTGTCAAACTTAATACCTTGAGTTGCAAAAAACAGATTGTTTTTTCGGATTCATTTCAGTTAGCCAAAGTGACGCCTTTCTACTGTTTACAGCAAATCTGAGATTTAGTCAACAGATGAACAAGAGTTTTCCAAGGAAATACAACAAATCAAGAGCTGTGATTTTGATCAGAGCACACAGTTGCTGAAGTTGTGAATTGGGGAAACTGCTGATCCCTTACAGCTGCCAACGCCAGAAACACGGCAAAAGTGCAAATATTGTTGTGAGATGACAACAAAAGGAATTCAGAGATCGACCCTGAGTTAACATAGAACAGACTTCCTGTCCTTCAACTCCAAATTGCAGAGGAGAAAAATGAAAGTGGACAAAAGTAACAAAATGCGTCACCTTAAGGTCTCTGTGGATGATGGGTGCCTTGCGCTGGTGTAGGCGAGAAACAGCATCACAGGTGTCACAGAAGATCTGCAGCACCTCTGCCTCGGTGAAGCCGGTCTGCAGCCTCTGATTCATCAAGTTGACCACCTGCCCCCCTGCAAATAAAGCAAAACCATCAGGAGGGATTAACCTCACGGGTACATGAACACAACCTTACTTCTCTGAGTTTTTTACAACACTTATACAGTTTGGACTCATTATGTAGGGAATGACGATGAAGATAAAAGCTTAGATCTATTAGGTATAAATAGAAAAAGCATTACAATATGTTAGGATTATAGCGTATGACAAATATGTGGTTATAATGGGAGTCAATTGGCCAAATTTGGCCACAAGGTTACCAAGTGTCGGTGTGATGCAAATCTCCTATTCTAAACACTTCCAGTAGACAGGCTTTTAGAATTAAGGAAATAAAAATGAAAAAAAAATAGTGCCAAAATTTCATACAGCTAGCCTTTTAACTGACTGGGTTACTGAGAGAAGAACAAAAAAAAACACACCCAAAATGTCAATTTTTGTCCCCAAGATGCTCCGAGGGTTAAAGAGCATGAAGACAAATCCAAAAGCTGAGACTGTACACCATATTTCCCTGTCAGCACTCACCCTTACAGAAGTCCATTAGAATAAAAACCTCCCATACATCCCGTGATCCCATCGCCGTGATACTGGAGTCCAGATAGCCCACTATATTCTTATGACCAACGAGGTCTTTCTGCAAGAACACAAACACACATTCAAGAGTGTTAACAAATTACTCAGCACCCTGTTTGCATTAAAGCCAAAAGGCAACTCCATATCCTGTAGAAGAGGAAGAACAGTTCATGACACATAAACACACATAAAAATACAGCACCAGGAGACTTCACTGCAGTGTATTTTGAGGATCAAATGGCATAATGGTGTGCCCTCCCTTAATCTGGTCAGTGTATTGTGATGCATTGTGAGGCCGTCACCTGCAGAGGGAGCTGCAATAGTGAGCTGAAATCAGCAACCTATTAGGTAATGAAAAAACGTCCAGTGCTGCAGCAGAGGTTAAGCACTGTGTGTATGTCTGCATGTTCAAATGTGTTTGTGTGTAGAGGACCAGCTGGAGGCTAAAAGAATGAAACAGATTTCCAGAGTTAAAGAAGGCACCATGTTGTGTGTGATATAAAGGAGAATTACGTAGATTAACGTTTGATTTCTAAGGGAATCCAGAGCCTTGGTTTTCAAAATGTGTACGGTCTGTAATTCTGCCTCATGCTGATACAATCAGCCACTTTTAATGCACTTTGAAATTTTACTGCTTCCTTCCTTCCTTCCTTCCTTCCTGAGTTTTCCTTCAGACACAAACAAACAAATTCAGTGAGTGAACTTGATAAATGACAGAGTCAAGCTCCAAAAAATTGCAGGGATGAATTTATCAATAGTACAGATGACAGATTCCTATCCTGTGGTTGTCTACAAAGAATTGATTTAGTGTCTTTTCAATTATAGACCACATGAATCTCAGCAATGCTCTGTGTCAGTACAGGGACTTTCTTCCTTCCTAACCAGTGTGATTCTCATGTAGATTTCATTTATAGCTGAGACGCATTTAGCACACAAACACATTGTCACCTTAGGGAAACAACTTTTATTATAGGATGACAAATTCTGATTTTTCTTCCCAGAAATAGATGCTAAAAAATAACACATCAAGGACTACACAGTCCTTTTAGGATTGATGGTCATAAAAACAGCCCCCATACTTTCTCCACAATGAAGCTCAGGGGGAGAGCAAAACATGCAAGTCGACACTATGAAAACAAAAGGGTACATGAGAACCAGTTGAATAAATACAGTACAGCCATCAACACAACCCTGCTGCAGGCCCAAAGAGGACTGGATTGTATTCTCCATGTTGAACAGAGATATATTTGATAAGTTTCACTTATTTTTCTCAAAAATATACAAGTACACTTACTATTGTGTAACTGTCTCAGCATGGGGTATTTATTCCCTCCAAAAAACACACAAACTCAGTTTGAGAACAAACAGAAAATCTCAGCGACTCACCATTATTTGAATCTCACACTTGCACACCTGCAGATCATGTTCATTGTTGACATACATCCTCTTCAGGGCGCAGCGCACCCCTTGATTTGTTTTCACGAGGAACACGATTGCAAAACCACCTGCAGGAGTGAGACAGAAACCAAGTGGAAATGTAAGCCCTAACAGAGATGTGAGAAATACCTACGAAATCTTTCAGACTAACAGTTCAGCAGAAACCTAAAGCACATCAAAATTATTCATGGATTAAATTACAGTCACAACACACATTTGAGATCCTGGACCAAAAGCATCATTTCATTCTCCAAAATGACCTTAGAGGCGTCTCTTGGTGGTTAAGTTATGCACCCCGTGTATCGAGGCTACAACCCTCATAGCAGTGACTTGGGTTAAAATCCAATCTGTGGCCATTTCCCACATTATCCTCCTCTCCATTTTCCTCTTCTATCTACTATCTTATCCTCTAAACAAAAACATACAAATCCCCCAAACTAATCTTTAAATAGTCATCTTTAGGCATCACGATTTGGGAATTTTAGTTCAAATACTACTTTTTACTGGCAGCAGTAAGCTACTACAGCAAGTTTTGTCTCGATGTAGCATCTAAAGGCATGATCAGGCCCAAATGGAGCAGCCTTATAGCATCATGTATTAGTCATGTCATTGCTGCAGGGTTTACGTGGAGGCCTACATTGAGGCCTAACCATCTGGTATTGCCTGGACCACAAATTCACTTTGCCGAGTTTGGTCGTGACAGAGTCATCAATTTCAGGCAGACACTGCGGCTTGTGCTGCAACCTCAACGTGACACGTGTTAAATGGTATTGTATTCCACTGTAGCTCCATAAATGTGAAAGAGATACCAACGGACATGACTGCATGACTTCAACTTTAGGACCAAATACTGAAGTCCTGACCGGCTTTACAATACCGTCTTCCTTCTATGAAAAGACCCTGGCTTTAATAAGTTGGTGACAAAAACTGTGATTGTATCTAAAACCTTTGGCCACAAAAATGACAGATAAAAATCATCCTAAAACCAACAGATAATCTAAAGTAAGGTATTACTTGGTGCTCTTATTTTACTATCTTTTACTGTTGTTTTCATTTCATTTTATTATTTCTCAAACTTCATTCTTTGTTTCTTTGTTTTTAGATATTAACATAAACCTCCAGTGTTTCCTTATCTTGAGTTTTAAAATGACGTTTCCTCAGTGCGCACATTCCTGTTTCCATGACACCAAGCCCTTTTTAAGTTTATGCATTTTAATACTGTTTCTGTTGCAATTAGATCGTGGGGTGGGAATGAGGGGTTGGGCTGGGGTAGATTTGGGTATTCTTCTAATCTTGGGTTGGGGTAAATTTGGGTATTCTTTGTTTCTTTAAAGACTGATTGATTGATTGATATTATACCAAAAGTACATAGTGCAATATTGACTTGTGTGTATACTGCTATACAATACTCTCTCTTCTATGCTTAGACCTTGGCTTTGACAAGTTGGTGACAAAAACTCTGATTTGTATGTACAACCTTTAGCCACAAAAATGGCAGCTGAAAATCATCCTAAAAACAACAGACAGTCAAAAGTAAGGTATTATAGAAAAAGTACATAGTGCAGTATTGATTTGTGTAAATATACTGCTATACAATACTCTCTTTATGCTTAGACCCTGGCTTTGACAAGTTGGTGGCAAAAACTGTTATTTGTATCTACAACCTTTGGCCCTAAAAATGACATGAAAACCATCCTAAAAACAACAGACAGTAAAGTAAGGTATTATACCAAAAGAAGATAGTGTAGTATTGACTTGTGTGTATATACTGCTGGCCTAAGAAGTTGTTTTGCTTTATAAAGTCACGACAAATTGCAAGGTAAAGCAAGCATAAATATTGTGTTTTCAATTCAAAATGATGAATACAGTAGCTTTATTTGGTTGCTGATTCATCAGCAGTACTCAGTCTGCTGAAAGCACACAGTTTTGCACACTCCTGTATATTTACAAAACCTGGTAATCATGTGTGAATTAAAGCCTGTGCAGCACACAAAACTTTCATTCATTCATACTAAAAGGGAAAAAATAACTGCATTAACTGTACAGAACCATGCAGGTCTCCGGTCAGTTTGAATCACACTTGTGAATCATGAAACAGCGAGCAGGAAACAGTTAGTCAGAGTCCAGCTGAGAATAAAAAAGCAGTAGGCCTATGTTTTGCAATCTGATGCAGGGCTCCATCATTCCTGTGGTGGATGGCATAAGGTTACAGTCCTGGTCTTGTCATGTGACTCATATCCCATATCATCAATCATATCTCAGGCTTCAACAACAACAAGAAGCATGAAAATAAAGGGAAACATTTAGCCTCTAGTACTCATTCTCACCTTCAGCAATGATCTCCTCCACTGTAACCTGGTGCTTCCCGACGGTGAAGGATTTACCAATAAAATTTCCGCCTGCATGACTGGACCCAGAGCTGCTACCTCCTCCTCCAGAACCAGGCCCAGAGCTCACCAACTCCCGACGGGAATCAAAGAACTTCCTCATGTTGTCGCAATGACAGGGTGCGTGTCTCAATCACTGACACACACTCACACAGAGAGAGAGATGAACTGCTTGTTTCCTGTGGACTGACTTATTGCACTGATAAGATGATGATGCAGGTCAGATTGTACATGTAAAGGGTCCGAAGCTTCAAGTAAGTCTATTGCAGCCTAAAACCTGCACTGATGCCTTTGTCACTTAGGATGATGTTGAGACAAACACGGATTTTTTGGTGGCAAAATTCCCATTTGCTTGCCAACACAAGCCAGTTGGTGATAGCTAGAGCGGCTAGCTGTTATGTAAGTGAATTACACCACCCAGGAGGCTAAAGCATCTCCGGAGGAAGTATTCTTTAGCTATCCATCCAGCTGCTCACGGTCGGCTGCTGATGATGATAACATTAGGTCCTTCTCCATCTCGTCAAGCCATTACCGAGCTAGCTAAGTGCTAGCTACTTACGCGCTATGACATTTCGTGTAAGGTTATCCAGGTTATCCTCTGAAGATAATGTCTTGAGTGCGATGTTTCCGACGTGTAACTCGTTTGGTAGCGTCGCCGAAAAATATCTTTCCATCCTCAGTCAAGTGAAGCGACTATTAGCTGGCACATAGCTGCCCATCAGGCTGTTTAATTGCTTCCACTTACGATTAAACTATGGTTTTAGTAAGCTAACGCTTTAGCGCGGTCCAGCCCCTCGTCAACACAAACAAACGCAGATACGACAGAGGACTACAGTCTCTGTCTGTTGTTCCCGAGGCTAAAAACAGTTCACCGCAGGATTTGACACGTAGAGAAACATTAGTCAAGGGTTAAAACACAGCAGCCTAATCTCTGCAACCACAGCAATCTTTGGCTGCCAGCGATATCGCAACATCCTAGCTGTTGCTGTTGACGCACGGATGGAATTGTGGGTATTGTAGTCGGAACTCTGCTGCAGCTTCCCCTCCCCCTCGTAAAGCTGAGTTCAAGTCATGACGGAGAGACTGTGAATGTGGAAAACTTTGCACAGTTTAGACTGATTCAGTTTCCTTTTTGCTTTTGCTTTTCTTCTATGCTTAGACCCTGGCTTTGACAAGTTGGTGACAAAAACTCTGATTTGTATGTACAACCTTTAGCCACAAAAATGACAGCTGAAAATCATCCTAAAAACAACAGACAGTCAAAAGTAAGGTATTATAGAAAAAGTACATAGTGCAGTTTTGATTTGTGTAAATATACTGCTATACAATACTTTCTTTATGCTTAGACCCTGGCTTTGACAAGTTGGTGGCAAAAACTGTTATTTGTATCTACAACCTTTGGCCCTAAAAATGACATGAAAATCATCCTAAAAACAACAGACAGTAAAGTAAGGTATTATACAAAAAGTAGATAGTGTAGTATTGACTTGTGTGTATATACTGCTGGCCTAAGAAGCTGTTTTGCTTTATAAAGTCACGGCAAATTACAAGGTAAAGCAAGCATAAATATTGTGTTTTCAATTCAAAATGATGAATACAGTAGCTTTATTTGGTGTGAATGTGGAAAACTTTGCACAATTTAGACTGATTCAGTTTCCTCTTTTTTTTTTTTTTTTTTTAAAGACCACTTATTGAAAAGCACAAAAGAGTCAATTAATAGTGAAAACAAAAGTAAATGTAGAAAAATTTTGCACAACTGTCCATTGTCCATGCAAAGCTTACAAGCCTACATTCCCTTTTTGGTAAAAAAAAAAAAATAATAATAATAATTAATTAATTGATTAATTTAAAAAAAATAAAATTAAATGTTTATGTTGCAAGTAGGCCACAAAGATCTCCCATCATATAAACGCGTTAAATACCGAAAGAATACTGTAAAGTACTGTCTCGATAAAGCTCTGAAAAAGCCCACCTTGTTGGCTTTTTTGTCCAATCAAGAGTGAAAAACTAATCAATCAGAATGAGGACTGTCAATATTGAATGGAAATGCAAAATCTGGAAAAAGAATTGTTTCCTGAAAATAGTAGACGGTCATCAACAAAGATACCAGCAAATTCCCTATCCATAATCTCACTAACAATTCCAGTGAAAAGCTATAAAAGTAATACAAAAATAAGGTGAGGGTGTATCTTTGACATACATGAGTCTATTGTATTTTTGTTTGCAAACTTCAATTTTCCTATTATGAAACCAGCAGACATTAACTGTTACAGTAAAGTAAAAGAAAGAAAGAAAGAAAGTTACTGCGAAAATAAAAGGATGCAAATAAAAAAGCCACAACAGAAGGGAGCTGCAGGGGACCAATAATGACAATGCACTGGTGTTTTACGCTCTAGGCACAGAAGACAATGGCGAGAGGAAAAACAAAGAAGTAAGTGGAAAGGTTATTGTTTAATTTCACTCTGTAAACTTTTCAATGTGACATTTGGTTAGGCCAAGTTGCGCCTGAGTCGATATGAAGTTAAACTGGTAGTATTAGCTTCAGTTCAACTTCATATCGACTCAGCGCTCGATGGCCTGACCATATGACAAATTGAAAAAGCACGAAGCGAAATTAAACAATTGTCTTCTCGTCTCCTCGCCATCGTCTTCTGTGCCTACTAGATTGTATAACACTGGTGCATCATCATTATTGATCCCCGGCAACTTACTTCCATTGTGACTTTTTTTATTTGCATCCTTTTATTTTCGCAGTAAGTTTTTTTTTTTTATCCATCACCACTTAACTTGTGGCTTTTTTTTTTTTTAATTTGCAGCAGGCTTTGGTTTCTCTTTTTTTTGCATCACTAACTTCCGGCAGTGGCGGTTCTCGGCCACCGTACATTATAGTTAAGTCAGTAAACGAACCAACCACAGGTATATCACTTAGCTCTGACACATGAGTAGAGGTTTTCCTGTAATTCCCATTCTACCATTACACCATGAACGCAGCGTCAGCCCGCGTGCACGTTACAGCGCGCACGCGAAGGGAGGACCCTGATCGAGTTTTGCATCACGGGTGGGTGGGACGTCTGGGCAGCTGTAACTTATAAAGTGGTCCTGTGACGTCCCCACCCCTCGTCGAGCTGCTCCACTCGCGTCAGCCGTCTTCAGGACAGGTAAGGTGAACCTCAGAGACCTGTTCTAGTCGTATGATCAGGATGCAGACACGGTATGTTTGTTAGACTGGAGTTTTGACTGTAGCGGTGGCCGCTGTGTCTGTGTGCTGGGTGTGCCCACCAACTTCGTGCCAGGTCGGCTGTTAAACTTGCTAAGAGCTTTGCTTCCTGGAACACTTTCGATACCGTTTCTTTACTTTTTTCAGCTCTTTCAAACAATCCTGAGCATTAGATCACACATGTTTAATTTGAAGCTTCATGAAGTACATTACCATTACACCAATAACCTTGGGAATGTTACTTTAATGTACAGTTTGTCCTATCTTTACTTTACGTTGAAGGGAACACCTCCACTATTGCACAACTGAAATAGATTTTCAGACCAAGATGTTTATGATCACTTACAGTCAAAAAATAGAAGCATTAAGAAATAAATATTTTTGGAGTTAAACTTCTTTTTAGATCACTTTCTCATCTAGGATACTCAGACATGTGAAAACTGATAATGAAATTGTCTCTCAAGCGTGGACATGCACAGATTTTGTTTATTTACTAAAATGTAAATTCTGTCTCTTGTTACACTTGTGACTAGATCCTTTTGTGTTGGCTCGTGGTCTGTGCTCCATAGATAAATGAATGAAGTTTACCATAGACATGGTGTGGAGTGTTTGTGTGTGTAGGAGTCACCTGTCATGTGTTTACATCACAAATATCTCGGGTGTGGCTGTTGACTTACATAAATTGAGGTTAACTTTTTTTTAGCTAATGTTTCCAATGTCAGAGTAGATTTGTCGAAGATGTTAAACAAACTTTCATGTTTTCTGTGTAAATACTTGCTAGTCATGTGAGTTATTGCCATAATGCTTGTATGCAGTGTAACTTCTTGTTTTTTTTAAAGAAAACAGAAGTCGTCTCCATGCTTTTTGACACACATAAGAAGACCGTGTCATGATGTCAAACCATGCAAACTGATCTCTCCTGCCAAAACCCCCTCTACCTTTCCTCGTTGGAGTAATTACAGGTGTTTCCAAACAAGCTTGAGCTTAATTAGATTAGCTGTCAGGACCCTCACGCAGTTGTGGGACACTAAAGAACCTTTAACCACACAAGTGTGACAGAAACCCTCTGTGTGATGGAGACCTGCATACAATATTGATCAGAGGTTAATGAGGGTCACACTCTCAATGGGAAGCATTTACTGCCTCCAAACCTGATGACCGGCAGTTCATTACGTCCTTGTGTGTTAAAACAGAGTGGTGTCGTTTGTTGTGTATCTAACTACTGTTTGTTATTTTGTTTATTTTTTTGTAGTTTTCTTTATCTCCAGAAATCCACACTCTCGTGCTCCACTCCACAATGGCAGCGGTAAGTGTCCAAAAGCTGCTGTGCCACCAATGCTTGAGGAAAGAGGTGTAGAGTCATGCAGTCAGAGGTGTAGATACTCAATTTCTCTTACATAAGTTAAGGTTTGTCTGTGTCACAGAGCCGGTCACCCAGTCATTGTTGTTTTCAGATAATATCAGATGCCTATTTAGCAGTCAAAGATATTTTGTCTTACCCTTTTATGGACATCATTTACATTTATTTGCATTGTCACCAACAGAAACTCTGCTCTTTTGTTTGGTTTTATAGACTGTAGCAGTAATATTGTATTATGTTTATTATTTCAGCTTCATCATAAATTGGAATCATTTGTTACGGCTCACAGTTGCAGCTTACGTCTCATGTAATTCATCCTAAGTGTTTAAATTCCAACTGATAGACAGTGTGGAGTTGAATCTATAGTTTTTTCCTTAATGTGATGCCAGGATACAACTATTTTAGTTGTTGTGTAATATATTTATTTCCTTTTGAAATGTATATTTTTAAATTGTTACTGAAAGAGAAATGCAAATGTTACCAGTCTTCTCTGGCTTCACCTTTAATTTTAGAATCACTTTTGAAACTAAATCGAGTCCCTCCTTCTCGTCAAACATTTGTATTTGCCTTGGTTTGATTGGACATCTGAAGAAAGACAGGGACAGTTGACAAGAGAGTGTTAGGGGGAGACATGCAGCTAAAGGTCATGGCTAGAGGTCAAACCAACGTCCCCTCTGATGAGGCCTATAGCCTCAGTACACAGCGTGCTTCTGTTAGGCCAACTACTGCCCCATTTATCAGACCATAAATCCATTACAGTCTTGCACTATCACTTAGGTCCTCTGGGTGGGGCTTTGCACAAACTCAGGGTAACCATACTTTTTCAGATCGGGTGGCACCAACTTTCCTTACATATCATATGCTCAACTTATGATTCCAAACAAGTTAAAGTGATTTCATGTGATTTTTAAATGAACTAGCACATAATCATGTTTGTGCGAATATCACGATCTTTTACAGCTTTTTCTCGATTTTATTTTGCCCTTGTCTGTGAAGCACTGCGGTCAGCTACTGCTATTTATAACATGCTATACAAATAAAATTTGACTTGACATGAGATGCCTCATACTTACCTATAAAGTCATCCACAGTCCATGTGCTGTACGCTGCAAAATTCCTCCATTAAACTTAAGTCAACGTGCAGTTGGCCACCACACTTGTTGGGATGTCACTCAGTCACGCTGACACGAGTATGACACCTGGAACTCTGAAGCTGTTTTCAAAACATCTCATGAATAATATTACAAAGTGAGGGTAAAAGATTGAAGTCAAGTCTCATAAATTGGTGCACTTGTCTAAGAGGATTTGGAGCTTTTTTTTCTTCTTATGATCTACTTCTGTGTAATAGATTAATGGCTTAATGGATGATGTGTCTGTCCAACTAGATTGGAAACAGAGGAACAGTGACCGAGGCGGCTGGTTTTGACCCAGAGGCAGATGCCCAGCGGCTCAGAGGAGCCATGAAGGGAGCTGGTGAGTGATCCAGACACCGTCATTAGCTAAAGATATTCTTACCGTGTCATTAAGACTCAGCCTCTATGAAGAAAAAAATATGATTAATCCTTCCTTTTCCTCTCCTCTAGGAAAGAAAAGTTGAAATATATTCAGTGCTGTCATGGCAGCTTTAAACACAAAGCTACCATGGCAGCTTTATGTTGATCTGTTTTCTTTTCCATTCTGTCGACTGAGTGTGTCCTTGTACTTTGCCTCACCTCTTCCCTCTCTACACGGAAGAGAGTCTTGACTTTGCTGAGCAGGCAGAAAGCGGTCATAAATTAATTTCATTTTGGCCTACACTGTTTTAAATGTGAACAAGTATGTAGGAGCCATTGAAAGAGGTGTATCTTTACTCACATTCAACAGAGATGTCTCTTTCTCTATCAGCACACTCATGGTGTGGAATGTCAATGCTGTTAGCCTTTGCTAGCATAATCATATCCCCCTGACTCCAGTTTGAGCTCTATTACAAACAGATGGTTTCCGTGACGATGCAAACAAACAACTGGACAGTCTCGAGGGCTGCAGTGCTGGTTACCGTTTCTATTGTCCAAAAAAAAAGATTTATGAAGCTCCGGCTGCAGGAATATATTATCTTCTATCATTTGTTAAGTTTATAAGCTGTTATATTGTATTTTTATGCAGGCACTGAAGAGGCAACTATCATTGAGGTTCTGGCACACCGCACCATTGCCCAGAGGCAGCGCATCAAAGAGGCCTTCAAGCAAGCCGTGGGGAAGGTGAGACTTTTCACCGAGCTGTGCTCAGAGGTGGAAAACAAAGTCTTTTTTCATATGGATTAAGATGTCTTTCATCACAATCGGCGTACATGCAACACACGAAGGAAATAAATGACAGCTAGAGCATTGTGTTAGTTTAGCCCCCTCTACTATTATGTTATATCTTAGTCTTTTTGTACTTAAGGTGGGGCTGTGCTGTTCAAACAAAGAACTGATAATGTGCAAGGTAATCATTGACTGTGAGGCATAAATGAATACCATCTGTAAACAAACACTAGGACAGAGCGGGCATTCTAATCTCAGAATTAAGGAAGGTTGCCTCATCTAAAACCAAGTACACTGAACCCACAGAGGTATGCTCCCACTGACTGCCTCTTTGTCTCACTCTTCTGTGGATCAATATATTAACCAAGAGGGAAGCAGGAAATGTAAATGACACTGATAAGATTACATGATATAACTGATAAACTACGCCGTGTGTGTTCGCCGGTCGATAAAGTTAACTGAAAGTTCCTCTGAGGAAACGGCAGAAAAAGCAAAGATAGAGAGTGAATCCTTGCCGGTAGAAACAGTGAGTCATGTTCCACACAGCGACGCCCACATGTGGTCACACAGGCGAGCTGAGTGGAACAGCTTTCACAAAATTGTGTCCAGAAACCACACCCTCTAGCGGGGACCCGAGCGCTGCAGCTGGAATGTATGAAGTCATGTGTCATGTCCACGCTGGCAGCTCTAGCCCAACATAAACCCAACATACTTCAACTCATTTTAGAGTGAAAATGATCCGCTTTTATCGCAGCCAATCTTTCTGATGAATAAAATATCTGGGCACTGGGAATAACCGGTGGACTGTTTCCATGTTTTATCTGTGTTTCCATCCATCATCCTGCAGGACCTGGCTGATGAGCTGTCGTCAGAGCTGAGTGGGAACTTCAGGAGCGTTGTTCTCGGTCTGCTGATGCTGGCGCCGGTGTATGATGCCTACGAGCTGAGATACGCGATGAAGGTCAGGGTTTGAACTTTTTGCTTTTCTTTGCAGAATCAGTTAGTCGTCTAAAATAACAACCACAAGTTCACCCCCTAAAACTAGTACCTGTTCAACACCAACAGATATTTGACTCAACACATGAGTTTCTGCCACCATTATTTTAATATAAGTTGTGTATTCATCCTCAGCAGAAAATAGTCCTAAACAAATAAAGAAATTAGTCATGTTTGAAAAGAAACTCTCCAGCTGTATCAGGCTATTATTTAATCTTTTTAAATGATGGTTTATATTTCAGAGATATCTTTAGTATACTTGAGTGAAAAGGGTAAATAAACCAGGGGCCTAACTCTACAGTGTGAATCATAAATCATCATTGTGATTATGGTCTTCTTCTGGGATTTCCTGACTATAGGGACAATATCAAGCAGAGAAAACGATATTCCTTTAGTCTCTAAACTCATACTGAAAAGCATCACACCCTTTTGTGTCCTGTCTTTTGTCCTTTTTTGAAGTTTTTATCTCTCTTTCTTCATCACAGGGGGCTGGAACAGAAGAGGCCGCTCTCATTGACATCCTCGCTACAAGGTCAAACCAGGAAATTAAAACCATCAATGCTTTCTACAAGAAAGGTACATGTGTCTCACTTCTATACATAGCACCTCTGACTTCTGTTCACCAGGAGTTTCAGTGTCTGCAGTTACCTATAGGTTGTGTATGATATCTGATACTGTGTATCAGTGAGCAGCCCTCCTGTTCTTTGTTTGGAGATTCATTGACCTCCTTTTATTAGCAAACAGTGGATGGTATAAATTATTTATAGAAGCTGTTTTCCGCTTGCTCTGGGGCAGTTTTATAGTTTGTTTGCTGTTCTGTGGCTGCAGTCACACAAACTGGAAAGTATTGCCAGTGTTACCATGTATTAAATGAATATGTTGTTGTTCTTTGTGGTGTCGCTTACCTGTACATACATGTTTTGTAAGTAAGTAAACTTTATTTATATAGCCCCTTTCACAGACAAAAAGTCTTTAAGTGCTTCACATAAACAAAAAGTTAAAATGTACATACGAATTTAAAAGGCCAAGACAACAACATTAACGATCAAAGCAGTCCTAAAAAACTAGACAAAAGCCTGGGCAAATAAAGGTGTCTTAAGTTGGTTTTTAAGTCAGAGTCAACAGAGTAAGGAGGGGAAGATCATTCCAAAGCCCGGGAGCAACAGCCTGGAAAGATTGGTCTCCTCTGGTCCGAAAATGAGTGCGTGGAACCACCAGTTGTTCCATTTTGTTCCATTTAACATCAAAGCTGTTGAATTTTGAACCCATGTCAACGAGATTCTGGCAAATTATAACTTCAACTTTAATCTTTTTCATATATAAGTCATTATTTTTGTCTGTTCCCCAGATCCCTTAAACTCTTCTTTAATTACCTGATTTTTGTGTGTGTGTGAAACTGGTGATTCATTGTGCAAAAATCTCACATACACACATTTGCCACTATACTTAGCTCATTATCTGCTTTGAGCTCATTCAATTGGTTTTGAACAGCACTGTCTAAATGATCTGAAAGGCTAGCGTGAATAGTGGTTGTTTGGTGTGTTTGATTGGTGGTTAAGAAACATAAACATCAAATGGACAGAAGCACCAGCAACTGAATAATAAACATCCTAAAAAGTTAGAAAGTAGTTGTAACTGTTGTGTGCCGTACAGCTGCTGTGCTCTCAGCGCCCTTTGAGGCAAAGAGAGCGAGTCAGAGAAAAGCTTCTTACACATTTCAGTTCCCAAACAGCACCTTAATAATGAAGCTCTGCCCTCATTTACCCTTTGTACTAACATACTATGACAGTGCAGAAGCATGAGAGGCATGGCTTGTAAACACACACTTGACTAAGACATGCATACACACATAGCTCTGCCCGCTGTCTTCCCCTTTCTCTACCTCTGTTACTCACTTTCAGGAATGAATGGATTGGCTCCAACATTGCACCTCTATATAAATTACAGACAAGTGTGAAAGGGGCCTAAATATTCCACCTTGACATGGCAGTATTTAATAGCCTAATGAGAGAGAACTACAAGTATTGACCTACATTTTACAGTACATACATTTTTCAAAGAACATTTTAATTTAATATCATTAAGGGGGATAAAATGATCCCAATTTATCATTTAACCAAGCAGCTCATAAAATAAAGTTACTGACTGTGGTTTTGATAAGCTTGCCTTAATATTGAATCAAGTGTTCTGCTCTGCCTTTTTTAATTAATTGATTTTTCATGACAGAATATGGGAAAAGCTTGGAGGATGCTGTGAGTGGGGACACGTCTGGCATGTTTCAGAGGGTTTTGGTGTCATTACTCACGGTAAGCATTTAACAGCTCCTGCTTTTATTTAGTTGTTGAGTGAGGATTTGTCTGGATTGAAGGAGTTTTGATACTCATGTAAACATATGTGGTAACTTGTAAAACGTCAATATAAAGCTATGCTGGAAACAGTTGATTTTTTAACCAACTTTAGGAGGAGGAAGTGAGAGTTATTTCTTCATCAAATGTCATTCTCAGCTTTTTTTTCTCTACTATTATGCAATCCTGTGTTCATTTCCTCATTTTTCCCCCTGTGTTTCAGGCTGGGCGTGATGAGAGCGATAACGTGGACGAAGCCCAAGCTGTCTTGGATGCCAAGGCAAGACTTCAGTTGCTTTGAGTGGAAGCATGTGGTTCAAACATGAGTCTGAGTTAAAAGTCTTTGTGATTACAGGAGATCTTCGAGGCTGGTGAGGCGCGGTGGGGCACAGACGAGGTGAAATTCCTCACGGTGCTTTGTGTGAGGAACCATAAGCATCTGCTACGAGGTATTAATACAGAACATTCACACAAGCGTGAAAGTCATCAAACCAAATATCCCTTATGTGTCTTTTATCATGTGATCTTACTTTCTTTTATCAGAAATAGAATCAGAATCATGTAGTTGGACTGTGGGGGTTGTCCTAACTCTCACTTTCCACTTTATTCATGCAAATTTTTTTAAGTTTTGACCTCGATAACAAAAAAGAGTGAGACACTAATGTGGTATTATCCTTGTCCTGGTGACACAGTTGACCTCAGTTTTAGTGGTATTTATGTTCCTCCTGCAGTGTTCGAGGAGTATCAGAAGGTATCTGGAAGAGACATCGAGGACAGCATTAAGAGGGAGATGTCTGGCAGTCTTGAGGACGTCTTTCTGGCCATAGGTCTGTCTGTCCTCCAACATCCTCCTACATAAACAGTATATATACACGTGAATATACAACATGAATATGCTTTGAAGTGTTTTAATTTACAGAAAGAAATAAAGAAATTCTTGACGTTGTAACGCTTTCAGATGATTTGTTGCGATGAATATCACCTTTACCTGAGAAAATTAAATTTTTCAGTCACATGAGGCAAATATATATGTGTATTAGGTGCCCAAACTCCTATTTAAAGTACAGCACATTTTAATAATAACTTCGACTGTAAACTTAATCAACTAAATTCACTGTAATCCTGATGTGAAAGGGTCGCACCTCATGCTCTGTTATTTGTTTTCGCACTGCAGTGAAATGCATAAAGAACAAGCCGGGATTCTTCGCAGAGCGGTTATACAAATCAATGAAGGTAAATATATTAAAGTGAATGTGCAGACTGCTGTTGTCATGTTAGATGTGGTTAGAAAACCATCAGGGATGATGTTTGGTGTCGTATAAACACTTTTTCCTCTTTTCTGTCAGGGTCTGGGAACCACAGATACCATCCTCATCAGAATAATGGTTGCCAGGGCGGAGATTGACATGTTGGACATCAAAGCTCAGTTCTTGAAGATGTACGGCAAGACCCTCCACTCATTCATCAAGGTAAGGGGCTGGAAACTGTGCTGTCAGCATCGGCTTTGAAATACATCAGCTTGTGTTTGAATTGTTAAAACTTACTAGCACCCTAATGCAGCTTTAAACTGAGGTGATGTCTGCTTTCTGAGGTCTTAGAATTAAGGAGAATGTGAAGAAGGTTTTACATGAGTTTGGTTTCAAGAGACTGCGAACATTTTCTCTCTGCTCCTGCTTTTTGAAGTCTCACAGATCTCATTTTCTTCTGTGCAGGGAGACACGTCTGGAGACTACCGCAAAATCCTGCTGGAGCTGTGCGGAGGCGAGTAGAGAGACATCAGCGGTGTACAGCTCTGACTTTATTCTGGAGACAATACTATCGGCTAGTTCATCTCTGTAGCTTTACTTGTCTTCTATGGCCTTTTACATTTCACTGATTGACTGCAGTGCCTTGTTTTACCGTTTGTACTGTAATACAAATTAAACCAAAGACCAGTGACCTTTTACACTCGTCTGTGTTTGTGTTATTGATCCGGTGTTAAGGGCTAATTAATGGTATTAGTTAGAGAGAGAGAGAGAGGAAGAGATATCCCCTTCACATCTCTAAGAACATAAAAGACAAATGTTATTGGCTTACAGCCCTCTGTTATGTTACAACCCAGTGTTTTCATCACTGTCCAGTCCGTGAGGTCCATTTGTTTAATTGGTTGCAATTACTCATTGGTTGAGTCAGCCCTTCATCATTTAACTCAATTACATTACTGCACTGTAGCTTCATTTGAGGCTGTAAAGTGTGTTCTAATCAAGTTAAGGAGGATGTCCTCTTGCTCACACAGAGCTAAAATAATATCTTGCAGTTGTACTCAGAAGTGGCCACTAGGTGGAACTAAAAACTGTCCATTCAGTGAGTTTAAAGCACAATGGGATAATCTGCCAGAATGTTTTGTTTATTCTGTAGAAGTGCTTTGGTTCATGTATTACATCTGTATTACGGCCTTAATCCTCTCTAATGAACATGATGCGCTTCATACTGACTTCAAAATAGAATCAAATGAGATTCAGCAGCATTACAGTCACCCTGCAGGCTCCCTGATCACTTTCATTCTGCTCACAGGGAGAAGAAACATCACTAAACCCGTATCAAACTCACTGTTGTTCAGTGTGTTAAATTGCCCCCAAAAACATTTATGTTTCTTCCATTCAAGCCGCCACCCTCTGTGGCCATCTGGTAAAAGCCTCATTTAGTATTTTTAGAGTGTTCAGCAGTTCTCCAGGCAGCTGCGAGGCTGATCTGAGCCCCAGAGGAGTTCACATGTTGATTCTGCAAACGTTTTTTTCAGTGGTGCGCTCATTAAGAAAAAAGGTTTTTGGCCCCTTTATCTGAGGAGCCGATGAGGCTGTCAAACAAAAGTTTGGATATTTGTCCTTGTGGTGCATATTTCAATGAGATGCTTTTAGGAAAGGCCTCTGTTTTATGGTTATCAATAAAATGTCTTTAAAAGTACCTGTATTCATTAGAATTCTAGTAAGCTTTTCATTTGACAGACAGAATAATTTCCTTTTTATTGCGTACAATGAAGCCCTCTACTGGAAGGGAACACTTAAAATAAAGACAATTTAACAGAGAACATTTCAACGAGAGCCTCTAAGAGCATTAATGGTTTGTTTATATGTCTGTACACTCACTTGTATTAACAATAAATATGTTCACTGAGGTTTAAAACAAAGTATAAGAAAGTTATAACAAAGAATTAAAATCCTTGAACTGCAGAGTTGAATTTCTCAAACCCATATGTGCAAAAACAAGGAGTGCAAAAGTATGTACATGGGAGGAGTAGATGAGTACAGATTTCCTCATTTATCCAAATGGAGAGAAGACAGAAATGTACTGAACAGAAGGTCATAGAGGGAGCAACGTACAGTTTCACTTTCTCAACTCAATGAACATCACTGTGAATTACTGCAAACATCACCATGGCAACAGTGACAACATGCAAGTTTAAATGTAGAGTTCACTTAACGGCCTGTCTGGCATCATGCACATGTGGTAAGACGTTGTCATTAAAATCACAAAATACACAAAGTCCGCAACCACACATCGCTGTCAAATCAGAGGAAATCAGCCTCTCCCCCACCCAACGCCTTCGATGCTCCACCCCTCAGTTCGGTGGGCAGTACCCTGACTGCCCCCCCCCACCCCCCCCTCTGTGAACTATTACTTGATCATGAGTAGTTCATCTTGTAGAAGCTTGAGGTTGCAAATAAACTGGTGTACTCATCCTTTTAAAAGTTACTAACGTATAGATGCAGAGACAAAGCAATGTTCAAACATACACAAGTTCAAAAAAAGGTATAAAAAATGTATTATAATGAAGTATAAGGAGGAAGAATTACATGAACGATGATGTGTTTAATGACTGTACTGTATAGACATCTATGCATGTATGTATGTATGTATGTATGTATGTATGTAAATATGTACGTATACGTAATTTATTTTTGAGATCACCAATTTAGTGTACAACCAAGTAATCCTTGATACGTAAGTGGTAAATTAATTTGTTAAAGTATACTTTATAGGTATACAGTAAGACAGTTTGTAAAGCGTTGACGCTGTGTAGTTGACAAAGGGGTAGGATCACATAAGTCTTGACTTCACCCTATTCCTTTTGAACATGATCTTGATATTGGCCAATTATTGCCTCTTAGGCTTGTCTTTGATTTTATAATTTATTTTTTTATTATTATTACTACTATTATTTTCTTTTCATAAAGCCTTGTTTTTTGTTTTGTTTTTTACTTCATCATTATTTTTATCATGTTCAAATAAAGAAAGAAAGAAAGAAAGAAGAACGTCTACTTCCATACATTTGTGTCACTTTGATTAGTCACATCCCTGTCTTAAACCAAAGCTGTCTGAGGTTCTCATCACACATGTTAGCTCTTCATCTCAAAGAAACAGAAACACAAAAACCCATCATCTTGCTCTCACATACCTCCACATCTACATAAATAGCTGTACAGAAGAAAAAAAACTAATCAATTAAGGGTCTATGTGAAGGGAGGCAGATGTAATTAAAGAGCAACAAATTGTAAAGGAAAAGGTTCAAGGGTTTGACCCCACAAGGTCTTGCAGAAGTGATTGAATCAACTCAAACATGAATAATCCCAAAATGTGGACTATTAAGTACTTTTACTGTGAAACACTTACAGCTGCAGATATTGAGGGAAACACTGAAAAGCAGACATTAACCTTCACCTCAGAAAAAAGACGCTCAACCATCTGTCTCTGAATTTGTTGGATTCTGCGTAAGTGTTCTTGTTGCATAACGTTCTGGGTACATGCAGTATAAGTAAGCACACGATGATCATTCTGAGTAATCTAATACACTTAAAAATCCAGCTCTTCTTTCAGAGCAGTATGACTAACAAGTATGGTATTTTAGGGGACGGTAACTCTTTCGAAAAATAAGATTTAAAATCGAGTTTATATGATTAAATGATATACATAAATCTAGCAAAGTGGAAAAGGTGCCAAGTAAAATGATGAGAAGAAATTTGAGACCTGAGGTTTGTTGATTAAATTCTCTGAGCCGCAGCTCAGCTGGTGTAACCAATTAGCTGTTAAGTGTAAAAGCATAATGGCAGCACTTAAATGAAATAACACCCAACCAGGTCAGAGTGCAGTTGAACCATTTAATTTACTGATTGAACAGAAGGGAGACCAGGAGTGTTTTCTGCATATTAACTAGAAATCTGAAACAATGTGTGATTTATTGATCTCGTCTGTGTCTCAGTTTCAATGCAGGTAGAAAAAAAATATCCTATTACTAATTACATTAAGAATAGACCTTTTTAATTCAAGAGTCTCAGTTAGCCATGAAAGTTTGACAGTGAATCTGCAAAGTCAAAACCAGGACCCTGAGCCTGAAAAGCAAAATAAAACCCATACTGCATTTATAAACGGATGGTTTGGGTTTTACAGTCAGGGACAGGGATCCCAGAGTACAAATGGACAAAAAATGAGGCACTATCTGCAAGAAACCATAAGTTCATGAGTAACTCCTGATGAAGTGATATATAGGAGGTAGTAAATCATGAGCGAGTCATGATGTGAGATAAAAGCCCTTGAGCAAGGACAGGTCTGTTTCGCACCATGCTGTTGTATGTTATCCTCCTCATTACCCAGCTACAAACTAAAGATATGAACAAACTGACATAAACCATGAGTCATTAAATTTTATGGATTTACATTTATTTCATTGTGCATTTTGTTTTGTGATATTAACTTTAAAGGTGCAGTGTGTGGTTTTTTAGCAACATTTAGTAGAACAACTTGGAAATATACTCATAAATATGTTTGAATCAGTGTTTAATCATCTGAATATAGAAAACATTTTATTTTTGTAAACTCAAAATGAACCTGCTATAAATGCAGACAGAGCAGATCCAACAGTAACACATAACGGACAGATTAGTAAAGGCCATACCTATTATTGTTATTTCTTAAGTGGTCATCTGAAATAAGCTTGTGGGGAGACAAAGGAGAGAGTGATGTGTACAAAAAAAGTGGTGATAGACATTTTTAAGGTAAAAACATGATCACACCTATCATGAATCAAAGCCGTTTTTTGTCCTTGAAGGTTACTGTCACTAGTAAATCCTGGAAGGAGTAAACAAAGGGGGCATTTTAATCAGTATCAGACCACTAGATACTGCAGAATAAATCCATTTCTACATACAAACAAAAAATTCTGATTTGCAAGAACGACTAAATGAGTAAAATGTTCCAATTAAAGACAATGAAGAAATGATGCAGAAATTAGCATAATAGAGAATACATGCTGGAGAGGTTTAAGAGGAGAAATGATTTGGGAGTATGGAAACTGAGTCTCTTAACTTTTAATTTCCTTTAAAACTCACTGTGCTTTCTATGTAAATGAGCCGGAATAACTTTTTTTTTTGCTTCATTAGCTTTTCTGAACTTTGTTTAAATTCTTACTGTGTATAATAAGCTCTTGTTATTTATTCTAGTTGTCAGTCATTTTGTAGACAGTCCTAATTGGACGACACAGCTGGCAGACAACACAGAGATCAGAAAATAAAGCAATGCATCTCCACCAGAGGAGAAAAGTCAATAATAAGCGAGGGAAGAAGATACTACCGTGTGAGCTATTCAAAGATTGGAGTGAGGGTCAGTCACATGAGTGCTGCACTGTTCCTCCTAACTCGCTCACAGACACAGGAACATATGTTTACAATTTTAAAAAAGGCTCTGGAGAGAACAGGTGATCCATAAACTATGTTTTGAAAAGTTGAACTTATAATCACCCAAAGCCGTACAGGGATTTTGGGACATAAAGCTGCAAGTGAAATAAACTCAAAACACAATACAGTCAGCTGTCTAGACAGCAAGGGTATGAACTGAGGATTTGTTTACGATCACAACGACAGCAGCTTCTGAGGCAGATATTCCAAGAAAGACACAAGGAATCCATTCATATGCTAACACACATATTGACATTCACATACTCAACTAAAAACAGTACATACCTTTAGCTTCCTGGAACATGACTCACACTCGTCAGTTTCTCATTTACCTCCATAGATATCCGCCTAGCTGACATTTCCTGCTTTTTGTCAAGGTTTTAACATGTTGCTGCAACCCTTTTATTTTCTATGCCAATTAAATCTTTTTCTCTTTCTTCATCAAGTCTAACATTGTGAGCATTTACGCATTTGTTAGTTTTTCTTACACTGCAGCTGAATTGAGAGGAACCTCAAAGCATAGGAACCTCATAGATACACTGAAGACTTCAAGAATATATATGACTATGTCAAATGTATTTAAAAATAATGTTAGATATACTATTATCATATCCATTATCATGTGATAAGAAACAGTTTTTTATCATTAATTATTTTTTACACTTTTTTTATTTTGCTTTATTTTTATTAGGTGGTGGGTATGTTGTTAACTTACAGACAAAGCATTTCCCAGGCTTATGGTAGAGCTGGTTCAGGTTCAGGCTTAGGCCAGCTCTGCTTGAGGTTTAGAAAGACAGGGGAACTGTTAAATTAAGCACCTTCCTGTTGTTCTCTGTCCTCTATCTGTCTGTGTCTTGAACTTTGAATCATCATTTCCCATAAAAGTCACGAACCCAAGTCTTTTGTCAGAGTCCCCTGAGCGACCTCATTCCACTGGTTGTAGACACCCGCTGCTGTAGACACCTTGCTGCTGTGGACCTGTCTGCTTTCCAGCTGCTTCAACTGCATGCATCAGTCTCACTCTTTCTCACACTGTCGTAAAGTGAATTAGCTTTTGAGCTGACAACTTCTGAGTTGTGCTATGGTTTGAATGTAAGCGGTAAACAACTCTAGGCCTTTACATGTGCAGTGCTGCTAATGACGTGAAATGGCATTTTATATACCTTGGGAATACAATTAAGCTTGAGCATGTCAAATAGGACACAAAATATTATGGAATCAGCTTTATTTTTCGTTATGTAAATAATGATAATAATAATTTAAAAATAATAAATAAATAAATAAATAATAATAATAATAATAATAATAATAATAATAATAATAATAATAATAATAATAATAACAATACATTTTATTTGAAGCGCACTTTCAGAACATAAAAAACAATGATAAAACACTATTAACAATTAAAGTCATCAATCATCAAAACAGTTAAAATCAACAAAGCAACATTAAAACATTTGACATAAACAACAGCAAAGGAATAAATAAAGAAATAAATGATACCAATTAAAATTAAATTTAAAAAGTGAGTTAGGGGTGGTGGGATGGATGGACCAGTTTAAACAGGTGTGTCTTGAGTTTGGACTTGAAGAAGGGGAGGGAGTCTATGTTCATCGTATTCTTCAGGTTATATACCTGTAGTGGTATTGGGCATTAAAATGAACAAGAAATTGAAGAAAACAAGGGTGGTCTAATATTTTTTTTCCATGACTGTATATCACTATCATTAATATTAATGTTAACTAACTTGGTTGAGTTTTCCTTGAACTGGACAAGGAAAAGTAGGATATATGAGTTGACTGCCTTTAAAATAAAACATCCATAAATGCAAGTCAAAGGGGTACTTTGGAGTTTTTTAAGTTAGGCTGTATGAGTTACATGTTGTGTATCAACCAAAATGGATTCTGATGCTGTACAGCTACACCTGCTTTTGTTGAAGTTTCTTAAAATGAGCTAAATTACATGGTGGGCCACTTTCCCCAAACCTCGGCAAGTTACTCAATAAAGAGGCCAGGCTGGCTAGCATCTCCTGTGGCTAATGCACATACTATTGACAAGTACCTTCAAAGATGGAGAGAGAGAAAACATCCCCCCTTTACGATCTAACTGTTTGATGTGATGAATAAGCAAAGCACATTTGAAAACTGACCACATCTGGCTTGACGAGAAACCACCAAAGGACAACATGTTCTTCATTGTTTGAGGTTTACTGAGGAAGTGACCTTTTTTATACAGGTGCTATTTCCTCACCTTCAATGATTTCTGCCTTCTTTTCATGATTGGGATCCAGCTCAGCAGTCGCTTGCTTCACTGGCTTGTATTGGTGACTCATGTTGAAAATTCATTTCACATCACATAGAGAGAGACAGAGAGAGAGAGAGAGAGAGAGAGAGCCCTGCAGGTCACATGAGTCATATGAAGGTGTGATTGTAAACCTCAGAGGAATCAGGATCTTTGTCTTGGAGCAGTTGGTTCATGTTAAACAGAGTTAGAGTGTCACTATGATCTTTGAGTCTCTGCCGTGTTGAGAAGTTCAAAGCTTCCTCTGCACAGTGTAAAGCTCACTTTATGACCACTTACACAGCCTCCTGAGGAGTGTAATAGCAGATAGCAGAGCTTTATTCTTACTGTCACGGCAAGACATCAAACTGTAGGCTGTACGAGTCAACGGCAGCCACAGATTGCAAAGAAACAGGAGAAGTTGTTTGAAGAATGTCCAAAGACTTTATATACTATGGACAACTTGGTTTCACCTTTTGCCAGTATACGGACTTGAGCCAAAAAGCTCTCTGTATATCTGCGATTTTTCTCCACTTCGTAAAACCAACATTGCGCAGCAGCGTTGTGCGCATTCAGCGGGAGAGTCGCTGAGAGTCGCTGTGATGACGCTTGGCTCAAACAGCATATCCCTCGGGAGAGATATGCAATCTTTGTACGCCCGTAGGCTGTATCAAGTGTCAATCATAGAAAACATGAACTTTTAAAAATGGAGCTGCACAGAAAAAAGAGGACTTGAACACAAACCAGTCTTGCAGCAACTACATGTCAACATCGCAATCAGGGGGGAAAAAAAATTATATTCTGTGTAATAAATTTCTAAAGTTTGTCCACACCTCCAGAGGAGGCAGGATTTATGACCTATACTGCAGCCGGTCACCAGATGGTGCTGTTCTCAGGGGTGGCTTCACCCAGTGAGGAGGCAGATGGCGTCCATTCTATTTATGAGAATCAAAACGGTGTTGTGGCTTTACTTCTAAGTGTACACGACCACTCTAAGATCAAACTGATTGATTTGATTTAATTGGAAAAACCGTCCAGTCGGGATTACAATGACTTGGATCAGAATAAAACTTGTGATCTAAGTGGTAAAGGAGGGAAGGAGGGGTGATGTATTCTTTTTGTCTTCAGACTACAAAGCCATGTACAGTGTATGTGGATATGCTTTTGTCAGTCGTTTTGCACATGCTCATTTCCTGTCCCCTCGTAACTTGAGAACACTTTTAAGCAAAACTATAGAAAAAATTAACCAAGGTCCTTTTCACTGAAAACAAGATAACGATGAAGCCATCAACCTCCATCTCCTTAAATATGTTGTCCTGCTATGACGTTACATTAGCGGACAATCCCATAAGTCACCCTGCTAGGATGTCATGCTCAAAGGGAATGACCAGCGCCTCAATAATAATAACAGGAGATGGAGGCCTGATGTCCATAATTAAGTACAGTATACAGTAAATACAAATATGATGACTGCCAGGGTGTCTTTTTTTTTTAATTCTGCATCAGACTGTTGCTCTTTTTGCAGATAAAACTTCTCATCCTTCCACAAGAAAACACCACAATCTAGTTTGGACAGATCCTGATCGCACTTATCTTCTCTGGACAGGATGTGGATATTTCTGTCGCCAAAGGAAGGATACAAAGTGACAGCTAGACTGTTGCGTGATATGAAATTTACATTACATGTTGCTACTGGTTTAAAAAGGTGTGTAATGATATAACAGGGATACAGAGTTAAGTCTCGGGAGTATGATAAAACCTCCTCTGTCAACCTCATCTTCTCTTTGTCTTGCTCTCTCCAATTCTGCAACTCTTCCACTCACCTTTTGCTGTTTTTTCTCTCTGTCCTTTTATTTTCTCTTCTCTTGAGCCATGAAGGGAGACGGGGCGTACATGTCATAAATCAATAAATGATTAAATGGTAAAATGGGCTTTGTTTATCCAGCACTTTCTCTTGTCTTCCGGCAGCTCAAAGCACTTCTACATTACACGGCACATTCACCCATTCACGCCATGTTGTTCACACACTGATGGTAGAGGCTGCTACGTAAAGCACCATCAGTTTTTGACTAATCCCATGGGCGCAGCTGATTGAGAAACAATCAACTCTTCCACTGAGCCACAACCGCCCCCACAACTCACACCTTAGTGTAGCTGTGGTCTTGCTTGTCAATCATAATTCAGAGCGACATCTTTCCCGGTGATATCACAGGCAGATACCTCAAGCTGGTGTTAGCGTCTTCCTAAGCCTCGCCAGAATCTGTGATGATAAACAATCATTTCAGAGTCATGTCACATCAGACCAGACCGTGTGTGAGTTGAACACTGGCTTAATACATGTTTGATGCTCCAGTACAGTCCCTCTTCCTCCCTCAGATGTCAGAAAGAGCGAGGCTGCTCCTAGGGGGATGACATATTTCAGGTTGGCCAATTTCAGCAAAGTTTAGGGATGGAGTTGCTAAAAAAGTTGCTTTTTGGAGGTGCTTCAGGAGTTTGAAAATGAAGGCGGCAGAGACAGGAGGGATTCAGCTCCCACGCTGGAACTGCTCATTCTCTATCAACAAATCTATCTGTGCTCCTGCAGAGCATTATACTAACCCAATTTGATCCGGATGGCCACATCAGGCCAGAGTTAATTATTTAAGGCATAAAATGAGTTTATCAAAACACAATATCAATAATGGATTCTGATGGGGCTCTGAAAGCAGGTGGTACTGCATGTATCCATCCACCACATCAGCACATTTTAGCATTCTTTAATGAACAAATGTACCTTTTTGAATTGCTGCTGCCTCTATCTATATAAAAAAATGATTACCCTTAAAACAACATGCATGCTATTACGAGTCAACGCAGTGGTTTGGTAGATGAAAATGTTGCTCCCTGTAATCCTGACTGACAAACCTGCAATCATTTGTGACTGTAGGGGAATAATAAAAATCATTTGCTTTTTCTCTCTAATTTAACGTGTTAACAAAATAGGACAGCCATGGGTCCCTCATGTACATGCAGTTAAATCAATGTGGGTTCTGTGAATGATTTCACAGACGTCTAATATGCAGCAGCGATGGATTAAGGATTCTATTATTTTTCAGCTCTTATGTTGTGTACTTATCCTCTTGGGTTTTTGTCATATCCTCGGTTGCTGTGGTCCGTTTCTAGGGAGCCTGGTGTTTTTATCTTTGAGCGCAGTTAAATCCATTATGGCTTTTAGCAAGTAGCAGTTGCAACTTTACTTGCAATTAGCTGTTATAACATTACAGCTTGTGTGTTTGACCCTTTATGGAAGGTATTATTGGAAAAAAAAAAACATATCTAGGAGTTACAACACCATCCCTGTATCTTACATTATGACATTTGAGTATGGACATCCACCATTGTAATATTTGATTAGGTCCCTTTTCAAACACAGTCTCTAAAACAATAAGTCCAATAGGTTGTTCTATAAAACATGACTTATCTCTCACAAAGCCTAGCCATTATATTTTAGAAAGCCGGCACATCAAAGAACAATTGGTTAATACTTCTGTAAGGTTCTGAGTTTCTCTCTGTGCCACAGCTTGACTCTAACTCAGCCATGAGAATTTCTGCTTTCATCAGTTCCTCGATTCAGCTTTGAAGTACAATTCCTCAACACTACAAGCAACATCTTCATACAGTGTTAAATTAAAGGGCTTCCAGCAATGCATCTGTGAATGCAGCAACAAACAAACAAACAAACGAACCGACAAATAGGTACCAGAGCCCCGCACTCGCCTGTGTGCTGATCAATAATTATGGTCAATGTCTCCATGTCAAGATCTATCAATGCTAAACCATGACAGTATAATCAGCGAGAGATCAAACGTCACCTACACGTCCAAACCGAGCATCAATCTTAGAGGGTCTCTGCAGCCTTATTGGCTTACTGTCACTGCCACAGACTGCTTTCTCCTACTCTCTTTCTTTCTCCCTCTCTCTCTCCCTCTCTCTCTCTTCGACTGTTTGCTGTGGTGAAGTGCACAAGGAAGGTCCGCTCCACACACTCGCACTCCACCCATCTCTTCACTGAAAAACATCAACGCAGGTGAGTTACAGAGATATTATAATTGTGTTTGTTTGTTTGTAGGCTTTAATGTCTATTTTTGCCTTATAATTAGGGAGATCGTTGTTTTTTCCAGCTCAAAACTAAAATATCTGAATGGAAGACAATAAAAATTCAACTACTGACTAAGCAATAGATAGGTGGATGTTTTTATAGTCAATACTCCTGTCTTCAAGTCTCTGATGGGAAATTATTTGCATGTACTGTAAGCAAAATTTTTAGAGCTTTGGGTTATTTATAATGGCCAGTGTCTCATTGATTCCTCTTCTTTTCTGAACAAATGTGTATTGAGTTGTAGGTACAGTAAATTACACCGTCTGAAAGGGCTCTGTTATGTAACGAAAGACATTTTTAAAAAGACACAGGTTTATACCCAGACACTGATATTAAATCTGGGTGTGTGAAAATGTTTAGAAAACTCTCAAAATAAGACATTATGTGCCGTGAGAGGCACATATCTGTTGTTTTACAAAAAAAAAAAGGTAAGAAATTAATACAAAGGGACCATCCCCACCAACTCCCAACTTCCCACTCCACACTTATGATCCACACTTCAATACTTTATGAATAAAAGGAGCTGAAAAAAAGAGGAAACACTATCAGGATATCTTAATGAGGCAAAAAGTAGAGGTGGGAGAAAAAAAAAACACAAAGGTAAAACTCAAGATAGGATAGTGACACAGCCAAAATGAAGAAGATAATAAAATAAAACAAAAGATTACTTAACTTTTAGTTAAAAGCCAGACTAAAAAGGTAGGTCTTGAGTTTGCTTTAAGAAATATTGATACTCTGTGCCATCTTTAGTCTTCAGGCTGTTCCATAGTTGTGAGCTGTACTAATAAAGGAGCTGAGTTTTGCAGTTGCAGTTGCACTCTAACAATGTGTTTCGAGTGATGAAATGCCTTCTAAGTAATATCGCTAAGGTCTGAATTAAATATCACTCTGAGATCCTTGACCAGCTGACATGGATAAAAAGAGAGTGTTTTGAGCTTTGGGTTTAGTTTCCCTTTCTCAGCCCCAGAACCAATGACTAAAACCCAAGTTTTGTCCTGTTGAGCTGTAAAAAGTTCTCTGCCATCCATGACTTGACATCAAAATCCAGTTATTAGGGTTTCAACTGGCCCTGGGTCATCAGAAGACATGGAAATACAAAGCTGTATGTGCATCTGCATAGCTTTGGAAATGGATGCGGTGCCATATAAAGGTTGAAAAGTGCAGGACCTAGAATTGACCCCTGGGGAACACCACAATTTATTTTTCAGCTTCTAGATGAGCATTCGCCAATACTGAAAAAAAAAAATCTCTATTAGTATGATAATAGAGAGGTTATATTGTAGGTTTCTACATTGAAAGGGAGCCAATAAGTGTCAGCTTTAAAATGTAAAGTTAAGGTCTTTTTTTTTTTTTTTTTTCGTTTGCTTGTTTTTGGAGTCTGAACATCTGCAGATTTCATCGTAGAGGATTTCCTTTGAATCTAATTGTCAGTCTCCTATGAATAACTTCGCCTTGAGGATAACAGTCCATACATGTTAATGTAAGCCCTGGCATACATAATGTATGTTGTTATATATAATTCGTTTTATTTATCAAATTTGTACGTTATATGTAATATGTGAGATGAATACAAAATACAATGAGACTTTTATCCAACAGTTATAATCTAAATTTCCAACAGACAAGAAGCTGTTCAATATGTAACCCAGACTGTTCATGAATATGATGATCCGCTGTCAGTGGAAAGCCTTCGCATCAACAGATAGTGGAAATTAATGGAAACAGTCGTAGAGACCCTCCCTGAATCTCTGCACTTCTGCGTAGTAACAAGTCGTGTTCCTTCATACCAATTAGTGCTGCGTGTCTGCAGCAACAAATTACTTAAAGTGACCCTGAGGGGGGCCGTTACCATTGATTCTACAGTCAAAAAGTATGCTGTCTTACAAGGTGAAAAGGGTATTAGAGAACAGGTGTAGTACAAAGGAAACAACATTACGAAGAGAAACAGGATTTAAAGTACTCTCTTGAGAGAATTGTGCGGCTCATCATTCAAAGGCTATTGTCCCTTTTTACTGTGGGTTTCAATCCAGCATCCATCTTTTGGTGCAGGAACTTGATTTCTATTGATTTTGGCACCACTAAAGTAGTATGACCTATTCTTTAGCTAACATTTTCATGTTCAGGTCTGGCTAGTGTTTTCTGACAGGGTATGTGACCCTTTGGCTCAAATCAGTCAAATGTTTCACCTACTTTGAAACTTAGCAGTAGAAAATCAAAGCTGTCAATTCACTGGCTGTGAACTCGCTTGTCCGACATCGATACTCTCACAGTGTTTTCAAGTTCTAGAAATTACAGCACAAAAACTTGAATTATTGTTGGGCGTGGTCAACGTTTTCCTGTTTCATCAGCAGCTAAAAACTTGCATTGGCTTTAAAGGCGCTCTGTTGGTCGTGTTGTCAGGCACCAGTGAATCAGTATCCAAGGGTCTTTCAGTCTTTGTAGTGAGAGTTGTGCAGCCCAAGTATTGGCGCTTGTCTTTGGGTCTAATTACCCCATTAACTGCTGTAGTCATGATTTCCTGAGAAAATAAAATGCGTTGTGATTGAATCATTTTATAAACAGGATTGCAACTACCACTGGAAAATTACTCTGGAGAATTGCCAATTCTCCAGAATTGCCCGTAATAATGTCCATCCTCCTTTCTCCCCTAAAATGGTCAATTTATTACAATTATGAGACAAAATTGTGTTTCCTGGCACGATGATGTTGTAACTGTGTTTTAGCTGGTTGGAAAAAAAGGGTCGAAACTAGGTCTTGTCCAGACCTGATGTCACAGTCTTCAGCCAGATTTTGACATTGGAATCTGGTGGCTAGTGCTCACTAGGGTGTCGACAATAGGATTAAGAGGTGATATATAACATGACCTAAACTCAATCATAGCTGACACAACACACAGGTTTGAGGGTGGGGCTCTTGCCTGAAACAGTTTTTTATAAACAGTCCTCTACTAACATAAAATTTCTACTGAGGAATTTTAAAGAAATCAAAATGTTAACTGTGTGTTAAAATGCATCAAAACTTTGCACCTTAGTCAGGCTGAATAGATATTTGAAGGTTTTGCAGGTAGCTCTGAAATGCACACAAAAAACCCCCTGACATTTCCATTATCTACCTTATACAATAACATACACCATATGTACCCGAAAGCAGAGGATGTTCTGGTACATGCTTTTATAATCATGGACCCTCTGATAGTGCTTTTTCTTCTCACACCAAGATTGTGTCGATGCCAGTAAACGTACAGTGATGGGTTTTCACGTTTTAAATGTCATGATCTACTCTCTATGTAGGTGCTGACTGATTGGTCTTTGCTGCCATGGAGGGTAATCACAGCGGCTTGGCTGGGAGCACACAACCATCTGTGTCAGGAGAGCACACAGATGGACATATATACGAGGTTGCCGTGCAGAATAACTCCTCCAACCGCAGCTCCCAGTTTGCAGACGTGGCTTTGCTGCAAACGTTCAAGCCCCTCATCATCCCCTGCTACATGCTCGTGGTGGTGGTAGGCGTCTTTGGAAATTACCTCCTCCTGTATGTCATCTGTCGTACACGCAAGATGCACAACGTGACCAACTTCTTCATCGGGAACCTGGCCTTCTCTGACATGCTCATGTGTGTGACATGTGTACCCTTTACTCTGGCCTACGCCTTCAACCCACGTGGTTGGGTGTTTGGCCGCTCCATGTGCTATCTGGTGTTCCTCATCCAGCCGGTCACTGTGTATGTTTCCGTGTTCACGCTCACTGCTATTGCCGTTGACAGGTGGGTGAATATCTTTGCAGCCAGGACTCCTAAAAAATTTAAAAATTACATTTGACCCCTGTCTCTTTTCAAAGCAGTAGTTTTCTTTGAATACTAGTTTGGTGTCATTTTGATCAAAAATGTCTCGAAACAAATAAACACGCTAGTAACTACTCAGATTAAATAAATGCCAATGAGTAAATGTCATTCTGAACATGAGTGGAGTGAAACTGACAAGCCAAATATTCTTATCTTGAATTTAGTCCCATCTGGATACAGGGCTCCTACACAAGTCTTCAAAAGCATGACAAATGAAAAATAAAGTATCAAAAAATATTTATGTTTCCAGACTATTACCACAGTTAAAAAATACTGTTTTCCATAACAGAAAAGTAGGTATTTCTAAAAATAATTCTAAAAAGTTGGCTATGGAAAAGTATGGAAATTCCACCTGTGTAGGATCCCTGTGGATATAGAGATGTGCAGGTAAATTGATTAATGAGTGAATATGTTTGATAGAAATTTTAACCCTGACAGATTGTAAACTATGCTGCATTCATTTATAAAATCTTGACATGCTTGCAATTCTGAGCATGCTTCAGAGATGGAATATAAATTACTTTGGCTTTATATTGATAAACAACCAGACTCAAATCAAAGTATCACATGTGCCATTGTGGTGTAGAAACCCAGGTCAATGTCAATCAAATGTGATCATGACTGAGATGAAAGGAGAGGGTCTAAAAGCAGCAGTAGAAAATAAGCCCAAGGATATGGAGGTTTTCCTTTTAACTGGCAGTCTAGGTCATAAACCCTGACTCCTACATGTTAACAGATGGAACATGGGTCGAGCTAGAAATTAAGATACACGTCAAATAAATGTTTGTGATCTCTGAAATAGTCAGTCACTTAGTTAGCTCTTATCATGCGTATTTATTTCTAAGTTTCTATTTTTGTGAGAATTTCATTTTTAATTAGTTATTTGATTTCAAAAGCTGATTGATTGACAGCTTTGTTGGCGAATGAGGGTTCTTGAAACATTTATTAGATTAGCAGAGCAGAAAAGGAATGGCAATACTACTACTACTACTACTACTACTACTACTAATAATAATAATAATAATAATAATAATAATAATAATAATAATAATAATAATGATGATGATTTCACAAAAGTTGTTAAATCTCCCATAATGTGAGGACATGAAGACAGTCTCATGGCTTATGCACATGCTTTGGTTTCACTAATATAAAGCCAACCGAGATGGTCTTTAGGCTTCAAATCCCTTAATGGGTAAAAATGAAGGCATGCTGTCTGTTTTATATCCAGTCAATGGGTCTTAACATCAAAATAACTTCTCTGGATCTAGTTTTTGTGGATTTTGTGGATTCTCAAGACATTTCTGAACATTGTTATTCCTTGTGCTTTTCCAACTTCAAGTCAAATAACACTTTACTGCTAACAAAACACATGGTTGCACAGGTCAAACTTAGTTTGGTTCAAGTTTAGAAGAGAATAAATGAACCTGCAACGACACGCTCCTGATGGGACCAGCCTAAAATCCAATTATCCAACTCTGAGCAGGGAAGATTCAATATGTGCTAAGGAAATACATCTGAAGCTGGACCCCTGTGATCCCTGAGTCTTTGCTGTTCACTAGACTGAAAAGTCTGACATTGAAATCCTTTCCGCTGTTTTGCACTTGACTGTTGATTTCTCCCCACAATTAGGCGAGAACAGCAACATCATTTTGGGAGATTGTAAACTTACTTTGCCTTTTCTTTCAAAGAGAATCACTTATCTTATTATTGTGTGATAATAGTGTTGGTTGGGTTTGAGTTAAACTTAAGTTATTACGAGGTGCTGCTCTTTCTCTCTTTGTTGCAGATATTATGCAACAGTTCATCCTCTGAAGAAACGCACTTCTATGGCAACCTGTGCCTCAGTTCTCACCTGTATCTGGCTGCTGTCCTGTGGGCTTGTAGCTCCAGCCGTCACCCACACCTACCACGTGGAGTTCAAAGATGAGGGTTTCACCATTTGCGAGGAATTCTGGTTGGGACAGGAGAAAGAAAGGCGTGCTTACGCGTACAGCACCCTGCTCATCACGTACGTCCTGCCCCTGTCGGCTGTTTTCGTCTCTTATCTCTGCATCACTGTCAAACTGAAGAAGTGTGTCGCACCTGGAAACAGAAGCAAAGACCAGGCTGGTGTTCAACAAGCTCGCAGGAGGAAGATATTTCGTCTTGTTGCACTCTTGGTTTCGGCATTTGCAGTGTGTTGGCTTCCCATTCATGTCTTCAACGTGCTGCGAGACATTGACATCCACCTCATTAACAAGCGTTACTTTTTGCTCATCCAGTTGCTCTGCCACCTGTGCGCCATGAGCTCATCGTGTTGTAACCCTTTCCTTTACGCCTGGTTACATGATCGTTTTCGTGCAGAGTTGCGGAAGATGTTGAAGTGCCATCATCGCATTGGAGTGCCTGCAAATCACTGTGCTGCCAGTGTGGTGCTGTAGTTGAGAGAAAGAAAGGTTTTGTTGTTACTTCTGGTGTTGGTTGATCATTCATATTTGGTTGGCCATTTTTTGCAAGTGGATGCATAAGTGTGCCATCAAGAAGTGGGGTTTATCTGGGAGCCTTCGAGGCAATCCATTGAGTAATGTTTGAATAAATGGCCTGCAAACCATTGGACATTAGTGGCTCTTGCAGACAGATCAAGCATAAAAACGTTCAGCTGAATTACCTCGCTGTGAAGATTCAAGATAGAAAGTTATGTAGAGACGTTGGGTGTAACAGCATCAATCTCACTTATCATTTGGTTGATGCAATCATGAGTGTCAACCCTCTGTAGGCCATGAATGTCTGCTATTGTTATTGCAAAAAACCATAACACATTGTGTAAAAAGTTGATCTTTTGCAGTTAGGGCATAAGAAAAATCCTACAGATACTTCAAAGTTGAAGTTTTTCACCAGCCTGGGAGTATTAGCATTTCAATACTCTTGGCAACCCTCCTTGAAACTCTGTCATTTCTTCAATGTCAACAGTTAAAGGGATATTCCAGCGTACAATGACTTTAGGGTCAAACGCACCCTAAAACTGAGTTAGACACCTCGTCGAGAGATGAATGTTGCATCTTCAGTTATACTAACTTTAGTAACGACTGCAGATAGCAATACAGACAGCCACACGCTCAACCAAAAAGCCACTCTATAGCCACAAATAATGCTCACAACAGCACCTAACCTTATCAACAGTACATACAGGGCCCCAGCTACAGTACTAGCCACGAAACATCTTTTTAACTTTGCCTAATTTCTTTATCAAAGAGATTAAACACAACTCACCTACTCTCTTCCAGCAGCCACTTGTTTGTAGGGAGACCTCGGACGAGTCCATCATCAACTGCAGCAGGGTGACGCAGCTCAAGGAAGAACATTTATGATCATTACTTTAACATTTCCTTGAATTAATAATCACCATATCAATCATTTTGCACTGCAGATGCAGTAGTTCTGCCCTAGCGTCTCAGTCTGATTGCATTTCCATGAAGAAACTATATGGTATAAGTAGAGAAGCAAGCGGTCGACAACATTCATCTCTTGAGGGGGTGTCTAACTCGGTGTTACGGGTGTTTGACCCTAAATTAATTTTATGCCGGAATATCCCTTTAAGTACTTACATGGTGTCACAAGTTGAAAAGCAGTGTTTTGAGTATCTTCTGGTTATATATCATATCAGTCCACTGCTAGAGTGAGCATGTCTGAAGCACTTTAGTGGTGTGCTTCTACTTTCGCTCCCCATCAGTGTTTTCTTGTATTTAAAAGACTCTGGTATTGAATGGCTAACTGTATTAAGTGAACTCTTGCTTATTGCCACCATCTGTTTGTTTATTATGTACATGACTTTAGGTGTAAAGTACCAAAAAAAAAGTTGGATTTGTGACTGTGCTTGCAGACACTGTAAAAACTTGTGAATAAAAACAAAGATCCAAAGCCCTCTCTTCCTCAGATCGATGTGTATGCATGACGAGAGGTCACTGAATGAAATTATATCAAACTTGATCAGAGCTAAGAGTCAGAGCTGAATTTTATTTAACTAATTATGTAATGCGGGAGACAGAAGTGTTTTCTGCATATTAAATAGACCCTTTGAGGACATTGAAGCAATGTGAGAATTTATAGTTTCTGTCTGCTTGGCATTCTGACAATGATATAAGTTTCACACTGCTGAATATTAATTTAACATCACAATTAAGCCTGCATCTCTATCTGTCTCATTTGAACTTTGCTAGAATCATACTCTAGGGTTTTATTTTATATATAAAATAATATTCATATACAGGTAGGTACTCTCATAAATCAGATATAAAATTTAAGACAATAACCTGGCAAGACTTTAATCTGAGGATTTAAGGGGGTGTTTGTCTAAAGTGTGTAAAGTACAAAAAAAAAGTTTTATGCTAAAAATGCAAAGAACCCTCTGGCAGCGTGCTGAAACACAATCCAAATACTTGATTGCTGTGTAATTGCTGACACTGTCAAGACAAAAGCCAGTCATAGTTTAGGACTTCGGGGTAGCCATTCAAATTTCATGTGTGGCCTCTACAGTTTGTTTTAGCCTCAAAATAGCAAAATCCACCATAGACCACCAGGAGTTGTTTTTGACCTTGAAATAAATGTAAAGGAGTAAGATGGTCTCATATTCAAGAGATACACTTTTTTAAACAAAGTGTTGTGTAAACTGTCACGTGGCATCTGCTTAAGTTTCAGGCCTCAAAAAAAGAACCAAAAAAAGAAATAAAATCTTTCTCCTTCCTGACAGTCCTGTTTCCTTGAATATGTCTTGAAATAAAGAGTTTTGTTCATTTCTGTTTCATAACCAGAGAAAAACTCCAAACAGGAGCTTTGACACAAAATGTCCTCAGTCAAGGGTACATTAAAACTGTTTTTTGTTTTGTTTTTTTCACAGCAGCTTACATGATAGCAGAGAACTCGAGCCGTTTAACAATGGCTCAGGCTAATTCGTTTCTCCTTGTAAAACACCAAAACAGCATGCACAGCACTAAGACCCTGAATCAAGCAACTAAACAGAACTCAGTCTTCTTGGAGGTATTTATACCTGCACTTTCCTGACATTTAAATGTCAAAACCACTTCTGTAAAAAAAAATGAGCTTTTAACATGGAGTTGGTTTTCATGTACCAAACAATAAAAACACCCAAAGATCTTACAGGAGCAGCTCAAAAGATTCAAAGTTCTTTTTTTAATCATAATTTAATTCATAAAGTGACATTTTCATATATCCCAGGTTCATCACACATAAAGTCAACTGTTTCAAGACTGTCTTTGTTTGATTACGGCTTGTAGCTCACAAAAATCCACCATCCTGAAACATTAGATTATTAAAAAACGCCGATCCAAAAAAAGGACTCAAAAATGTTGACCTTTTGGAAACAGACAACACAACTTCTATTTTATTCATTTCATTCCTATTTCTCTTTAAAAAGCATTTGAATTTGTAAGATGAGGATTCTCTAAGTTGAAATCATGTGGTGACTCAAATAGTTTTGGTATATTAACGCCCAACAGCGGGTTTTATTTCATAATAAACAGAGGAGCAGCAAATAAATAATACTCTATCTATGGCTTTTCTTAAACTAAATAGAAGAGGCTGTAGCATCTGTTATTATAATTTCATTAAAAAAATAACTAATTGTGAATACAGGTTATAAAGTAAAAAGTGTGAGCTCCAAAAACCCTTTATGTCATACGATAGGAGGAAGAATAAGCAGTAACGAATGACCAGTTACGACTTCTCTCTCTCTGATAATATCTTCTGTGTCAGAGCAAAATCTCGGGTCTCCTGAGGAGTTCGGATGTACGAGTCAATTTCACTGTCAGAGATTTCCTCATCACCGGTTACATCTTTCATCCTGGACTGCTCCACTCTTCTTCTCTTCGCATGAACCACACAGGGGGGAGCAAACAGCACTCTCTTCCCCCAGTTAGGTTCTGTATCCTGACACTCCTGACCGCTATCTTGCTGCTCAGACTCTGCTCGTGAATTACCATCTTCATCACTTGTTTGCTCTGCCTTTTCAGTACTCTGTTCACATTGCTCCGAGCAGGCTGCATCCGTGTTATCCTCTGTTTGAGAGTTATCGCAGCTGGTTTGACACTCCGGCAGCAGAGCATCCTCATGAGTCCTCAAGGCCTTCCTAAGCAGCGCATACTTAAATTCTAGAATATCTTTCACCTGCATCATTACGTTCTCTGGAGTGACTGTCGTTTCGAGCCAAGGGATCTCCTTCCCCAGCTTACACAGCACCTCCTTTATCTCTGTTATCCTCTTAAGGGCCCGCACTTGCTTTTTCACTTTGGCAAGCTGGCAAAACTTGTCCAGGGTGAATTTCAGCCGCTGCTTGGAGGGATTCAGGGACTGCCATGCCAAATAGATGGCTGCCATCATGATGGGGACTGGTCTCCTGCCAGTCACTATCCAAGTGTCTGCAGCCAGCTCTACCAAAGCCACGGCATGTTTGGAAAGGTCCCTGGGATCCTCAGCAAACTCCTCAGGGACATGACTTGGGCTGAGTTTGTACCTGAGGGAAAGAAAAGTGATCATGAGTGACTTTTGTGTTAAAAGACTAATCAGAGGCTGAAATGTCTCATTTAAGGCATATCTTGTTGAGGATTTTGGCCAAAATTCTGGTTTTGTATTCTGCCTGGTAGCTTTCCAGATGGACAAAATTCAAATCTAATTAGCCCCACTGAGATTGACTGGCCTTTGAAACTCAAAGCTCAGATCAAGAAGTTTAACCACACAGAAAAATAGGAGAAACTGTCATTACAGACAGATCCGCATTTACTTTTTTCTCAAAGATTTTCACCCAAAATAAGAAACTATCAAATCATGTGTTCATTTAAAAATAAAAGCCGAATATTTTCACCCAAAGAAAAAGTTGGTCCTTTAGAAACTTTACTTCAAAACTGTCAGTTCCTCTTTTAAAAACAGATGCACAAATGTATCAAACAAGACTAAAAATGCTTTCTTATTGGTCAGAATTCTCTCTTAAATATCTGTTCCTATCCCAACACCTTAATAATGTTTGGTTGCCCTGAAGATCATATTGCTGATGGGACAGACAATCTGTTGTGTTTCACTCACTCCTGACAGTGCGCCTCCATCACATCAGTGATACCGACGATCGGCGCCTCGATTTGGAGAATTTTGACCATCTCAAGATAGACCGCCCCCAGCAGCGTCGGGTCGGCATCCAGCAAGCAGCTGATGGTTCCCATGGAGATCGGCCAATTACGCACTCTGCAGCTCACGAGCACGCAGCAACCGGCGAGAACTTCCTTCTTCTGGAGGCTGACTTTAATAAAGCTCTGATGCTGATAGGCCTGGTTGTAATAAGTCTGCGAGAGCTCCTCAATTTCACTGTTCACACCGAGGATTCGACACATGGCTTTGACACGCTGCAGACCTGTAAAAGTAAAACAATAGATTTGACCAGTGCATGTTGCAATAGCCAGAAAGAACAGGATCCATGGAAAAAAACACCATCAAGAAGAGGGTTCCCCTCTGAGAGAAAAGATCTCACCTTTTAATAGGTTATGACACGGTTTCTTGGTTACGGCTGTGGTCTGCCTGTAGCTGACATCTGGGAAATAAAGAAAAAGAAAAACACTTAAAGAGAATGTGAATAAATTTTAATGTCGGACAGCTGGGAATACAAAATGTACCAAAACTTACTGCCCAAAGTAGCGAGTACATTTCTCATCATTTATCATTTACGTAAAGTCCAGAACACACAAGGGTTCACCGTTTCTGGAAAATGTTAATGCTGCAAAACTCTGTCAACACATGCACCACTGAACCTCCAGAGTTGATGAAATTGACCAGTTCTTGAATACAAACGCAGTTCTGTAAGTGTCCACTAGAGGCTGGCTGCAAAAGCCCAGTAATTTCCATGAAAACTCATTTTAAAAGACCCATGTTTACAACATGATGTATAATTACAGCCCGGTTTAAATAGAATTAAATAAATATAGTTTATTTATTCATTTACAAGATGGAGGCATTCAGCATCTGTTTTGACAACATTTTGACTGTATAAAACTATATCAATTTATGCACTGCTTTGCACATTTATATCTAATTTTCACAGTAAGCATATGTGTCAAGGTCAAATAGTGTAGACAATGGTTTTGTTTCCATGGGGATCGTCAAGACAGCTAAGATGACAGAGTCTGAGCCCAGCATGTGTCAAACTCAACAAAGATTAACACTGAAGGGAATTCAAACACAAGCCTATACCGTGGAGTAGAATTACAAAACAAAGGTCCATGTACAGACTCCCACCTGAAATACTTACTGATGATGAATATATTGTTGAAAATGACATGCAGCCACACATCTGTGAACCAAGTCCACCACAACGGGACTTTTGACAGTTAAATCCATCAGTAACATAGCTAAAGGAAGTATGTCGTCTATTAAAGTAATGGCCTGTGTCATTTTTTGTCGCAAATGAGTTTTTGGCCGAAATCATCCCTAAATTGTCTCAAGAGATGATTTAGAGATGATTTAGGCCAAATTTAGGCCAAAAACTCATTTTTGTCAAAAAATGACTTCGGCCATTATTTTAATATAATGATGATATTTTATACAGATATCCGCCTGCCATAACTCTGCCTTCACCCTATAGTGATCCAGATTTGTCAAACAGACTGCTCTTGTCTAATCTGTTTTTACAAATGCTCTTTGTTTTTTGTTTTTTTAAATCTCCAAAACCAGAGTCTGTAAAATAGAAAAAGAAAACATGTGGAACCTACAGATTGAATAAATGTTTAAAACTGTAGCTCAACAAGGTTTCAGATGATTTAGAAACAGGGTCATTGCAAAGTTTGTCCTCCAGAGGGCAATGAAGTATTGAATTGTCCTACTAAGTATGTGCAGTGTATCTTGGTCACACATACAGAATCTACAGTATTTGGGGGCTAAAGTCCAAATCTAAGTATAATACAATGGGAATACAAAGACTTTATAAGTATTTTGTTAGACTATAAAAGGGAAAGTGCTTGGAGATAACTTGTTAGTTTTGTCTCTAAGAAAAACCTCAAACGGCCAAAATATAGATCAGTGATGACCACAAATGTACTATACTCACACAATAATGAGCCGATGAAAGAACCCCTAAAGGATATATTTATTTAGACTAAAGTGACCTGACTGTCTCCTTATATTTATATAGTATATTATTGAATTTATAGTGATTTTAAAGTTGGACCCCCACAGTTCCACACAGTAAGATATATAGGGAACAATCAATGAGTAGTAGATCAAATGCAAGGCCTTGGAATTCAATACTTTTCTCTAATTTGTACAGGATTACAAGTGATTTTGAAATTGTCCCTTTAATGTATTCAATGTGTTGTTTCCATGTTAACTTTTGATCAATGACAACCTCTAAGAAACTATGTCTCAGTAACTCTTCCAATGTCAACATTACATCCTCACTGCTCTCACCTGTCCCTCCAACAGGATCATTGGCGAGGACTCCCTCTGAGACCACGGAGCCGCAGTCCACACACACCATCTGAGCCTGAGAATAAAGAGCATCGTCCTCGACGTTTGAGGACCCGCAGGCCGGACACCTTAGAGCCGCGTGAGACATCTCACTAATTAGCCTCCGCAGCGCGCGAGAAGAACTGTTAAACAAAACAAAGAGTAAAACTTTAACAGGTGTTACATCGACGTTAACACCTGCAGCACACGGTGAGGGTCCACATTCGTGTTGAAAACTGTACACAACAACTAAACGTCCAATAGACGTCGCTTTAGCCGGTTCAATGTGGGCGGATAAAATTTGTCCGGGTAAACATAAGGCTTGTCGATAGTTCCGCCTGGTCTTGTCATACGTTTAGGTGAATAGGCGATGCAAATTGTCAAATCAAATCAAATTCAAATTTTATTTATATAGCGCCAATTCACAACAGTCATCATCCCAAGACGCTTTTCAAAGAACAAGAGCAGTTCTAGACCACGCTGTGTTGTTTGATGAATTATCAAGACCCAACCTAAGATGGGATTTGACCCATCTTATCAAACATGAGTAACAGTGGCAAGAAAAAACTTCCTTTAACAGGCAGAAACCTTAAGCAGGACCAGACCTTTGCCAGACGGCCACCAGAAGAGAGAGAGAGAGAGAGAGAGAGAGAGAGAGAGAGAGAGAGACATTAAAACAACAGCTCATGTAATGCTTAAACAAAATGAATTCAGTTTACAGGGTTAGGATATGAGTAATTATGGACTATGTTCAATTAATTGAATGGGATTACAGTCAGCAGGCCTAATAGTAGTTAACTCTAGTTTTATGTTATTAATGTGAGTGAGACTAATGTTCATGTCTGCAGCAACAGTCCAGAAGAACCCAAGAGAAGAGGATTGTCTTGGGACGTTTAAAGGAGTCATTACCACTGCTTTACCTCTCACAAAGATAATAAATCTATAGAATTTGCATTAAATCAACAGCATTTCTTCTTCTAGTGCAATAACCCTTGCTAATACTAGTATCATTGTTGTGGTGCAACACTTTATTGGCATGGCTCCACAACTTCCTGAACTTAAAGCAGCTCCTTTATTTCCTGTCATTGGCTGTTTTCAAAATGGATCCCTAACCCCGATAAAGGCGACTGTATGGGGGTTAGCGCCATTTTGAGGGGTGTCCGAAACCTGACTGATCAATTCCAATGCCCCATACAGGCGACACAAAATTTCCCATAGAGCATTGCAAAATGTAGTGACCATCCGATGGTCACTCACTGGTGGTGGGCATCCCGTCATGCATTGCATCTCCAGCGGCAATACAAAGAGAGCAAGAAGAGACAGAACCCGAGCTCTATTTGCCATTTTCAGCGCTCAAGTTTTTTATCTTCACACAGTTTTCAAAAAACAGTTGTTTGCTGTGTCATATAGTCTTGTGCATAATATGACACAGCAAATTGCGTGAAAATATAAGGCCTTTGAAATAATTATTAATTTATTGTTTTTTTTAATTATTTTTATTTCACAAACATCCTGGAAAAACAAATATATCTATACAACATCATAAAATTCAAGAGATGTGAATACAACAGACGTAACTTTAGATGCAGCAGTCTGAGCAGTGACGTCACAACCCCCTAACCCCCTAACCCCCATAGGGGGGGTTAGGGGGGTTAGGGGAATGAGTGATTCATTTCGGACACAGCCTCAGATTATTGGACAAATTGATTAATCCAGGTGTGTCTGAGTAGTCACAAAGATCAGTCACACCTGGATTAATCAGTTTGTCCAGTAATGTAAGACAGGAAATACAGGAGCTGCCTTAAGTTCAGGAAGTAGTCGAGCTGTGCATAGAGCCCATTCCTGGCAAATAGGCTGTGTGGTTAGGACCATAGATGTGTGGGAAGGAAAATCTCTCCTCAGAAATGTATAGGGATGTTCGCACAGACCTATCAAGATATATCTATAAAATACTGGTCCAGTAATTTTGGTTTTCATCACACGTGGTCACTCTTTAAATCCTTTAGTTCAGGAAACTCTATTGAGTTGAAAGTCAATGAAATTGTTGTTTGGCATAAGGAAACCCAAACTGTAAAAGCAATTCAAAACATCAAAACATCAATTCAAAACATTATTAGTGTTGAAAATATGAAATACACAGGAACTATGCTTTGAAACTTTTATTTTTTTCTTTGCAATGTTTGCTTTTATCATAACATCACGTTTTAATATAATGAAGTAGATAATCTTAGTAAACAGTAATTCATTGAACAGTGTTAAGCTAAATAAAGTGCCTTACAAGGATTAGTAGGATCATGTAAACTTTGATATTCAGCACAAGAGCAAGAAAATATCTACATGACAACAAGTGCAACATTTTACAATAAGGCTGTTCAAAAAAAATCTCCAGCAGGCATGTAGAAACATTTCATAGCAAAACTATTTAGTATAACCATTCAGTGCACCAAGTAATGCCATGTCATGTTGGCAAAGCTGATCGAAAGCTCGATATGAAAACAGTTACATACAGACACAAGAGGATAGTTTCTATCATGTATGTACATTATGCAGCAAGGTATCCAAAAATTTACAAAACATAGAAATAAAGAATATTTTTTGTAATTATTGACATCTTTGATAGAAAATTGACATAAGCCCCACATTCAAAATCAAGATTTATTTAACTAAATACATTGTAACGGTCCTCATGATTAATTTGCAAAAGTGCTTAAATCATTTTAGCCTGGCAAACCGAAACTCTATTTACTTTCTCTATGACAATATATGAGAAAGTGTCAGATTGGGTTTGAACTGATTACTTTGTGAATACTACGCAACTTTCTTGAGAGCGTTAATGGACTGCAGAATTGTTGGTGCCTCGTCTATGACACGTACAAGCAAGTTGTCAATGTATAGCTCCAGCTCAGATATCTTTTTGTCTCTTTCTCTGAGCTGGTTTTCCTGTTTGAGCACCATGGAGATGAGTTCCTGCTGAGTGAGCTGTGAGTACGGCCCTTTGATTCCAGTGTGATTTACCTGAAAGACAAACACCAAGCAGGATGGATGAGTTATGGCACATACTGAAACAAACAATGTGAGCATATTTAATTAGATGAACCATTTCATTATTTAAAAAAAGAAGTAAAGGAATATTTTAACCACGATCAAAACGGACACCTTTGTTTTCTCCTGGACTTCACACAGGGTTTCTGTGGATTTGATTTCTTTTTCTTTGTGAACGGCAGAGAGGGGCTGCTGCTCTGAAGAATTCAGGGGTTTTACAGGTTGTAGCCTGGTGAAAAATACAAAAACAGAGACGAGAATAAGAAAGGTTTAGAAATTGGCTGGATGAGAGTAAGAAATGAAAAATCCAGTATTGTGTTGGAAAGTCGTATGTAATCATTTTCAAATAAGATCAAAAAGAAATCTTGTTAGCAATCACAAGTCAAACAGAATATTGTGGAGTGTTAAACCTTTGCAAACTGAAAGATTTATGAGTTTTACTGATGAAAGACAAAAGAGGATGAATAATACAAAACTTCTCCATGAGAAATGTGCTCTATAACGAGTTTCTCTCTTTTTATTGCATCATTATATAAATAACTAGCAGTGTGTGATCTGTTGTGCATGAAGTGATAGATGAGTGACATTGACATTGTGTGTTAAAGATCTGGACTGTCTTACCTGCGTGGAGCTGGCGGAGGCGCCTCCTTTTTCCCACCTGCTTCCTCGGCAGCAATCTGCACTGTTGCATGCTGGGAATCAGTCTCCTTAACATGCACAAGACTAATGGTCTCCGATTTGGGGTTCAGGGCTTCATTGCTACCGATTTCCTCTGTAATAAGGCTCCCTTCTGTGCCTAGCTTGATTGAAGTGCTTGAAGTGTCAGTTTTGGTCGCAGGAAGTGGGGGAGCATGGACCATCTTTGAAGACTTCACTTTCATTTGAGAGGTGGCGTCTTTTTCTGCAGCTTGTGAGTCAGGCAGAGGCCACTGAACGGAGTTAGAATTACTTTTGACTGTTGTATCATTCTGGGCTGTGGGTTCATCCTCGTCTTCCTCAAATGGATTTAAACCGTAAACAACAGGCTCTTGTTTGGTCTTAGAAATGTTGCTGTCACAAGCCTGAGTCGGTGTCGGCTGAGACTCCACAGAGCTAGGTCGAGGAGGTGCTACGCGTTTGCCAGGCTTTGCCACACTTGTTGCCACCTTGGCATTTCCATTTAGTGTTGAGTTCTGAGTGTTTTCCAAACCAGTAGCTGAGCCTTTTACAGGAGCGATATTCTTCACTGAGCGCTTGGGAATAAGGCTGAGAGTTTTGGCATTTTTGTCTTTACTCTGCTTGTTCATTTGTGCCAGATGATGTGAGGCTGATACATCCTGCTCCTTCTGAGTCTGCCTCTCAGCTTGGGTCTTTCCTGGAGGCTGAGGGGCTGTTCGCCTCCCCCTTTGAGAGCTGATGAGATCTTTCTCATTCATGGAAGCGGTAGATTGGCATCTGGAGGAAGGAAACAACACGTGACACTTAGGCTTATTTGAGCATTTCAGAGAAAGATTGAGGATGTTAATGGGGAAAAAATACATCAAAATCTTAACATGTTTTTTAAATGAAATTTCACCTGTCCAGTACACAGATCACTTCCTATTTCTATTTTGTGAAATTTCCTTTGGGGATCAATAAAATTCTTGTGTTGCATTGTATTGTATTGTATTGTACTGTTCTGTATTGTATTGTATAGTTCTGTATTGTATTGTATTGTATTGTATTGTATAGCATTCATTTGACACCTGATATTACTGGGTCAGACTGTGAAATGAGCACCAATCTCAGCACATGGAGGAAACATATCCTCACAAACACACTGTGCTCCCACTAACTCTGACACACACTCGAGCACAAGAACAACTCAATGAAAGTTTAATGATAGTGCTAGCTTTAGGTTTCATCTAAGAGACAAGAGCAGAGAGAAACTATTGCTGTGTCGTGACTCAGTGGAAAACAGAAGTTTATCAACAGTACATTCAGACAACACACTCTGTTCATGTCAACTACTTTCTTAACTCCACTTTCAACAGGCATTTATTTCAGCACCAGGGCTCCCTTTCTGCGCTGTCTCTAGTTCTGATTTGATGCTGTACAAAACCGCATGTTACTTGGGCTATATCTAGTTAAACTCCATTACAGTAAACAACACTTACATGGTGGCAATGCTGATCTGCTCATAATATCTAAGAGACTGTTCTGGTAAATTTCCACTCAATTTTTAAGTTTGGATTCATAGAGAATTCAACTATCATACTGCAGGGAGAACTGGGAATGCTCAGACAGAGATGTCTGACAAAGCAGTACAATCAAATCAGTGGATCTGGATGAGAACGCATGATGTCAGTCATGAGCCTAAAAAAGTTTTCAAATGGATAATTGTTGATCTGCTTTTTACTTTTTTGACAATGAAAAGGGATGGAGTTGGTAGATCTTGCACCCCAGCTTGGCAGAGGTGTAACTCTAGCTGGAACAGGCTTCCTGTTTTGACTTTGCCTTCACTGACTTCCTCATAACATCATCTACAGACCCATTTTTTTTCTTTGTTTGCTCCCTTTTTCTTTTGTGTATTGGTACATGGTAAGGGCTGGTTCAAGGATGCTTGGACCGACTGATAAGTACCCTTGGAGTGTCATGGACCTAGTGTAACAAAACACTGGAAAAGGGAGATGCCCATTTGATGAGATGATGATGATCCTTGTGTAGTACTGATTCTGCTGCCCATCTGATATTTTTTCTGAAAACTAAAATTTCTTTCATGCAATAAATGGGGTCGGTCTATAACACTGAAATCTATTGTAGTGTGTGGATCACTCATCAGTGATCATGTAATCCATGTAGTTCAATCTGTCTTTGGCTCACCTGTCAGGTTCAGCAGGTGAGCTGGGAATCTCCTCAAATGGATTAGAGGAATAGTTTTCATCAAACGGATTAGTGGAGGTGACTTCTGCCGGGAACTCCAAATCCACTTTTCTTCCTACAGCTTTGGGTTTCATTTTATCCTTCTTTTGTTCTTCTGCCTCTCTTTCTAACTTCTCTTTCTCCAACCTCCGAGCCTCCTCCTCTTCCTTCTCCTTCTCTCTGACCCTCTCCTCTTCCTCTCTTTGTCTTTTTTCTTCCTCCTCGATTCTCATTTTTTCTTCCTCTTCAAGTTTTCTTTTCTCTTCTGCCAATCTCTCCATTTCTGCCATTTCCGTACGTACTCTTTCTTCCTCTTCTCTCCTTTTCCTCTCCCACTCTAGCCTCTCCTGCTCTTCTTCCTCTTCTCTTCTTTTCCTCTCCCTCTCTATCCTTTCCTGCTCTTCTTCCTCTTCTCTCCTTTTTCTCTCTCTCTCTATTCTTTCCTGCTCCTCTTCCTCTTCTTTCCTTTTCCTCTCCCTCTCTATCCTCTCCTGCTCTTCCTTTCTAGCCTTCTCCTCTTCCTCAATTCTCCTCTCTAGTTCCTCTTGTCTCTGTTGTTCTTCCAGCACTCTCTCATATTCCTCTCTTTCCTTCCTCACCCTCTCCTCTTCCATCTTAATACTTTCCTCTCTTTGCCTCTTTTCTTCTTCCTCAACTCTCCTCTTTTCCTGCTCTTCTGCTTCCCTTTTTTCCTCTAACTTTTTGCACTCTTCCTCCAGCTGTAATCTTTCCTCTTCTTCCTTCCTCTTTTCCTCCTCTGCCTCAATTCTTTTCTTCTCTTCCTCTTCTTGTTTCCTCTTCTCCTCTTCTGCTCTTTCATATTCCTCCCTTTCTTTTCTCATTCTCTCCTCCTCTTTCTTAATCCTTTCCTCTTCCTCCCTTTGTCTCATCTCCCTCTCGTATTCTTCCAGCCTCCTCTTTTCCTCTTGTCTTCTCCTCATCTCTTCTTCCTCTCTTCTTCTACATTCTTCTAAAGCTCTCTCCTCTTCCTCCCTTTTAGCTTTCTCTTCCTCAATCCTTCTTCTTTCTTCTTCTTCCATCAGTTTCCTCTTCTCCTCTAATTGTCTCTCTTCCTCTAGTCTCCTAGCTCTCTCCTCTTCCTCTTCTTTCCTCCTCTCTTCCTGTTCTCTTTCCCTCTCCATCCTTGTCCTCTCTTCTTCCTCCCTTTTTTGTCTCTCCTCTTCCTCTACTTTCCATCTTTCTTGTTCCTCTCGTCTCCTCATTTCCACGGCAAATCTTTCACACTCTTCTTCTTCTCTTCTTGTCCTCTCTTCTTCCTCCCTCAGTTTTCTTTCCTCTTCCTCCCTTTTAACCTTTTCTTCTTCAATCCTTTTTTCTTCCTCTTCTTCTTGTCTCTTCTTCTCCTCAGCAATCCTCTGAAGCTCTTCTTCCTCTTCTCTTCTCACCCTGTCTTCCTCTGCTCTACTTATCCTTTCCTCTTCCTCCCTTTTTGCCTTCTCCTCCGTAGCTCTCCTGTTTTCCTCTTCTTCCTCTTGTCTCTTTCTTTTTTCAAGCTCTTCCACTTCTCTCCTTCTCTCGTCCTCCATCCTGTCGTCTTCACCCACTTCCTCTTTTGCGTGATTCACAGCGGTGGCCTCCTCTTCCTCCTCCTCTGTCCAGGGCGAGTATTGCCTCACTGCTCTGAGTGAATCCACCGATGGAGGAGAGCTGTCAGGGACATCCTCCATAGATCCGTGACCTGAACTTGCCAGGCTGTAGTTTGATCCGATGCGAGAGGTTCGAGGCGGCGGCTCCTCACAGTAAACATGGCTGCCATTGATGCATAAGTTACTCTGTTCAGCAGCAGCGTGTTTTTGATGGACAGAGGAGTCTTTGCTGTCCGAGCTTCCTGTGCGTTTGTGTATCTTGAACTTGAACTTCTTTTTACCTGCAAAAAAAAAAAAACACATTCAATGACACAGAGAAAAAGAAGTTAAAGGGATATTCCAGCGTAAAATTAAGTTAGGATCGAACACACCATGACACCGAGTTAAACATCCGTCGGGAGATGAATGTTGCCGACCGCTTGCTTCTCTAGTTATACCAACTTTAGTAACAACCGCACAAATAGCAATACACAGTGGTCTGAGGAGCCATAAACAAACCTCAACCAAAACACCACTCTATAGCCACAAATAATGATCAGAACAGCACCTAACTTCATCAACAGTACATACAGGGTCCTAGCCACAGCACTAGCCATCAAACATCTTTTTAACTTTGACTAATTTCTTCAGCAAAGAGACTAAACACAACTCACCTACTCTCTTCCAGCACCTGCTTGTTTGTAGCGAGACCTCAACCAGTCCATTACGGACTACAGTGGGGGGACGCAGCTCAAGGAAGAACATTTATGATCATTTCTTCATGGAAATGCAATCAGACCGAGACGCTAAGGCAGAAGAACTACTGCGTCTGCAGTGCAAAATGATTAATATGGTGATTATTACTTCAAGGAACTGATTGAGAAATGATCATAAATTTTCTTCCTTGAGCTGCATCACCCCACTGTAGTCCGTAATGGACTGGCCCGAGGTCTCGCTACAAACAAATGACTGCTGGAAGAGAGTAGGTGAGTTGAACTTAATCTCTTTGCGAAAGGAATTAGGCAAAGCTAAAAAGATGTTATTCTATATGTACTGTTGATGAAGTTAGGTGCTGTTCTGAGCATTATTTGTGGCTATAGAGTGGCTTTTTGGTTGAGGTTTGTTTATGGCTCCTCAGACCACTGTGTATTGCTATCCTGCGGTCATTACTAAAGTTGGTATAACTAGACAACCCCCATCTCTCAAGGGGATGTCTAACTCGGTGTTACGGTGTGTTTGACCCTAAATTAATTTTACGCCAGAATATCCCTTCAAATAACAGCTGCTGAGCGCTGAGCTGATATCTAAAGGCAGATTTTAAACTAGTGGCAAACGTCCTGTGATCAGGAAACAATCTGAGACTTGATAAAGTTCATTTAATAATTTTAGGAGGTCTGTGGTGCAGCTTTTCTAAGGTCTGATGGCTTCATACGTGCAAATGATTTTTCATTTGAATGCAGTCAGTCATAGTTCACATGGCGAAACATTTAAAATTCTTCCAGAAATTCAATCTTTTAGACTTAAATTTTGAAACTGCATTTGGGAAATATCTGAAAATAAAGATAAATACAAATTGTATTCAAACAATTCTCAGAATTTTGCCTCAAAACAGAGACTATGAATTCAATTACTTCTTCATTATGATTGGCGGTTTATATAGTCAGAACCCGAGGTAGCTGTGTAAATATTCATAAGAACTAAAGACGGCATGTACTGAGTTCTGTTATATTTTAGCAAAACTGTGAGTTTGACTTTTAAAATTTCAATAAAAAATTCTCATAGACTAAGTTGCCAAATTCCTGCTCTGCAAGATTGAGTTACCAAAAGCTTTTAAAGTTTTAAGGTCCTGATGTTTGCAGTAAAGCACCACCATCATGGTTCCCTTTCCACAGAACATTGGGTTTATTATTGTGCAAGGATAGCCTCTGTGAGGGGAGAAGCATTATAATCACATTTTCAACAACCAGCAGAAGAGCCGAGCAGTGAATGAACATAGAGGGCTCTATTTTCGTGCGCGCCGGTGAGGCGGCGGAGGGCGGCGAGCCCCGCGCAGTTGTATTTTCGTCTGGCGGAGCCCAGCGTAAGGCCAGTTTGGTATTTTCGTGGCATGAGCCGCACGGAGGCGAGCCGAGATCCGCCAAGCTGGGCGTGGTGGCGTGGCAGGGGGAGGTGTCGACAGAATCAGCTGGCGCAGTGACATTTTCGTGCTCGCCAACGGCGTGTAAAGTGCGCTGAAAGCTCGCCGATTCAAACCTGGTCAGCTTTCAGCGCAAGGCGGAACGCAGCTGGTCTTGTAGTATTTTGGTAGACCGGCGGCGTATCGACATACGTCACTGATGCCTCACCGGCAGGTTTCCACAGTATCAGGCACATTTCAGTGCAATAAATAATCATCATCAACTATTAATCTGAGTCAGCACATACATTTAGATCTATATCGATATATTCTGATCTATATCTGATCTGATGAGCGCGTTTGGCACGCGTTTGGACACACAACCTGACCGAATCAACACAGCTGAAACCGCATCAAATTAAATTAAATATCTAGTAAATATTCACACATGATGAAGTTAACAAGATATGTAATTCGTCTCCCTCCTTTTCTTTCTTCCTCTTCCTCTTATTTCTCGCACAGCTCGACCTGGACACGTCTCCGTGTCCTCTGTCCGTCTTGCTGCTGCTGCAGCTGAACAGATGATTTGTTTCAGTGCTCAGATGCGTTATCTACTTTAAGCCGACATACGGATATTATAATATTCAGTTTTGTGAGCCAAATTTATTTTATATGCCAACATCTATGAAAGAAAGAGCCAGGCCACGGAGCGCGATGCGTCATTTACGCACAGATGGTTCCGATTTTAATGCCATTTTTGGAGTTTATGTTGTGATCTGTGCGCTCAACCCACCTTTGTCGCGTGAGGTTTGAATATGAGCAACTTTATGTGAGTGTCTTTTTTGTGGAAACGGGTGTTTGTCTTACCAGTGGGTCCAACATTACGCACACTAAATCCATCTGTGCTCATATGAGAGAGTGTGGAGGACACTTGTTAAGCAGCTGCCCTCTGTCGCCATCGTGTGGCATAACTGTCTTCAGACATCTCTTGATCTCTTTGACTACTCCATGAAAATAGTAATACGCCTCGCCTGTGACGGATTTAAAGGCAAGGAGAGGAGCCTATGTGATTGGTGAAAACAGGTCTCGGCTGTGTTAAACCAACTACACGCCCAACTCTACGACTTATGGTGCTGGGAGGAGCTGAGTTAGGGAGGGGGGATACTTAGGCCGGGCTGCGCAGCTCACCAAAATACCAAAATGTGCTTGGGAACGCCTTGTCAGCGCGGCGGATCTGACTGACGCTGCGCTTGCGGCACGTCTCCGGCGAGGCACCAAAATAGAGCCCAGAGTGGTGATCCTGACCTTCAGATGTGTCCACATTTAGGCCAGACGAGAGGCTGCCACTCACTGGTGAGTTCTTTGCAGGCAGAACAGACATAGACTGAGACATGTTCTTCTGCAGGTTTGACTTTGGAGAAAACAAGGATTTAATCTTAAGTTTCTTCTTTTTCTCATCTTTGCCTGCAGATACCCCTCCATCCTCCTGTCCCTCCTCCTCGCTGTCGGTCAAAACTTGAGTGAGGGATGGAACCACGTTTGAGGACGTGTCCGACTCCTTTTTTTTGCCCCTGACCTTGTCCTTGAATTTACCCAGGCGAGATCTGGATTTGCCGGCAGCAGAAAGGTCAAACATGCTGGCGGTCATGTTGTTTCTCAGAAACTGGATGTCCACGAGTACCTCCCCTCTGTCTTTGTCCGGTTTGCCCGTTTTGTCCAGCAACTTAAACCATCTGTAAAAGAAAGGCATCTTGTTTCAATTTTGGACGTCATAATGGATAAAAACCCACAAACTATGACTGGATTCAGAACTTTTCCTTGGAAGTTCTAACTCCTGAAAATCAAAAACTGTGTATTCTGTGTTGTCCCATCAATTTTAATAACTTTTAGATCTTATGATCCATACATGAGCCAAAAGTGCAACTTCCCCTTTGATGTTCCTCAGGGTTCAACTCTTAGTCTACTAGTGTTTGCATTTGGTAGGTAAAAATGCTTAGACAGGAAGAAATCATAACGGTTGTGGAAATCTGGCTCTGCAGATCAAGCTTGAAGTAAAAAAAAATAAAAACAGGTGTTACTTTGTGTATATATAGTTATGGAATTTGAACTGAATTGAAAAATTCATTTCAGCAACATTGCAACGGTGACTTTTTAACATATCAGACACATATCAAGAATCAGACCCTGCCTTTTATTAAAAGCAGCAAAGACACTTTTGCATTTGTTTTCTGTGGTTTGGACTACTGCTGTGTCTTTATTATGGCTTGGCTGCATCTCCTTCTAAATAAGAAGCAAGAATTTCACCGATAACCAGAAGAGAGTTCATATAACTGTTTTAGCATTGCTGCACTGGTTACTTGTCGTGTTGAGGACAGATTTAAAAAATATTTTACTTGTTCAGCCTCTATTCAGTGTATCTTTCACATTGTTTCTCTGAGTTTTATTTCCCTAAATTGCTCATATTTGATCAATTTTTCTCTTTTATTAATGTTTATATCCTTATTCCACAACATTAGTAACAAAACATCACTCCCCTATAAATTCCTGTTTGCTGATTAAGTTGCGAAAAGGAATCACAGATACTGAGACTTCCAGTTAAGTTTAAAGAAGTTTCTCCAGTTCCTCTGTGGAAACTATGATCCATCCAGTAAATAGCAGTGTGACTCAGCAGCAGTTTGAATGTTTTTGGAAAGTCTGTGAAGATCCAAGTATAACTTTCAAACCTACCATGAAGGAAACTTTTTTTTTCTTTTTATAATAATGCCGCCTTGTGTGTGGCTGCCTCTAATGAATGCTTGTACTGTGCCTAAGATTCTAAATGTGGTCTCCCTTTCCTCCACAGACCCACATGTTCAAACACCTTAGGACAGAACTTGTAGATATGTTTTTTACATGGCTTGATCCGTCTGAAACTTGTAATGATTGACATTTCGAATATATTGCACATTCCCGGGGATATAACCCTGCAGAGGGCAAATATACAGGTCAGCTGCCACATAGCAGGGAGGTTTATATTCAACAATAAGTCCCTGCAACTCCAAAAACTTGAACTGGTCATGTTCCCAGGAAACCAATCTGGTATTAACCTCATTACCATCAAATACAACAAAAGGTGTTAAACAGGAGCTTTTCCAGATGAGGGCTTAGAAGCTACACCCCCCCCCCCATCCCCTAGAAATCTAATTGGTCATCCAATACATAAAGTATGATTGGCTCTCTTCTTGATCAGAGGTGGGATCTGAATTAAAACCAACTAACTGTGTTGCAACACACTTAACATGTGTGACACTTCATGTAGCACATGTTCCCTTTTTTTGAAGGTTTTACCACATCTTATTGGGGGTTAATCTTTTCTCTTAGTTCTTGTAGATGTTGTGTTTTGTTTTCACTGTGAGTAGTGTACTAAATAATCACACATTTTTACACCAGGATTACCAGTCAGTTGAACAAAATATTGTATGATTGTGGGCCTGAAAAATGATTGCGCTGTTGCCCCCCGAGCTGAGGCTGCAGGTCCAGTTAACGGCAAAGATGGCTCAATTTGGTAGCATATTGACTCAGCAAATCAACCATACTAAATAAAACTAATAAAACTACAGGGTGATAGAGGAGGGTCTGAACATGTGCTACGATGGTTTTAGCACAGAACTGCATTTTGAACACAGTGTCCTTGGTAGAGCATGAAAAAAAGCCTTAAAAGGGGGTATAGGGTACGTCCACCAGATCTAGATTTCATCACTTCTGCATATCTGCACCTGTCAGAAAACTGACAGAAAGGTCTAAAAAAAAAAAAGCAGAATTATTAAACAGAACAATGAAAAAGAATCAGTCAGCACAAAAAAGTGCCTGTCTGGCAGAAATCTGAGGTCAGCTAGCAACTGAACAAACAGCTCACACTGAAATCTGGATTCCTAGGGAAATGAGGAAATGAGGAAGGGGCTGTGCGTACATTTCTGTGTATACTGTGTGTTATGAACATATTTTGTGTTTTGGTTGCATCATACACTATTCCTGCAGTTTGAAACAAGAACTTTATGTCCAATATGTTTATATTCTGTAAAAAGTTTTCAAGCATTATGCAGTTTTGTGACTGTCTAAATAATTTTTTTTTGGCATGTCTCAGAGCACAGAAATATTTTCCTGCATATAACTGCACAACAGTCCTTTGGTTTGTGATATAAACCATTGGTTACCATTGGTTTGTAATACAAACTCTTCTGTGTGCATTGCCTTCCGACAAGATAAGAAATGTTGCTGAGATTCACCCTCCTCCGCCTCCTCCTCCTCCCTCTCCTTCCTCAGGAATGCCTCACATGTGTGGCACTGGCAAATTAAAGGCCTTTCCTGGAATTTGTGAAATGGGTGCAGAGTGCTGTCACAGCTCCTCTGCTTCCTACTGCTGATGCGTAAGAGGATATGATTTGCAAACTGTCGGCCTTTTCACACAAAAAAATCTGCATGATGCTTGTCTGACAAAAGTTCTACAAGAAAATGAAAAACTGTCTCTCTCCACTTGTTGAAATACAGTTTAATATATACTTCGCTTTAGCCGTTTTGGTCTAAAGAAGGAAAACTGGCTTCTCAGCTGCCAGGACGAAAGACTGCATTTCCCATGAGCACCACCACCAACTCTCCGAAAGAAGTAGCTCCTCAGGCATGCATTTGGTGCAACAAAGTCAATTCTCACCTCTAAAACTTTACGATTGGAGCTCTTAACATCCCCACCGCTTACAACAGATAAACTATCAGGCACTAAAAATCTATAAAAATAAACACCCAACCTTGTTGCTGATTATCTCGCTTTACTTTGTAGGTCATAGAGAGGCACCAACATAAGAGTGACACTTTTTCAAAGTCCCTTATGAACTCCTCACAACACCTTTACAGATGTCATCAGGCCCTTTATGAGAATACATCATTATTTTAACCACTTTAGGGACTCAGCAGGTGTTCTGGCACAGGACTTGAGATTTTAAGCTAAGACTTATTCCATGAAGCTTCAATATCAGAAAGTAAGATTAAGTAACATTCCAGCTTCACTTCAAAGAGAGCTTAATTTCTTTAATCCATTTTCAAGAGCTCAAAATATTATAAATATCTACAACACCCCAACCCTCCTAAATTCTAATTTTGAGGTTATATCAGAAAACAGCAGTTAAATTGGGCATTCACGATTCAATCTAGAAGTTCATGCCATAAGTAACCCAAATCACTTTTACAATCAAAATTAGCCCTGTATTCAAATGAGTGTCTAAAATCATTGATTATTTTCATTGTAGGTTGCATGGTTCAGCAAACTTTTGGCATTTTGATAAAAAATTATGATGAATTTTGGAGTTTAATACCAACAAAGGCTTAAACTATGATGTACAGTAAAGTAGTATCACTGATTATTCATAGTGAACCGTTATTGTAGCCCATTATTACAACTTTGTATCGTAGTAAAAGTATGACACAGTAGAATGTACAACACAACGCTATACTAAAGCCGTATGACATTTCGTTTACAGTAAAATACTGAAATTTAAAATGCAATAACAGCCCCAGCCCTCGAACAACAACTTCACTTCTCTGATAGCAACTAATGCCTGCAGCTCACCGTCCTATGTGAACCAATAAAAGGAGAAGAAGAAGAAAGCTAGTTCAGTTTATCAGTGAGGAAGTTGCGAGAGCCTCTGGGTGTGAGCTGGTTGAGACAGTAAGCGGTGAGCTGGAGGAGGAATTAGAATCAGCTTTCACCAGACAAAGCCTGAATGATAATGATAGTGATAATGATGCTTTTTAACATAGTTATCTTACACTGCGAAAAAGTAGAAAGTGTGCTGCTCTGCTGTACACACAGACCAAGAGGATAATTCATGACTCTACACTTTGTAAATTTATTCAGCTTTATGCGCGCGCACACATCCTTCCTGGTGAAGCCTGATAAAGATAAGACAATGCCCTGAGTGGCTGCAGCCGGTCTTATCACAGAGCACAGCTGTGTGGGTAAGAGAGGAGCTGAGCGAGCAGTGATAATGTTCAAGGACCAAAACTGTTCAGGGTTTAATGGATCAGTCTGAGCTGCGGAGAGACGGGAACGAAGGCAAAGAAAGAGTGGAACTAGAAAAATACCCCTGTTTTAATGGTGTGTCAAAATTTGTGGTTCAATCTCGTGTTATCAATCAGAGTACATTAAAAGCTCAAGCTACACTGAGAAGAGGAGGAAAAACTCGAACACTGGAGCGAAGACTTGCCTTGGTGGAGGTTTTCACTTTATTGCTGCAGTAAAAGAAAACGACTGTGCTTCAATACTGAAGAGCCTCATTTTTTCTTTATCTAGGATCCATGCTCTTTGGCCTCACTGGCAGATTTTGATAACAGCAGACACACTGGGACAAATGTCTTTTTACCACCTAAAACTGGAATTAAAGGTTTAAAGTAATGAGGGCTGAGTCACACTCACACCTGAATAAAAGCAAACTTCACTGCAAAGACGGGATGATTGGACATAGAGGCAACCCTTGGGTGAAACTCCCTCATCCTGGTGGAAATGGGAACTTTCCGTAACCATGACTTCATGTCACACAAATAAGAAGTTTACATAAGTAACTGTTATGCAGACTCATCAAATGAAATCCACAATATGATGGAAAACCACCATCTTCTTCGGTGATATATATTTTTTTCTGTAAACAATCCCATGTGAATAGTCCACTCATACGTACGTGCTAATTCTGAAGCTAGGAAGGAGGTAATCAAATCCTGAATATTTTTTAAACTGAAGATTTTACCATCCATCGTAGTCTAGTTTTTTGTCTTGTTTTAAACTCCTGTGAAATCCATTCGAAATTAATTTGGTACCCTCTAAGGACAAAGTATCCCTTTAATTTTGTTGCTGATTTTTTCCTGCACGTGTTAAAAAAAAATCAATATCAGTATAACCATGAGTATTTACAGTATTAACATGATGTGTCTGTTTGGAAACCTGATAAAAACTTCATGACGACACCTTCTGTGTGAACACAATCAAAGCTGAGCAATAAGACAACCTTTTTGCCACTTATTGATTATGGAGATGTGTTGTATATGGAAGCCTCTGCTAGTTGTCTCCATATGCTAGACAGTGTGTACCATGGAGCACTGAGGTTCATTACCAACTGCGGTCCCCTTTCTCACCATTGTGTACTATATTCTATGGTTAACTGGACGTCTTTACATGCTCGACGCCACTGTCATTGGTATGTGTTCATTTACAAAACCATTCTGGGACTCATTCCAGCCTATTTGTCTTGTTTCTTAACAAAGAAACAAGGAAGCCACAATCTTCGTTCGATGGATGTTCTGCAATTTGTTACCCAAAGTACGAACTGAACTGGGCAAGAAAGCATTTAGGTTTGCAGCACCTGATGCTTGGAATAAATTACAATTGAAACTTCAACTTAAAGCCCTAGTTACATTGAATGAGTTTAAAGCTACTGTAAAAGGTCTGCAGTCTATCCTGTCTGTATGCACGTGTGTTATGTGAGAAAGTTTGAATGCTGTAAATTTTATATTTTATGTGTTATTGTTTTCTTTTGTAATGTAACTTTGCTGCTGCCCTCTTGTCCAGGTCTCCCTTGAAAAAGAGATATTTTTATTTAACCTACCTGGTTAAATAAAGGCTAAATAAAAATAAAGGGAAAGGAGTACAGGGACGGTTAGAGAAAGACGCCTGATAATGTGGCTATTTAGTGTTACCTGTGCCTTTACTAATGATACAAACTGAAATGATCTGTTGTGGAAACTACCATTCAATGTTTAGTCATAATACAACTTTAGGAAATTAACTTTTTGAACAGTTAATGACAGAAAACAGTGGTTTTCTAAAGATAATTGGCTGGAGTCTTTCTTCAAAAACTGTAACACTTACAGGATAACTGAGAGGCTAAATTCAGCAGACAACATGTACCTTTAAACAGTGGCGCTCTTGTATGTGCAGCCTGTGGAACATGTTTGTCTTTCGAGGGTCAGTGCAGGCACATTGGTCTCGCCTGGAAAAACTGACCTTGCTAGACTGTAGCTGTTACCATCTCTGTTTGTTTTGGGTTGATAAAAACAGCCAGGAATGTGGGGCTAGAGGTGGATTTAGGAGGTAGGGTGCGCTCAGGTGGGCACAGACGCCCACAGGAGATCAGCAGGAAATCAGCTAAAGCGTTCTGGCTGACTTACAAATCAAAATTTCTTAAAGTATTCTCATTAAACTCGAAGCATGTATCTACATGGTAAATTCTGCAGCAGCGCTCAAGGGAAATCAGACTTATGAAGGACATGCTGCCAGAAGAGGAGATGAGATCAGGGATGTCAAAAAAAAAAACTGGAATGCACGCATATATTAATGTTCCCTGCACAGCCTGGTGGAGTTGAGCTGAGCATGCTGGGAATCAGACATGATCTGGGAACTTATCTGCAACTTTTCAGTCAGAGTAATCTCATGCACTCAACACTTAATCTAATCTAATATGCATTTTTACAGTGACAATCAAACAATCTGTCACTGTTACCTGCTCGGTTTATCAATTTAAACAATCTGCATTGAAAATGTTAGAAAACTAACTTTTTATAGCTTTATGGTGAAATCCAGCCTGTTACACTGCATGCAACAGTGCAACATATCAAACAGAGCAAACACACCCAAACGCCAACAAACAGCCCCTTGGGAGGTGGGTAAAGGAAGCAGATTTGTTGTGTGTTTGTGACTGCAGAAAAACTGCTGGTACGCAGTCTGCTTTTGTGAAACACCAGTCACATGGCAGCAGACTAAATACTTTAGCAGTACAAAACAATGTCTTTCAAATTCCAACAAGAATATCTAATAATCTTTATTTGGACTAAATGTGGAGCGCATTTTCTGCTTAAAGGAGCAGGAATAATCGTGATTACAGAGTCCATGCAGTCCTACCACCAAGGCCTGTAAAACCTGATCACTGCCATTATTAACAGAAGCTGAGGACAGAAGGGCGTGAATATTTTTGAACAATAAAGCAACTGCTTATGTCCTTGGTCAATTACTTCACCCACCTCTCTGCTCTGGGTGTGTGCAGAAAAAAAAGTACTGCCTGAATGCCTGACAGTGTCATAGCATCCTTGTGAAAATCTGCCACAAAGTAAGGTGAAGTCTGGGTCATCTTGGGAAATCTCTCTGTTGTAGACGGTTCAGTCAATGAAGAAGAGAGTCTTCTGACCCAAGTCTTTCGCCTGAGTAAGTAATACTGATTGGCATCCTTGAAGGCCACTGCCAAGGAAACAAATCCCTCAAGCTGCACCGGAGCAAGTGGGAAACATTCACAAATCAAATCCGGCAAAGCAGGTCTGTGTAGTGATACGTGCTGCGTGTGTGTCTGTGTGTGTGTGTAAAAAGTTCCTCACCTCAGTGTAGATATCACTGAGGGAAATCAATACCAGAGTCTTGTAAACAACAAATAAAGAGGATGTATTCATATGGCAACAATGAGCCAAAGCAAAGCAGAGTAAAATGCTGGGCCTTTAAAGGGGATTATTGAGTTTAGTGATGCAAGACCACAAAGCTGGAGTGCAGATGAAAATCAAACTTTTCCTATTACTTTCTCATTGACATACATATGTAAGATTCAGTCTTCTATCCTGGTTGAAATGATTGGATGAAACTGTTTACTGTACATGTGCGAAAGCTCAGTTGTTGCAATTTGATAAAATGAGAGATCACTTTAACTCTAACCAACATTTCTGACAGGCTATTTAACCCTAAAACACTATCGCCAGGTGATTTTCTCCAGACCAAACATGTTTACGTGATTTTTATTATGTTGCGTTTGTCTGAGTATCATGGGTCCCTGGCTAGCTTCAGCATTGCCTTTGACATCTTTGAAGGCGTATTTGTTTCCCTAAACCAAAACCCGCTTTTTCCTGCAGGCACGTGTTCGGGTGATTTTCACCCAGCGATAGTGATAGAGGGTAAAGTAGGTTTGGGTGGATTTGATAGCTGCATGTAGGCGGATAAGGTCAGTAAGAGTGGTCCTGGAATTTGCATGCTATCTTTATTTAGCGCAGTGGTGATGAATAACTATCATAAAGTAGAGATTTTCAAGGAATTCATGTGGTGATAAGAAATATTCTAGTCAGCTGGTCATTTACTCACTCAAAATATGCCATATTTTGGTCCTCTCTCCTGCAGCTGTTATTGTGCCAATGACCCTGAGTTTTCACCAAGAAAGACACACATGCCCCAGGAATGGATGGAAAAGAAACTAAGTTCATGAATGTCTTATTTCAGTTATGTTGTTGCATTTTTATATGGGCCCCACATGGCACTTTATTCATCCCTTTGGACATTGCACAGTAAAAAATAAAAGAAATCTACTTAAATTTGTCACGTTTTGTCCTATTTTGATATATTTTAATGACTAGTACTTTTTCTTGGGTATATTATTTCAGGTATAGACTACCCAGCGATAGTGATGGTGTTCCAGGGTTAAGAAGAAACTGTGTGACCTCTCTCACCATGTGACACGCCGGATGAAACCTCCTCCACATTAAAGTTAATGCTCTTTGTCTGAACTTTGGAGACAATTAGTCGATTAATCGATCATGAGGTAATTGTTTGCAGCCATTGTTGTCAAACAAAACAATCTTTCACATTGTTTTACGTGGAAACACCTTCAATTTATTCAATAATGTTTTCAACTATCAGTAGGTCTTTTCAAACTTTCAGAAGTTTGGTTCGAGTTTGGATCTGTTGTTTGGATTAATCGAGCAAACAATAAAAGCGGTTTCCCCGACTCCTAATCTCTTTTTTAATGCTCACTTACTCGGTCTTGTTGCGGGTTTTGTCCTCACTCAGCTGGAGCAGGTTGATGACAGCCTGACCCAGTAGTTTGTCTGGACCCACCAGAGCCCGGTGCAGGACGTGGACGTGTAGCGTGCCTCCTCCACCTCCTCCTCCCGCTCCTTGATGCGGGAGGTCGAACGAGGCCTCCTCCTTCCACACCGGGGCAACAGCCTTCTCCACCACCGAGGTCTGAAACTTCTCCTTGCCCACTTGCATGACCGCGTACGCATCGTTGGTGCCGCTTTTCCCCTTTATTCTCAGGCCTCTGGCTTGGTGCACCGTTACCTGGACGCTCGTGGGACTCCACTGTTGATCCGCGAGCGACATGTTTACACACCTAGCTATGGGGGACAGAAAGGTCCGAAAAACAAACTCGCGGTGGTGCGGTGTCCTCTCACGTGAGAGTGGACAGGAGGGTGAAAAACTTTCCCGAGGAGCCTGCTTGAACTTGAGGAAACAGCTGAGTGGGCGTGGTTAGAGCGACAGGGGGGGCCTCGGTTGAAAGAAGACACGCCTCCAGGTTACATGTCTTCAGTGAACCGGCTTACTCACACCCCATCAATTATTTCCTGCAGACAATAGGCCACACTTGATCGCCTGTGACACCTGACAGCGAACATCAACATCACATCTGCTGCATGACAACACAACAGTGATTGATTGATATGGTTTCTTTCTCAAATTGACAGTTTTCAATCAATTTTGTCACTCTGTTTACATGTAGAAACACCTAAGTATCTTCTGTCACCTCCTCCTGATCTTACTTTGAAAACTTCAGACATGTGCTAATTGTTCCTGGAGAAGAGACAGGATACCTTACAACCCTGTGACAGCTGATACTGATCATGTGGTTGGATTCAGTTTCACCTAAAGCTCCAGTTTGAATCTCAATCAGCTCCACAATCTGTGTGGATTTCATTCCTCCTGCAGATTAGATGGATCGAATGTTGTAAGCATGAATGTTTATATCTTCTAAAACGGTTCAAGATAAGTGCTTGAGCAAACAAATTTCGCTCTTCAGATCTGTCTTCATTCCAGCCCCCAAACTCAGACTTCTTTGGTAAATGTTATCAAACAAAATGAACTCTTGCACTCTGTGACTTACATTGTGGTCAGGCCCAGTGAAGATTAGAGGTGAAGACACAAATAGAGCCTTGAGCCAATTAGCAAAGTGACGCAGGAGTGTTGGCAGTGGCTGACTCCACAAGAGCCTGTCTGACTGATGTTAACGTCTGTAACTCTGACACTTCCAGAATTGTTTATTTAATGGCAGCATTTAACTTGAAACACCTTCATTGAAATTCTTCTCAAATTTATTAAAAATGTATCAAACAGACTCGTCACATTGCACCAATACAAGGCAGGAATAGCATAAAATGTCATAAAAATAAACATTAATAACATAAATACCTTTCATTTACTCTGAGTATGTTCACAAAAACATTCAATTAAAACTTTCACCCTTTAAAATGCACATTCAACAAAATACAAAATATCACATTGTTCAAGTGCTGCAAAAGAACTGATATCTGCTGTCATACATTTACTGTTGTCCTTGTGTTTTTGAAGAGTTTTGGTCGCTTATTTCCTCAGGATTTTCCTCTTCTAAATGTTTGTCCTCACTTTGGTCCCTCAGTTCTTGCTCACCTACAAGAACTTTACTGTAAAGTTTCTGCTGCTCCTCTTTGAAGGCATCTTTCACTCTTGCTCGTTTCAGCCCTCCGTCCCTACAAGAGGGGAAAATAAGGGAAAGTGAACCACACAGACCAAAATGCCGGCTCAGAGTGTCTCCCATGCTGTTTTCAGTTTTATTTTTTAGTTTAAGAATCTCAGTTTACAACTATATCTACCTGTGACTTCCACAGAAGCACCCGTTCCTCTGAACCAAAATGTTTATATCTGTGTGGAGCAAGTACAAGGCTGTGACCTTCCTAAAATCCTGGGAAATTCCATCTCATTGTATTGCCCTCCTTCTCAACAATCCAGGGTTATAGAACCAAAATGTAAAACTAGCACCACCTACTGTCTGTTATGATGAACCACCTCCCAACTTCTATGATTTAATTTAGATGTAAACTACAAGACGGACCATTGTGCAATGACTCACCAAATAAGATCTACCAGTCCCCCTTGTGTGGCTATGGCTGCTTTCACCCTGTTGGCAAACTGCACCGCATCTTCCCCCTCCTACATAATAACAATAAAAAGCAGGCTAAGACAAAAAGGAGAGGAAAAGTACTCTGATAACTTAATAACAAAAACAAGTGGATTGAAGTTAAGTAAGTGCATTACCTCTCTGTTCATAGGCGGCAGGTACCAAACGCTGCACACAATGGCCCAGCTGCTCATCATACTCAGTAGGTAATTCACCAAACCGAACTTACTGCTGTTCCAGAAAGCATCCCCAAACCGAGGGTCATACTGCAGGACGGAAATAAGGTGTATTAGGAAGATTTAACATCACAGTAAGAAGAAAACGTGAAAGAGACAATAAGAAGTTATACCTTTATGGCAACTGGATAGACAGTGCAGCCAATTTCGAAGCTTCCCTTCTTAAACATCATCACTGATGTGTTGTTGATACAAGTACCTGTAGAAGACAGAGTGTGAAGCTCCTTCTAATACCGAAATAACCAACATTATGGCCTTTGGACATGTTTAAGAGAAAGATGTGTCATACACACCCTCAGGGAAAATCAGAATGGGCTGTTTGGTTTTATCAGCGACATGATCGCTCAGCCTGGAATCAGTAAAAGTGATCAACATGTTAATTTGTTTTATACTAGTGCAACAAGCCTAACTTCTAGACTTTAAGTCCAATGATTCTCGAACCTTGCCTTCACTATTTCAATTTTAACATTCACAAAAACTATATCAGTAAACTCGACAACTAAAGTCTAGTCAAAATATCACTAAATCGAATATAAAATTTATGAAATTTGGTTTATTCTGCCAATTTTAACATCTTCTAATGGCCAGCCTAATAAAAACTCTATAAGATTAGCTTTTTACACCTTTTTCAGTTAATCTGAATCACGACTGACTGTAACTGGACCTGGAGGACTTGCAGTGTCACCTTTTGGCCACTAGGTGTCTGTCTTTTACTTCTGATCTTTCAAACCAGATGTGAGGAGAGGATTTGACCATGGCTCGCTGGATCATTCCCAATAAACCTCCATGGACCTGGCCAACCTAAGAGAGACGAGGGAAACATCTCAAATTCATTTTCAATAATCTGTTTAAAAAAAGAGAGATTATTACAAATGTCATATAATCTTCTCAGAAGAAAAACACTGACAGAGAGATACAAAAAAACTTCTCTACCATGGAGTAGCAGCCATCGTTGGCAAGGATGATGACGTCAATGGGTGTTGTGTGATTTGCCACACAGATGCCGCCATTCTTTGGTTTGTTCTGCCTGAGATTGAAGACACAAACAAACATCTTGTTTACACTTTGTAATCCATTAACTTCTCACAAATTTGCTTTGATTTTAGATAAATTACCACATAACAATAGCAACGTGACAGTCACACGCTGTATTTTGAGTATACTTTGCGCATCAGCACGGATATAGCTTTTTTAAAAGTGTAAATGTAGCAGGAATTGAGTAGTACCTGTTATGATAAGTGATGATGGCTGTGAGAGCCCGAACACAGATGCGGTAACACAACATGTGAATCTTTTCACTCAGGAAGGACCTCAACCTGATGATATGCAGCAAAAAAAAAAAAAAAAAAAGTCAAATTATTTATTCACTCCACAAAGACAACCATTTCAAAATACACTGAAGAATTCCTGGATTATTTTGATCCTGATTGACCCAAAGTCATGTATAACACCATGTCAGTCTACTGTCTACTTCTCCAACTTTTTATGGCAGATCTAAACTCTTGTGAAAACTTACTCTTTACTTGGTAAGACGCCCACCAGAGTGGTCAAAACCAGAAGCAAGCTGATACCAGTGACTGCCAGCGTGACCCTGCGAAAATGAACAAGTAGTTGACTCAAAACATAATAATCAATAAATAATCAATTAAGAAAATCTGTGCTTCCATCCCACTAAAGTTCAGTTGCTGTTGACACTGTATGTTTAATTTTGTTATCCAATTTACCATGCACCTCATCTCTCCTGACTGAAAGTATGGATTTAGATGAACCCCTCTGTTTAAATTGATCTATTTATCTGTTATTTTGCTCTCATAATTTCTTGGTTTCTTTCTCCATTTTGCTCCTTGGAGGCAAATTGCTTGTTCAGAGTGCTTTACATATTGTTGTAGGGATATATCAGTTGGTGTTTAATACTTTCATAAAACAATAAAAATGATTAGAAACAGGATGAACCAGCAGTCAACACTATGTCACATTGTGTTGTGTACCTCATTGTGTACTGTGATATGAATTTGCTGCTTCTATTCCATAACCCTCCTGTGTTCTACACTGACCTTAGAGGCAGCAGGACGCCGTAGCGGATCAGGACTCCAAGTCCCCACACAACAGTGAGTCTCACACTTATATGGCGGAAGTTGTAGTTACTTCGTGTCAGCAAATTCCAGCTCTCCAGTTCCTGTGCTGAGAAGCGTTTGGTGACCTCGTCATCCACAATGCTCTCCATGCCCCTCCGGCAGAAGTAAAAAATATCCCCCATTTCAAACTCTGGCTCAGAGCGCAGACAGCAGGAGCCCCGGAGCTCCCGAATCTCCTGCTGCAAAGAGGATGGAGGTTCTTTGGCTATGATTCCTGCAAAATAAGAAAGCACTTGAATTTATGGTGACTAAAACAAGTATCATATGTCTTGTAATTGATGCATTGTGCTTTTACCATTGCTGTATGGTTTATAGAGCTCCTGATTCTTTTCCTTCGCCCCCATCTCCATACGTGAGGTTGCCCACTGATTAAAGGGAATATAACTAGATTAGACACATGGAGAAGTAAGTGTTCTTTGTTTACTGAAATATTTCATACAGCAGCTTTGGTCCTACAGACTTAAACCAAAGTTAAAGACTCAAGAATAATATGAAAAGCATAAACTGTGATATGAGCAAGGTGAAGAATTAGACATCATATTCTCAAAGGACTAAAGCTTGCAGTCCATATCATTTTTTCCCAAAAGTCGGCTCTAATGCAGTAAAATTGAAACCACTGTGGTCCAGTCTCAGGGTGTCTGCATGATAAAGGTTTGATGATGATGATCATATACTCCCTCCTTTATCCCCCTAAAGACCAGCACCATGGCAGTCAGGGAAACTTCATTCTTTGACCAGTGTTCAAGACAGCATAGGCTACTGAGTATTAACACAAAGGGTAGGAAAAGGCCTTCAAATTTCTTACAAACACAAGGAGAACTATAGCTGCTGACTAATAGTGGACATGGCCTCATGGTTTTAAAATGAAGCCAAAAGTGCGGAGGCCAAAATCAGAAGGACTCAAGTCTATTTCTTTTCCAAAATTGTTAGCATCTGGTGTGTGGCAAAAGAGGAGCCAATTTATGAATTTTCAAATCATATCTTAAACCTTGTTTTCTGTTGATTAGTTACCTAATCAGATATTTTAAAGTTCTAAATAGGTAATTTGACCTTCAAATACTGCAAGGTAACTTCTGATTGGCAGGCATGTAATTAGGGAAGGAGGTATAACAATGTGTTTCACCCTGTTGTCAAAATACAGTCACTCTAAAAAAAGACAAATACCAAACCCAAGACTTCAAAACTAAATCTCTTACACCAACAGATGGCGCCACTGTCCACACATCAACTTTGTTATACAGTAAAAGCATTTTGTAATCTCCCTTTAACAGCAGAACTTCATCCCATGAACGACATTCACAATTTTTCTGCTCTCTGGTGACTCTCACTATCCTGAGTGCAGAAGCAACAAAGTCTGCAGGCCCACAGGGGCTGAGCCTGTAAGGAGCATTGCCTTGCCTTGTAATCTCTGTTTTACAAAATCCTCTGACTTCATCCCAGGAGTCTTAGCTCTCTGCGGTATCTACACCACCTCAGATGGTCGTCCCCCTGGCTAAAAGCTTTGTTCCTCCCAGGGGTCTGTTACAAAAATCTGAGTCCCTGAAGAAAGTGAAACAGTAACAGCCCATGTGACTCCAACAATCCCTCTGAGCTGAGGGAAACCAGGGATTCTATCCTACAAAAAAAAGTTTAATGAGATTAGCACAACAACAACAAACACAGTTTACACAAAAGACCTTTGATGCTATACACAGAAAAAGCCTCTTTTAAAAAATAGCACGTGAGAAGAATCATTTTGTCCTTTACATGTTATAGACTAGACATCAATCTCACCTCAAAGATCTTGAGAAGTGTCTTTATGTAGAGTCTGCGTACTCCAAGAGAGACTCCAAGGACAGCAGGGACAATTGTGAAAACTAACAGAAGAGTCAACCACAGAGTGATGGTAATGGCCAGAACCCTGCACAGCAGGTTGTCAACAGGAAACCAAGTCATGCTGGAGGAGAAGGACTGAGCGAGGTGACAGCACACAACCACAAAAACCACGTCCTCTGGGATGAAACCGTAGTTCAACTCTTCATCAAGTGCGCCTCACTCTGTGTCTGATAAGGAAAGAACATTACACCAAGATTAGCACTAAAAAGACCACACTGTATAATCCTCTGTCCTTTCTTTAAGGTGACATTCTCTACATTACTGTTGACTTTGAGCAGTTTTTGAGCGACATCAAACTTTGTAGAAGAACATCATTTAAGTTCAGTGTACAATCACAAAGTGTCACTTTTAAAACACCATTATTATATCTATCATTAAAGGGACATCATGACCCCTGCCTGATTTGTTAGAGGAATTAAAACTCTTGTGAGGAGCTTTTAGTTTTTTATTGGAAAATTTGGCGCCCCCCTGTGGACAAAGAAGTCATTGTGTATATTGTCCTCCACTTAAAAATAAGTATCTTCTGACAAGTATTTCATTTTGCTGACTTTTGATGGTCAAATGTATCATTTATTGTAAATGCAATTTATGGAAGATGTACAAACAGGGACTGTTTCAGCTGCTCTGCTGACACCTATCCTCTCATGCCCATAGGTATACTAAGGACAACTTGGTTCCGCTTTCCACCAGTATACGGATTTGAAGCCAAAAAGCTCTCGGTTATTCCACGTTTTCTCTCCATTTCCTGAACCAACACTGCGCAGTAGCATTGTGCGCATTCAACGGGAGAGTCGCTGTGATGACGCTCAGCTCAAACAGTGTATCCTCTGAGTGAGCTACGCAATCCTTGTACGACCATGGGCTGTAGCAACATGATGGTATTGGGGGATCTAATGTTGAAAAAGGACCTTATGAGGCAGTTACAAACCCTACTGTGAACTGACTGAATTTCTATTGAATTTCCCTTCAAAGATCACTAAAGTTCTTCTTCCTCTTTGACAAATTTACAGTTTTTTCTCAAAAGTTTTTATTAAAAAAAAATCTAAGACAGAGTGGAGGGAAACAGGTGTTTCAAAATGGCGGTTGCAACTTCCGGAGTAATCAAGAGGCTGCACTGACGCTTCAAAATGAATCAACAAGAGCCTACAGACCGAATGTGAAATACCAGCTTTACATTTTCAAGCCACTGTGACATGAGGTCCATTACCTCCACATAAAACCCCTCCTGCAGGTAAGTTCTTCCTTTCGTTTGTTTACTAAGTTTGTATGCTGAATGTGCGTGCTAGCAGAAGTTGGTGCTGTTAAGTTGTTGAAGCTAATTTTGAATCTCGGTTGACAGCTAATGAAGAGTTAGCTCACCACCGTGTTATGGCTCTTACCTTCCACTGGATTTAATGCTCCTCCTGTGCTGGAGGTGGAGGCTTGAGACAGCAGACTGTCAGGTAATTCTCCATCTGGAGACTCCGGGTTAAAGTACAGGGATTTTAGCATCATGCTAACTAACGCTGCAGCCGTAGATGTGAGTGGTTCTCATGGCAACAGGTGGCCAATCAGGGCTGCTGTCGCTGCACTGTGGGCTGGATAGTTAATCTGATTACAGAGGAGCACTACGGTCAGCCAGAGGGTACAGAGTAGACTGTGAGTTAAATCAGTCTGTCCTCTGAGCTCTTTATATTGATCAGACCTGCTGTAACTTGTTTTCAATGAAATTAGTAAAACATACATTTAATGACTACAACAGATCAACAGGCTTTAAGTAGCAGTTAGTGTTACAGTCCTGTTCAATGCTGCTGCTGGAAATAAAGATGCATTTTATAAAAGATAAAGACATCAAATATACACACAAGTTCTGTTAAAAACTTTTATTATTATTGTTTTAAATATATTTTGCTACAAATTCCAGTTGTTTCTAGCATGCATAGTTTTACACAGTAAAGACAAGTCAAATCACTAAAGTAAGATTTACCCTTTCCCTTTAGCAGAATATCTTGACAGCATGCATAACCTCCCCTATCCAGCAGCCATTTGAAAAATATAATCCCCGCATGGATCGTGTTTCGTAGACTACTGCATACACTCACTACAGCGAATAAGACTCAAAGGATGCTTTGTAAACTTTCTTTGGCTTTTTTGCATAAGACTATCCTGTTTCTTTACAAATACATATAATGAAGGGAAGGGAGGGGCAAATAATTTGGTAGGTTATGCTAGGGGTGGTCTGTGGATGAGGTTGATTGTTCAATTCAGTTTGAGGTAATAAAGTCAGGAGTTGAACTGTTGCACGTAAGTAAAAATGAAAATGTATCTGAACTGTTTTGTGGAGTGTAAACTCACAAAACCTCAACAAATAAAAACACATTGAAGATCTCTAGTGAGAATTAAAGAAGCTTCTTTCTCCCATGAGTAGCCATAAAACTCCTTCTGATCACTTACCAGTGCAAGTTCAGGTATAGATGATCAATCAAACTCATGCAATTATTTTCAAAACGAGCAAAACACACAGTTAATCAAAAAATGCCTATTACAGCAGTTAAAATGAGCAACTCATGTTCCTTCAGGAATGAAAGAATCTAATGCACATGTAGAATGACAAAAACAGTAAACCACAGTAAGATAGTCGTATTGTTTTAAGGAACTGCATCGATGCTACATTAGACATAATTACAAAGCAATGTTTAGTTTCTCTTAATCAGGTTTGACGACAGTCCTCAGGGACATCTTAAATTTACAGTAAAGGGTAAGAGAAACATCAGACTGCACAAAAACACAAACATACAGCTTTGACTTGATCACATAAAATTTCCCATATTGCCATATTATACTTGTGCTTAAGACACCCTCAGCACTGGAAAAACTATGTGCTGTACTGGTTTAGGCTGGCATACTGCTGTAGGTCTGAACATGTTTTATTACTTGCTACAGTTATAAACAGAGTTGGAGCAAAAACCCATTACCCTTGAGCTATGAAGTTAACAGCCACATCAGCATTAGAAAGATTGTTTTACTTCAGGAAATGTGCTTTTTTTTCTTAAAATATAGTTTGTAAAAGTCAGAAATGCAGCTCTTGGTTTTGTTTGTGCTCAAAGAAACAGCAGCTGCATCTTATTAACAGTGTCACTCCCGGCTGTGGTCGTCAGCCTTTGTGTTTCAGCATGGCAGTTTCAGGGCAGGGTTGATATGTTTTTGTTTTCTTCTTCATTGACAGTTCAAAAGTTCAAGATCCACCAGGATTCTGTACTCTTCTTCTCTTCTTTTTCTGCCAACAATGTTGTTTTAACTCTCTCCCCTCTGTCGGGAAGCTCATCGAGACATCATCCGCACAAATTCTGTGAATCAGAGTAAAAGATGATTTGTATTTAGTAAACAAACCTGTGAAGGCTCACCAAAATGCTTGCTCAGAAATTATACACTCCATTTTCAATCACGCTCCTATAAATTTCGTAAGGACATTATTCCTGATAGCTTGCATGCAGAATGTAGAGGAAACATGAAACCATGTTGCTAACAGCAGCACAGCGGTTTCAGATATTTCCTTCCCTGACAGCCTGTTTGCATCTTTTTCTCAGTGGGTAATCTATGAGGTGACATAATCCCTTGGTATTGAGATAATCTGACAGACAGACCTACTGCCTTCATCCCTTCACCTCACTATCAGCAGGGTATTGGAATAACAGCCACACATGAGAGGATTTTTGCCTATGCTCTGAAATGCGTGAGAGTGTATGTTAGGAGTCTGACAAATTGTAACACACCCACAGGTTCCCAGTCTCTGCATACAGTCAGATGATTTTTTTTAAGTATGCTTTTAAATACTGCAATGGATTCTTCACCTTCAAAGTCTACCTGTCCATCTCCATTGAGGTCAATGTCTCGCAGGATGTCCTCCAGGTCTCGGTGTCCAACCTGAAACAGTCAGATGGGTGTAAAGGTAGTGAAAGGCGTGAACACTTGTGGCTCATTGATTAGACATCTTGACTGATGGAGAGTTACAAAGAGAGGGACAGACTCTCCCAGCAGCTCTGTACCTGTTGTCCTAGAAGTTTTTTCATCGCCTCTCTGAGTTCAGCTGTGCTGATGTGGCCGTCACCGTTTGTGTCAAACTGAGAATGAGAGACAGAGACAAAAGGAAAACAGGAAGAGTTTATCCAAATTAATCCAAATCTATCACGAAAAGCTATCTTTTTCTCTTCTTTGTGGTAAACACAAAACTTGCTCTGCTTTCTCTCCCTTTTATGAAAATGTAGACTTAGGGGGAGGTAGAGCATACAGTCTAACTCCAGCTGAGCTGTAGCCTAAACAAAGCCCTTGCTCTGTCTTCTCTGTTCATTTTCTAACATCTCTCCACAGAGTCCTTTCTTTTTTTTCTTTGCATATTATACTTTCCTTCTCAATAAAAAAAGGAATAGGGACAGGTAATGCATACAGCCCATTCTAGTGAGGGTAGACTCTAAGGTGAAAGGGGGAGGTGGAGTGTATAACGTAACATAGCAAGGGTGAGTTATAGTTGAACATGTTTCTCGCCCTGGCTCTGCCTTCCCTGTCCTTTACTTTCATCTCTCTACAGACTCTTCGGTCTGCCCCCCCACCAACTTACCTTATTAAAATGATAGAAGAGTGAAGACAGAGCGTACAACCTAATTCGGTAGGATAAGATTTAGCCTACACAGGAGTTTTACCCTGGTTTCTTTTTTCCTGTCCTTTTATATTTTTTCTCTTTTCTTATCGCTCCCTGTGTTGATATCAGGGAAGTGAGAGCTAGCATGGAGAGGAGTGATTAAGCACCAACTGTTGGGCCTGCCTGAAGTGCCATGGGCCTGATTTGACGAACACCAGTGAGCAGTGGCGGCTGCTGGTCTTTCAAGGAGGGGAAGCTCATTTTTCTGGCCTACATCATAATTGTATTTGTTTATTAGTATGTAACAGAACAGAGTCGCCAAACACAACGACAGTCGTTTTTAACAAAGACAAAAGTCGCTGAGGATCGGTAAGGTCTCCGGAGCAGTTAAGAACAACGGAATGAATAACTTGGAAAATGCTCTGGTAGATGTTTTATTCTTCAAGATCGCTGATTCGCTTGTTTAGCTGTCAATCAAAAAAGGATTTCGCCTCAGACTGCTCATCCAATCATGGATGCAGAAGCTTGGAGTCCGGGAGAAAGTCGGGACCGCCCTCTCGCCATAGAACTCCAGTGAAGCTGGGCTTCCGATGGGCGGGACAAAGCCCAGCATTTATCCAATGAGCGTCTAGTTTCGCTGCTGGAACAACCCACTTTGAGCTTCCACATTGAAGTCAGCAGAAGCCCTGCGTCCGGCTGTTTATAGCGCTGAGGCGCTGCGAGGGTGAATGAGAACGAAGTTATGCCGGTTACCTGTGATTATCAGCTTCTTATCACAGTGTCTGAACAAAAGATGAAGGCTTTCTAGTGCGTATTTAGTTAATGAAATGTACACACAGCCGTACGTATTTCAACACTTTTTCTTTTTTTTGGGGGGGGTGACATTTTAAGGGAAGCCGAGCTTCCCTTGCAGTCTTAGAGCAATTGCCACTGCTAGTGAGGTAGTTATTATCAGCAATGCCAACGCCTGGTGCTCGCAAACAGAGGCAGCAAAACTGTTAAAGATGTAGTGGCCATCAAGAGCCATTTGGCAGGCCATGTTACTTATCAGATGACCGAAAGCACTTTGGTTAGGGTGTACTTGTGTTTTTGACTTGTACTCACTTACATTTCTTAAAGGGATATTCTGGCGTAAAATTAATTTAGGGTCAAACACACCGTACCACCGAGTTAGACAACCCCTCAAGAGATGAATGTTACCGACCGCTCGCTTCTCTAGTTATACCAAATTAGGTAACGACCGCAGATAGCAATACAGAGAGCCATGTGCTCAACCAAAACACCACTCTATAGCCACAAATAATGCTCAGAACAACACCTAACTTCATCAACAGTACATATAGGGTCCCAGCCATAGCACTAGCCATCAAACATCTTTTTAGCTTTGCCTGATTTCTTTAGCAAAGAGACTAAACCCAATTCACCTACTCTCTTCCAGCAGCCGCTGAGCATTATTTGCGGCTATAGAGTAGCTTTTTGGTTGAGCACATGGCTCTCTATATTGCTATTGTGCGGTCGTTTCTAAAGTTGGTATAACTAGAGAAGCAAGCGGTCGGCAACATTCATCTCTCAGAGGTGTCTAACTCAGTGTTAAGGTGTGTTTGACCCTAAATTAATTTTGCACCGGAATATCCCTTTAACTTCTGACCAGTTTCCTTACCTCCTTGAATGCATCCCTCAGCTCCTTCACGCCAATCATATCTGCAGTCTCAGCCAGAAGTTTTGGCCCCATGAGCTCAACAAAGTCCTCAAAGTCGACATGTCCTCCCACTGCGAGATAGATTGAAAAAAGGAAGCCTTGGTAATCTCCTTTATGCACTACTTGCTGCAAAAGTTAGTAACTGATAGTCTCTTCAGTGATATCATGAAAACTAAGTATTGGCTGAGAATAAACACACATACAGTTCATGTTGATCTGCTGGCTGAGTTCAATCAGCTCCATCTCTGTCGGCATGTAGCCCATAGTCCTCATGCAGTTCCCCAGATCTTTACAGCCAATAAAACCGTCTTTGTCTTTGTCAAACTCTTTGAATGCCTCACGCAGCTCTGAAAGTGACAAAGGGAGAGTAAGACTGTAAGAAAGACAGGTGTGAAAATTGTTTGTGAATATTGTAAGATAAATTTTTTTGTACAGTATTTTTCCCAAAATGGACCAAACACAGACATACCATCCATTTCCTCTGGCCTCAACTCTCGGTCCTGTGGAGGATCAGAGTGCAAGGTTAGTCAGAGCAAATCCTGCTGATAGTTTGAAATAATGCCAATATGAAGCCTTCCTCTCACAATGTGATGCTGTAAAAATAAATCAGGAACTACAGGTATGTGTCGCAGTAGAGTGCCAGGAGCCCGCAGGTTACCTTCCAGCCAGAGAGGAAGAGCTTATCAGTGAGATCACCTTTGGAAGAAAATCTGCAGACTCTTGGCACTCAGCTACACTCTGAAGAACAAAAAAGCACTGAAGAAAGGGGAAAATTATCCACAGGGTTTTAATATTTCTGTGGGGAGGTGTAGAGAGGCGATGGGAGTTTGTTCGTAGAATTTTTAGAAATGCAGAGACAATGAATAGATGCAAGGTATGCAACATCTCTAATAATAGCCAGACTGTTGAATTAAAATGACAAAATCTCACCCCCTGCCCACAATATAAGATCATAAAACAGACAATTAAAAGAGCCAGGTTTACACATAGATAAGAGTCATATTTTCTTTAATAAGGAGACCATGCTGAAATTTAACAAAAATAAATTCATCATGTCAGTGTCACCAGTCTTTCACTGTCCAATTTTTCATCCTTCACCCTGCAACAAATGTCCAATGTATTTGTACCAGATGCAGCCACATGCATAACACACACATACATACACACTTTTGCATCCAGAATCCATAGAAAACATGTCCTCCTGCTGTCACGTTTTTGTTCATGCTCTAAGTGATGCGGTTACAATTATTATTAAAAAGTTTTTTTGCCTGTTATTGTGCATGTGCTGTTTTGTGTGCTAGTCACTTGGTTTGCATGCACATGATGTTGTCTGGACTTACGTACAGCCTGCCGGCTCTCAGCGAAGCCCTTGCGTAGAAAGATGCACGCAGGCCCCAGTACGCTGTGCATGTTGCCTCCGTTCTGGGCCATGGCTACTAGCGGCTCAAGATAGGCCCCCCCAGAGCCCCCCTCCTCACAGGACTGCACTGCTTTGTAGTTCTTCTTCTGGTCCTGGAGCAGCATCCCAGGTGGGAGGGGGCGGACATGGGAGCAGGGGCAAAGACAGGGGTAGAGACCATGACTAAGAATGCTGCAGCATGGAGTCAACAAGGGGGGTGTGGTTGAAGGGAAAGGGGTGTAAGGAGAGGGGATCAAAAGCAGGATAAGAGGTGACGGACATATGTCTGTCAGTCAGAGGGAGGTGAGGAGTCAGGTCAGTCATAATGGAGGGAAGCACCCCCGCCGGGTTGTAATTTGTCATGACAAGAGCAACTACTGCCATCCACGATGTCAGCTGAGTTTGCTAAATGCTCCGTTCAACACAGGTCATCTGCTCTGACACTTGATTGGAATTTTATGATACAGCTTTCCAGCAGCAACGGTTATGCCTTTGATCAGCTTTCTTATAAGCCTGACATGATCTTAAAACGATAGACGACCTCTCTGGCCTCTTAGTCAGGTTGCTAAATTAGTTGTTGCTAAATTAGCATGGCTTTAATGAGAACACTAATTAGCTTTAAGCTTATTAACTATAACTTTTTAAAAAATCTACTTTTTAACAGAGCAAAGAGGATGTTAGAATATTGAACATGTTTCAAAAAAGTTGGGAAATGGACAATAAAAAAAAACAGAAAAAAATTGTGAAGCGCCAAAAAAATCAACAGCTGGTGGAACATCTCTCAAGTAATTTGGTTAATTTGCATACAGCTAAATGACATGACAGTCAGTCAAGGCATTCCAGACGGGATATGAGGTTTTTATCATCTCCAGTAAATTATTTCATAAACAGATATAAAGAATCAGAAGAAATCTTTTTACAAGAAGGACAAGGCAAAAACCAGATTCTTCTGTTTCAATTAATGATTTGTTGTCATCTATTTCCAATTAAACAAAGGGTTTAAATGATTAGCAAACCATCAAGTTTTGGTTTTATCAACCTTTAAATGTTGGAGGAACCAGGACTGTGTCTGATACCAATTTTGCCGTTTTGTCCATCTTCTCTAACAGGAATCAAAAGATTTAATCACCAATTTGGCAAAAGACTATAGATAATCATATAAGTGTAAAGTAACTCACAGACACAACTTAATTTGTAAAAGAATAAGGAGAGTTAAGGTCTTATGCTGCGTTCAAGTTACCTTGGAAGTAAGAAGTCCAAGCTGAAAATGACGTCACACCCAAGTTACCAGCGTTTCAGTTACAAAGACGGAAAAAAGCAAAATTGGAGGCAGAAACAAGACGGCTACATCTACGAAAAGTTATTTTAGCGCTTGTCTTGAACAGATATAAGGCGAGCGCTAAAATAACTTTTGTAGATGTAGCCATCCTCCGATTTTACTTTTTTCTGACTTGGTAACTGAAACGCAGGTAACTTGGGTGTGACATTATTTTCAGCTTGGACTTCTGACTTCCGAGGTAACTTGAAGGCAGCATTACATGAATAGCTCAAGTAATGTAACTTAATTCTGACTGTAATGATCATTTGACACTTCATGTTTGTTGTAGTAATATTGAAACGTGCTAATCCCTACACTAACCCCCAAACTAGGAGCAATGATAACCACTACTACAAAACATGACTCTAGTTGAGACAGGGATAATTGTGAACTATCCACTTCATCAGAGGTAAGAAACGGCACCCACATGAGTTCACCCCTCAATAGCTAAATGAGTGTCTGATCAATAGGTCCAACTGTATAAGTATGAATGGCAGAATAAGTGTCTGTTGGTATTTAGAGGATTGGTGACACTGTATTTACCAGTGCCAGGATTCATGCTGGGTTAGTTATTTAAATTACTAAAAAATGATGAGATTTTTTATGTGCATGTTTCAAAATAATTGTGTCCTCTGGAAGATGAGGCTGAAGTTCAGCCAGCCATTTCATTATAATCACCAATTAGCCAATCAACCAGGGGGCAAAAATGCTTTCACAGCAGTGATCCCAATTACTGAGAGAGCCACAGGTTAATTAAAAACGGCCAATCACTGCCTAGCAGTGGACATAATAAGCTTCCTGTAAATAAGCCAAATAAGATCCAACCATGTGCTATGACTAATACTTGTTCACAGAGCGTGGCCGCCATATCTGAGGCTAAATGCAGGCAATCTATTAAAAATGTTCTGACTATATATTACACGTCATTTTAAAGCAAATACAAACTGTCTTTAAAGCCCTCATGGCGCCAAGTCTTCAATTACTGCAGTTCATCATCCAACTCAGCGGAGGAAAATCCAGCCACAGCGAGTGAAGTGGCCTCTCTGTCACAGGGAATTACCAAAGGACCATTTCTGCTTCTGCTTGAAAATCGCTCAGACATGAGCTAGCACCCATCTACAGATGGTTTGTACAGCAAACATAAAACATCTACATGAATTAATTTGCATACATACACACATGCAAATAAACACAGTATTTTAAGCTCTACACATGACCTTCTCTCCATCTGTTACCATGCCAGTTCGTGCATTCCTGCAGTCCCCCTCCACAGGAATGGATGCCCACTGGGTAATCTGACCAAGTGATGCATGGAGCAAGCCTGTCTGTGGGTACATCATGCCAGAGAAGTACTAGGAAAGCCATGCGCTCGAAGTTACATAATGAAAAAAAATATACAATAATAATCCTGAAGCAGTGTCAAAGAAAACCAGAATAATTCACCAGCGATCCAACCCCCCACTTTTTGCACAGATGGCATCAACAGTTGCTTGTCATATTGAGCTTCCTCAAGGATGTGCAGCTGCTGATGTGAAGAGAAAATATATTTGTAGGGATGTCTCTGCTAGACTGAGTATCTACTCAAGCGCACTATGAAGGACAGCAGATGCAAGAGATTTCTCATACGGACCGATGTTATCTTGTTGAGCCTGTGCAAAATGGAACCGTCTTCGTTGTATCTCAATTGAAAAATTCTCATCTTCAGCTGAAAGAGTTAAAGCCTGCAGCCAAATGAGCTAATCTGATGGTTGAAGCAGCATACCTGTCTCAACATCTTCACTGACAGCTAATCCTCAGCAGGTCCAATAGGGTAGCATCTTCTGGTGATTCTAAAGTTTCGTGACATGATCGAAATTCACGTAAGTCGCTTGATAGAGAACATAAAGTCCAGGCCAATTGGTTCTTCTGACTGCTGTTTGTCAGGGTTTTTGCATATTAAAAACATTCACATAGAAGACCTTCATATCTAAGAGAAGACAAGGCTGCATTAAGCTCAGTGCAACTTGTAAAGTACCTGCAGAATGACCTTTAAAGAAAGCCAAAAACACTCAAACTCTAAGTTCTTGTGTTGGCTGAAATACTCTTCCGATAGTTTACCTCCAGCTACACAAAATGCAAGAAACAGTCTGTTAGTTAATCAGTCAGACAGCACAAAGGGTTCAGTCGGTACAGATCCAGTCAGTCAGGTTAGGGACACACTGTGAGGAAAAACATGCACCAAGACACAGGGGGATTCAGGAAGAAGCCTCAAAGCGGACCTTACCTTCTTCGTGAAAATTTTAAGCGACTTTACAGAGTTGCCCATTGCAAACAGAAAATCCTTCTTGTTTTATATTTTCTCTCTAACTGTGTTTGTGTGGCAATGTGTGCCTGCACGTGTATGCATGTGTGTTTGAAGTGTTCCCAGGCATGCATGGGAATAGGGGTGATTAGAAAAGGGGAGAGGGTTCACGGGGTCATCGACTAATATAAAAGGACATTTGGGGAGAGGCAGGGAGAGGAGCAGAGGTATCATAGGAGGTGGGAAGGAGAGGACGAAGGAGTGTACAGGGAGGACCTAGAGGCGAGGACGCTGGGAGGGACGAGGGGAGGGGACACTGAGACAAAGGAGGAAATATGTAAACAAGAACAAAGACAGGATCGGAACAACACAGATAAGCAAGGGAGAGGAAGCATGCATGCGATCAGAGCGAGATGCAAGCGCCAAGAGGAGGAAAGAAAGATTGCTTATTCATTCCATCCTCTCTCCTACACTGTCTTCCCTCCCTGCCTCCCTCCCTTCTACCCTCTCTCTCTCTTTTTTCCTCTCTCTCTCTCTCTTTCTCTCCTCTCTCGCTCAGCCCCCCAGTTTTAAACCATCTATGCGAATGTGACAGAAGAAGCCAGTTCGGACAAGCATATTACCTTCCCCCGAGCGAGACGATGGAGACACTAATCCAAACAAGTGTGCACACGCATGTACACAAGTGCGCACACACACACACACACAGAACTACACTTGATTAAACACACAGGGATGCGGGACCATGGAGCTAAAAATACACCACATCCCTCTTTTTTTCGCCCCCTACTCTTCTACATCTCTCCCCATTCTACCCCCAGCATCCACTCCTCTTCTCCTCTCTCTTCTCTCTCTCTCTCTCTCTCTCACAAACACAAACATACGAGAGCACACACGCACATGTAGATGCAACGCAAAGTCATGCTAAGCTTGAAGGACAAGGATTCAGATCAAAGGCAGAATATGCAATGAATGACACACGGAGCGTCAACCACCAAGGATGCAAACCAAAGCACGTGCCAATGTTCACACGAACACACACACACACGCACACAGACACACTGAGCCAAAAAATCTCTTTCATCCCCACACATATTTAATGAAACATACTGTATCTAAAAAAGTAAGTGCTTCCAAAGATAGTACACCTCTGAAACCATCCTTAAAAAGCAACACTGAGTGTACATGGATCTATTATTTAGAGGTACACTCACACTTTCCTGAGGTATTTTATTCATTCCTCTATTCTCTACCATCCTCAGTTCTACTATTTTTAGTAAGAAATACTGTATTTTTGTCTTTGATTTATCTACAGCTCTTTAGGTACATTGATATGTAGGAATTCAATCTGATGGGGTGTTACTCCAGCTCAGCGGTTGACAAAGGTAATACCTTTAATATTTTAGGGAATATTGCCAACACCAAGTGATATTTTTTCATCCTGTTCTTCTTTTGATCGGATGAAAAAAACAAAAGTGTGTTTATAACAGTCTTATACAGCACTAGTTCAGTCTTGTTAAAATTATATTGAATGTTAGTGTTGATATTGGTTAAAACGACTTAAGTAAGAAAGCAGGACTTATCGATCAACTTAGAATTGTTCCAGTACAGTAAAAAAAATCACCTGAAATCACCAGAGCAAGAACTGAGAAGAAAAAAAAATATTTTACTAATACCAACAAAAATTTCTTTATAGAGCATTTAATCAAACACCTGTTTGTTTTTGTTTGAAAGCTGTTCAGTTTAAGTCAACTCTTTTCACATTCTGTGCAGCAGTTGATGCACAAATGGTGAAACAACTTTGTAACTGAGCGGTAACCATTTTCTGATGTCTGCAGATCAGCTTTATTTTTGCATTATCCGCCTTGCCTACAAGTGAGGATGATTCACGTCAAATATTAGATGCAATGACATCAGTTCTGAGGCTGAAGGTTTTTGTGTTTTGTCTATTTTCGTCTTCTCTTTTTTGACATCAGCCATCCAATCCAATCTAATTTTATTTATATAACACATTTTAAAAACATTAAAGTTCACCAAAGTGCTGCAGAGTGAAATCAAATTTTGTTTTGTTTGTATGTTATATAAAATAAAATTTAAAAAAAAATAAAAAAAAATAAAATAAAATCAAAAAAAGAAACAAACACTGCTGAAGTTAAAACATCAGGAGAAAAGACATGAAAACAGGTAAAAGAACATGACAAGCTAAGTAAGCGTGGCTGCCTGCATGGCTGATGTAGGCAGCCACACGCTTACTTAGCTTGTTATGATGTGCTAACACCACACACGTGTGCTCTGTGTGTATGCGCACCAATCTGTCCAGTTAGACCTGATTGTATTATATGTATTTTACTTTTGATACACCAAAGTTTTTACATGAACGTGAAGAAGACGTCAGATCAAGCTGTTCAACAAGTCAGATCTGGTCGTCTCTTGGTTGGCGTATTATGTAACAAATCATTTGGCGAAAGGTGTTTGCAAGTGGCTAACCAGATGTAAATTGAACAATGAAATCATTGTCACTTTTACTGTCCTGTACAATAGGAAAGTTTTGTCTTTTTTATGTCTTTTCTTGTTCAGTTAAGATTTGATGACTATTACACATTGATTGCGCATTTGTGCCATTCAACTTCCAGATCAAAACCCAGCACATGAACACTGGAGCGTGCCCAGAACACTAACGCCAGTTTCTGTCCCACTTAATCGTTTAATATTGAAAAGAAAATCAATCCCAGACTGCCTATTAGTGACACTCTGAGAGGTTCAGTCCAGTGCGGTTTCAGTCCGCTTATTGTGTTTACGTTTTTTGTTTTTTAAGTGTAGTTGAAGTTGGAATAAATCAATTTATTCGAATAACATGTAAATGTAACGCAAAAAAAAAGTGCCCTTATAGTACCATGGTCACAGTATGGGGTTCATAAGTGTGGTAACCTAGGTAGTATGAGCATTGTTCACACCTGGAGTTCACAGAGACAGTTGGAGTTTTTTGATAATGGCAGTTCTGTTGGGCTGAGGTAGAATCTAAAGTTTTGTAACTTGTTGGTAAAGCTTAAACATTGGAGATGAGTGTGATGAGGGGGGTTTATTCTGCACAGAAGGCCTCAAGTTTCTACATCATGAGATCAATATTGAACGATACAGTTAGGTGATTTTCAAGTTGTGTGTGTGTTTAATAAATTCCCCATGTAGTGGGTGAAACTAAAATCTTTCTTTATGTACCACACTCCGCATAAATATCAATATTCACAGTAAAGTTACAATATATCTATAATGCTGTTACCGTCACAACACACATAACAAACTCTCAAATTAACTTTGCATCAGCAGCGTTTTCTCCTGTTGTAACTTAAGCGACAGCCTTTGCAGCATTGAGGAACATCCTCATTTCCCTCTCCTGCTCGACCTTGTCTATTCTGTGCCATTTTAATAAACGCGTTCACGGCGGAGTCGCTTCAGATCTCACTCCATTCAATATCTGTGCGCCTCCTCTGTGTGTGGCTTTGCGGATGATTCATCCAGCCTCTCACCGCAGGCTCATTGTGAACTTCAGAATACATCAGACGTCAGACACAGGGGCCGTCAGCTCTCATAATGTCACAGCGTATAGCGAGCACGGGCATGAGATCCACCCCCCATATCTCCACCACTCTTCCCCTTTTTGGCTGCATCCTTTACCCTCAACCTCTTCGATCACACAGACACACAGTTTGCACTTTTACATATATCATCTTCCATGCTTCACACCAACAATATCTCAAGACTTCCCTTGGAGCCAAAAATTAATTTAATTCTAGGAGAATAATTTTTTAGAGACAAGCACAGATTTATGGAAAAAAAAGGCTTTTCTATACATTCTGAGCGAAGTTACACATGCGGGATCTAAAGGAGGGAATATTATTGTATGCTTGTGCTTTTTATGACAGCTACGAAGTCAACTGTAATCCTGTGTCGTCTACTGCCATCAAGTGTGCTCAGTGAGCTGAGATGTTTGTAGAGGAAGGAAGGTCTAATGTTAGAACAAGCTCTCATGCTTTGTCACAGAAATGAGAAGTATTCTCTTATTTTTAGACTTGTTTGTAAAATATCGTTGATACTGTTTGCAAAGGAGTAAATAAACTCAATATTCCCTGTTCAGATTGTGATTTTTCCACAATTTGCATCACTGTGGAGACAAAGGCAGATTTTTTTGCGCATGAATTTCTGTCAGGCAGTTTTTTAAAAAAAGGGAAAGTAAGATGCACACTTGCGTCACATTCTTGCGCTCAGGCTGACACGTCACACTTTTATCCCGGTGATTAATTCACCTAAATCAGAACAGCTCAAATTTTTCATGCATGCACTCTGATATTTGGGTTTCATTTCAGTCACTGCGTGTCGCAGGGAAAAGTGTCCATGTCAAGCAGCTAAACTGCTGTTGTTTTCCCTCCCTCTCATCTTCTGAAACCTTTCTCCTTGTCTTGTTTCCCTGTCTGGCAGTGATTTTCTCTCAGCCTCAGGTCTACATGAATATTTAACATCATCACACATATGCAGAGTTCGCACAGACTCTTATATTCCCCTTCCTAATCCCCACCTTGAAAAGGGATTTAAACCAGAGAGTAAATTTTCTACCTCTTTCTCAGCCAGCACAGATATAAAAATATCCACACGGGTCTAAAAATAGCCGCTCACACTCGAGACATACTTGAGGCATATGCTGCTGCGAACATGATGATGCTGCTCTCTTTGCTCTCAGATCTTTCTCCTCATTTTACTTATTTTCCCTCTCTTTTCACTCACTCACGCTCAGACATCACGAAGGGCGGTGTGACCCTGGCTGAGGAGAGAGGAAGAAGAGGGGGGAAAGGGTGACTTTGGACAAGGAGATAAAAGGAGAGGAAACAGGGGACAGGAAATATCAGTAAGTGTGATATGAGTAACAGGAAAACCAGACGAGGAAGTGAGGGGCTAATCTGTGTTAAGACCTTTCCTCACATTGTCCTCAGAGGTGTCAGGCGGAGAGCAGGGGAAGTGAGAATCCGTCTTATATAACAATCATCGAGTCTCTCTCGTCCTTTTGTATTCTTTGTCCTCTTCCTGATTTATGCGATTGTTTCGCATCCTTCACTTTCTTTTCTTCTTCCGCGTCTCTTGTCTCACTGATGTGACACTCAAGGGGGCCATTACTCTTTTCGTCTCTATTACACACACACACACAAATACACACATGCTGAAATCAGGCCTATTAGTACAAACGCTGCTTGCTCCCTCTGCTGGTTTAATACACACTTCCTTTAATCTGAATTTAATTTGAAAAGAAAATTGCCATCTCTTCAGTAACACATTTATCTGCAGTAGAACAGATTTGTTCTCAGTGCGAACTCTGTCATGAAATCCCCAGATTTTCAGGGAGGATTTGTTGAACAAAGTCATTGAAGGTCTTGAGGAAAATGAGGGGTTGTTCAGATCTCTTAAAATAGGAACTAAATTTCTTCTAGGGGAGAACTCTTGTGTTCTGTCCTTGACCAAGGTGTCTTTCACAACCTAAAAGCCTGAATTTGCACAAATAAGCTTTCAATTCCTGATTTTTCACATTAAAATGCTTTATTTAATGGATCAGTATGTCTTTAAACACATTTGTCCTTCTCCTTACCGCCACTTTGCCTTTATTTATCCTCATGAGTCACTAAATGAATATATGAAAGTGCATCACACGCTGTAAACCTTCCTCCTTTTCTCAAATTTGTCCCATCAGGTTGGACGTCTGCCAAATGATCAACATTTCCAAACAAAGACGAAACACAAAAAACCCCTCTGCACTCCTCCAGTCTCCTATAATCAGGTCTTGATGGTCTATTTTTAGCTTCTTCCACTGGCAGCAACTGGAGTGAGTTCTGTAAAGGACCGCATGCAGATCTTGATGTTACATAAGAAAATACGAAATGAGGGAATTAGTAGTGTAGAATATCTCACCCCTGCGCTCTGTGCTAAGCCATCATTTCTATTCAGAGAGCGTTAAAGGCATGTATTGTGATTGTGGTCACTAAAATGAAACCGCTGCGGTTTGATGTAGAGCGGCTGCGAAAATACGCACTCTCAACCTGCTTTGTTGGCTTTTCTGCCCTTTTCTGTCTGTTACCGCACACACACACACACACACACATATATATATATACACACAAATCTTTTGCCGTGTCTTCCTTGTGAGTGGCTTTGACTCAGAAGTGCATTTTACTATTTGGAGCTGCATCCGATAACGTCACAGGGACACCACAGGCAACAAATTTGGTGATTCAGTCCCAAAAATGCACATTCATAATTTCTCTTTCCTCCTAAAAAGTGTAAAACATCCCAATTTTTGATGAATATGACATAACATCTGCTTCCTCCACAGCCATCAGCAGCTGCAGGGACCTCATGCAGCACAGCGCTGAATGGATTTTTGCCTCGCTGGACCCCCTAAGACTGATTGGAGCTCTGGCCTGGATTGAGAGGAGTTATTTCTGGAGCACATTAGCGTTCAGGGAGGTAATTGTCTCCTCTTGAGCTTTTTATCACTCACACTGAGAGAAGGATTTCAATGAAAGTGGGGGAAAAGATAGCAGAGAGCTGGGTAGATTAAAACTCTGCACAGATCTGTGCAGGGTTGCAGAGCGCAGCATATCGCAAAAAAAAAAACCCAAATGATCAAATGCTGACCTTTCCTCACAACCACTTTTTTATGAGTTTTGAGTTGGGTCATGTTAAGTTTTATTTAAGTACGCCCTCAGGAGTCGATGGGATACTTACCTGCATCTGTCTGTGTGGGTGAGAGTGACAAGCTCCCATCATTAGAAAGTTTTCCACACAGGGTAAAGTTGACACCCACTAAGAAGCTCAGGTATCAGACACAAAGAAAGGGATGCTTTCATATTGGGATGCTTGACAGACTGCAGCCCCCCACCCCTCCCACCACCATGAAGCTGATGGACACCAGATCCATATGGAGCCTGATTTGGACTGAATGTGTGCATGCATTTTTAATCTGGTGAACTGGGGTGACTGCAGGTCTGGGTCCACTAATCAGCTTTCCAGCTACATGAAAGAGTCCAACTCCAAACTTTCACTGTGATCATTAGAGCACACTCGGTCCCTCTAAAACTGGGACAAGTTTGAAGAATGGACATCAGACCAGCTCAATTTAGTCTAGTTAAATAAATATTGGCTTTAACTCTTTTTAATGAGTTTGTAAATTTGCTTTCTCGTTTCATTGCGGGGTTCCCCTCACCTTTTTTTACTCTAACTGCATCACCAGCTACAACCAGGATACTTTTCAAAATAAGGGTTTTTCATTTGTGCGGTCATCTCACATCACAGAGCGTCTTAAATAGCATTGAAGCCACATTAAGACTTTACTGAAATGATATCTGAATGGAACAACAGTCTTTGCATCTGCACAAGTGTTGCAGAAGCAGCTCTCTTTCACTTGTCTTTTTGAGCTAAAGAGACTGAGAGATTTAAAGCGTCCTTTATTTCTGGGCAGGGAGACCACTGAATAATTTCTTTTGTATCATATTTGATACATACTTTTATGATACTTCTATCAATCAATATGATCAACAAATTACTAAAAAAACACCTGAATACAGCCCGATAAATGATCAAAATGTCCTCTTGTGGTTTATCAGTTTACAAAAACATCTAATGAGTCAAACAAGATAAATAAATGTTAAATTTTAAGGACATTTGGAGTTTTTTGGGGTTTTCAGTAGTAAGTGAAATAAATATTTCAGCACCAAAAAAATTGAATTTTCTGGCCATAATTTGTGATTTCTAAAAATCTCACTTTATTTTCCTGATTCATGAAGGTGCTGTTGGGAATTTATTCACTTATCAGCATGAAATTTGTCTTCTGCATCACAAGATAAAACACCCACACAGCAAAAGAGCAGAGCTTCTATTACAGCAGAAAAATGACAGCAGCTAAATATGGATTTGGTGCATTCAAAGGGTTAAAAACACACTTTTTTTGTTTCCTCTGTGCGCGTTGGATCCGCAGTTAGAGCCGTTTCAAAGTTTCCCTCCTTGTCATTCCCACTCACCTGCCCAAAGACGGACTTGACTATAGGGTGCAGACTGGCGTCATGCTCAGACAAGGTCGCGTTCACTCGCTTGCCTTTGCGTCTGGAGGAGGGCTGCACAGGTGCGCTGGTCGCAGGAGGGTCCGAGCTGAGACTTGAGGAGGACCCGGTGATCACTCTCTCCCTCGGCTCGAAGAAGAGAGCCGCCTCGTCCTCCTGTTTCTGGTAGGATGGAGTTGGAGAGGTCCTCCTGTCCTGCTGCCTAGAGCCGCCCTGCTGGGGCTGCTCAACTCTGGAGGAGTCGGGGTGATGATGATGATGATGAGGGTGTTTAGACCTGGAGGACTTGGTACGTTCCTTCTGATGCCGGCTCGTCCTGTGCCTCACATCCTCCTGTGCGTAATCGTCATCCAGGTGGCTCGGCTGACGGTGTGAGTGGCTCCTCTGCGCGCGGTTGTCACTCATATTCCGAGAGTCTGCGTGTCTTGGCTGGCAGAGAGGTCTACGCGCGCTCGTCTCAGACTCCTCAGTCCAGCCTGCTTCTCCTCCGCCTCCAGCTCCAGATGGATGCTGATGCTGAGTGCGGTTCCTCCGATGATCATGTTGCCCGGACCTGCGGTGGGGTCCCGAAGATCTGAGCAGAGAGGTGGTGGACTCACTTTTCGGGAGAGGAGAGCTCATGGTTCTCTGTCTCTCGCTCGTGAAGCGGAGTGAAGCTTCTGGAGGCTGGAGGTCGCGCTACAGGAGAGGAAGGAGGTCCTCGATCCACCACGTGCAGGTGTTCATCTGCAGCCAGTGGTACCCCCCGCGCTCTAATCCACATCCACTCTCTCCACCAGCACTGAGGAAGGTGGTGGAGGTGGAGCGGCAGACACCTGAGTGTGAGGATGTGCTGCTGATGTGTCAGTCAGGCGGTCAGGGTGACGCGTCAGGAGGGCTCCGTTAACTTTGGATGACAGCTGCACTGTTCAGCGCGGGCGCGTGTCAGGCGCTGTTCACGCGCGAAGTTAATTAAGAACAACGTCACAGCACAGTTGACCGCTTGGTTTTTGATTCCCTTGTCATGTAGTTAATTTATAACTTTCCTGGAGCTAATTAACTCACAATAAAGGACACTCACCTTAACCCTCCTATTATCCTTAGGGGTCAATTTGACCCCAATCAATGTTTATCATTTAAAAACTAACACTTGACTTTTGTTTCTTTGCTTCATATTTCATGAATTTTCCTAATTTGATGGGGACAACTGATTTAGCATAAAATTATCATGATGATCATTTTTTTAATGTGTTGTACACATATTGCACGCATCGGTGTTCCTCTGGGGTCAGTTTGACCCCAAGCTGTTTTGGCTGTGTAAAACTTGCCTGTCTTCGTGTGTGACCTAACATCCCCATACCCAGGGCAGGCCCTAGCCTTTTTGGTGCTGTAGGCAAAAATACTCAATGCCCCCCCGCCCCCAGGACATATCCAAGTAAAGAGGATGTCTGTTCGCCGGATATCAGCGTGTTAAGCTAATGCTTACTTTATTTTAAGCTAGCTGTTAAAAACATGTTCTTTACACAAAATGATATTTTATAAAACATGTGGGGCCCAACCGATTTATTGGCAAGCCGATTAAATCGGCCAATTTTAGCCCGTTTGAGACTAATCGGTAATCGGCCAAAACTTGCTGATTTTCGCCGATATTTTCAGGAATAAAATGTTGAGAATAAGATTCGGTTTCACTTCGAAAATGTTCCGCCATTTGAAAAGTTCCCCGACTTATCCTGTAGATGGCGCATCGACCTCATGACAATGTTCATCCACTAACTACCTCACAGCAAAGCAAAGTGACAGATCTGAAGCAGGCAGCTCAGGGATGCACCGAGGAGAGTGGTCCGCCTCAATGGTAAATAAGTTTGTCAAGTAGACAATGAGTCAACAAGTTTCAGTTCAACCCACTACACGATGTTCCTCGATGTGCTGGTCTCAGTCATGTTGAGTTAAGCACCATGTAATATACAAGCTAAAGTTAGAGTTAGCCATCTGCTATTAGCCTTGCTACACTGTTAGCCGTTCCAGTAACAGTAGAATAAACAACAGTACGCATTACGTGATCGAGCTACTTCTCTTACTGAGGCAGCTGCATGTCTCCAGATGAGACCGGACTGGAAATGAGTAACGTGAGTTAAGAGGCACCGATTGGATTTTATCCCCCCCTAATAATCAATATCGGCATTGGCCCAGAAAAAAAAAACGTTCCTCCTCCTCTTTTCTCCTTTCCTGAAACTGTGCGCCCAAGACCTTAGCTGTCCCTTTCATGATGAAAAAATTGTAATAAAATCACCCATCCTATTCTGACTCCTCGCTCGCTCGCTGACTTGAGATGCACCCCCACATCATGTGACTTGCCAAGTGACAGATATAGTTACTTCATCTTGTAATTTTATTTGTTATTTTCAAGACAGAAAAGTAAGGGGGGTGCCAGCGGGCGTCATAAATGATTATATGATTTTATCTTCACTTTTTTCCCAAGGGGGAGGGTGCTGGCAGTGTGCCCCTCCTGCAGATGGTACCCTAGGCAACCGCCTATGTCGCCTATGCCAAGGCCCTGCCCATACCTACAGGTGCAGAGTTGATACTTTTGAGTTGATACATAACAGGGAGGTGGTGAAAACAACTATTCCCTCCAGAACCTTGATACTTCTCGTGGTGTGGACATGTGGGAAACAACTAGCCACTGTAGGCTAGCAAGTTGATCAGACCCAAGTCTTTCCAACTACAAATACCTCTAAAATGATTATCTCAAATACAACATTTTCAATTGACGGTTGTACGAAGAGCTCAAATAATGAACATCTTCAACATGGTGGACTGTGAGTCTGGTGAGACACACTCATAGCAGCACATCTACCTTGTTGTTAAAGTCAGTAGAGGGACCATAGTTTTCCATTTTTGGTGCTAACGTGACATGGAAGAGGGGGAAACAATATTCTTATGAGAACTTTCCTGCACCATGGGAATGAAGGTGTGCGTGTGTGTGAGTGACCTACTGTACTCACACATGTTGAAGTAGGACTGATTCTGTATTTCCTTTGCTGTGGAGGGTGGGGTATTCCCACAAGAACATTGGTAGTTCATGCAAAATAATCAATATGGTTCTTTCTGTCAAGAGTCATGAATGTGCACCCCAGATTAGAAAAATGTTGGATGAAAGATTTTCAAGATACACAAACTCTAAAACTGAAAGTTTGACCCAATGGTGGCGCTACAGGAAAGGTCATATTATCACAGAAACCAGTAGGGTTCATCCTCTCGTGGTCATTAAGGTTGTCAGTAAACTTGAGAAGATTTGTATCATAACTTTTAAAGATACATTTATTCTACTTGAAAAGTTTGGCCTATTGTTGGCGCTAGAGAACAGGTCAACTCACTGATAGGTTTCATTATTGAGGGGTTATTCACCTGGTATCATATTGACCCCAAGGATAAAACGTGTCAATAATACTTGAGGATAATTTAACCAGCATACAAACCAAAAAAGGATCCACAGTGGACAAAAGACACATGGATGCAATCCAACTCAACAAGTATGGGCTGTGACGTTAATGACAGTGGACTAAAGTTTTTTAAAGCATGTCAGACACCCTGTGTCCTCCAAACTGGGGTACACTTTAATCATCATGGAGTAGCTTTAATAATGCAAATACACTCACAGTAAAGCAAATTATGAAAAACCAGAAAAGTAAAAAAACAAACTGAAGAGCAGCTCACAAAGAGTAACTCACCTCACACACCGAAGGTCTTTGGGCTATAATTAGAAACATAACCTTTTTGGAATTAGGACTGAAGCAACATTTATTCATCAGTGAGCATCCAGATAAACAAACAAGTGAAAGGAGATCCACTGTTTGGAGTATCTGCTCTGTGTACAACAGAGTGGAAAATCTTATAGGGCACTTTAACACAAGGGTGCACAGAGACAAAATAGAGACCGATACAAAAACCAGCTGATGGGTAATCTACTCAATAAAGGGAGTATTGTATTTATTATATTTTAATATTGTGATGAAACTGTTTAATCTGACATCCATAAAAATATGAAAGCTGCTCTCCTGTTCTTATCAACAATCCTACACATTTCAATCCTTGGCTGTTTATAAAATAGACAACGCCACATCATGTCTGTTCATTGTGAGCTTTGAAGCCAAAACACAGACTCCACAAGTGCTGACACACAAAAGTCAGCAGACACCTACATGGAATTACTTGCTGCATGTACAGCTGAGAAAGGAGAATCTGAGTCAGTCTTGGAATTTTTTTCCATAGCTGTAAAAAATAGTCTCTCATGAATAGTTTTATGTAGAGAAACAAACTGAAACAAAAATGTATATCACAACATTTAATCCCCCGAACCAGAATTATTAAAACATTTACATGGATAATACATTTCCCTAAACTTATTTATTTATTTTTTTTACTCCTTGCCATTTATCGTATCTTGTTTATTTAGCCTAAGCAAAAATAATACAGCCTTACCTAGACTTTAAAAACAAGCATGATTGCATAACCAGGCCAAAACGAAGGTGCAAAGGTCAACAGAATATTTGACTAGAGGGTTACTCAAAATAATAACAGCAAAGTTTGAAAGGAAAAACATCAGAGGACATAAGAGCGTGACTATCCCTCAGTTCCCCTCCATCTGCACCCCGTGGGTCATAATCCTCACAGCAGATGTCTAGAGATGCAGGGCAAAAAAAGACGTATATAATGATGTTAATGTACAGTGCCAATTAGACACTTCAGCTCTCACGAACTGTGTTACACAGAGCAAAGCTGAGACATGAGCAGATTTTACCCTCCTCTCTCTCTGGGGAATTTTTGTTCTCTGACATCTGTGTCTCTGCCTCCTCTGAGGCAAAGTATCTTCACTCCATCGTTCCCATCCCCCGCCCTCCAACATCGGCCTGCTTTCACTCCTCTGCTACCTTCTCATCCTCTGTGCACTCTGTCAAGTGAACAAAGTATCACCAGCACTGAGACATTGTTACTGTGTGTGGTCTTTATCAGGTGTTAGCCACGTCGGATGCACCTCTGACCACATCCCTCGGTCAAATCATGATACTCTGAATAAATAAGCATTTTAATTTCTGCATTTCTGCAATTTCTTTTGAGTCATTTAAAATCTTTTTACGCCACCTTTTCTCTTTGTGTGACTTTACACCAGTCCCTCTCATTCTCCATCTCTCTGCCAGTGAACACTGGACTACAGCGGGGGCCGTACAAGCCTCAGGGTTCAATATGGCCCATTTACTGTCCGCAGAGACAGGGGAAGTGAAAAAAAACAGGAAACTGTGGTTTGCAGTAATAATATGTATATATAAATACATGTTAAAATTTCAAAAAACCAAAACAACACAAAAATGACCTCACCAAAAACTGCTTTTTAACCGTATCAATTTCCAATTCTAGTTAATTTTTGGCATGGCTGTCAAAAGATTACTTTAAAAATTGCAATTAATTTCAGATAATCAACAATAAATCGAGACTGATCACATTTACTTACATTTTAAAATTATTTTTCATTTCAAAGCTGTTTTTTAAGGCCACACCAACAATGTAAAGCAGATTTTATCATTGTCTTGATTTGGAAATGAAATGCAATAACAAATGTATTTTCTATTGCTCTCAACTATAACTTGATTTATAGTTGAATCTTTTCTATTCAAGATGAATTGCATGGCACAGGGTAAGGAGAGAACTTTTAAGTGTTTAGTTCTATCATCTTGTTTGTTGGTTGTTCTTAAAGAACGACATGGTTACATATTAAAGATGCTATAGGGGTTTTTTAGGTTTATAAAACAGACTGAAATTCACATTAATGCCTTTTTTTAATATCCAAAACACAACAAGACCCTTAGCAACATGATTGACAGTAT